TGAGGACGCCCGTCATCTTCCAGGTCCGCGAGAATCGCCGAGCCTGCTGGCGTAGGCTCATCATTGTCCACAACTTCTTCTGAGTCCCCATCTTCTGCGCGCGCTGTCGTCGCCTCAGCATGCACGGCAGCTGCGGTGGCCTCAACAGCCGCAGTATCGCCTGTGACAGCTGCTAGAAAGGTTTTGATCAGGCCAGCTTCCATCAGGACAGAGAAACTGGTAGGGTCGTTGTTTATGAAGTCGCTGAGGATGGTAACGCTGTAGGTCCAATCAATTGCACCGAACATTTCCTTCTCCGAAATCACACAGCGCAAGCTCGCAAGTAAGTCGGATTTGTCGACGAGGTTGCGCAACAAGCGATCAGTGTTTCCGCCCACTGTTGGAGAATTGGTCATGGCGTGATGAATCAGCCTAAGCAGGGCACGAAGACTCTGTTGTTGGTAGTACGAGATTTTGTAGTCGATCAGACTTGATTTATGCTCGTCACTAATGCCATGACCGCTTCGGACATGATCATGCGCTTGCTGGACTGTGTCGACGATCAAACTTGCGACAGCGTCCAGACCATTGATGTTGAGGAAAGGGTTGAAAGCATTGACCGGGTACCAGAGTATACTTTCCAAGAAACCTATGATGGTAGGGTAATACCGCTGGACAGTTTTGGATCGGAAGTTGAGCATTTCAACCAGAACCTCCACTAGTCCAGATGATACCATTTCTTGAGATCGAGATTGAACACAAAGATACATGGCCATGTCGAACAGGCTTTTGCGCCACTGATCAAGAGTTGTGACCTTGCCGATGGCCTCAGTTCCGTCGTCCTCACGCAAGCCAGCGGCAGCTTTTCGAATCACGTAAAGAAGAACCCCGTGATTGACATTGGCGTTAACGGCCGACAGCACATCCTGGGTTTTCGTGCTGAAGTACGCGAGCACCTCAAGTAGAACCATCGAGATTGTCTGAAGCCACAGCGGCACAACACTTGTGCCATCGGCGGAAGGACGTATCAGTTCGGCGAGTTGGTAGATAAGCTGGAAACGACGCGTTTCCTCGCCATCCTGACGGAACACTTTTTCGATAAAGGTTGCTTCGTTGTGAATGTAGGCGAGGTTTGTGATAGCGAGGAAACGAACAGCTAGAGCGCGTTGACGGGTTTCTGGCGTGCTAAGAATGGCCTTTGCCACCCTCAACCTATGGAAGACCTCATACTTGGTGGCAGATGGCATATCACTGGGGAGCCGTGAAAGAAGCTCTGGTATCGTGACCGAGCTGACCACCGAATGCGGTAACTCGAACACTTTCTGACTGCTCCCAGCAGCATCCTCGTGGTTGAAGGGCGTGCTAGGGCCAAGAGGTGAGGACTGCTCAGCCTGACCAGGTCGGGGGCGTGGTGTACTCTGACTTTGCGTATTCATTGTCTGGGTGCGGCGCAGAGGGGTGGGTGTAACTGGTGATGGAGACTGGGAAGCTTCCGCATGAGGTGGAATTTGAGGTTGAACGAGCTGTTCCTCGGGAAAGTACTTGGTTTGAATATCACCCCATCCAGTCCAGCGGTCATTCTGGCTGCAGGCAAGCGAGACCAAATCATTATGGTGAACACCGTTGTGGGCACTTCTGGTACCGGCTGCCGATGCTTTGTCTTTGCCTTTTGAGGATGAGCCGGGCGTTGAAGTCGTCACGGGCTCCCCCAAACCGACCAGCTTGCTTTTCATAAACGGCGCCGCAAGCTGCTGTACGCGGTCCAAATCGATGTTGTAATGGTTTGCAAGAAGGGCAGCGTTCCACTGGCGCGAGGGGTTGCTCAACCGCCTGACTGAGGCTTGGTAACGTTTGGCCAGCTCAAAGGCAACCTCGAGCGTGGCGATGAGTACGTCCCAGGATGACGAATTGAGAAGATCGTTGAGGTGGCTACTGCTCGCGTACACACTTCGGTTGCCACATTGCTTAAGCAGCATAGTCGAGAACCCCAGCACGGATTCAACCAAAAGTTTGTCGGCATCGTCATGTATCCTGAAGTCCTCTGGCACATTCTGCTGCCAATCATGCTTGCCGCCCAAATCTGGGTCGCCACTGTGTGCTGTGATGAGCTCGGAGGTGAAATCGCGGATCTGGGGACCTTTGCCCAGCTCATATAAAGAGCAGAACCGCTCGAGTATGCTGTCGAATCTATTCAGAAGGGGGATCCAGTGATAAAGATCTCCCCGACCAAAGGACCACCTCGAAGGGAACTCGGCGAGTTTGTTAGGCAGAAGGGGCAATGGTGTCGTGCAAGCTTCGTCCACGTAGGCCTTGAGCCACGGAGACTAACGATGGGGTTAGTATAGCTGCGCTCGGATCATGATTCTCCTTTCCACTTACCAAAGTCTCTCGGTGCTTGGCCGTCATGGCTTTTGTGATCTTGCCCATGTTGGCTTCGAACGTGGCTCTGCCGTGGGGCTGGATGCAAACGTCCCCTACACTGCTATCCTTCAGTCTTTGGCCACGGCAGTGCGACTCATGAAGAAACGAGCTGCCCGGTGGTGGACAGCTTCCGACACGCCACCTTGATTTTCCTGGCTAAGGATAACTTCTGCTGTCCGTAACTTGTGGCCTGGGTTGTAGAGTTCAAGTTTTCGAGATGCACGTCGATTATGTGCGGATGCTGGACGACGTGGGCAGGACAGGATTGCTCGGATCGACAGGTAGGGGTGCGGTCAGCAAAGACTCGCAGCTTCGTGATACAACACGACGCGGAAACGTGCGCGGAGCAAATAGACGTGATGCAAAGGCGGGTGCAGGTCGCCTAGGATCAGCAGTCTTCCAAACTGAGAAGCGGGCACCTGGCAATAAGGTGCTGACGCAGAAGGCTCGAAAATGCTCCGTCAACAGAGAAAGGCACAAAAAAGTAGGCACGAAGACTAATCAAATGTGCAGACGGGCGTGCAATGCGGTGCGCACGACGAAGGTCTATGGAATGAAAAGTGTTGGTGTCAAGTTGAAGTCGTGAGTAGAGCAACTTCACTTCTTGCTAAGTTACGGACGATCATGATTTGGTGGTGGTGGGTCCCAGTCCCGCCTACGTCGTCTTGCGTAACTGCAAGGTGAGCTGGGCGGTGGAGAGTGGTCCGTGCGTACCCGCACCTCTGAGGCTCTAGGTAGGCTCTAAGTCGGGAAGTGCAAGTACCTATTTAAGGTTAGAGGCATCTTGTGCAGGCTGCTACACACATACAATTGTACGACTCAAATACTGTGCTCGCTGTGTGCATGTATAGCTGATCACTTTTGTACAAGGGCTGACACCCTCAAGTATAGATTCACTTCGTTGATGGCACATTGTCGACTGTACTCTGTTAAACCGAGAGGCTGCCCCAAGGAACCTCCAGTTAGCACACATGACATCATTCCCGGAGCGATTTGTTGAGCAATAGCCTGCAACCACCACTGGATCTATCCAGTCCATTCATCGACGATAGATGAATACTTTTCTTCATTATTATCTAAAATCGCTACTTGGGAACATCGCAATACCTTCATATATGCTACGTTGAAACTCATAGCAGTCCAAATCGCAGCTCTGGATTCTATACGAAAAGGACTCCACATTCTCCAGCCCCCAGAGAGGAGTGAATAACTGCTATCGGGATCTACTACAGCTTCAGTTTGCCGTATCTTCTTCATAAGCGACAGAGTTCCATGTCTTTCTTCAGCTCCAGTCGCAGCCGTGGGAACCGGACGCATCTGACTCGAAGACGCAGGTACCGAGCGCCCCGCCTGTCACGTTCCGCTCCTTGTTGACTTTAGGGCGTTCTATTAGTGTAGATTAATAAGTACCCAATTACGTTCATAATAGGTACTTACTATTCTACGGCGCTAGTTAGGCAACACTTCACATTAAGTGCTCGTTTAGTCATACTCGATAAATCCTGCAATGACTGTAGGTTGTATACAATGAACATGTGCTTCTTGCAATCCGGGCTGCGTCTTTGGGTGGTCCTGCATGCTGTCCGAAGCCTACCTCAAGTCACGTTGTGCAAACAGGCAAGCAGCGTTCGCGGCCCAACTCGGAGCTGGAGATTGGCAAATGAAGAAAAGTCACGACTGCGGACTGGACCAAAGTAAAGCCTGAAACCAAAATTGGAGCTTCATTTGGTCAGTAGTAGTAGTATTACTTAAGTACTGGTAAGAGTACCGCATGGGAATTGCCAGGTTGTTCCGTTTCCTGTTTCATTATAGGGTAAGTCAGCACATCAACGACGTCGACGGAGAGGACGCTACGCGAATGAGCATCGGACTGGCCCTGTTGATAAATGACGTATCGATTGACATTGCTCGGGTGTTATGAAGGTCAAAAAGTCTCGATGCATTCGGCTCTAGTCTATCTCAATCACACATACGCCAAGTGACCAAAAATCGAATTACTTGCCCAATGCCCGACTGGATGGCGCGGTCAGGGGCTGAGACAAGGGCAACCCCCTGAAGCTACCACTGGCAGCGCCCCGCCAACACACCTGCAAGCTAGCAGTGGGCGGTCTGGACGTGGACTCCAGTCCAGTCTCAGTCTGGAACGAGGGTCTGACAATTCACTGCCAGGTTGCTCTCGACTGGACGCCCTTCCATCGAGGATCACGGGCACATGCTTGCTACGTGGTATTAGTCCGGAAACCGACACCAAGCGTCATCATTCCTCTCGTTTCATTGCGTCGCGCGACGCAAATGCCTCGCTCTGGGCACTCCATCCATTGACGCGCTCACGAGCATCATTTCCTAGCTAGCTAGGTACCAACCTTCACTATCTCGCCGATGGTTTTCCCAGCTCGCACGACATCGAAACGCAACGATAACCACCAACTGGTCGACCCTACTTAGATCAGACCTATACGACACACGAGGCTGAGGCTTCCATTGACCCGTGCCGCTGGTGCATTGTGCACGCATTACTATCTGCGCGTCCCCCAGATCGCCTGTTTCTGCTGTTGCCCGTGTCACGGAGCCCAGACACGCCTGCTCCACGAGTACTTGCCATGTCGCAGCAGGCACATGAGAAGCAGCAAGACCCTCCTTCGCCATCTCGCGACGAAGAGAGGGCATCGATTTCGGATTCAGAAGCTGCTCCTAACAACGTACGTTCGTCACACGGCATACTGCAACCTCATGCAAATCTGGCAGGCTGCAGCTGGCTGACATATATAGACTCCCGGTCACGACGTTTTCGAAGATGCGGCCGATACTAGCTCAGTTCGGTCTTTGACGAAACGTCACCTTTCAACTTCGAGATCTATACAGTCAGACGCCGACGAAAGCGACAGTGGCAGAATTTCACCGACAAACGGAGAAGACCCGACTAGCGAGTCCAAGGGCATCGAGGTACCCAGCAAGTCCAAGGGCAACGAGGAATCCGGCGAGTCCACGGTCAAGCAGGAGCCCAACGAAAGCAATGTCGACGAACATGGTGAATATATTGACCGGCGATCGGGCTCCTCCACCTCACCCAAGCGTTTCTCCACCACATCGAACCTGGACAACGTTAATCTGGACGATGATGCTCCGGATACTGCCGCCGAGGGTACGAAGAGTCTTACAGAGAAAGAGCACACCAATAAGACCATCTCTCTCAGTAGCATTACAAGTGCGCTACCCTCCATGCCATGGTCACCACCTGCCGAGCCATCACCATCTCGCAGTCCGAACCCTCTGCCAGCAGCTCTCGCCCCCCAAGTGTCACAGCCAACACTCACAGCTGCAGCACCGCCGCCGCCACCTCCGCGAAAACTGACGAGTCCCTTCTCCTGGCTATCTCGAAACTCGAGTAAAGACAAAGAAGCTACTCCTGCTGCGAACCAGACGTCGCCACGCAGAAACACTGCAAGCTCAGTCGCAACGCTTACCAGCAACCCCGAGATGCTGTTGAGTCGGCTTGAGGAGGAGAAGGACGAGCAAGCACATGGAGAAAGCCTCAAAGACAGATTCAAGCTACTGCGTCTGCGTGAGGAGGCTGGTATCACGGCACCTTTAGTTGAGGATACCAAGGGCGAATGCGCAGACACGCCACCCCCTAACCACTCCACTCTCACTGAGGCCCCGCCACCGTCGTCTGTCCCTGAGCCCGACGCGACAATGCCGGCTGGTACCATGTCTGGGGTTCATGCCGGTCCTTCAGCAATGCCGGAAACTGAGGTTGACTGGGACCTGTGGCAATCTGTCGTGTACGAAGGTCCAGCTGCGGTGGCGAGGACGAGCGCCGCAGAACTCAACAGAGCCATCGCCACTGGCATACCCAGTGCCATTCGGGGCGTCATCTGGCAGGTCCTCGCGCAAAGCAAGAATGACGAGCTGGAACTGTTGTACAAAGAGCTATCAGTGAAAGGGACCGAAAAGGACAAGACAAGGAATAGCAATAGCACGACGACAAGTGCTGCGAGCAATATGAACTTGAGCGTACATAGCGGCGATGCTATTGCGTCTTCGTCATCCTCGGTCCATTCAGAAAATTCCGGAGGGGCTGGTCCAGTCTCGCCGCATGTTGACAAAGGAGCCGAGGCTGCAGCCAAAGCCAACGCGGCGGAGAATAAGAAGAAAGAAAAAGAGGACGCCGCGGCGTTGCAGAAGCTCGAAAAGACGATCCGCCGCGACCTGGGAGCTCGCACCAGCTATTCCAAGTACGCAGCCGCCGCTGGCCTCCAGGATGGTCTATTTGGCGTTTGCAAGGCATATGCTCTGTATGATGAAGGTGTCGGCTACGCGCAGGGCATGAACTTTCTCATCATGCCCTTGCTGTTCAACGTAAGTGAGCATACGTGGGGTAACATTGCGCGTGTACTAACCTCTGTCAGATGCCCGAACAAGAAGCCTTTTGCTTGCTTGCGCGCTTGATGCACAACTACGGTCTGCGTGATTTGTTCATTCAAGATATGCCTGGTCTACACATGCGCCTGTATCAGTTCGAGCGACTGCTTGAGGACTTTGAGCCAGCCTTGTACTGTCATTTGCATCGCCGGGGCATATCAGGGCATCTCTATGCCACACAATGGTTCTTGACCCTTTTCGCATACCGTTTCCCCCTGCAGCTCGTCTTGCGGATATACGATTTGATCATGTCTGAAGGCCTCTCGGCTATTCTGCGATTTGGTCTTGTCCTGATGCAGAAGAACGCGGCCACGTTGTTGTCGCTGTCAGATATGCAGCAACTGACAGTCTTCTTGAAGGACAAGCTCTTCGATGCTTACATTGACAAGGATCCTAGTCAAGGCAGTCTGCTCGAAAGCGGCTTCTTCGGATCATCCAGCTCCAATATGGAGAAGGAGGTATACAGAGCCGACCAACTCATACGCGACGCTTGCGAGATAAAAATCTCACCAGAGACACTCAAGGCGTACGGCTTGGAATGGGAGGATAAGACTCAAGCCGAAAAACAACGTGAAACAGAGCTCTTCGACCTAAGGAACAACAATCAGCATTTGACCATCAAAGTGCGCAAGCTTGAGGAGCGTGTCGAGGTCTGTGACAGGGAGCAGGCTGCTCTGGCCACTGAGATGGTGCACGCCAAAGTTGAGAACGAGGAGCTCAAAGATGAGAACGAAAGTCTGAAAGGCCAAGTTCGCGAACTCAAGCTGGTCATTGAACAACAACCCCAAGAGCTTGAGGGCAAATGGGCTCTAGAACGCGAGGACCTCATGAAGCGCAACCAGAAAGTGCACGAAGAAAACGAAGAGCTCGAGAAGACCCTTCAGGAGCTCGAGGAGCAGTTGGTGCAGACTAAGATGCGCTACGCAGAGGTATGAACTTGTCCCCTTCATACGTGACGTGTTGATACTAACAATTAAAGATAAACTCGCAACATGAGACCCTGACTCGCAAGTGGTCCGATTTGAAGCGTCAGTTTGCGTAGTGGGCTGATGTCAACCTGTATATAACAAGGAATGCCATTTGGGCACAGGGCATTAAACGGCGTACTGCATCGCATTTGCACCTTGGAGAAGGTGTATGAGGGGATCGAGACAATTAGGTACTTGTATGTTTAGTCTAACTAGACGTAGGTTGGGCGCAAGGGCCAGATGCCTGGCAGTGACACTGATCGGTTTACTACTAGTGGAATGTGCAAACAAACAAGTCACTTTCATTCTTCATGTCCATGGACGCAATGATGAGAGAACAAATTTGATCACCTAAATGCATGAAACGCCCCTTTTTGATCGCGTGAAATTGGTCATTCCCTATGAAGCCATCCCGATGCGTGCATGAAGCTCTTTCTACTGGCACCTGTTGCCAAATCAAAGAGATATCCGTGAACACCATGCCAACCACTTGTCGCCGACGGAACAATCCATCTTGGCGACCCTTTTACTTGTGAAGCTTGCGCTGGTAGAAGGCGAGTTCCTCACCCTCGAGGATGTAGCCGTCACAGCGGCCAGACTGACCGGGGCGGCTGGAGATAACGGCGAACAGACGACCGGCCTCGAACTGCTTCTCGATGGCGCTCTCGACCTTGCCCTGCTTGGCGAAGCGCTCGGACTGCTTCTTCTCGACAGCCTTGCTCTTCTTCTCCTCCTCCTCGGTCTTGCCATCCTTGGCGGCCTGGGCACGCTGGCGGCGACGGCCGATGCCCTGGCCGTAGTGGGCCTCGTACCACTGACGGAAGGGAGCGGCATCGATCTGGACGACGGCGGACTTGGTCAGGGTGTTGGTGCGGACGAGCTCGTTGTTGGAAGGGTGGTAGGCCACGGCAATGACACGGGTCTTGCGGGTACAGCCCTCGGAGCCCCAGGCGAAGTTGCCCGAGTCGAGACGGAGGGCACGGTACTTGTGGTTACCGCCGCGGGTGCGGACGGTATGAACGCGCTTGGCGCCGATCTTGGTGTTGGCACCCTGGCGGCCGGCCTCGAAAGCGCGCTTCTTCCCTGTTGACAAAGGTCAGAACGTATGGTTCTCTTCTCCACATGGGAGAGAAAGACTCCGATACGGGCTTTCGGTATATGTGTATGTATAGGTATTTACGCACGGTAGTAGGAACGCTTGGCGCCGGAGGCGGAACGTTTGTGACGGGAGTCGCGAGAGATACCCATGATTGCGGTTTCTAATGGCGAGAAAGGCAGATGTTAGCTTGGATGTTCCCTTTGCAGCAAGTGGTGGTGAGGGCGGCGTGACGATGCGGCGGGCAAATCGAGCAGGCGAGCACTGAGACAGCGTTGTGCTCATAAACATGGGAAGTAGATGGGCGTGTGTAAAAGCCAGAGGCAACGTATTTGAGATACTCACCTGATGAATGTGATGCTCACCAGGGCAATCGTATTGTCGTTTGGCGGTTGAGGGAGGAGTGAACTTTTTGGCGGAACAGGTCGTGGAGGATTGAATTGACACGAAAATTGTGGTTGTGGGCCAGGCCAGCGCTAGCCCGGGTACGTACTGCGAGGGCTTCCTAGGGTCACGTGGTCAGACATGCAGAGAGGTGGAGTTTCCAAGTGGGATGCTCCAGCTCAAGTTGCTGGCTGATCACGTGCAGTCTTCGATTTGGACGACATAAACAGCGCATGCCATCCATGATACTTGTAAATCCCATGCACGGCAATGAATCAGATAATTGAATGGCTATAGTCTCATTATTTACACTCTTAGACTACTAGGTATGCGACCTGTTTCTGGCCCAGAATTCCGCTTCTCGTGACAGTCAAAATCACGAGCCCACGACGCTACTCTCCCCTGATGTTTCCTCGCCCGCGTAAGGGTCATCCTCCTCAATGTCACGTAGCAGCTGCCGTAAGCGCTCATGAAGATCTGCGAGGTCTACTGGTATCGTTGACTCAGGCTCGCCAAGTGTCTTGGTGGTAGGAAGTATTGATGCAGACGCGACCTTGACGGCCTTCTTCTCCTATCTGATGGATCCATCGCTGTTGTATAGAGAGGCCGCGTCCTCACCTTCCGACTCTCTCGCAGTGAAATCGAGACGAGGCAGTGGAAAATATCGCCCATAGCGTGCGGTTCGCTTCTCGCCATCTTCCTTGAACTCAGCCACGCTGGGCCAACCTGCTAGTTGTTTAGGGTCTTGATATCTGTTGAAGCAATTCAAGACTGCAAACACAGGCGAGAGACCGTCAGCCAGATCTAGGCCATGGACAACGTCGAGATGGTGTGGATTGCTCTGCTTCTGGGCCTCTGCCTCTTCCATTCGCCGCAGCTTCTCACCAAAGATGCGGCCCTTGCTCTTAGCTTGGGCTACTCTGAAGCTTGTCAGCTCACTTGGTGTTTGCGGCAGAGACGGTGAATTGGCTGCGCCCAGGTAGTGAAGCGATTGCATGAGCTTTTGGTAGACTGCGCGTTCTTTTGTCTCGTCGCTCACCCATCTTTTGGATTGCGTCCAGGAGCCAGGACCTGCCGACGGCTTCGGGTATGTTAATTTCGAAAACTGATGCTCGCTGAGATGGCGACGGAAAGCAGCTGGCGCCTTTGGCGCGTTGGATGGCGGCCGGCTTGGGCTTCGATCTCGTGCCATGTGAGTTTTATCCCGCGACACTCGTCGGGAGATAGGACCCGTGCTACCGACTAGCGCGGAAAGGCCCAAAGATGCTCCTGAATGCACAGAGCTTACGATACTGTACCTTGACCTGCCCCTTCGAGGTTCCTTCAATTCAGAACTCTCGCCGTCATCGGGGGTTGGTGCTTGTGCAGCCTGGTCAGGGTCCTGGGTAGTCATTGAACGGGCGGCACTACTTGCTCTTGAATGAAAATTGATTCCATTCGACCTTCGCCTCATCCGGCTCATCTGAAGGGACCGTGATCGTGTACCTCTGGGGTGTATGGGCCTCGAAGCCTGCAGTGTGGTGGACGGTGCTGGGCTAATCGGCGGTGCTGGTGCATGTTGTTGCTGCTGACCATGGTGCGCTGGTGTTGGGGGGAAGTAATATGATTGAAGATGTTGGTCCATTGTCAAAGATACTGCCGGCGGAGGTGTCGGCTGGGAGGGGCCTATCGACTCTGCATGATGTCGCTGTATGCCCGATAGTTGGATGTCATCTGAGGCTGAGTTTCTCATCGGTCCGCAAGCCCCCGGGAGGAAGGATGGATGGGCATGAGCAAGTGCTGGGGCGTTTAAAGGTCGATTTATCACATTGGCTCGCTGTGCCATGATCCATTGAGGCATCATTGGTACTTGTAAGTTCTGCGAGAGAGCGTGAGCCATAGTTCGATCCCTTGAGAAGCGGTTAGTCAAGTGGCAAAACGTTTGAGCGGGAGTATACCATTGTTCCCCGTGCCCTGGAGGTCCCAACAACATGAAGGGTCTCGCTGCCATGTACTGATCTTCCTCGCCACATGAAACATGTATGGACGGGTTCGAGCGAGGATCCACGGGTCGAGTGTCGGCCGAGTTACCAATGTGAATGTGTTCTGGTAGTGGCCTTCGCCTTTCACTCGTAGATGACCAAAGGCTGTCATATGGGCGTTCATATTGATACGTCATGGTGTGCGAAGGCGGCCTGGGATCAAAGCTTGAAGCACAAGGATTCATGTTGGTAGACATGGCTTGCGCAGCGCTTGTGGAGGGCTGGTGCAGTAGGGTGCCCTTACAACCCGTGCGGGGGTTGGACTCGTTCTCGCGGTTGCGTTACTAGTTGATAGAAAGAGAATAAAAGTTTGAATCAAAAGGTGTGTAGAGGAATTAGGCATGTGGTGCAGTTCCATGGATGGAACGGTCAGACGAGGGAGCGGCGCGATCGTCCGAACTACTGACCGTTATTGGTGCCTGACCAGTTATCACGACGTTACTCACAGTCCTTGAAAAGGCTTGAGAAAATAGTTGGTAAAGACTGTGAGAAGCTATGCGTTGTGGAAAGGCGAGCGATGAGTGCATGTGCAGATGCTTGTACAGGGCGATGATTCTGGTTCTGGTGGATGTGGTGGTTGTGTGTTGATATTGTGAAGAAGGTGAAATATTCTGCGAAATCCTTTTTGATCGGCTAAACGAAGCCATTCAATCATGCCTCTATGTTCGTTGCAGTTATGTACTGTGTACTGAGTTGATAATTGTTCTCAAGACATCGCCGTCCTTGACGAGCCTGGAACAATTGCGCTATAGAAATCCGATGCGGACACCTACAAATAACCCATTCGCGTTACTCCATAGCTAAGCACAGCCTAAGCGTAGAAGAGCAGAGAATAGAAGTGTCGTCTTTTCTATGGCCCAGATGTGGTAGGCAAGAAAGCAATGACAGCCTCGGCTAATCACGCGCTGACTTCATGTTGTCAACGGCCCTACCAACCTTCAACTCACCTCTCTAGATTCTCACTTCTAATCGACGCAAGAATTGGTCACGATCGATAGAAAGAGCCTAGTAGTGTCATTCTGATGCAGCCGACAAGTCTATCGTACTCGGATAACATGTTCTGTAGATTCGCGCTCTACTCATACTATGAGACTCGGGATAGACACAGCGGGGCTGATGGTCGAACACTTGCCAAAGCACATGCACGAAGCATTCACCGCTACAGATGACGTGAAGGACCTAGTGTGGAGTCAAAAGGTGAACTGTCTAGCGACACGAAGGCTGAGAGGTTTACCGTTTCGCTCGTCAGACGTTGCAGCTTTATCACGGTCCAAGTACATCAGCCAATCAATCACATGCTTGGACCCCACAGCCCTCGGCACTCCTAAGCCTGCTAAGACACAGCGAATTGACCTTGGTATTGCAGCTAACTAACGAGTGCTTGCCTTTGCATCCCACTTTCGACAACCTTGTTGATCGCAACGCACGCCACAATGTCGGCCCTCAAGAGCTTCAAGCTGACCAACCGGTGTAAGCGCTGCTGCCGGAAACACATGCACAACACATTGAAGGGCACATGCTGATCGCCACTAGCTCCCAAGGCTCCCATCAAGAAGCTGCCGAGCTCCGTTGATCTCACTGCCGATGCTACCGTCGAAGACCTCAAAATCCTAATTGCCAAAGCCGTGGGCATCAGCGACCACAACCGTATCGGTATCTATGATCCTACCACCAAGAAAACGCTCAAGGACCGCAAGGCTCGCTTGAGTGAGGAGTCCGGCGTGGCCGCCGCACACGAGGTCCTGGTTAAGGACATGGGTACGTCGATCGATGCCGTAATCCTGGAGTAGTAGCTGACCTTGTCACCAGGGCCCCAGATCGCCTGGAAGACCGTCTTCGTGATCGAGTACCTCGGACCGATCATCATCCACGCCCTCGCGCTTGCCCTCCGCCCTTACCTGTACAAGGGAGCCCCGGAACCCCTCGATTTATCCCCCACCCAGTGGCTCGGCTTCGCCATGTTCCAGCTGCACTTCCTGAAGCGCGAGTTCGAGACCCTTTTCGTGCATAAATTTTCCGCCAACACGATGCCCGTCTTCAACGTCTTCAAGAACAGTATCTTTTACTGGGCCCTGTCGGGTGTGCTGTGTGCCTACAACATATACAGCCCTTCTTCACTGGCGGCCAAGGCCGACCAGCCCCTCATTGACTACATTGGTGTGGCCATCTTCTTGATTAGTGAGACGATGAATGCGACGGTGCACTGGTACTTGTCCAGCCTGCGTTCTGCCGGAGGCACGGAGCGCAAGATCCCAGTCGGATACGGCTTTGGAATTGTCACTTGCCCAAATTACATGTACGAGATCCTCTCATGGGTGGGCGTCATTCTTGCCACCAGAGACTGGTCGGTGGTGGTATTCATCGCTAGCGGCGCGGCTCAGATGGGACCCTGGGGCAAGGGCAAGGAGAAGGCGTATAGGAAGGAGTTTGGGGATCGCTACAAGAAGAAGCGCTACGTGATGCTTCCGGGTATCTACTAAGCGGACGGCAGCATTAGTATACTGATCTGGGCCTGTAATGATGCTGATAGAGGACGTTGTGTGGTATGACCAACAAGAAACAAAAAAAACGGCGGGGGGATCGGCGGATGCAAAGGTTGCAAAGGCAGATCAGAAAAACTTGTATTATCATTATCATAACCCTACCTGTCGAGCTTTGGCGTCCAGCTTTACGGCGAGGTCCCCGTCGACGCCGTCTCCGAGCCTCTAGGTCTACCTGTGCCCGCGCTCGACTCCCTGTCGTTCAGACTACGGCTAGCATCAGACCAAGCAACTTTGGCATCATCTGCATCCGCCATGGCCATATCCTCTCTCTCCTTCCCTTTGGGCTCACCATCCTTTTGGTCACGCTCCTCATCCGTGAAGCTGTCATCGTACCTCCCACAGTCACTACAGCTGCACTGGCTCTCGCTGCCCTCCTCGACCAGCCGCTTCGTCTCCTCCAGCACGACGAATTGTCGCTCCAGCACCTCGGCCCAGTTCTGCACGTTTCCCACTTCTTTCAGCCGTCTCGCCGCCCGGTCCGCTTCCTTGCCCAGAGCCTCCCTCTCCTTTCGAAGGGCTGCTGTTGCGCGCTCCACGTCGCGCTCCTGCTTGGACAAGCCTTCTGCGTTGGCGTGCAGAAGCGTAGCGCGCGGTGTGAGACTTGTGTCGACCATGTTAGACAGAGAGGCGACCACGGCAGCTCGGGCTTGCGAAATGTGCTGGGGTGGCGAAGGGAACGTCGGGTGGATGTAGGGAACATCACTGGTGGAGGATGACTGTGTATGGCTCTGTGACATTGCTTGGGTGTTGGATGTGGTCGTTGTGGGCGTGGCCGTAGACGGCGAGCGCCGAGGAGCCGACGATGAGGACATTTCGATTTCTGCGATGAAAGATTGTTCTTTCTGGAATGCAAAGCACAGATGTACGAGCCCCAAAGCTTGCGTCTACTTGCCTTGTACAAGGCGGAGGACGCGATGGTCATGTGCATGTAACAGATGACGGGACCGCTTCTTGGAAGGGTGGGTGGGGTGCATATGTCTATTGCAATGGTTGGTGCTGTTGATATCTTCACTGAGCAACAACACTGGCAGAGATCCCGAAATTTGCGCATGTCCATGCGCCAAGGAATCAGATAAGATGTAAAAGGGGCCCAGGAATGCCGGAAAGGGGTTGAGTTGTTTACATGACCGCGGTTATGATCGAAGCAATGGAAGCCATGCGTCGCCGACATAATCATGCTTCCGTTCGTCAATCTGACGAGAAATGGACGGCGGTATACCGCATTTAAAAATTATGTTGAATATCTGTTCCATGATTGGTAGCTCATCCCAACTGACAATAGTACAGCAGCCCAGCTACGAAGCAAATCCATGCGCCATGCTATGCTAAGGAGGCCAATTCATTTACACCCCCACTCAATCCCCATTGTACGCGATAACTGACCAAAAACAGCTCCTTTTCGTATGTAAAACCGCCTCATGTTTAGATCCAGACCTGGCAAACTAGCGCTCGGGCAGGCGAGAGCGGAGCCTTCGTCTAAAAAGCCGATCTTCCCGCATTGTATTTCAGCCCCAGCCCCGGTCCAGGGCTCATGCCACCCTCGGACGAGAGTGAAGACACGGAGGAGAAGGAGCTCAGGTTTGAGTGTCCTTTGCGCGGAAAGCCAGGGCGGGTCATGGATATTCCCGGATTCGCCATCAGCGCATCGGCGCGGTCGAAGACATTGCCTTGAAAGGCGGCGGCGAATGAGGTGTTGGATGAGGACGGCGTCTTGGGTACCATGGCCTGCATGGCCGGGCCAAGTGCCGCACTCTGAGGTGTTATGGAGACACCGGTAGGCGAAAGGGGCCCGGAGTCGTTGTAAGAATGTCCGTTGGGAGCAGAAGGCTCCAGAGGCCCCAAGAGATGATGCCAAGGCGAGTTGACAATGGTTGTAGTCGTCTCCTTGATGCTCTGCTGGATAGGCTTCAGCCGTCGTCGCATGTCAGCTGGCAGTGGCACGTTGTTGTTGGCTGCTGACTTGATCTCGTCTCCCAGCCGCATCCACGACCGCAAGAAGTTGCTGCACAGATTCCAGAAGCTCGGCTGTGAACGGATGCCGGGCTCTTTGAGCTTGATGGCAGAGAGCCGGCCCCGCATGACCTCGGTCTGCTGCATGGTGCTGTAGCATACGCTGATGAGAGTTTTCCACTCGTGAACCAATCCCGAGTGGACACCCCTCTGTATAGCGTTCCTCAAGCGGCCATTGAGCTGAATGTGAAAGTTCGGCAGCGTCGACGACATGATGTCGGCCGACTTTTGCAACGACAGGAAAATCTTGTCGAATTGCGCATCCTCCTCTGAGGTGTCCGATCGTACGTCACGACTAATGGCAGAAGCGAACGACTCACCGGACCGGGGAGTAGCCGAAGCCAGCGCATCCGAGTAGCCTGAGCTGAGCATCGGTGGCGGCACAGGCATGTTGGTGGCTACCCGTAAGTTGGCTGGATTGTGAACCAAAGTGCCATTTCGTGATCTCGTGATGCCAGGTCGATGTACGGTAGGGGTAGCCGCTGGCTCTCTCGCAGGTGGCTTCAAGGTATAGTTAGAAACCGTCGTGTCCGCAACCGAGGCCTTGCGGCTTTGACAACTCTCAGCAGCCATCGAGGACAGGGTCGCCCGCAGTTCCATAATACAGCTGTAGATGGCCATCACCAGGGTTCTGATATACCTGGGATCGCCGTTGTCGACAAAAGTGTCGATATTGTCCGCTAGTATAGTGCACACGTGGCCGTAGGCACCAACGAGGGTCTGGCAGGCTCGATGCACATTCTCGTTCTCTCGCCCCGTTTGTTCATCCGCTTCGCCGAGCGCCAGGTCGTGTCTTTGGATCTCGCCTTCGACTTCCTGCACATGCAAGTCCGTGTTGTAGACTATCCTTTCTAGACGTGACTTCTCGGCAGAACCATCGTTCGTCAGTCCCATAAGCATCTGAATCATAGGATGGATCTGGAACACGGAGTACAGGATGCCCTTGGCCGCCTCAATCACTGGATCATACACCTTGGACTCGCGCCGCCTCTCAGGCAAGATCGACAGACGTCGAACGTAGTACGGTCTTTGGGGGAAATTTTCCGTGGGAGTCGGTGGCTCTTTGGGGCCGATAGGCGCACCTTGCATTGCCGAGCCGTGGCTAAGTCCGCGGTAATGGCTGAAACGATTGTTGGCCTGAGTCTCATCCAGTGTGCCAAGGTCTGGTTTCTTTGACACGATCCCCATCCGCCTGTTGCGACTTTCCGATCGCTCACGAAGATGGGTCTCAGAATTACTGCGAACCCTTTCGTTGACGTTGCCTAGTGTCAAAGGCAATGCCCCGGGACGCCTGACAGCGTTGTTCTGCTGGGAAAAACCGCGGTTATGCGCTCGCTGTGAGGCTGGTGGCGGGGGCCGGCTGATAGATGGAGATCTGGAAAGTGATGCCTCCGAACCACTGACTTTGATCGGAAATCGACCACTGATTCTGCGTTTCAAAGGCGCACGAGTCACCTCTGCGCCTGGACCATTCTCTTCAGGAATGGTATGATCCGCATCAAACCGATTGTTTGCGCTACACTGCTTCAGGTACCGTCGAATGTGTGCTGTTGCCTCGTTTGGCAGGCTATTGGCAGGCGGCAGGGCTTCTTGTGGCGGGAAAACCAATGGATTGCCCTCGTAGGTGAGTAACTGCAACGAAGCCATGTCGGCGAGGCAATGCGGCAACTCGCGTATCTGATTCTTTTTCACGGATAGTACCTTTAGGCACGACAACCTCGACATCTCCTGAGGAAGACCCTGGAGCTGGTTATAGCCAAGGTCCAATATTTCCAGGGAAGTGAGATCACAGAGCTGCGGGAGCGTTCAGCGGGCGTATGTATGTCTGTTGGACCTCTTGGACTCACCGACATAGGGAATTCGGATATGCTGTTTGCCCTGATGTTCAAATATCGCAGAGACGTGCATTCGGAGAATCGTGACGGAACAGTGGTAAGTTGATTGTGCGACAAGGCCAGCCTGTCGGTTTCGTTAGCAATTGTTCGCCAAGTGTCGCTGACTAGCGCAGTACCTCTCAAGCTGATCCTTCATGATGTCTACCACTTCATCCGGTATAACGTCAATACTCCTCCGGCTCAAGTCCACCGTAACTCCGGGCTTGAGATTCGCGTCGACAGTTCCTGCTTCGGCAGCCTGATTTTCATTCTCCAAGGCATTGCGCATAGCGTCTCGTGCAAGCGCTATCACTTTTGATGCTTGGGCGGTACTGACGCCCGCAGCAAGGTTGGAGCTCGAAGCAGCCTTGCGCAGTGTCGGCACTGGAGGTATCGAAGACAGGCCATTTGAGGTCGCTGCGGAATTGGGGATTGGTCGTCGACCTCGATTGGGGGCCTCGGACATTGTTCCTGGTTGAGGCATTGCGGGTATTCGGCCAGGCAAGTCCATACTCGGACGTCGAGGATAAGGTACTCCTATCATTGAACAAAACGTCCCCGGAAGGGTATACGCTCGCTCTTGCAGCGTTCTGGGCAGCTGAATGAGATGGTGAAAGCAACTGCTGGGCGCGGCCGGCCAGGGCTTCGGGTCTCAATTCGTGACACTTTGCATGTTCATTGCGCAGAGTCGGCCAATGTATGTTCGAGAACGCCAATGACGATGGGCGAGAAGGTCGATCTGTTTCTGCCGTTCCTCCGGTTCGTGTGCACGGGTTCTCGTCTGTGCTTGGTCTATCGCGGTCGAAGTGACGAGAGCTGATTTGTATTGCGCCAGAAGGAGGGCCGCACAATATTCGCCCGACAGCTCGATCCAGTTGATCTGAGTGCGGTCGTCCTGATAGTGCAAGCCAGTGCTTGAGGCACTTTACGTGATGGTTCACAGTACGGTCTTGAATCGGACAAGATCAGAAGTAAGGGGTCGTTGCCATGTGCCTGGAAAAGGCGTTAGTCGGGAATGGTGCCTGACCCCCCTTGGGGCTTAGCGCGACGCTTACTGGTCGTACTGTCTGAACGTCACAGGTGCACAACACCCTTAGTGTGTAAAGATGAAACATACAGTGCGAGCATTCATGTCTTCTGCTTTCTAGATCGCGTCTCTGTTTCCACCCCCTGCCCTTCGTATTTCCATTAGTGAGGGCACTGCCCAGGGTCTTCACACTGGCAGAACGTAACCGTGAGCTGTGAGTGAATCTCGTCACTTCTGACCCGTCGACCAAGGAATACTGCCAGGCACATCGCACCTGCCCTGCTTCAAGAATTTGGGGGCTGCACTCCGGAACTTTCCTTCTTCTTTCGTTTTAGAGCGCAACCTTGGTTGCTTTCGAGGGCTAGCTCCTGCTTCTTTAAGGTACTACGCGTACTTCACCTGCTACTACTGTAACCCAGTAGCCTCCATGTCGTGAACTATGCGTCCAGAAAGTTGAGTACAGCATAGTTCGAGAGCTTCGCTCTCGCGCAGCAGCAGACAATGTCGCGCAAGCTTCAACGTACACCGTCCTGTACGGATATTGCTTTCACCTTGAGACGGCAATTCAAGAAAGAAGAATTCAGGTCAGCCACAGTCGTGTTGAAGTCAGTTCACGAAGCTAACCCCCGGCTTGCTGGGAACAGGCCACATCAACGGGAGATTATCGAGGCTGCCCTGGAAGGTTTTGATGTCTATGTGCAAGCTGCGACCTCATTTGGCAAAAGCTTGTGCTTTCAGCTACCTGCGGTCGTCGAATCCGGCATAACAATTGTCGTTTCCCCGCTACTGAGTCTCATGGTGCGCTTGCCCCTGGCGATCATTCCGTTGCAGTCTCTAACACATCACAAGATCAACCAAGTGGAGGCTTTGCAAGCGTCAGGAATTGAAGCGTACTCGCTCAATAGCAGCACGCCACCTCCAATACGACAGAATATCTACCGCGATCTTGCAACTGGTCATCCACGCACCCGTCTGTTGTATGTAACGCCAGAGCTTTGTTCTGGCTCCAACTTCCGCGAACGACTGCAGGTTGTTCATCGACAAAAGGAGTTGGCGCGTATCGCTATTGACGAGGCGCATTGTATCTCGGAATGGGGTCACGACTTCAGAAAAGACTTCAAACGCCTGTCTTGGTTCCGCGAGACATTTCCGGATGTCCCAATTATGTGCTTGACGGCAACAGCGAATGCGAACGTTCGCAATGACATTATGAGCATTCTGGGGATAGTCCCTGACTCGAAGCACACAAAGATGTTTCTGATGAGTCCTCAGAGGAGCAACTTGCACCTGGAAATCCGGTATACCAAAGATGAAGACGATGATCGCCTCTCAGACTTTCTCTTCTGGATCCGCGGCGTATACAACCGGCGTTGCGAATCCGCTCGCAAGGCAGAGCTTGACCTGGCTGGGGAACGCGTGGAGAATATACCCGGCATCATTTACACCACATCCCGTGATGAATGTGAGTCGCTCTCGGCATCTCTGCGTGACGCAGGAATCGGCGCTCGCCCGTTCCATGCCAAGCTCGACAAAGACACGAAAGAGGAGACGCTTGCCAGGTGGATCAATAACGAAGATGGCTATGACATTATCGTTGCCACCACAGCATTTGGAATGGGCATCGACAAGGAAAATGTGCGCTTTGTGGTCCACTGGCGACTACCAAAGTCGTTTGAAGGATATTATCAGGAGGCTGGCCGAGCCGGCCGTGATGGTAATGCGAGTTATTGCTTCCTCTACTACAGCCGCGAGGACTTGGAGCGTGTCGACCGCATGGTTAGTAGCGATGCAAAGAACCCCAATGCTCGCCGGCAAAGCCTCAATGCGTTAGCGAGGTACTGCGAAAATATCTCCGAATGCCGGCATGCCGTCGTTTGTGCATACTTTGGGGAGACCACCAAGCCGGAGTGCGATTTCGCTTGCGATTGGCACAAGGATCCCGCGGACGTTCAGTCACGATATATGCGAGGACTCGCGGACGCTGAATTCGTGAGCACCCAGGCAATGCAGGGAACGTACGACGTCTCATACGAAATGTTAATGGACCCATACTGCGATGATTAACTGTTCGTCGGTTATTTGGGAAAAAGCAGCTACATTCCCAAGAAACTTACGATATGAGAAATATCTCGACTCAAGGACGTATGCTAGACATCCGCGCATAAGATCATCAAGTGGAACATCAGGCGCAGACACTCTTGTATTGACGAATCCTCAACTTTCAAGGTTATCTGGCCCAGCTGTATCTGGATCGAGTTCTGGGTGGCGGCAGAAGAACGCACATCAATGCATTTTCCCGGCTTCTGCTCATTCCGAGCCACAGTGGTTGGCCCCGTGAGACCCGGGTGTCAGCTCCGCGCATGGCTATTAGTAAATGAAAGCGTCGGGATGCTGGCGCATTTTGCGTCCACGCTGCCGGTGCTCTCATAATACCCCCCGTAGACATCAATCTTATGCCTAAGTCTTAACGCTGCTCCTATGATATACTCGAGGGTCATAGACTGTATTTTATCATGGGCAGGGAATTTCACAGAAGCTGCGCAACCGAGGCGTCTTGGCTGCAACGACGTGCGATTACCAGTAGCCTAAACTCTGAAGTACTGCCGCCGCAAACACTTGAATAAGGCCTGAGAACTCTAAAACGACCTGGTTCTAGAATCCAATGACGAGGTTCTCTATCATAGTCAGGATGATGTGACTTGTACGGAGACCATCAAAAGACAGCTGTCCGGACATTCAACGTTACATCGGTTCCGGGGTACTGCTGGGCGAAAGTGTGAGAAAGTCGGCGATCACGGAGTTTATGCAGCCAAATCAAAGGGCGCCTCGAGGTATCAAAGCGATGATGCACAAGTACATTCACTTGATCCTTTCGGGATGAACCCATTTGGGTCCAACCAGCCTCCTCCTTGCACCAGGGTCTCGGGTATCTGTGATGGACCCCTGACAAAAGCCACGCGAAGAGGTGACATCTGGGTCTTGACAACTGCTGTCAGCCGGCGCTTGTACTCCGTTGTTGGCTGTGATGGGCCTTAGAGTCAGCTCTTGAACCGCCTGCTGAACCTGCATGGGAGAATTGGCGAGAGATTCAGACGTCCGTATAGGTTTCAGGCCAAAAACAAAGCTCAGTCGATGGGTGACGATTGTTGGCGTTTCCTGTCTTCACGAGCAGCCTCGGTTGCTGACTCTCGGCCTCGATGGTGTTGGCTGCTTTCACAACACACCTGACAAATGGGCTAATAATAGCATTGTCCGTCACAGCCATCAGACTACCAACTCGAAGCTCCAGTCATTGCGCCACTGTTGACTCTTCACCTTTTTCTGCCGAAGGAGGTCGTTCGATCAATGTGAAGTCAGTATCAGGATTCGCGGAACACTGCCTCGCATGCGCCCGGTCCTCGGTGCGTCTCTCTCTGCCTTGCCGAAAAAGCCCACGCCTTCAAGGGTCCGACTTGGCGATTTAGATTTACGCCGGCATCGAGCTCTTCACTGATGCATAGTTACCTCCGCGCTGACATAGCAACACGCTAAGGCATGGCTTGCTTTCAAATCTACCCTTAGCGTTGATATGGGTGTCCCCGGATCGTCGGGGCTCTAGACACACTAGCCGAGGCTCATGCGAAACATCACATCGATGAAAGATGACGGCGAGGGAGGGAATCCGTCCTAGATGCCTTCGCGTGTTGTGCAGCCGTGAAATCACTAAGGATGTGCAGCCCCGGCCCGATTCACACTTGAATGGTCTCGATCTAGGCAAGGCAAGATCCGTGGAGTCTTTGGTGATATCAGTCGTTCTGGCTGCTGGTTGACTGTGCATAAAAAGGGGACGCTTTCCTCGCTCTTCTCCAGATGATCTTTTGCGTCCTACAGTTCACAGAAAAAGCTCGAGTCGACAGCATTTACTCTTGGAAGCAAAAGACAGTCACTTATTCTTCCACAAACCAAACCCAATCGCCAAGATGAAGACGCAGGTCCTCTCCATGCTCGGTCTCATGGCCGCATCTGTTGTTGGCATGCCTTCCGATTATGATGTCGGTTTGCCTCAATGCTCCCACTGCCCACCAAAAGCCTCTCCGTATAGGTCGCTCGGCGGATACGATGAGTACAAGAAATGTTACAAGGACGACCGCTACTGCGAAAAGTACGACTATGGCTACTACGACTCGTACAGCCGCTTTAACCTGAGCTACAATCAGGCCTTCACCTGCCCCGACAACTTCCGGTACGATCTCAAGGTCAAGTTCGAAGCCTGCTCGTCGGAGAATGGCTACAAGGAGTGCCTCAAGGTCTACTACGAGAATGGGTACAACAGCCAGAAGCGCGGTGACGGGTACGAGTCGATTGACAAGTCCAACCTGGGCATCTACCTCGACGAGGAGGACCTGTACCGCCCCGAGTCTCTCAACTACAACAACTACTGCCATGGGAACCAGTGCTCGGTGCCCACGGACTACCTGCCCGGGTACCCGGATCTCTGCGGCAAGAATATCTACTTGGCCGTCGGCAACGACCTCTGCTACAACAACTACGAGTACGAGGACGACGAGATGTACCGCCAGAGCACCAAGCACATCTCCGTCAACGTCAGCTGCAACAACGAGGAGCACTATGACTACAACAAGGGCTGCAAGGACTACTGCTGCTGCTACGACTACGGCTACTAAGCCAGTCCCCGTCGCTGCGCGCGGATACTGCCTGATCCCTTCAGGTGATAAAAGGGGCATAATAGGTCTTCTTCTTCCGAGATGGCATATCGTAATGCGAGGGGGTCGTCATGTCCGGGTGAGAGGCGAGCAGGGGGTTGAAGACTGCAGTGGGACAGGTTTGTTTACCATGACATGCTAGCAATGAGATAAACCTGTTATATACCTAACTTGTCCATGGCCTTGGTGTGTGATATTGCAGCATGGATTTCTAGATCTCGTTGCTTTTTCTGACGCACGGACAAAAAAATCGATGGTGCCGATAGTACCAGATGTGATTTAAGACTGCCGTTTTGGGCTGGAGACTGGTTTCTGATTCGATGACTGTTGAGGTTGCATACCGACAGGGCAGTACACCTCAAAGAGTGTGCGAATCGAGTCAACCGCAGTCCGGCAATAGATCCACGTGCGTTTAGAACGACGAGTATGATTGCAGAGAGTCAAAGACCACCAATCTTGGTCCTGACCAGCATTTTGACTCTGTACAGCTCATGTGCTCCTCGGCTTCAGGGTAGCTCATGGCCATTTCCGGGTCTACCTTGCGATCAGACCCACTTGTCGATCTTCAGGTTCAAGTTGGTCCATGGATTCCTGCCGCCCCTCCATCATCAATCATCCATCCAAGCTGAGCAAGCATCAATCAAACCACCACCGCCTCGGCTTCGCTCGACCAGCCCCCCTCTGGCCAAGCCATATATACTGCTCCCCGCCTCTCCGCCCTCGAACATGTCCGACGAGCCAAGTCGGCAGGCTTCCATCATCACCCACGTCAACAAGGACCACCAAGATTCCCTACGTCGCTACCTCCAGCACTTTCTCGCCATTCACCCCGTCGAGTCCGACGGCCCAGAGCTCACCGACGTCTCCTTTGACCGCCTCCTCATCCGAAACGGCGACACCGAGCACGCCGTCCCCTTCACGCCACCACTCACCTCCTGGAGCGAGATTCGCGGCCGGTTCGTCGCCATGGACAACGAGGCCAAGGAGACTCTGGGCGAAGCTGAGAAGAACGGCATTGTCATCCGCGAGTACACCCCGCCCGAGGGCTTTGGCATCGTCGTCTTCACCGGCGTGGCCTTTTACTTTGCCTGCTACACCTTTCTCGACACCATCACCCGGCCTGCCTCGACGTCCCACTCCCTCATCCAGGCCTGCTACCCCGGCGGCGTGGACTGGTTCCGCTGGTTGGTCAAGGCTATCTTTTGGCCCGTGGTGACCCTGCACACGGGCGAGGCCATTGGCTTTGACCTCACGCGCCTCACGCCGCATGGTGTCCGGCGAGGAAGCGCGCTGTGGCTGGCGTGGGTGGCCAACTGTTGGATCGAGGGCTACACGTCGTGGAAGCGGATCGACAAGCTCATTGCGAGGAAAAATGCCGAGCAGGCCAAGAAGCGTTGAGGAGAAGAATCTCCTATTGAAGCTATTTTCAAGAATATTTCGCAGTATTTGTTTATATCATTAATATTATATCATGCCGCCGCTGGCTCAGGCTCGCCGCCGCGGCTCCATTTCAAACTCATGCACGTCCATCCGCGTGGTCGTGTTGATGCGTATTCCCTGATCCGCCTTGTCCGAATCAGTGTCTTGCGCCCCGTAGATCTCCGTCTGCACGTCGCCTCGGATCTTGTCCCCGAGCTGCAGCCCCAGCTCGACCTCGCTGCCGTTGCTGTTGTCGTTGCCATCGTCGCCGCCGCCGTCGCGTTCGCGGGAAGCGAAGAGGTTGACGCTCCTCCGGCGCTGGAGCTTGTGTCGGCTGTTGGTCGATCGTTGCGCGGAGAAGCCCGAGCTTTCCTTGACATAGCCGTTCTTGTCGCTCGGCCCGCGGCTCCCCAAGGAGCTGAGCAGCCCCGGGATGATACGAATGATGAGCACACGGATGGCCGGCAGGCAGGCAATGATGATGGACACGGAAACCTCAATGCCAGACCAGATGAGAGGGTCCGTCAAGTCCCAGGACGGATTCACCGTGTGGCCAAAGTAGACAATATATCGCAGGCGCACACACGACGTGATCACCACAAAGACGCCCAGAGAGAACATGAGGATGATGCCGGCCTTTTGCTTAAGCCCCATGTTCAGCCCGATGAGCAGCGGCAGGGGTAGCACCAGGAGGGCCAGCTCCTGCGCGATACTGAACGAGGCCGCCGTGTAGGCGAGCGCGTTGATATTGATGCAGTGGTCCGCCTGCGACCTGTCGGCCCAGCCATCCCAGACCAAGTGAATCGGGGAGCACTGGAAGATCTGTGCAAAGATCAGGACCACGGTAGGGACGATGACAAAGGCCATGGTGGCGAACGCGGCGTACCGAAAGCCACGGTTCGGGAAGACCCGCAGGTAAAAGAAGATCATCGAGACCTTGGTCAGACTGAGGCAGAACAGGTAGAAGCTCTCGTCCACGTAAAAAATCTTGAGCCCCTTGGAGACCTTGTCAATCCCCACGGTCCATGTGTCGACGCCAAAAGCCATGTAACCCGTGACCTGGCCAAGCACCGCAAACACCGTGTAGAAGACGCCACAGACACTCATCATGTAGTCGTCCACGGCCAGTCTGTCGCACGTCGTCCACCTCGAGTATAAACGCAACCAGGGCGCGATCCAAGCCGGAAAGTACAGTACTAATGGAATGAGCGTGTCCTGCCTCCTAGACCGGGTTGGCCTCTCGCATGCCTCTGCTTCGACCCGGGCCACCTCTGGAGATTATTAGCCATGCAACCGCCACCGTTCATGCATACATATCGAGACCTACCCAGTGCGTCAGGGACCGAGCACGCGCCGAGGACACAGTCAAATGCTACATCGTGAAACGTCTTGTCCGCACAAATGCAGGTGACGTTGAGTCCGCAGGTCGATTCGACAATGGCCGACTGGAAGCATTCCGTCTAGAGCATTGAGTCAGCGTTGAGCCATTGCCATACAACCGGGGTTTGTCCATACACCGCAGGAGGGCAATTTCGCCAGTGACGACAAGAGGTCTGCTCGTACTAGCGTGACAAGCCCAACGAACAACAAAGCCACGCGGCTTATCCCCCAAGATTTGGTCCTCATCGAGATGAAGCCCTGGCGAGAGAGGGAAGCGAGTGACAGGTAACAAGATTGTTGACGGGAGAGACTCGTCCCTTGCTCGCCGTAGAATGAGCGGACTCGGGTACGTGCGTGGGCGACTATGTTTGCCAGGAGCAAACAAAGGGCGAGCCAGATAATGCGCCCTAGTTATCGCCTACCGGAGATGAGAAGGATGCTATGAATGCGATGTATCGGTTTGGTACTTTTGGTTGTTGCGGAGTGAGAGAAGCGGAAGCCCTTGGCTCGTTATGTAGGTAGTATCAACCAGGCCCAGCTAGCGTTTTAGTCGTTTCCCGCCATGCCCCTCCCGAGTGATCGGGGCGTCCATACCCAGGGGTCAGGCTCCAAGACGCCCCCAGGAGCCAGTTCGCAGGGTCCAGGAGAGAGGTTTCTACGTCAAGGGACAGACACCAGCGAGATCAGTGGAGCCTTGTCATGCAATCGCCGGCGGTGTTAGACGGGAGCGAATCACGACGACAGTCTGCTTCCAATAGTGCTCCGTATGAACACGCACTTGTGCCGGTGAGCGATCCCCTTGTTGATGATTGCCGATGCTTCAGGGGTTACGGCTCCTTGGCACGTTCGCACCACAAGTTCGAGCTTAGAAGATCCATCGATTCGCGACAATACCATGCCTGAAGCTCCACGGTTTCGAGTCTCGTTTCGCAGATTCTGGTGGAGTCGGCTGGCGAGACCCGTTTTCGAGTCATGAACATGTGCGGACCGTACTGCCGTGTCATCGCTCGGTTGCCAGCCATGTCGGCTGACGCGCCAGGCAGACCAAGGCTGACATATCAGTCGTCGATTCGTCGGTTAGCAATTTGCTTGCAAAAAAAGCTACCTGACTTACGCCAATAAGTCAATGGGGATCAGAACCCAGTAAGGCTAGCGTGTCGTAGCAAAGAGGCATGGTAGTGCCGCGACCATCCCAATCTGCTTGGAGGCATGCCATGTTGATCGTGAATCAGACCAGCATGGCACGGTTCTGGGCGATCTTCTCAGCAGCGACCAGAGGCCTGGTCATCTTGTGATCCTGACGCTTATTGTCTTGAGCGAGGCTTGGGGAGTCGGAAGAACGGACTTGTCTTGTCGAAGCAAGATGACTCGCGTGCCCCGCCATTTGTATCGGAAGACGGTCGATCCTGGAGTTGCCATGAGATCGGTCAGGTTCATGGTCAACTGCATGAAGAACGATCCACCGATGTGGTCTACGCCGTCTACCGTCTCGGATTTCTGCATCTGGGGCGACCCCAGCAGCCGAGCAGATCTCAACGGGGATACCCTGAACGAGGGACATGCTGTGAGACCCAAGTCTGTTAATGCGGCCCCGAATTCCCGGGAAACTTTTAGAAGCGAAAGGAGTGCCCTAGTCGCGAATCTGAGGCAGCGGATGCATAAGACTAGCTCCCATTCTCCTTTGACTCTCCGCTATTTGAAGTCTTGGACCTTGAGGTGATGAGTGCTGAAGATCTGGGTCAGCATAACTCAAAAACAGGACGCACGATATTTCGGAGGCGGACTAGTCACGGGGACTAATTTTAGTCTAGCATCTCTTGGAAGAGCTCTGCTGCGCGGCTTCGAGGCACGAGTCGAGCCTTGTGGGTTGTGCGCGGCCAACGATGGTTGTTCCGCGTCTCCGTCCAATGGGATGACCACCCCAACACGGAAACACAGGAACCAGAGGCATTCCACAGTCGAGATGCCCTAACTCAAGTCATCATTTTTGTTTAGGGTGCTGCTATGTTGAACTGGAATAGGCAGGCTCGAGAGCCCTGCACGGCAATTTGTTCGTGGCTGTTTCGACGCACGACTCGTACGTAAGTAAGGAGAACCGGAGCTGGGAGCTACAATCCTGAACCATGGATCCATGATCAGCCATTCGGAAAATTTGTCGAGTGACGCTAGCCTTCGCTAGGCATAACTGACGTTTCGGGCGCGATCAATCCACGGTCATGGCATGACTGGCATCGCCCGCCAGTGAGATGAAAACTGATGATTAGTCTGAGGTAGGTTGGCTGTTGACCGCTGACCCGCAGCAGATAGCGGCAGTCTGCGGACCGCCAGTTGCGGTGCTAAATAACCCAGCAAGTAGTTGCTGTGCGTGATATTACTTTAGTGAGCGGCGAGAAATCTAATGTGTAAATATGCTGGAGTCGGGACCTGTGAAGTCCCTTATCCTGACATCGTTTCGGGTAAGTGATGTGCTCGAAACGGATCGGCTCGTCCCCCTCCGCCGGAAATTCCCGTGGCCGTCTTGCGCACAGAGGATTCCGATTGTAATAAAAGCATATAAAACTGCTGTTGCTCCCCTAAGGCCTGGATCCTTGGTCCCTCACTCTCAAACAATTTTGAGACCAGTCGAACTACTGCGTCCGTGCTCACGTGGACTGGTGATCCTAACAGTCTCGCAAGACACACCATAACGGTCAAGTGCAGGGATCTGTATGTAGTCTTGCCTGGCGCCACCTGGTTATTTGCACTCCCTCAACACCGACGCGATGGTCGCGTCCAAGACAGCAGTATCGAAGGCGAGTCCTGCTACGCCCTCCACACAAAGGTTGACAAGATGCCTTTGGACGACGATATCGGGCGGTTGATGAGCAGAGTGTCACTTGCTGCGCGCGGTGCTCGGATTCCGAGGTGTCGCCGACATAGTCACGGCAGTGCAGCCTACGATACTTAGGTAGCACTGACCAGGCGTCCGGGAGAGGATGACGGCTGCGTCTGGAGAATATTATGAACAGTGCAGAAAGACATGAATGCAGCGTCATCGTTCACGAACGATAACAAGTCGAATGATAAGGCACCTGCCACTATCGCCAGCCCTTGTTGGCAGGCAGGGACAGGAAGCTGGATGAACTGTGATGACTCAGCAGCTTCCGCTCAGAAATACAAATAGTGTCAGCACTGGCTTAACTCCGAGCATCGCCGAGCGACTTCGCTATTCGCTTTTCACGACACTCCAGACCAAGTCGCTGATGAGATTGATGAATAATTGAATCGTGACAGCTCGCAAAAGGCACACATCGCGGCATTCCAAAACCTGGAAGATACTCGCTGAGCTCTTATCCCATTGCAGTTGCTCCCCCCCTGCGCAAGACCAGCCTCAGCATCCAAGGACCAACTAAGGCTCGAGGCGCAAAGATCATCAGGCGCTTCTCATCAAGCAGAGCAAAAGCACCCGCATCCACATCTTCGGTTTCCGATACAAGTGTCCGAGGACAGTCCCCAGGCGGCCCCCGCGTCCCCAGGCAGCCTCACCTCTTGACCCCTTGGCCTGTCCGCCCGCCCATCTACGTATGGCCGAACATCCTCGCAGTGAAACGCCGGATTCTGACGCCGGCCATGGCGAGAACAGCGTCAATGGTTCGACCACGGATGGCCAGCCATCGCGCAAGCGGCAGCGCGTGCGGCTGAGCTGCCTCGAATGCCGTCGGCGAAAGCTCTCGTGCGACCGTGGCTTCCCCTGCGAGCGCTGCATTAAGAGCGGCACGCCGGATCGTTGCAGCTACGAGGCCCGCAACGGCGAGGTCGTCAGTGCAGCGTCCGGCGTCCCTCCCCCCTTCGCGCAGCTCGACCATCGGAGGTACGGCTTGGGCGACTCCGTCTCCCCTCGCGAGTCCGATGTCATCCGACAGGATCACGACCGCATTCGCAAGCTGGAGCTGGAGCTGTCCCAGCTCAAGAACCTCCTGCAGCGCCAGGTGGGCTCCGCCTCGCTGGACGGAAGCACCGCCGCCGCCGCCGCCAGCTCGCCTGGCACGCAGAAAGACGACGTCAATGGCGCTGACCCGTCCACTCGGCCAGAGGTCCAAGAGTGCATCGAAGCCAGCAAGATCAATGCGGCTGGCGACACGGGCGAGCTGCGCTTCTTTCGAGGCAAGAACTTTCGAACTCGCTACTTTGGCCCGCACAATGCCAGCATGGCTTTTGTCGAGCTGAAAGGGTTGTCACCGTTTATGAGAGAGACCGCGGATGAATGGCTACGTCCTGTAATCATTCACGACCGCAAAGACCGTAAGCGTCGGCAGGAAGGGCGTGAACACACATTCGTCCAACCCGATGCGGAATTGGAATCGTTGCTTCCCGCGCAGGAAGAGGCCGACGCTCTCATCCACGTTTACCTTGACCAGTTTGAGCAGGTCCACCGGATTGTCCACATACCGACGTTCAAGAAGGAGTACGCGCAGTTCTGGGTGCCTGGCTCGGAGCAACGCCACGCTGCCTTTACTGCCCTCATCTTGTCCATGATGGCTGTCGCGAGTTGCGTCCATACCCATCCTGACCTCAAATTCATCGGCATGAAGTCTAGTGCACGTCATTGGGCCGAGAAGTGGATTTGGGCCATTGACGCTTGGCAATCCAAGCAGAGCCAGAAGCATCGCAGACTGATTCACTACCAGGTGGCCTGCCTCCTGTATCTGGGCAAGCGTGTCAACACCATCAAGAAGAAGCGCTTCTGGACGGGCTCGGGGGCTTTGATACAGGACGGTGTTGCGGTTGGCCTCCATCGCGAGCCCAGTCACATGGGCGGCAAGATCGACGCGTACAACCAGGAAATGCGCCGCCGTATCTGGGCCACGATCCAGGAGTTTGACATGCAGGCTTCCTTTGACCATGGCCTGCCGACACTCCTCAGCCAACTGCACTACGACACCAACCCCCCACAGAACCTCGACGATGAGGACTTTGACGATACGACGACAACCCTACCGCCGTCGAAGCCAGACACGGAGTACACATATTCGTCGTTTCAACATCTAGCTCGCCAAAGCCTGCAGCTACGGCTCGAGCTCAGTCGTCTACTCACCGGTCCTGCTTCGGTGATCGACTATGACCAGGTCATCCGGTACACCAACGACCTCACGCAAGAAATCGACGCTCTGCCGTCATGGGACATGAACGTGGACAACACCAAGTGCAAGAAGAATCCCATGACTGCGTACACGCTGCTTCACGTCCAGCTACGACAGTATATCATTCCACTCCATCAGCCATATCTGAAGCTCCGCAAGCAAAACTCCAAGTATCAGTATTCTGAAATCATCTACTACAACGCGGCCCGCGACATTGTGCTTTTGCACGACAAGCTCTACGAGCAGGGAATACGGGCGCTCAACTTTTTGCGCGAGGACGCGTTGACGACGGCCATCAACCTGTGCAGCGTGACAATGCTCCAGCCCCGAGGATCGACAAACATGATCATGATCAACTCACAGCACACCGTCAAGCTTATCGAGAAGTGTCTCGCCATGAAGGAAGACCGGCTCTTGCGCTGCGGCAACAATGAGCCCTGGGGGTACTGCATCATGTGTGCCGCTCTCGGCTTGCTGGAGGCCCATCTGGGGACAAAGACCTCGGAAGTCGCAAAGTCCACATCCGCCGAGCGTTTCGTCACGCTGCACCAGAAGCTGCTCGCCAACCAAGAGCAAACGCTATCTGAGGAGGTGTCAGGGGCCATGGGGCCGCCGCTCGATGTTCCCGGGCAGATGAGCGGCCCGACCAATCTGGACAAGGTAAGTCAAGAGTCAAGCGCTCGTCTCCCAGTCTCGTAGCCTTGTTGCTAACCCCTGCCAGCCTATTACACCATTTCCGTTTACTCCCACAATGGGCGCTACCACATTGGATACAGGCAATATGCCCTGGTTAATGCCAAACGACCAACAAGCGCAGCCATTCAACATGGACCCCAGTCTGGAACTGTTGGGCCTGAATCTCAACGAACTCTGGGGCGATTCATGGGAACTAGGTTGACTGATGGAGAATGAAGAGACGGAGAAAGGGAGATAAAAGAGCAAAGGGAATCGTGGAGGGCGTTGGGAGTCGGCGGCATCCCGTGCGCCTGCTATTCGATTTGTTGATACCAGAGACACGATGAATCTCACGCACATTACTGATGATAGTGGCCTCGGAAGGATCTAGATCGATTCGATTTCATCCCTCACCGGCCCAGACAAGGCCCCTGGCGAGGGGGAAGAGAAAAAAAGAGTCGGCGCTTCATCCGATGCCGCAAATACCCACATAAGTCAAAAGCCCTCGTGTGGGTCGCAAGCTCAGACCAGATGGAAAACCCTACATAAAGTACAATAACGACAACCGTGTTCAACAAACCAGCTTCAACTGGTAATCAGCAACATAGCTCAGTGGAAGAGCGACGGGCTCATAACCCGTAGGTCCCTGGATCGAGACTAGGTGTTGCTATCTATGATTTCTTTTTTGCGTGTTTTTACAGTTCGAGGCAGGGCACTGACTGCTAGTACTGTTCATGGTTGGGGCTCCTCCTCAGTCTTGTGAGATGTCTCTGCTCTCTGTAGGCTTGAGAAAACAATATTTTGCTTAACCCTGTGCAGTCTCGCCAGGTCTGTCGGCCCGCAATAGCTGCTTTTTATCTCGAGTGCTCGAGTGAGGGCATCGTGGGTTTTCAATGTGGAGCTTCACAAATTGGCCTGATGGGGCACGCGACACCCCATTCTTCTTCTACGTCAGGTGCAGTGCTACAAGTGTGTTCAACCACATGCGCAGCAAGAATTGAAGTGCTCACCTTGAAATTTTTGGGTACCATGGATGGCATCATCATGCCCAATCCTGAAATGAAGAGGCTGTGGCTCGTCGCAGTAGCCGTACGGTCAAACGATGGCGGGAGCGTCAAGTGCCCCCGTTCCAGCCAAGTCTATATCTGATCCGGGAGAGGCGAAGTCCTCTCGGATGTAGAGAAAGCAACTCACCTAGCGATTACCTCGCTTGCGTTTGCCCATGTTTGTCCGTCCCAGCAACTTGCCGCGCCGGAGCCCAGCCATTTCATCTTGACTACAATCTCAGCGACCGCCAGCCCAATCACAATACCAGATGCCAGATTCGACACGCAGCATTTGCAGTCTCCTAAGTACTGAGCCTTCAGAACATGTTCTTCACCTTTACAAGCCACTCGAATACTTCTGCGCTCCCCTGAGAACTCGAGTACCTGACTCTCCAATGCAGGACGTCATGGGCCAGACATCGAGCGAGATCCTAGGGGAGACTGATCTACCTTTGAAGTTTAATTATTGGAGCTGCGAGGGTATTGAAAGGCTCGATAGGCTGGCGGAGCTGATCATCATGTTCCGCCAAAGAGCCCTTTCCAGTTGGCAAGCCAAGCATCTCGCCGAGTTCTTCCACGTACGTTTGCCCCAGGCACGCCGACTATTCACAGCACCAGCTGACAATTGTGTGTTCATCATAGGAAGAGTTTCCAAACTGCGTCACATCCACTGACGCAGCCCTGGCCAAACTCCCCACGGACGAAGTCATGATCGCCCTGCACCATGCCTAGAGGCTGTTCGACGGCAAAAATCACAAACGCAGAGAAATCGAACCGCACCAGGTCGCGCCCTTGATCGAGAGGTACTGCAAGCTCTGGCCAAAACGTGATTTTCTCAAGGAGACACTTTCCGAATCCATAGCCGCCGTCCTCCCCGTCCGTGCGGCGTATGCCCACGCGCAAAGGGCGAGATATGACGGAGACATTCTTCAGAAATTCGCAGGTGTTCACACGACCCCGAGGCAGGTCCGGCTCATTTGGGAAGAGCTCCTCAACGACAACGCGGATGACTATATCGGGTCACTATTGCCCGTTCCCTCCGTCATCGGGGTCCCAGGTCTTGACGAGTCCATACCGCAGCTCAACGCTGCTGACGCGTGGGACGAGAAACCCGATCATGTCGCTCGCAGGATCCATCCCATGAGTGACTACGACGACACCCCCAGCTCTTGCGGGACCGGGATCGTTTAAAAAAAAAGTACAAAAGGAAAGGAAGTGCAGCACAGGAGACGATGAGATGAAAAGACTGAAACAGGAGTACCGCCGAATCTGGGTGGGATCTCTTGGAGCCGTCGCATCGAGCGACCGCAAAGATCAAATTCAAGGGAACACTGGTTATTTAGTAAAGGGAGACCTTGTGGCAACCCAATTGAAGTGGTAGACGACCCAAGTCCTGGGTCACAACGACGTGGCGAGCGAAGGAGGATGCGTGCCTATGTCAAGGTGCAGGGTATTCAGCTCAATGAAATCACAATCAGAAAAGGGGAAGGAAGCTTAGAACGGGAGATACATGCTTAGTCAGCAAATTCTCCTCAGTCATCACCACGCAGTCGCCAATCGTAAGCCGTCATCAATCATCCTCACATACCTCAGACAGGTCAGCGCCAATTCCACGCCGACGCTGAGCTACGTCTCACTTCGGTCAAATCTGTGGTGTCCGTGGCTCGCCACCTTCCTGCAGCTTACCGTCAAGTGACCTTCAGCTCACCTCTGCGCCAGCGCGTTCATGATCCGCCAATGGGGAATACAGCCCCGATGTAGCCAACGTGCAGCAGAGGTATGCTTATCCGCACACAGCATGACTTCCTCGCCCAAGCAGCCCGTTTATCATCCTCCACGACGATGAATCCGCTGAGCAGAGGCTTTCGCGATGGGTCGAACAAGTGTCCAGCCCTCAGACGATGCGGACACTGTCAGATTGCAACCCGTCCAAGCGCCGCAAGTCTTGCAAAAGCCTACCGATGAAGCTGTAAAGCGGGGGGAACTGCGTACGACAGCACCCTCGGGCGGGATATGCCGCGATCTCGACTCTACGGCCGGCTTGGGGGTCCGGCGGCGGCACGTACTCCGCAGCTGCGCGTTATCTCTAGATGCTCCGCATGCCTTTGCCAGCACATTGAACGTCTTTGCGTGCGATGGCATGCCCTTTGTGGCTACCTGGGAGTTCTTGATCGGTTCCTTTTGATTGGTCTCTCCGCAATTGACGAGTGGCACCTTGTGGTTCGCTTTCGATGGTATCGCCGTGAGGCGAACGAAACCGCCTTGAGGCGCAAGGCATCCTCGCATAGGAACTCGGTGTTGCGCATTTTGACGTGATATAGGCAACTGAAGGAACTGGGAGACCACTCAAGGCCTATATAGTGGCCCTGCTGGACCCGCCTCCAAACATTTGAGATGGGCAGCAATGCAGTCTCCGACCCATCCAACCTAATCCCTTGACAACGGAGCCCCTTGGCTCATCCAATTCCGACTTCACCAAGCATATGTATCGCGGCCGAATGTGAATCCCCTACTCCCGAAAGAACATGCCAGCCGTGGTGGAAGTGCTTCAACGGTCATCGCTGCTTGCAAACGGAACAATACGCAGTTACAGATACCGTCAACTCTCACCACTCGACAGGAACTCGCACTTTAGGAACGTTATCAATCGATTCGTGGCCCATCTGGGAAACCAGGAAACGGATATGCCTGGAGGACCTCGGAACACACGAGCAAAGCCATCGTCCGAGTCTCAAGAGGACAGACCCAAGCCTTCTCGCGGCTCATCAAAGGTCAGTAGATCACCATAGCTACCGACACGCTTCATGACTTGCTCACGCATTCAGACCACCACTTCGGACAAGAAGAACGGCACAAAGACAGCGGACACAGCGCGGAGCACCGCTCCCCTGGCGACATCAAGGCTGAATAAACAGTTTCAGGGGAAGCTGCACTCCAATAAAGCTGAAATTGTCGAGACCTTAATGGCTGTGTTCGAAGCATGTCTTGACCAGCAACTCGAGTCGTACGAAGGCCCATGCGATGGCGAAGGCTGCTCGGGCCATTCATCGCATGGTTCTTCGCACCGATCGTGTGGCAAGTCGACGACTGATACCAGCAAGCAGACTCGTGGCAAGAAGAGACAGCTCCAGCGAGACGACAACAGTGGCGGGGAGGACGACAATGCGGAGGAGGGGGGAAGACGAACCAGCAAGAACAAGCGCATAAAGGCCGAACCGAAGAAACAGCGCCTCTTGGCCTGCCCGTACAGGAAATATGCACCTGATCGATACAAGCAGGAGCATGTGTGCTGTGGTCCAGGGTTCTCCAAGTTCCACAGGCTCAAGTAAGTGCTTCCGCTGAATGCATGAAGATACTGCAGGCTAACGTCCTCAAGAGAGCACGTGCAGAGAAAGCACAGCCTCCCGCTGTTCCACTGTAGACGCTGCTATGAAGCGTTCAAAAGCGAAGCCGAGCTCGATGCCCATTCGCGTGCCGCCACGGCTTGCACCGTCCGTCAGCTGTCGCCCCAGCCACGGAAGCTGGAGGATGGCTTCGATGAAGAGCAGCTGAAGCTGATCAAGAAGAGGTCCACGCGAAACTCGCCCGACCACGAGAAATGGGTCAGCCTGTACTGTGTGCTGTTCAACGTATCGGTTCAGGACGTCCCGTCGCCCTGTGAGTGCCATGAGATCCATTGCCACGATGTGGGTGCTGATGAAATCCGCAGACCTGGACGACGACTCCCCCGACTGGAGGAACGGTCACACCGGACGCTCGAAGCATGCCCCCTATCTTGACTACGTGCGCCAGGAGGTGACACCCCGTGTGCGAGTGGTGATGGAGGATGCCGCGGGCCGAATTGTCCAAGACGCTATGCCCAACGCCTGGAAACAGACCATGGCACAATTCCAGCCCATCTTGCGATCCGTGCAACGCATGTGGGAAAGCAATCAGTCCCAGCATGCCGTGGACCCCTTGACCGGTCTCGAGTACGTGCACGGCGTGTCTGGCGCTGTCCCAGAATCGTTCGCATTCAGCCCCTGGCAGGATCTCAGCCTGATCGATTTCACGTCCCAAGACGGATTTCCCTTTGAGGATCTTGACGCGCCGGTGCAGCCACAGTACAGCGAAGCCCTGTCCGACTCTTCGTACCCGACGGACGCTTCTGGGGCCACTGGCAGCTCCTCCGCTACCTCCAACACGTCGCTGGAAGATCAATACCTCTTGCAACAAATTGGCAAGGCTGGCCACGCGACCTATGATTACACACAGACAAATCCGCAAGGGACCAGGTACGGACTGCAGGGCGATGTGGCAGGATATAAGTATTAAGGAGGTTCGGCTGCAAGGCTCGTTAAGAGCCAAGTCTTTTGCGGGAGGAGCGCCATTGCTGGTAGTGCTCTAAGTGTAAGTGTGTTACGATTTGTTATGAATTTGTACCGAGCTCACCTTTATGTCATTTTATTAGTCAGAGAATCAATGCTTTTTGTTCGTAAAGGGGCTCTAGCCCTCAATCCAGCTCCCAAAGTACCAGGGCGCCCATATTTCCAAACGCCAACGCTATACACGCTCATCAATACATGTATCAGGCTTGTGATCTCCTCTCAGGCGCTCAGAATGTGATCTTCCACGAGCTCCGTTCTAATCTCCTCCTGTGCCTTCTTGATGAATTTCTCCTTGCCGTGCCGCAGGTTCAGCAAAGCCGTGCTGTTCTGTAGCACCATTTGCGTGGACGCGGCGAACGCCAGGGCGGCTGAGCCCGAGGTATCGACGGGGGCAACCGTGAGCGACACACCGGCCGCAAAGACCGAGGCACCCGCGGCAAACGTGTAAAAGGCAGCGTCGCGGCCGATGCCCGCCCACTTGACAAATTGGTCAAGGAACGCTGGGAACGCGACCCGGGTGGCGTGGTCCCCGATGAGGTCGACCAGCAGACGAAGGAAGACCTGGCAGTTGTTCTCGTCGTACACGTATTTCTGCTGGAGCGCCCTGACCCAGATGAGCTCGCCTGCAATTGCGTGAGTGAAGGTCAACAATGGGCCTATGGTATGAGTGTACCGATATAAGAGATGGTCTCGGGCGAGAGGTACCCAGCGGTCGAGCCTACGTGACTCGGTACGCACTCTCGCTGCTGCTCGACCTTCCTGGCCAGCCAGCTCTCCTCGGGCTCGCAATTCACCCTATACGCGGGGTCCTTCTTGGGTGCACTCTTCGCCTTCCTGGTTAGCTCGTAGCAGTAGCCCTGGATGCAGATCGCCCAGTGTCCAAGCGGCTTGAAGGGCTTGCGGACGCCGAGGAACTTGGACTGGGTCCCTATCGGCGTGGCGTACAGAGTGATGGGCAGCGACTGACCCTGGTCATGAGTGGTGGTGGCGGTTTCGTGACAGTGGCCCATGACGAAGGGGTAGAGACGAGGTTGGCGGTCGTGACGCGTACGAGACTGGAAGTGTTATTTTGTGTCAGCTTGACGACAGTACTGAATATCTTCATGATTCAATGTGAGTATTTATATTCCCATCGAGCCATCACCCCCCTGTCTTGCCGGGCTGCGGCTGGGCCAGCTATTTATAGCAGCTGAGCTGACGGGACAGGGGTTTGGTGACTGGTCTATTTTGGCTTGCAGGGCGTAGGAGTAGATTTATGCGAAAGAGCTTACACGGATTCTGGAAGAAACAAGTAAAATACTATCAGATTACTGCAGAACGATCCAGCAAAGTGTGCTGATACAGTTGTGCCGCGATGCGACTCTGAGCTTGGATCAAAGCTCGCAGAGCCGCAAAAGGCCTTCATATCTGGTGTTGAAAGAGCGAAACTTGGATTGAATCAAGGAATTGTGTCTCAATATTCCTCTAGCTCGCCATTGGAGTGCGCCATGATGGATACTCGTTGTTGCGAGATTGAGGAGCGCGCGGTGCTGATATTGTGTCCAAGCCTCGGTGCAACCTGCCTCCTTACCCTGTGTGTCTATAGAACCAGAAATATAAAAACATTCCATGTGGCTGTTCTCGAGAAGAGCTCGGAATCTGACCTGAGAAAGTGCTCTTTACCAGCTTTCGAGGGCACGGTCACTCGCCTTGTTCGAAGCCTCTCTGTTTGTGCGACCCCCTTTTGTTGTCCGAGCAATGCGACATGGTCCCCGAACAACTGGCTCCTTGTCCTAAGTGTACTTGTAGACGAATGTTCTCCCTGCCAGACAAAGGAGATGAGCTCTGTCTACTTGTTCCCAGGCGATCTCGCGTCTTGTTCAATGTTCAATTAGTTTAATGTTCTGTGCTGAGTCGAGACAATGTCAAAGCCAGCACGACCTCGCCCGCCATGGACTGCCTTCCGAAGCATTGACACACGCGAGCATGCTCTCACGGTAATGAGGCGCAATACTTAAGGGACCTTGGATTCTGCGAAATCCAGTCGACGCTGCTTCCGTAAACACTCACATCCCCACTACTGTCGACTACCAGCTCTCCCATATCGAACACCAGGCCCTCCAATAACCAGACCCAATGTGTATCTTTGTCGAGCGCAAGTATGTCTGCTACGACCCCGAGGCCGTTGAAGCCGCCACCCATTCCAACAGCCGCCCTGCCCCGATTGCCGACCCCTTGAAGCCGTGGAGATCGTACCAGCATGGCCAAGTGGTCAACGCAGCGGACCAAATGGTATGGCACGTCCTCAAAAGCAGGGTTCGATGCGCCTGCCTCAACGCCCGTATGTGCACCCACGCGCCCCGTGAAGTCCGCACCGAGGTCTACGCCAACCGGTCCTGCCCAGACTGCACCGGATCAGATCGATGCGTGTCCCGGCAGCCGCCCACGCTGGTGGCGGTCGATGGCCACGATAACCTGGACTACAATCAAAGAGTGTGGCTCGCCTGCGTCGCGGAGGCGCTTCTCGCACGTGCAATAGTCCACGAGACCGCTGTGTGGGCCGACGTCCTGGTAGTGAACAACATAAACCATGGTCCGGTCTTGCAAAATAAGGAATCCAGTCTCTTTATATCCCAAGCCTGCACTATTAATCCTCGCCATGTCTGCGAGGAGGGTTACGTACCCCGTTCTTGCCTTGGTGGTTGTCCGTGCTATGACGCGCCCGATGCACATAATATAACGAGGAGCTTTAGGATCGCAGAAGCTGACCGTTCGGAAAGCCATGGGTCTGATGAGTACAAGGAAAAACTCTGGATCCGCGACACAGAGGGTCGTAGGGTGCTCAAAGATGGCCGACGGCAGCCGCAGTTCGTCCTCCAAGATTACCGTAACAATCTGCAGGCCGAGATTGACCATGGGGAAGATGTTGCGCAGGACTGGTATGCCGATAACCCCGTCTGCAGCATCCGGGAAGAGGACTGGCTATGCTTGCTCCAGACTAAGCTATTCAGCCTGCAGGATAGCCAGCGTCTGCAGTCCGCTATCTGGACCAAACGCTTCAGGTACGGCCACTTTGTGGTCAAAACGGTAGCGAACGACCCAGGCATGAGCAGCGGAATAGCCGCCATGCTCCGACAGATGCTGCCCTGCCTCCTCGATTCTGATTATCTCGTGGAAGGGCAAACATACGGAAACAACGGTGGTGTCTACATTCACAGAGTACTCAAGGGCTTTGTCGAGATGCTTGATGCAATACCCGACACACTCACCACTATCCTTTCACAGCGGATGCCAAACCGAATGACTCTGTGGGAGGACTGTCTGGAAAACCGACGGAGGAGAGTGCGCGAGGTTGTGGAGCGGGAGATTGCATTCGATGACTTCCTGGGCCGGCCACGCTTTGCCGTCGAGGGCGCTGTGGTTCAGCAGGAGAACATTGCCTGCCCTATCTGCGGTGGCCCGTGGAGCAGGCAATGGCCCCTGATGAGGTTGCCCTGCTGCCAACAGGCCGCGCACGTCGTTTGCGTGAAAAAGCACTTTCAACACCAGGACAAGAAGAAGGGGCCAACGTGCCCCTTTTGCAGGCAGGACATGGTGGATCACGGTTGGACACCGATACACCTCCGGTTGACGTTCGCGACCACCTTTTCGGATGATGCTGGGCTTGTGCCGTTGCGTGTGTTCGTGCCTCCTGACGATGAGGAAGACCAAGACGATGACGAAGACATGGACATGGACTTGGGCATGGGCGATGACACTGACGATGACGACGACGATGAGTTGTAGGAGGGCGGACTGGCAGAGGCAGAGCAGTACATTAGCCACGATGGAGCACGGGTGAGCCATGGGCCCTTTTGTGATGTGAAGTCCTGCAAAGCTAAGTTGGTACTAGTAGATGCACAAAGCTTTATAAGCCAGATAGTTGAGGCAAGTACGCACCTCGAGGCAAATGGGAAATTCATTACATGTAGACTATGGCATGAACCATGATATAGCAACTCCATTAGGACCAACCTCAAAGAAAGGGCGGATTGATGCGCAAACTGAAATGAGACACTGGAGAGGGGAAATGTTGAAAGTATGGCCACTGACCGGCCTCCCGCATATCCGAGCCTCAAGGGTTGTCGCACAACCAACATGAAGACGATGTCACCTCATCTGGTGGAGAGGGGGGAAATTTGAACTCTGCACATCCTCCAACGGACCTATTTATTACACAATCGTCAGCCTCATTGCCAAATTCGTACACTCTGTCGGTGATATCCATCATGCTCGCCCCTGGCATCTTCTTCCTCCTGGTGAGCGTGCATGCTTTGACAAAGCAACTCAGGTTCGCTAACGCCTCACAGTTGAGCGCGGCTTTGTTCGCAGTGGCAGTGTTCGTCCACCCACTGCTTCTCGAGAACACGACATAGCCAGACCAGCCCAGCTGACGTTCCACAGTGTCGTCCACTTCCACAGCTCGTCGCTGTCCCTGCCCATCACCCCCGTCGTCACGATTCTCACCGCCATCCTCCCGCTGGTATCGTTCTTCAATGCCTACACCTACCCATCCGTACTCGCCAACACGCGTCATCGCGACTCGCGGCTGGCGCGTCTCGCGCCCACCATCCCGCAGATCGTCCAGGCTCTCGTCACAACCATCCTGGCGACTGTGCTGTTCGAAGCCTCCGTTCCGTCGCAGGCCATGAGCTGCATCCTCGAGAATGGATGGATGGCGCGCTTCCGCGCGCACGACGCCAACACCATCCGACGCGTACAGGACATGCTCGAGTGCTGCGGGTTCAACAGCGTCAAGGACCGGGCGTACCCCTTTCCCAGAGGGACGCCAAGTACCTGCGCGGAAACCTACGGGAGGACAGTTGCCTGCAGAGGGCCCCTGGAGAGATCTGTGAGAGTCGGTGCGGGTGTCGACCTTGGCGTCGTGCTGGCTGTTGGTTTACTGCAGGTGAGAATCCCTCCGACGCTGGACGAGCTGCATCCGTTAACAATCAGGTAGATATTAGGCTTGCTCATGATGCGAGAAGGCAACGACTGGTGGACAGCGTGGCGAACAGGAGGCTGGCGACATGTCATAGGCGGTCGGGGAAGCAGCCGCCCTCTTCTGACGGGCCCTGAGAGGCAAGAGAGTGACGGGCCGGAGCAGAGCGAGAGACAAGCCTATGGTGGCACGGACGAGGAGCAGTCGGGCCCCAGAGTCGAACCGTCACCCATTCACGAACGCAACGCCTGGAACGAGCAGTGACTGAGAAGTGTTGAGAGGACCGCGCAGAATCAGGGTCTTGATACCATTCCATGGCGGAGATTTGGTCGATTAATATAGTCATCAGATCATCGCTTTCGGGCATCCATCGCTTCCTGTCCAAGTTTCTCCAATGCAGCCTCGTAATTCGCCACCCTCTCCTCGCCCATTTCCTCAATCCGGACGCGGCCGACTTTTTGCGCACGCCTGATGCCCGCCCCCTTGGCGATCTTGCCCCAGAACCAACCACTCTCGTCGTCGCCGACGAGCGTCCACGCCCGACCGGCGCGGCCCGCACGGGCGGTACGTCCGACACGATGCACGTAGCCTGCCGCGCTCGGGGGCAGGTCGTAGTTGATGACGTGCTCGAGCTTGGGTAGATCGATACCACGGGCGACCAAGTCGGAGGCGATGACGATGCGGATCGGTGACGAGGGTGTCGTGAACGCGCGTAGGGTCTTGCGTCGGACGTTGGTGGGCGTTGTTGACGTGAGGGTGCTGATGTGCGGTGATAGTGATGGGTCGAGTAGAGTGAGGAGTCGTGAGAGACGAAGAGCTGCCTCGTTGGACTTTGTGAAAATGAGGGACACGGGGAGCGTCGACTTTTTGAGCTGGTACTTGGACGGCTTTGGTTCTGCGTCCGAGTCGGAATCCGAGTCGTCGTCAGAGCTCGTGTCGTCTGCTGAGGAGCTGTCATCAGACTCGTCTGACGAGGTGTCCGAGCCATCGTCTGCGGCGGCATCGTTGTTGCTCGGCGCAGCGCCAGCGCTCTTCATGTGACCAGCCTTGAGCAGCTCCAGCAGGTACAGCGGTTTCAGGTTGGTGTTGTGCACACGGATGGCAAACTCCTCCAGCAAGGCGGGCAGCGCGTGTTCCGCAATCAGCGCGTCGCCCTCGCTCTCCAGCACAATCAACTGTGGTCGCCGCAGCGCAAGCTGGTTGAGCAGGCTGAGATCGCGTGTCAATGTGGCGCTAAGAATGACCTTGCGCACGCCTTCCAGATCCATGTCCGGGAACTCGCGCGCAGTGAACTTTGAGGTCTTGAACTTTTCCAGGACCACGTCCAGCCACCCCTGGAAGCTCTGGGCCAGCAGCTTATCAGCTTCATCGACAACGAGCCAGCGAACATAATCAAGATCGAAGCCTGGTGTCTGCTCCAGGTGCTCGACTAAGCGTCCGGGTGTGCAAATAAGTACGTCCACCTTGGAGAAGAAGTCGACCACCTCCCCTTCCCAAGGACCCAGCCGTGGATCTGTCTCATCAGGGTCGAGATTTGATAGATGCGTAACATCGGACAGATCTCCTTGCCTTTCTTGCTGTATGCGCTTGTAGGCTTCCGGGTCATATCGTGATTGCTGCTCCATTAGATGCGCTTGCTCTGACTTGAGGGTCTGACTGCCTATGGCGACGCCGATGCGGACTCGCTTGCGGTTGCCGCCTTCGTACGCCTTGGCGCAGAGCTCAAAGACATCCTGCGCCTGCTTGACCAGCTCTCGCGTGGGAAGCACAACGAGCGCTCTGAGCCTGGTGACGAGGCCTTGACTGATATCCCTGACAATCGGCAAAGCGTATGCCAGTGTCTTTCCGGATCCGGTTGCCGCAGAAATCAGCAGGTCGCCGGGCCGTTGCTTGCTAGTCGGCAGTAACAATGGGATCGCCTTTGTCTGGACGGCAAAGGCATCCGGGAACCCCTTCTCCTCCAGCACGCGCGCAGTCTTGGGAAGGAGACCGAGCTCCGAGAAAGGAGTCCTTGTATCCTCAGCCACGCGAATGGGATCAGCCAGCCATCCAGGCAGCGTCTCGTATGTTGGGTTGGGTGTCTCCACAGATACAAGCTTCGGTTGAGGCAACGGCTCGAGATCGTGCACCTCTTCTGGCTCCTCTTCCGACTCTGATACCGCCTCAGCAGCAAACTTGTCAGCCAGCTTCAGCGATTTGGTTTTGCGCTCCAGCACTGTCTTGTGTCGTTTGTCGGTTTTCTCTACCGTGTCCCCCTTCTCCAACTTCGCCTTCTTCTTCTTCTTCTCCCTTTTCCGCTTCTCCTTCTTGCCCGAGGCAGGCTCTGTAGTGTCATTCGGAGCGTCGACCATTGGCTGATCCTCTTGTACGATCGGTTCGGATGGATCCTCAATGACCTCGTCCCGATCTTGTTGCTTGTCGCTTTTGCTGGCGTCCGATTTCTTCCCCTTCTTCGCTTTGCGCTCTGCCTTGGACTCGACGAGCTCCTCGCCGGCGCTGTTTTGCTCTGCGGGGCTGGTGTCGCCATTTAATGTCGATTTTGGATCCTCAATTTCCATGTCGTTATCAAGCTCATTTTGCTTCTTCTCTTTCTTCCCCTTTTTTGCCTTTCCACTATTGGTCACCTTCGGCGATTTCGTGCCTTCTGCATCGTCGTCTTTCGAACTGCTGACGCCATTGGCATCGCGCCCCTGTGACTCCTCGTCTTTCTGCGTCTTCTTGGATTTCTTGGCGGAGGACTCTGTTTGCCCCTCCTCATCAACAGTGCGCTTTCGCTTGACGCTGGACGACGTGGGCTCCTCGTCATCGAAGTAGTGCACGGCTGGTGGCACAGGCGGCTTCGGACTGGCATTGGCTCCAGGCACGTACCGAGCATAGCTGAAGCCCGGGGCGCCCACAGCTTGCGGCGTGGCGGCAGGCGTTGGGCTCGGTATGGGGGGCTGCGAAGATGCTGCCGCCTTTGGCGTGCCCGCAGGCTTTGCAGGTGGAATGTACCTCGCGTACATATTGGAAGAGCCCCAATGTCCCCAATGCGTGACGCTTGAGAATGGCTATGTCGCACTCGAATGGTGGATGGGTTGGGTGGTCGCGGATGGATGTCCATCATTCGCCAAAAATTTGGCGGTCGCGGCTTATCGCTGATTCTGCCACAGGCCACCGCCGGTCCTTATCGCGCGTACCCTTTAGTCGCGTGCAACTCCCAACCGCCAACGCGTTTCCCCTCGATCAGAAGAGCCACGATTCGATGAGGCGCCAACTCATGGCATAGCCTTGCGAAGCGAAGCTTGAACATGTCTCCGCAAGTCGAAATAACCCGCCCTGCAAATCGGAGGTTCGCGCCCGCATCGCTGTCAAGATGGCGCGTCGCCGGACGTATACCGTCGCCATGGTCAGCGACTACTTCTTTCCACAGCCAGGCGGCGTTGAATCGCACATATACCAGCTGTCGAGCAAGTTGATCGATCGAGGTCACAAAGTCATCATCATTACTCACGCCTACGACGACCGCAAGGGCGTGCGATACCTTACCAATGGCGTCAAGGTCTACCACGTACCATTCTTCGTCATCTACCGACAGACAACCTTCCCAACCGTGTTCTCGTTCTTCCCCGTGTTCCGAAACATTTGCATCCGCGAAAGGATAGAGATTGTGCACGGCCATGGCAGCCTAAGCAGTCTGTGCCACGAGGCCATTCTGCATGCGCGAACCATGGGGTTGAGGACGGTGTTTACAGATCATTCTTTATTCGGCTTTGCGGACGCTGCGAGTATCTTGACGAACAAACTTCTCAAGTTTATCCTCAGCGACGTCGACCACAGCATCTGCGTGAGCCACACCTGGTAAGTGCGCCCGTCTTTTAAGGACCGACGATCCTGACCTGTATGTAGTAAGGAGAACACTGTCCTCAGAGCATCCCTTGACCCTTTAATGGTGTCAGTCATTCCCAATGCCATTGTTGCAGAGTCTTTCCGTCCGCGTAACTACCGATCATCACCTCGTGCTGGCGCCAACGGGTTTCAACCTGATCCTCCTGCTCGACCACTAGCCCCGCATGAGATGATCACAATTGTAGTCATCTCTCGTCTCTTTTACAACAAGGGCACCGACTTGCTCACGGCTGCTATACCTCGTATTCTCGAGGAGCATCCCAACACGCGCTTCTTGATTGCTGGCTCCGGACCGAATGCCATCGACCTAGAGCAGATGATCGAGACCAATGTCCTGCAGGACAGGGTCCAGATGTTGGGCCCCATCCGCCACGAGGAAGTCCGCGATGTCATGACCAGGGGGCACATATACCTTCACCCCTCCCTCACTGAGGCCTTTGGCACGGTCATTGTCGAAGCGGCATCATGTGGGCTTTACGTTGTTTGCACTCAGGTGGGTGGCATCCCAGAGGTTCTCCCCAGCCACATGACCACATTTGCCAAGCCTGAGGAGGACGATGTTGTGGCGGCTACAGGGAAAGCGATCACTGCCATGCGCGCAGGCCAGGTCCGCACGGAAAAGTTTCATGACCAAGTGAAGAAGATGTACTCTTGGTCGAACGTCGCGTTGCGCACGGAGCGTGTGTACGACGGCATCACAGGCACAATTTCCGAGGAGGACTTTTACGGATTCGACATCGGGGGCTACAACGGGAGTCGCATACGGGATTTCACTCTCATTGACCGATTGAAGAGGTATTATGGCTGTGGCATTTGGGCAGGCAAACTGTTCTGCCTCTGCGTGGCCATCGACTATCTCTTCTTCCTGTTTCTCGAGTGGTGGTTCCCAAGGGAGAATATAGACGTCTGCCCTGACTGGCCGAGGAAGCCTTCCGCAGACGAGGGAAGCAGTTCTGTAGACGGAGATGCGAAGCGAGCTTCGTCTAGGGCATAGCAGTTTCGAATCCACGGGATCATGATTCCTATCAGATGCCATTCTCTTCTCACTTTCAGGCAATGTTAACAAATATTTAACATTATGCTCGAAGTAGCCAAGCAAACCGGCGCGTCGTGACATGGGTCGCTGGTAGAAGCTTATCGATAAACCTTCGGCCTCCAAATTCCGTCACCCAAACATTTGATCGCGACCAACCTCTTACGTGTCTGCCACCTGCCCAGCAAAGACATTCGGTCCGGCCATTTCCCCCTTCAGCTCGCCGCGACCATGTCGGCCATCTATAATCTCGAACCGCAGCCCACCGGCAAGGCCATCATACACACGACCCTAGGCGAAATCACCGTCGAGCTATTCGCGAAGCAAACGCCACTTGCCTGCCGGAACTTTCTGCAGCTGGCCCTCGACGGCTACTACGACGATACCATATTCCACCGTCTCGTGCCAGGATTCATCTTGCAAGGAGGCGACCCGACCGGCACTGGCAATGGCGGCGAATCAATCTACGACGGTGGCGCATTCAGCGGCGACCTGGATCCCTGGCCGATGGACATGCGCCAAGGGAAGAACGCAGGACCGCAGGGCATCAACTTTAAGGATGAGTTCCATTCAAGGTTGAAATTCAACAGGCGCGGGTTGCTTGGTATGGCGAACGATGGGCGACCGGACACGAATGGCAGCCAATGGTTTTTTACGCTCGACAAGGCAGAGGAGCTCAATGGGAAGAACACGCTGTTCGGCCGCGTCGCGCAAGATGGCACAATCTACAACTTGGCTAAGATTGGAGAGTCAGAGGTCGCAGAGGGCACTGATCGGCCCATGTACCCCGTCAAGGTGCAGCGGGTAGAAATCATAGTGAACCCCTTTGAGGACATGCAGAAGCGGTCACGCGTTGCGGTTCAAGCGCCCAGTAAACCGCCTGTCGAAAAGGAGAAGAAGAAGAAGCGCAAAGGGGGGAAGCAGTTGCTGAGTTTTGGGGACGAGGAGGGTGAGGAGGAGATGCCTGTGCTGAAGAAGCCCAAGTTCGATACCCGGCTTATCGCTGCCGACGAGACGGTCGACGACGTTCCTGCAGTGAAAGCGAAACCGAAGAAGCGCAAAGTATCACCAAAGCGACAGCTCTCTGGGCACGAGGAGGAGGATGAGGAGGCCGAGTCGATACCCAAGACCACCCTCAAGAAGAAACAGGTTCAGATCCGGGATGTATCACCCGAGCCGGAACTGACACCGCCACCGAAGAAGAGTGCAGCCGAACAGGCTGACGAGGAGATTGCCGCCTTGAAAGCGTCCATGAAGCGCAACGTACAGACAGAAGATACGGTTACACATGAGAAGAAGTCTGCACTAGACTCGCTAATACCGGAATCATCGATCAAAGGAGGCCGGAAAAGACGACCGGGGCAGACTGCGCTGGAAGACCCCAAAACGCTCCAGATGCTCAAAGCCTTCCAGTCGAGGCTGGAGAAGCTCCCGGAAAGCAAGGAGCCAGACACCGTCGTCAATGTCAACGACGGCACTGAGGACGTGGAAGCAGCCGCTGGCGACGAGGAAGCGGAGCTATGCGATCTTCACTTCATTGCCAACTGCCAGAGTTGCCGGGCCTGGGACAAGGACATCAAGGAGGACAGCGACGACGAAGGTTGGATGTCCCATTCGCTTTCGTTTGCGGCAGATCGGCTTGGCAAGGACCTTACCAACCGTCGCAAGGCTGAGGAGGAACTTGTCGTCATTGATCCTCGGGAGAAGGCCAAGGCCTTGAAGGAAGACAAGCGACCTCGTCGGGACCGAGGAGAGGGCAAGCAATGGGACCAAAGGAGAGACCAGGCAAAGAATGCGAAGCTGGCGAAAGCGGCGTCTCTGGCTGGCAGAGGTGCTAAATGATCCAACGTATGTACTTCTATGGACACGACGGAAACGCCAGCTAGGAGAGCTCCATGGACCTGCATCTCTGGGACATCCCCGTCCTGAGTTTGGATACATATTCGCTGTCCTTTTGTAGGAGAGCTAATACTCCGTGCAATGGCATTGTTGCGTCCGACAACCCTCTGTGCGCGCCACGGATCCTGCTCAGCTCCTGTCCAAACAAGTCTCCAAGAGCACCAAGACCCCAAGCTCGTGGGGGCCGTGTGACGAGACCGGGGTCAGGGGCTTGTCCTCATTTACCAACGAACGGTCACAGCGCTAACAGGGGGAGCTAGGAACGGCGCCTTGCCGAGCAGTGCGTCTGTCAATGTCATCGGTGGAACCGTGGATTCATTACAGCCGCTCCCAGGTCGCGTCGATGGTGGTTCAGTGGATGCTAAGTACTGTGCATAATTGATCACCAAATATAATGTTCACGAATTCTCTCACTGCCGCCCACTCTCGGACGATACATTGTGTCCCTAAAGGTCCCTAAAGATCCCTAAAGGTCGCACAGTGTCTCGTCCCCATGTATCGATGATGATTCCGCATCATGGAGCCCCCTTGGTGCAGTTGGCGATACGGATATCCGGACGAGTCTACAAAGTACGACGATCAGAATCTCAAGATAATGATAGAGACTGGAGCACGAGCCAGTGATTGCCGGCCTGCCTTAGCGTGGTGAATGGCTGAGTGGCCCCTGAAGCTCCCCAGGCGGGGAGCTCAGGTAGCCAATGAGATCCCGGGTCGCGACATGGGCTGGGCCGTGCCTGCCCCCAGACAACCGTCACCGCAGCGAAAACAAGAAGCGGGCAAGTGCAGCCTCGACGACTGGAGTTCGTTATTTCGTACCCGCGTCTTGTTGTTCTCCTCTCCCAAGCGCTTTTGCGCATTCGAATGTCCAAGATTCATCCCATTGAAAAATCTGTCCTTCTTTAGCAGCTCTACATTCTTTTGCTCTTTATTTATAGTCACTGTAAGTTGTGTACTAATTGTTTCCCATCGCTCGTGCCAGACCTAACTCGGCGCTCACAGCATTTGAACTCTTGGGATTTTCCACAAACAACAGAATCTGCCATCCTCAGCTTTAAAACTCTCATGACCATTCGCGAATTGCAGCAACACGTCCTCGAGACACTGCATACATATCACAGCTGTGTTCATGAGTCAATGGCGCAGCAATGGCGTCGACTCCCTCCAACCGCCTGAGGTTGACGCCGTCCAACTCTCCTTTTCTACCTCGCCCCTCTAGATCTCCGATGCGCGGCCGGTCTGCGCCCGACTCGCGCCTTTCGCTGAAGCGAGTGGTTGGAACGACATGCTCGTGCCCCGGCGGATTTGATACCGTCCAGTCTTCGTTTGCGTACTGCGCGGGGGCTGCTGTGGTCGTGGTGGACATTGACGGGGATCAATACACGCAGCGCTTCTTCCGCGCGCGGCCATCCGCCACTCCCACATACCCAGCGACAACCTTCCACAACGCGCCCTCGACGCCGAATGGAACACCGAAAGCAAACGACAGCAGGGGAAGGGCAGCGCCTCGCGACTCGATCTATGGTGGGGCTGACTGGTCAGACTCTTCAGGGTCTAAGACATGGACGAGTCGGGAAAGAATCAAGGCCGCCACATGCCTTGCGCTGAGCCGAGATGGGAAGTATTTGGCGGTAGGCGAGACTGGATACGCCCCAAGGGTTCTCATCTTCAACCTCCAAGACTCGTCTTCCGACACGCCGTTGGTGTCGATCAGCGAACACGCATTTGGCGTACGCGCCGTCGCGTGGTCGGCGGACTCCCGGTGGCTGGCCTCGCTAGGAGAGGCGAATGATGGTTTCCTCTACGTGTGGAAGATTGACCCACGCAATGGCTCTGCCAGGTTGTTCCAGCAAAACCGCTGCACATCGTACGTAAAGAGTATGCTGTGGCTGGGCAACTCACTCATCACCATGGGTGTGCGCCATGTGAAGGTCTGGAAGGTGGAGGAAATCAAAGTCACGTCACCAACGAAGCAGCGCTTCCTGGCCGAATCCGGATCGTCAACGCCATCTTCGCGCAGAGCGTTGCCTGGACGCAACGTTCTGCTGGGCAGCATGCTCGAAGCCACTTTTACTTGCGCCAGCGTGAACGGCAAGAAGCTCGTTGTGTGCACAGAAGCAGGCGACGTATGCATCTTTGACGATGAAGAAAAGCAGGTGAAGCTGGTCCGTGTGCTCAATGTCGGCTTTTCCATTACGTCAATCATCATTCGAGGAGACGTCGCGTATGTGGGCGGCGAGGATGGTCAGTTCGCGACGTTGGACGTTCAAGGCGTCGTGGAAGGTGTCGAGTCGAGCATACTGAGCAGCTCGAGAAGCTCGCGTGGGGTCGTGGCAATGGGGTTTCTCACACACAAACTTGTCACCATTGATGCCAACCACTCCATTGATATTTGGAACCCCGACGATACCCCTGGGAGGAATGCCAACGAGTTTCCGCACATAACCCTACCTGGCCATGGCGAGGCCATTGTCGGCTGTCAGACCCTACCAAATCCTAATCGAATGGACGCTGCCTTTTACACCTGGTCAGCGTCAGGGATCGTGGCATTCTGGGACCTCGAAGGTCGCGTCAGATCGCTTCTTCGAGTTGACGTGGACACGCCCGAGCAGGATGCCGAGCTGGGGATAATTAACCAGTTGACCTGCGCCCGGGTTTCAAAGTACGGCAAACTCCTGGTCACCGCGGATCGCCAGGGTATCCTCAAGGTCACCGATATAGCGACGGACGAATGCATTCTGGATACAAAGGCTCACACCTCCGACTGTGTCTGCATCAGTCTATATGAAGATGACACAAAGTTTCTGATGGCTACCTGTGGACGAGACCGCACGACGCAGCTTTTCCATCGGAACTCCAAGGGTCAGATTGAGCATTTCCAGACCCTTGACTTCAACTCCAAAGTCGTCGCCGTGGCAATTCCCTCGCGACACATGGTGTTCACGTGCTCTATGGAGAGAACAATGCAGGTCCATGAGATATTATCGAGGGAGGACGAACCTGACGTGTTGGCAGCCGTGCCCCATAAGGTCATATCACTAAAGGCCTCTCCAACATCCATGGAGATGAGCCGGGATGGATCGACCGCTTTCGTGTCTTTTCTGGATCGTTCAATTTCCCAATTTGATCTGAACAACGGGCGGCAAGTTCACAATTTCAAGTGTGTGGATGAAGGGGGAGCCGAGTCTGCCGTGCTGGACTGTCTTAATTTTGGCCAGTGGCCACCAAAGGACTTGGACTTCTTGCTCGGCGTGTCAAACACAGACAAGTCCATCCGCTTATATGACGCCAACTCGGGCGCTTTCATCGACCGGGAATGGGGCCACACCGAGGCCATCAATGGAATATGCCTTATAGAAGGGGATGACGGGACGAAGAAAGTTGTCAGCGTTGGATCTGATGCAACTATCATGATTTGGACCCTCGACTTGAACGATTCTTCGCCCAGGTCGTCGATAAGTAGGGATCCCTCGCCCGTGAAAGAAGCCACTTCAGCTCGACCAACGCTGCGACGGGTTCTTTCCAAGGCTGAACTGGCCGAGTTTCAGAAGCCAAGCCCTGGAAATCGGCCGTCGTCGCCTCCGAGGACATTGCGCCGGCGAAGATCACGCATGAACCTGGGGGTGAACAGCAGCGCAAAGACGCCAACAGGCCCATTGCAGGCCAGTCCGAGCAGCAGCACTATCGCCGAGGACACGCCATCGAAACGTCCTACTGGGGACAGCAGGCAGTACAGCCCTCCAACCAGCCCCAAGGGCAAGACTGTCACGCGTCGGCCTTCTTTGCCCGCACTAGGTCCGGTCGCGCGCAAAACATCTGGCGGCAATTTGCGGAGCGCTTTTGGCACCCTCAACATGGCGACCGAGCAAACCTGCCGCACGCTTCGCGTGTACAGAAAGAAGCTAGAGTCCGCGGAGCCTCTAAGCCCCGAGGTGTTGGCGGAGTTGGACAGAGAGCTACGCTTGACCGCGGCTGCTTTGGGGGATAGAGCCATCCGGAGCAAGGCAATGAACGAAACGGTTCTCAGCGGGCTCCTCGATCAGTATTCGGAGAGGCTCGTGACGTTGTTGGACGAGAAGATGAGGCTCACGTATCAGCCTCGGGCTCAGGAGAAAGGGAGCGAAAGCCCGGACGAAAGTCGGGCAGAAGGTACACCAGAAGATTCTGGGTCATCATCACCGTGATGTTTTATTTTGTTTGAGCGATCTGACGTTTCAGTCTGGCGTTGGGGAATGTTCTTTTGGGAATTAACTTGGGGAATAAATGGCCATCCTGGCAGTCGGGCAACGGAAAGACAAGCGCTGCACAAGCGATTAGGCATGATACCCTCAGGGGGGAGTCATTGGTATCGGCGAAATTGATACATTCTTGGCTACGAGCCAAATCCAAGCCCACTTCCCTCATGCATACTTGGTGACCTAGTGCTCTCGTTCACTCCAGTCACCCCTGTATGTGTGTGTCAGGGGCTCGAAACGCTGTTTACATCCATGGCTGGTTGTAATCTGGATCGTTGATAGCCGCATGCTTGCAACTGTCCATGCATTGAATCTTGCTTCAGGGTTTCCAGTGGGAGATTTTCGCAACGTATTTTTCTACATTGACCTTGAGGTTCTGCTTGTCCGGCTCTTTTGATACCTTGAGGTAGCTCACGAAGGAAGCACGTGACACGCTAGCACGGACAGGCTGGTGAGCAGGGCGATCCCAAGCCCGTCGGCGTTGAACGTCTTGTCTTCTCTTCCTCATTTCCACTTTTCCTATTTCATCCTTATCGCATCCCGATCGTCGCGAACCAATCACGTGATTATCGCAAAAATCATCACGACCATCAGCAGACGAGCGCGACCGTGATTAGGAGCTCAATAACGCGCCATAACCGATGATAGGCGTCAAAGCCACACACTTGCGACTTGGGGTGTTCAGGCCACTCTGCCTGTACGTCTTTCTGCCCCAAAACAGCCTTGTAGCGATGCCACGTCGCGCCAATCCAAACCTCGAACTTTGAAGTCGCTGACACGTTTGGTACGCTGCGTAGATCGTGGCGCCCATCCATCTCCTACCGAAGCATCTCGATCGCTGGCGAGGCGGACCCATTCAGAGCAAGGGCATGAATCAACTGTCGACGTATACCCACCTCGAGTCGCTGGTACTGTGGGAGTCGGTCCTCCAAGAGGGCGTCGAGCCAGCAGCATGGCCGCGCATCTCGGACCGACTTCTAAAAAATGAGTTCATCAAAACTGGGGATAACTTTGACGTGAAGCGGCTGCATTCGGACGCGCTCGAGAAATGGTTCTTTACGACGCTGCATCAGGAACTGTTGATTGAGGATCATGGCATTCTGAATGGCGATGGCGCAACGTCACCGGGTGGCACCGGGAAGAGGAAATTGGATGGAGGCTCGCCATCCGCTACGCTGAAGGATCTAGCGGAAAACCTAGACAAAGTCCCCAGAATCATCGATCGGCTGTGGGAGCGATACAAGACGCAAAAGGTCAAGGAGATTCGGCAAAAGGAGGACGACTACGATCAAACGCAAAGGGAGATTTACGTGCTGGAGAAGAATCAAGCGGAGCGGTCTAAGAGGCTGGCCAGGGAGAATGGACAGGCGCAAGCGGCATTATCGCCCAAAGAGATCAAGCCAGCGACGCCCAAGCTCCCACACAATACGCCTGTGCCTCCGCCCACAGCCACGCCAGCCCATCCGCCACCGGCTCCATCCGCGCAGACTGCGTCAGCTCGAAGTCAGTCGGTTGGCAGTCCGGCTGTTCAGCCAAAGCCTCCCACGCCGAATCCCCCAATCGCTCTTCCTGCGCAGCACCAAGCACAACCTCCTTCAGCCGTCCCTTCTGGTCCCGTCCGTACGCCATCTGCGGTGCAAGGGCAGCCAGCAAACGCTGGTAGCCCGGTTCTTCAAGCGCCAAACAGCGCTCATCAACAGCCGCAAAGAGTGCTACAAGCGCCCCAGCAACAGCATCCCGCCAAGGTCCCGATATCACCGCGACCTAACACCACTACACCGGTGCCCGCTTCTGCGGAGGGCAGCATAGCGCCTCAACCGGCAGATGTAGCAAATGGCCCCGGTCAGGGTGGCCTCAAGTGGGAGAAGCCATATCAGCCGGCCGGCGCGGTGCCGCATCCACAGCATCCACCGCGCCCAGTACCATCACCGGCTGCGCCCAGAGCTGCCACACCTCAACAGTACGCGCAGCATCAACAGCAGTGGCAACAGCAGCAGCAGCAGCAGCAAGACCAGTATCAACAAAAGAGCCAGTCCATTGCCCCTGGGTCTCAGCAACCACAACCACAACCACAACCACCTCTCGCTCAACAGAATCGCCCTCAAACCCAACCGCAACCTCATCAACCATCTCAGCCGAGTCCAGTTTTGGTAGCTCCCCAGAATGCAGGCCAAGCAGTGCCTCAAATCCCAGCAGCCACAGCCACAGCTCGAGCCGCCGACACTGGACCGGCAGCGTCACCTCAGCCCCGGCCGCAGACCAAGACTCCCGTACCTCCTCCTCCTCAACGACCCATACAACCACAACAACCGCAGTCAGCACCGCAACCGCGACCTATTGCGGCAGCTTCCCCCTTACCGCAGTCTCACAATGGCCTGGCTGCACCTCCCCAACGATGGCCACCAGGTCAACTACCTCCTGGGCAACGTGTTTCGCCTCCCACAGGCGCCGGCACACCAACTCCTCAACAGGCGCCAAACGATCAAAAGCCTATGGCGGCGCCGCATGGCCCCCAGCAACCTCGACCAGCCATCCCAGAACATATACTACGTCAAGCTGCGACACCTGTCCCTAGGCGGGTCAGTGCTGCAGCAGCATCATTACCAACTACACCCCTGCAGCTCGGGCTTCCGGTCACCAAAGGCGGTTTAATTACGAGCTGGACACGATCACCTACGCCTTCCACGCCGAAGCCTACTGATTCACAGGAAGTAGAGAGTCCCGCATGGGAGCCGCTGAGCCCACCAAAACCGCAGTCTACCACACTGCCAGTGCCGCGTAAGGCGCCAGGCTGGACAACCCAGTCCCATCTCGGCGCGCCACCGCCCCTGCAAACACCAACAGCGCCTTCAAACAAGCTACCTTTGCCTGCCCAATCGGGGCGGAGAACTAAAAGAACAAGCACTAGGAAGCTGCGCGAAGCCACCGGCACGCCTTTGGGCGAGGGACGCAGGCGCAGCGACTCTGTTGTGTCGGGGACCGACGAGCTTGCTTTGGATCACCCTGACACCATGCCAAAGGTCAAGGATGAGACTTCAGGCCATGAAGAGGGAGGTGATACCACGGCTGATGAGAGCGTGGCTCATCGAAACTTTGCAACGCCCGGTAGTGTGTCTCGGATCCTGAAGCGCAAGAGGCAAGAGACGCCATCGGAACCGCCTGGCCCACCCACGCAGGTGTTCTGGACTCGAGGATTCCACAAGGTCAGCTATCAAGCGCTGGACCAGATTGCCTCCCACCGTGACGGCAACATGTTTCTCAAACCTGTGCGCGAACGGGATGCGCCTAACTATCGCCAGATCGTTCTGCAGCCTCAGGACATGACAGCCATCCGCGCAGCCGTAAAAGGGGGCAACCAAGCGGCCACCCAGGCGGCTGCTAATCTGCCCAATGGTGACCCGGGCACTCCTGGTGTTTGGCTCCCCATCTCGGATGACTTGCGCCCGCCCAAGGGCATCGTCAACAGTGCCCAGCTTGAGCGAGAGCTATGCCACATGTTCTGCAATGCCATCATGTACAACCCCGATCCCAACCGTGGGCCGGGGCAGGCCTTCATGCGACGTACCCAGGAGGAGGAGGACGACGTGTTGGGCTATCATCTCGACGAGAATGCAGTCGTGAGCAATACGCAGGCCATGTTCATCGAGGTGGAGAAGCAAATGGGCGATCTGCGCGCGGCAGAGAAGGATAGGTCCGGCCCGGCGCCCTCGTTGACACCCCGTCCGGGCAGCGTCGCAACGCCGGCGGACGACACGGCGGAGGAGGAGGACGAGCTCGCCGCCGATGGAGACATGACTTCTGGCACCGCCAAGAGACGACGCGTGAAGCCATAGATCGGCACGTGTCGTGCCATGGCGGGGCTAGGACGCAGGACGTAGCTGTTTGGCTGTCTTATTTTTAGCGACATGATACACCCTGACGGTTACGCAGCGGTCAGAATAATTTATTAATGCAACATCGTGGTCAAGGGTGATGTGTCTTTCTGATGCGAGAGATCCATACACTCAACCCATACAAAATGAACGCAACCTTGTTCCAATGTCCGAGACACCACGAATCTCAATGAGTGTAAGCAATGACTAGTCGCCTGCTCAAAAAAGGGGCAACAATATCAATGAGGACGTGACACTTGGGGAGAGTTCTGAATGCCAATGTTGGGCTCGCCTAGAGACGTATCAAAAACACGCACTCATGCATCAGCATTCTCGATAATAGCCACATTCATTATCATCGTCATGGGAAACTAGAGGCGTTCGAGATTCCGAGCCCTGCCGTCCTGTCTACTATGCGCATGATAGGGAGCTCGCCAAACATCCCGGAGCGCCCGCCCCTCGCCCTTTTCTATATCTTGCATGGATAGAAAGATCTTTTCTAGGTGACTCATACCATAACTTTCTTCAGGCGACTCTGATAAAGCAAATTCACCGTTCCACACGGACACCGCCTTGTATCTTCATTGCCTGAAACAGCTACACCATGCCTTTGAGGGATTCAGGCTTTTGACTCAGCAGCTTATGTAGAAGAAGCCATTTTCAACGTGCGCGGCCAACAGGGACAGGTGCAAATCCGCCCACAGGGGGTTCTGCGGCGAATCGAATGCCTTGTTTGGCCTCGGAGATCTGTTAGGCGTGAAGCCGCCCATCACACAGGGCCGCATCTTGTCGCCGATTGCCAACACCGCCTCGGGACGCGTTATGTTGTCTGCGTCCGAAATCGCGATAGCTTTGGCAGATGTCTTGAAGTCGCGGTACAGTGGCTTTTGAGACATTGTTGGTGTCGTGCACAGGATGGAGCAGTGATTCACCAGAAAGGCGCATGCCTCTTTCAGAACCTTGGAGACGTCGTCATCCAAACCGACATTTGCAGGACTTCTCAGTGGGGTCGACGTTGACGAGTGTGCTGCAACCTGTTCGGTGGCCCAGACTTGATGATGTACGAGGAAGTCCTTAGCGGTCGATAGAAGTCTGTCTTGCGGATGGCCTCACGTAGTGTGAAGAGCGCCGCGTGATCCGTATTCAAAAGATCATTGTTGAGGATCTTGGTGACTTTGAAGAGCCACTCGCAGAGTGACAGCGACTTCTGCCACGCGCCGGCAGCGACATGAGGGGATATGCCGGTCTTACGTCTCCATCTCGCCTTGACAAGCTCCATGAACTCAAGAAGCTCAAGCTCAACAGCAAATCCTCTGATGACTAGAGGAGACCGGATTTTGAACCTGAGGCTCCCTTGTGGAGTGTTCAATCGCTCCATGACCTTTTCTGAATCCGCTTGCAGGGCCGCGGCGAACTCATTAGCTATGAAATTGCTCGAAGCCGTCGCGAATACCGGACCCAAAGATGCCAGCACGAGCAAAGTGGTTGCAGTGGCATGTTTCTGCGCTCTGCTGCCAACAAATGTGATCATGCCCATGTATGAGGGCGGCAGGGATGGAAGGCTGACTGAGCTCTGGTCGTGAGACATTGAACGGAGGATGGTGTCCCGCAGTTCTGGGTGTCTGCATGCGCTGAAGATGTTGAAACTCTGTAAAGCCTGCTTATCGACGGCTCCAAACGCTTCTTGGAGACGATTCACTTCGGATTCACTGAGGAATCCTACTACGCAGGAGAGAATCTTTGCCGGGTCTTGACCCATGACGTAGGCTCGCAGCATAGCAGATCGAACATGGTCTGCTGTCGGGGATTGTCCGACTTGCAGTCCCTGGACATCATATTAGCTTGATGCATCTCCGATTGGAATTTGACTTACAAGAATAGCCGGGTACTCTTGGACAGGACCTCCTGGGGGAGACGGGGGTAACTTCCAAGCCTCTATTTTGTCCTTGTGACCATCAACTCCGCTATGAGGGGACAATGGGGGCTGTTCATTTGGCACAAGACCTTCAAGCTCTGCCCTAACAGCTGGGCTAAAGAGCTGGTGCAAACCCATCACTATCGTCTTCTCAGTATGTGGGACCGGACGTTTGCGAAGATAGATGGTCTCGAAAGTCTGTCCTTGTTCTTTGTACACAGTGTAAGTATTTGATGGTGACACTTTCGAATCCGTGCTCGCTGCCTTGTGAGAAGTAGGCCGGTCAACCTGTAATGCCAGGTAGCCAATCCCAGTTGGGCCCTCAGAATGGACGTCGCGGTTCCGGTAGACGACTCCTGGCCAAAAAATACGGCTGTCCTCTTGCTCTGGACCATGGGCCTTGAAGGGCTCAAAGCAGACGTCGATGGACGCTCGCCCTGTGACCAAACCATTGTGCTTGGCCGAAGACTCAGGTACTTCAGCCCTTGCTTTGAGGAACGGAAACTGTGTATACTGTGTACGTATTCAATTAGCAAAAAGTCCTTCCACTTGTCAAGCAATGTAAGACTTACAAAGTCGGTGGGGACACGGATGAACGCCATGTATCTGGTGGTGGCGCCGGGTTTAGAATCGGCCTTTTTGACGAATTGTGCCTGTAAGGGGAGTCTCCGGAGCATATTGGCTGCTTTGATTTCAACGTGGGCACTATGCTTCACGCTCTGGCCTAGAATGACCAGTGCCTGTTGGCATGTGTCGAATTTGTGATGAGGGAGGAACATCTTGTTGTTGCCACATCTCTCCAGCAATGCGGCGTCTCGGTCTGGGTGCCAGTCATAACAAGGCCCATTCTTAGTGTACATAGACACAATTTCTGAAAGGCTGGGTGACATCGTGCCTCAGATATGCTGGAGATCGGTCTTTGGTGGTTTCGTTCAGCGATGTGCCAATGTTCTAGGCAAGTTGGAGCTCTTGGAACATAACAGAATCACACTGGAAACGAAGATGATGATGAAGAAGAGGACGAGAGGGAGAGCAGTGCGCAAGCTGAAGATATAGCAGAGAGGGGGGCTGCTTAGGCAGCAGAGGAGTCACACTCTTTCAGGTAAGTTCGTCTCATCTCATATACACCCGACGTGAGCGTGATCGTGATCGTGATCGTGATCGTGAACTTGACCGCAGGCGATGAGTGGCTGGATTCAATGCAAGGCAGGGGCTCACTCTGGAAGCACCTCAACTGGGAAGTAGCTGCCGGTGTGACCTTTGAGAAACAGCACGCGTCCAGGGTTCAGCTAGCTGACGCGACAGCTGCACGCATTCACACAGGGACAGGATATGCATGAGCTTCTTTCATGCACTGGCCTATCAGCTTTTGAGAATCTGGGGCTTCAGAAAGCTCAACTGTATGTACATTAGCCTTGGAGCCAACTCATGGATATCGGAGATAATATCTTGTTATGAGGCGTCCTCAAGTCGCCAGGAAGGTACTGGCAAATGGACGCATGTATACCCCTGGACACAACATCTCGATCAAGTGCTCTTGAGCTGTGACATCTGGCTCTCCTAAAGCCGAGATATCAAAAGCAAACCCCGGCGTGTCGCCAACATACGCCATGCTATCACGAAGCGCTCCGTCTCTCTGTGATGTCCCGGTAATGATGCTCGGGACGCCGCGACTGGTCTTTCCAGGGGGTGATAGAGACCGTCCGTAGAACTCCTCGTATAAAACATCAACCAGCGCCGTGCTGTTCTCGCTCTACCTGCAAGAACCATGCATGCTGTATCGGTGGCGGCGGTGCTATCAGCACTTGTGACGGTTGCGCGGGGTGACTGTCCCCCTCGTGCGCGGTCGCCTTGGCGCTTCTGTTGTCGTGCTGGAGTATTGTAACGTAGAATGCAGTCGTGTCGGGGAGATGAATCTGCAACCTGAACCCATCCTCTCATTCAATGAGTGGCTTCTTCTGACCTCCAACCATGCATAACCCCAGTGCTCGTAAAGAATCGCGGTCGCTTGCTAAAATGATGGAATGAGCGGGCAGCATGGGGTTGTTTGGGTCGACGTGTGAGGCATCCTTGGCGGCCTGTTCGATGGCGTCCATTTCCTCCTTGCAGCCCTGTTGGTCGAGGGGGCAGATGACGATCGGCTGTCGTATGCTCACGTCGCGAGCGCTACTCAAGTTCACCCGCACGGGGTTAGTGAATCATTCCTTGACAACAGAGCCTGTGCTTACCTTGATGTTGAGGTAAAACTCAATTTTGTACAATGTCGATGTAGTGGTGAACGACTGGACCTCGTACATGGGAAAGCCCGGTTTCCCCCGCTTGACCACTCCATCGGGGTCGCGTAAATCTTTTGAAGGGAAGCAAAGACCCATGTTCGTGGCGTAACCCGCCTCGGGAAGCTTGGTCTTGACCTGCTGAACCTGCTTGGATATCTTGTTGATCTTCTTGGTCGGCTCGTCCCCTTCGGGATTGAAGGTGATCTCCTCTTCGATTGTGAGTGTGATCTTGTCGATGGACACCCGCTTGGCTTTACTGAGCCAGTCTGGGTTTGGCGACAACTTGATGTAGACGGTTATGGGATCACTAGGCCCGTAGCTCCATCGCGGCAGGTTGATGCCCAGGTGAACAATGCTGTCGTTGGTGACGAGCTTCGTCTCGGGCTTGTTGTACATGCCAAAAGTGGACAAGGTATCGTAGCGCCGAAGCGGCATGGGAAAGGTGTACTTGTATTGATTGCTGTGGCCCTGTTGCACGGTGACGACGAGTTCGTAGAGTGTCTCCGCCGTCCGGTTCGGCAGCTGTAGTGAAGCGGGAGGTATGCGACGGTTAGTCTCCTCGCCGCCCCGACCAAACGGTATGAAAAGGACGAAGGGCAGGTCCATGGCTATGACGTTCTCCGCCTCCTTGCCGGTCGAGCAGCGGAACAGCAGCACCTCTTTCCCCACAACGTCCGCTGTTTCTCGTCTCGGTGTTCCCAGGTGTCGTTTGGCAAGGTTGTCGGCGTCGGGGTGGATTGTTTCTTTCCGTTGAAGACATATTCGAACTAGAGACACCGGCACTGGCATGGAGTACCCTACGCCTGGACGGATCTCGACCTTTCCCTCGATACGCGGCTACGCAGGATGTTAGTGGTGCAGCGGAAAGATCGAAGCGGGCAAGAGGGGAAGGAGGGCGTACTAAGGTGGCCGAGATGCCTGGGTAGCCCACGAGAAAGCTGCTGTTAGGCGGCCCCGAGACCCTCACGCTGGCCGGCGCGACGACAGTAGCCATGATTATGGTGTCGCTCGCCCAGCCGGGCAGCTGACTCGAGTTGGTGACAAAGCTACACGCGACCTTGGGGATGCTAGGTAGAAGGCGGGAGCGCCGCGACTCGGGCCGGGATTGGGTCTGCAAGTGGTGGGATTGGCGTGCGAGTATACCCAGAGCTAGAGGAATCGATGATTGCTGTGCTCGAGGTGCCTGGGCGCTTGAACGGCCGTCGTGGTCGATCGATCGCGGTCAGCGCGTGCGATGCACTACTGGAGATAGGCGGGGTTGGGACTTGGAATCGTCGTCGGAACGGAGGCTCGAGGACTGGGTGTCGCAAAGAAGGAGGGTGATATGGACGGGGTGCCTGGAACCGGCAGCAGAGAGGAGCGAGTGTCTGTCTATAGGTCGAGCTTTAGGCGTTGTAGGAAAATGCAGTGCATCGTCGTCGCACAAGTCAGCGGCTTGCGGGTGTGAGGAGAGCGACGACTGGAGGTTGTTGGAGTATGGGACGGAGATGATGTCCAGGTGCGCCCAGACCAGGCGCCCGTCCGTGTGCTTGCAGAATGCAGACGAAGGACTGGACATGGACTCTGAAGAGAAAACGGGTTATGCTGACGGACGGCAGGGCTCGTGGTCAAGCGTTGAATGCGCGCGCACAGGTCGGGGGCAGGGTTGCAATGTTACCGAGTGGTCTGCGCAATGGTATTGTAATGGTGACTCGGCTTATTAGCGTTTCTATGATGCCTAAGTACTACCTAACGTTACCTTAAGGTACCTTAGCTTATGCTTGTTCCAGCTCTACTACCTAAAGGTAAGATAAGGTAGGACTGGGCTGACTAGAGGGGGGCTGAGATAGGACGGAAGATCTATGCGATTTCCGGGAAGCATTTATTTAATAAGTGTGGTTTTCGTCTATTTGCAGTGCTTCTCGAGTCCTCAGTTACGAGCCAAAGGTACCTTACACAATATCCATCCATTGACCCAAGCCCTACCGTTAGCAGTCGATGGTGCCTCGTTGCCCAACTAACGTTGAACTGCCCCGGATGCGCTATCCTCTTGCTGCTCAGCATCAGACCGTCTAACTATAATTACATTGGGATTGGGTGAGTAGTGTCAGCAAGGAGATGCAGTCATAATGCTAGCCTGCTAGGACCGATTGGACCGATTGGACACACAGGGCTGACGATACATTCCCAGGATCCGCAATGCCTGCGGCGGCAACAATTAGCTCGGCTACGCTTATTTGCGTCCTCACAGTGCTTGGAGCTGCTGCTGCCGAGTCGCTGCTTCGAATGTCTGTGGTGGTGAGACAGTGAATGATTATTAGAACAACAGGTCGAGGGCGCTGTTCTTGGGTTCCGGGATCACAAGTCCGTACAGACGCCCTTCCTGTGCCTCGAATGAACATGTCAGCAAGCCACATGAACAGCTCAAGTCCATGGCGCCTGGAATACATGGGTCTTCAAGATGTCTTGGGAGTGTAAGCGATTGCCCAAGTCGATGCGTGCCGACGGTAAGTTACCCGTATGCGGGGTCGCGTGCTCGGGCCAGCATTCACGCGAATCCCTTATTTTCACTTGGCACGATTAGAACAAAACTTTGTTTCGTCGCGACAGCAACAGCTTTTACTCTCGGATAACCCTCACGACGACCACGACGACGCGCGCAATTATGTCCGTCACTCTGCACACCACGCACGGCGACATCAAGATCGAGGTCTTTTGCGAAAGCGTGCCCAAGACAGCAGAGGTATGGCTCAGCCAGCAAGCCCCTAAACCGTACGTGTACTCACCATCTTTGCAGAATTTCCTCGCTCTCTGCGCGTCGGGCTACTACGATGCCTCCCCCTTCCACCGCTTGATCCCCAAGTTCATGGCACAGACCGGCGCCCCCGCGACACCGACCCCCGAGAACCCCAAGGGTGGCCGGTCCATCTGGGGCGGTCCGTTTGAGGACGAGATCCGCCCAGCCCTGAAGCATGGCGGTCGTGGCGTCGTGTCCATGGCGAACAAGGGCCCGGCGACAAACGGTTCGCAGTTCTTCGTCCTCTTCGACAAGGCACCCCATCTGGATGGTCTCAATACCGTCTTTGGCAAGGTGATTGGGGATGAGGGGCTGGCGACACTCGCCAAAATGGAGGCTGTAGAGGTGGACAAGAAGAACCGACCCAAGGAGACGGTCCGGATTGACTCGGTCACGATTCATGCCAATCCGCTGGCTGGCTGAGAACTTGAAAACGACACAATGGCACGGCATGATGAACGATTGGACAAAAAGGGGAAGCTGTGTTCATTGAGGAGCGAACGAGGGCCAGCCTCGACATCAACACGGACAAGCACAAGGCCTAGAAGCAGAAACTCACCATCATTACCTCGACATACCTATTCAATGGCCTGTCAGAACATGTCAGACCCCCACTCGACCTCCAGCGCCGATCCCAAACGAAGAAAGCGCGGCAGCGACCCGTCGCCGTCATACCCTATCCACAGCAACATCCTCTCTTCATCGCGCACCGACCAGTCCATGAACAAGGCCTGTACCTCGACGACCGTCCGCATCTCCATCGGGTACTTATGGGTGATCCTCCTCGACCCCCTCTCATCCGCCCGACCCAGCGACAGCAGCATGGGCTTCATGCCAGGGTCGTAGTCCGGGAACTCCATGGCCTCGCAAAGGGGCAGCCGCGACACAATCACGTCAAATAGGTGCCGCAGCTCAAAGCTGCGCTCGCATTGGCCCTTCTTCTTGGGCATGCCGGGAAAGTGCCGCGCGGGCTGCATCCCGAGCTCGTCGCAGACATCTTGCGTGTAGTAGTCTCTCTGCATCAGATACAGGAAGCCGGGGACATACATGTCGAGCAGGTTGCCAAACTCGAAATCCCGCTCCGCGATGCGCAACCCTTCGAGGACCTCCAGCGTCTCCTGTCTGTTTCGACCGACGTGCCGCGCCTCTGTTTCCCCATTCCGCTTCCGCTCAATGGTCATTATTTTGGTGGGGGGCGTCTTTGGTGCTTCGTACAGGGCCTGTTCGGTCCTTGCCGCGACCGCGGCCATGAGCTGGTCGACCATCCCCCGCTCGCGAAAGGCGAGTGCGATCTCTGTGCGCTCGTAGGCATATCCCCGGACAAGCGGAAAACTGATGCGGAGATGGACGGGAAAGTCAGACATCTGGGACGAAAAGAAGATGGTTAGCCGAGACGACGGGGTACAGATACTCACAGGTTAGGCAGCTCCGAAACCAACTTCCAGAGTCAGTAATTAAGCTGTGAATGCTGCGGATGGGGAGCCCAAATATCAAAACCAATGTGCCAACATGCCCTCTTTATCGTCTTCGCCATGTCAAGGCCGTTTTGTTGTTCTTGTCGCGAAGACTTGGAGACTGTTCGCGTCTCCCGACCAGTGTCACTACCTCGACCACTTGACCCTTCCCACATGACCACGAGAACGTCGTACAGCAGGCAAAATGCAAAGAGAACAGTCAAAAATAGTGTGCATACACCTGTGAAAGAAGTGACTTGTGTGCGGCCGTCCATTTGCAAACATCTCTTTGACGCGAAGTGGTGGCGTACGCGCAATCGGCCGTAGCACTCTAAGCTCTCTCTACCCATGAAACAACAACCTATTTCAAACCACCAACAACCATATGCTTACATCAAGTTCCAAAAAATATTGACCCGTTGCCGCCTTGGCCCCTTGAACGCCTCGGGCGCCACCATGCATGCCAAACACGACCTCAAGAGAGCCGGCCGTTCTACGCCATGCGCTGCCTCTTTGTCCTGTCCCCCGCGTGAAAGTCTTCCCTTTGTATTTCCTCCGTGCCTGTATCGCTTGGTGTCTGATGGTTGACGGGTGTCGGCGCCGCGCTCAGATTGTTGGGGTTGTATCTCTGTTGCTGGGGCTGTTGGTTGAGATTTTGCGCGCTAAAGGGGTCATCTGTCCCGTCGAAATTGAGATTCAGCCCCTCGTCGCCCGTACCAAACGGTTCCTCGGTGAAGGCTTCGCTGTTTAGGTACTGGTCAATGTCCAGACTGTTCGGATCAAAGTACGCCCCGTTGGCACTCTCGTCGAGCTCCGGGATGCGGCCCGAGGGGCTCAGCGGACCAAGAAGATCGGTAATATTGTTCAGCGTGGCCTCTTGTTGCGCATTGAGGTGCTGGAGCTGCTCCAGTTCGGACTGGTTTGATGAGATCTGGTTGATGGACAGAGGAGGCATGGCCGGTGAGCGCATGATTGGAGACAGCGATGGGGCGCCGTTGGAATTGGCGCCAGCATTGGCCTGTTGAGGCGGCGGAGGTGCGGGGGGGTCTGACGGCGGAGGTCCTGCTGTTCGCCCGCTCGGTTGTTGTGGTTGTCGTTGTTGTCGTTGTTGAGGCGGCGCTTGTGCGTTCATGTTGACCGGCGGTGTGGCAGAGCTCCGTCCTGTTCCCGTCGGCGACTGCCTGCTCATAAAGTTGGCCAGTTGGCTGCGCTGATCATTGTTCATGGAATTGGATGCATTGGCCACAAAGTCAGCGGCCTCGGGAAGGTCCATGCCGGAGGAGTTGGTGGCATTGTGGTCGTTGATGATGCGCATCATCTGCTCCTGGGGGTTGTTCTCGAGTTCCTGTCGCAGGCTGGGCGCCGTTTCTGACGCACCGTCCATGAGCTCGGTCACCTGTCCTACCTCGCCAGTATGTCGATAGTTCCCACGCGCAGAGCTTGGGGACCTGGTCGAGCGCGCGCTGTCGTTTGCATCCGGAATCGGCGGCAACAGCCCACGCGCTCTTCTATGAGGCGTGCCGCTGAAGCCAGGCGTGTTAGTGTTGTTATTGTTCTGAAACATTTCTTGCAGATCTCCCAGTTCTACCACGTTTCCGCCGTGGGATTGTTGCTGGCCTTGGTTGGCGAGCATGCTAGAGATGATGTCGCCCACGTTCGGCGCGCTGCCTTGCTCCTCTAGACTCTTACGAAAGAGATTCGCCAGGAAATGCAAAATAGCATTGATAGAGTTCTGGTGGCGATCATGTTGATTCTGGAACAGCAGCGCCTGGTTGTACAGATCCCGGTTATTCTGTTGAAGGTGCTGGAGGGTCTGCTGAATGAGCGACTGCTGCTCTCTGACTTTCCGGAGCTCATCTCGGACCAGAGACAGCTCTTTTGACTTGGCAGGTGGGGGTTGGTCGCCAGGAGCCGCGGGCAGTGGTTTCGGAGCGTGTGCGGACGACAGTCCAGGCAATTGACCGTGGAGATCATCATGTCCAATCTCCTCCTCGCTATCCGGTTCCTCGCTTTTGACGGCAGTCTTGTTCTTGCCTTTGCCGGGCTTGGGCTTGTTGATCAGCCAGAGCAAGTTGGGGTGGCCGCGCCGAAAATACGGATTGGCGTACTCGCTTGGGCTCTTGTTCTTCCGCTCGCTGGCCCGCATGGAGTTGTCCGATAGACCTACGAGCTTGTGGAACCCATACATGTTGAGCTGCCGGACAAAGGAGGCATAGTTGCGGTGTTTGAACAGCTCCGGTATCAGCGTGTTGGCAAACTCGTCCTCGTCCAGTACGATGAATGAGTCCCCCTTCGAGGACCAGCGAATAAGGTCCTCGTTCTTCCCTTCTTCCAAGAAGCTACGAAGTGGTCAGTTCTGGTTCCGTGCATAGATCGAAAGCTACGTTACCTGCTAAGTTTCTGGACAAAGGGGGGGATTTGTTTCCTTTTCGCCTGTGCCTCGCGCTTGGCCTGTTGAGCCTTTTCCTCCAACACCTCGATGCTATCCTCAGTCCCTTGATCGTCGTGCTGCGGCTGGGTCAAGGCGCCGCTGTCCATGGGCAGGCTGCCCCAGGCCTGAGATGGATCGTAGCCTCCTGGGTTGGTTTGGACCAGAGCTCTGCTATTCATCGGTCTTCGCGCAATGGAATTGCTCGGTGCCGACTGGAGAGAGTCGGTGTATTGTGCCTGTCCATTCTGCATGAATCCCATGCCATTCCCACTGTTGAGGTTTCCGGCACCAAAGTTCCCGCCATCATTTCCGCCGTCCCATCGCACCATCTGGTCATTCGAAATGTTCGTTTGGGGGAACGGCTGTTGGAACTGTTGCTGCGCTGGCACCATCGGGACCGCCCCTGGCGCTGCACGCTTTCGCGGGTTGGACATGGCGGAGGTATTTTTGCGTCTGGAGTCGTTGCGTGTCGCGACTGGCGTGTCGGAGACGACAGTCGACTCGGATCGGTGCGCGATGGTGTATAGTGGCGGCGGAGGCGGTGTCCTACCAAAGTCCGCCCGATCGCAACTCTGCCGTCAAGGCCGGTTGTCCGCCGCGGAGGCGCGCTGTTGCGATCGCGTCGAAAAGTGTTCGTCGCGCCGGCTACGTGGCGCCTGTGAGTCGTAGATGGTTTCGCAGAGTCGAGGTGGCGCAGAATAAAATGCAGTTCAAGTCCTTTGCACCACTGAGCCACGCCGCTGCAGCAGCAACCCAGTTACTTCACAACCTGCCTTGCCTCACCGTAAGGTATGGTTCTGGCTTGCTCTCCAACAATGCGCGTGCAGGAACAATAATGAGAGCAATATTATAGGATTTACACAAGAGCCTTGCCACGGCTTGAAATCCCCAGCTTGTTGTATAAACGTATAGTTGTTGTGACTGTCGTTGCCTGTAGCGAAGTAGCTTTTTTTTTAAGTAGATGTGGGATGGGGAGACGCTGATGACACCACTGGTCTGGTCTAGTTTTTGGGTTGGTGGTGGTGGATGGGACTGGGCTGGCGCGAAACGAGTACCAACGTGCCTCCAGTCAATCAATCGTACGTGCCTAAGACACTGGAGGTTCAAAGATTTGTTCAATTGCAGCTCACTAGTATGGGGAGAGAGAAGGACGAATTACTGTCTGGGGGCATCGCGATGACGTGGAGTTTTGAGTTTGAGCCGTTCAATTAAATGGCAGACGATGGACTGACGACAAGCACTGACGACACTGGCAGCGACTGACAGCCGCCCGCGTCCCGCCCTGAAAATTGCGATGCGACTTAGCAGTAAGCACCACGTGATGATATATGGGTGCTATACAATATGTACGGTATCTTTCCTCACAACGCTCTGCATTACCTCACAAAAGACTTTTGCAATGCTCGCAGGTACTGACAAAATATGCAACCGTTCTTGTACGTAATGCTGCCGATGGCATGCTCAATCACAACCGTGGCCCCTTGAATTGACTTGTCTAAATGTGTATCCCCGTCTACCACTGACAACAAAAGCATCCGTACCCATTGTATCTGTCCAACATAACGCCTGTTCCATTCCCAGTTATTAATTACACTGCCAGTCCTTCATCAGAAGCCTCGTCGCGCTCTAGTCGCTCCAGTCCAGATCCGACGGCGCCATACACGCGCAGCGGTACCAGCACATCAAAGCTCTCGCAGGTCAGGTTCTCGGCCGCCGCGAGGACAAGTCCTCCGCGCTCGTCTTGCGATATCTGCTCCAGTAGCGGATGAGGCGTGGCTGGACCGTCTTCGGTTCCTGCGGATTCTCCGTGAGATGGGACGACAAACTCGACGCGGATCTTCCACTCCAAGCTGACGCCACTCGTGATGAATTCGGGCGTCGCCGTGATCGGGATCGTAGGCGTGAAGACGACGCGCCTCGAATAAAGCGTTGTATCTGACGCTGTGACATAGACCTTCCTCGTCACTCGCTGTATACTTGACTCTGAGCGGACAGCCAACGAAGGATCCACCTTTTCGCATGTCTCCAGCGTAGTGTGGACGGCGTAACAAGCAATATCCGCGTCACTCAGATCGATAGCCAGGGTAATCGTTTCGCCCAGCCGATACGAAGGCCGTGTCAGCATAACGACGCCCACGCGCAGGCCGTTGCGGGCAATTTCAAAGCGGTTGGGACTCTGCTGCCCCTCGCCAGCCATGTTGCTGCGCATAATCGCAAAGTGGATGGCGTCCCTGACCGACGCCGATCGCTCTTCCACGGCAGATGGTCGCCTAGACCCACCAACCGCGGAGGGTGACAACAGACCTCCATCCCCTTCGCTCCGTGGTCGGTGGACGAGCTCGTCCACATAGTTCAAAAACTCGTTCAACGTGGCAGGCGCTCTCGAAGCTTTGGGCTTGTGAAACCTCCCTGATTGTGTACCCCCTCTTACTTGCGCCTCGTCCCGGAGCAAAATGTACGGGTTGAAGAGATCGTGGCCCAAAATCTCGCCAATGCTATTGACGCCTCCCAAAACTCGGAAGGAGGCCTCCACTGAACGGACTTGCTGTTCTTTCACACCGCCTGCTCTCTGCGTGCCAATCACGAGACTGTATGAGATCTTGACTGCCTTGCCCTTGTGTGTGGGCGGTAGTCCTTTGGGGAGCCTGAATGTGTATTCAAACACTTGACTTTGCCCCGGCGCGAGCTGGAGGTCAACAAATAGAATCGACTGGGGTGTCGTCAACAATGGCACAGACTTGGAGGCTGCTACCCCTCTCATCTCCTTGATCGTGCTGAGCTCACTGCCGCCCCATAGGTCGCCGATGGATGTGCTCAGATTTCCCCAGCCGAAACTTTTGAGAAGCCCGCTTTCTCGCTGCTTGGTTGGTTCAAGGCCTATGACGCCGCCGCCCCTGCCGCCCACTACAGCCTTCTTCTTGACTTGCTCAAAAGGGCTGAGGCTGACCAGGGAGCCGTCCAGAGTGAATGACCCTTGAATCTGTGCGTACCCCATAATCAGATTTTCCGGCTGCTGCGATTGTTGTTGGCCGCTCATGCTAGAGTTTCGCCGCAAGTGCGAAGGCCGAGCGACCCCTCGATTGGGTGGGATCGGGTAGTCTGATGCCAGTGTCTCGGTAGACTGGTTGCTGATAGCGTAGAACTCTCCGCTGCTCCGCGGGGTACCACCACCGGCCATACTCGTGCTGGATAGTATACGTGCCGCGGGCAAAGGGCGTTCGGCAGTTGGGAAGGCTCGTTCTTTGCCAGGTGCGGGTGCGCTTTTGCTGTCTGCTGGTGTGACTTTCGGGCTCAGATATCCCTCGTCCTGCGCTTTGTTGACTTTGTTCGTATTCTCATCGGATGGCGGTGGTGGCGCCGCAGGAAATCTGAACTCGGGCATATGATTTGGCGAGGATAGAGGCGAACGTCGTGGCCCACCCGCACTTGCCGGCGCGTTGGGACGGTTGTAGCCATTTCGCATGCGGCCAAATCGATCGGGGGGGTACGAGGCCGTCGTGAGGGGGGAGCTAGACTGTCTGGGAAGCGTAGCTACAACACGCGTCAGGATGGCGGGCGGGAGTCATAAAGAAGCACACACCTGATTGGGGGCTGGAGGGCGCAGGCTGCCCTCGCGGGAGGATTTGCAAGCTCGAAGCCCTGCCATGGCCATAGCCACGCATCGGGCGTGGTGGTTGTGAAGGCACCGGGGGCGCTTCCTGACGCGATGGTGTGTGATCGTCGACCGTGCTCGCGGATCCTATCGAAACGATGGAAACGGAGCGCTTGTGAGCCTGGCCAGTCTTGCCCTCGGAGCTGCTGCCGTTTGAAGGCCATTGTAGAGATCCTTGTCTTTTGTGCGAGCTCGACGACGGAACGCTGAGGGAGAGGGCTGACCTCTTGTGGCCCCGACCAGTGGAGGACAGTGGTGGTGTGCTGCTCGAGGCCGCTTTGGCGCGCGAATGCAGGGACGACGCTTTGCGCGTGCGATCCGACGGGACGGAGGATTGGGATTTGTTGTCGGTACCGGTCGCAACATTCTTGAAGGTGATCTTGCATTTGACCTCCTCGCCGGCGAATACGGTTTGTTCATGCCAGTGGACGAATACACGGATGTTGCTGGTTTCCTCGAGCGGCGCCATATCAGACCCACGAGGGCGCCCACGGCGCAGAGCGTCAATGTCAAGGGCGTCGGGCAGCAGAGTGATGCTGCATCGCTCGGGAGTGGCTATCGCGTCAAGAATGGTCGGTTTAACGATGGTGTTGATGGACAAAGAGCTCTCCAGGGCCCAGGCAACGTCATGAGCCTAGGAACAGAGTACGTAGCCCAGGTGCCAATCTAAAAAGGGGACGGCGCGCGCTTGTTGGATGCTGGTGTGTTTGGCGAGGCTCCGCCTAGAACAGTCACTACCTGCAGGTACAGACGCACGCTGCGTGTCTCGCCCGAGGTTCTTTGTTCTCATGTCCTCTTCTACTACCTTGCACTCTATTTCGTCTTGTATTCCGTATGATGCTGTCTCTTGTGCTATGCCGTGAGGTCTATTGTACCGCACAATTCCGATTGTGCAAGCCAGTCGCTCCCTACAGCCCGGGATGTGCTCACTGTTTGGTAATTCGCAGTTTCAGAAACGAAGCATTGTTCATCAACTTCTACTGCATGATTTCAAAATTTATTTCACAGCTTTTTCTTGCAGCTATGAACATATATGCTTATCAAAGAGACCACCGAGCAATCAAGATACCTTGCTCTTGCCGTAGCTGTGGCGGGTGAAGATTTGTCGTAGGGTAGTCTAATCTCCTCCGCCTTTGCAGGCATGGAACAAGTTCGTGACGGAAGCGTGTAAGCGGCCACAAGATGCCGCAGATATCACTAAGATGCACGGATCGAAGCTGTGAACACACCAAAATGATCAATGATGTGGGTTAAGTCCCGTGGACAGACTCACTTGCTGGAGGCCTTTGCCATAGGTAGGGTCTCGCAGTCAATAGGTAGCAGCCACGAGCTACTTATACTGACTGAACAAAGCCTCCGTCGACAGCCTCATATTGTACGTAAGTGCAAGCATTTGCTGGTTCCCGCATTTCAGTTGATTCAGCAGCGTCGCATCGCATGATCCAATCCATTCCGAGGATTGCTAGACATGGATGGGCGGAAGCTTGCTAGCGAGGAGCTAGGACAAACGGACTGTGAGGCTTCAGCAGATCCTCAGACCCGAACCGCTTCTCCCAGGCGTAGCGCTGAGGAAAGTGCGGGGTGTGAGCTGCCAGTGCTGGAAGCTAAATTTTGTTAGGCGGATGCGTCCCCAGGACTCGGACGCCAGTCCTCGACCTCATCAGCACACTTTGCGGAAGATCGGCTCTTCGGGATTCAAGACCTCAGAACGAAGTTTGGGAGAATGAGAGGGGCTCTTCCTTTTTCATGGGCTAGAAAGCCATCCATTATACCGACTTGTCTAGTCTCGCGAACCGGGGCAGCTTAGGACGAGATCTTATGAAACCCACCAGGTCGCAGCTCGCTGTGCTTTGGGCCGAAGAGGGGCTGTCACGCGTTTGGCATTCAGTTACGATCAGATCCGGCGCTACGGAGTGGAAGATGCTGATGTACACCTAAAGGTGCAAGGAGGGTTGTTCCATTTTCGCCACGGACGATGCTGTACATGAGTACTAACAAGAGTGATTCCAAACACAATCCTGGGGTTTAGGCCTGGGGGGCTTGTGATCCCTTGATTTTGAACGTCACTCTTGTCCCCTTTTGGTGGGGTGTTTACGAAAGAATGCAGCCAACTTTGAGCATGGTGGGGTTGTGCACTAGCACGCGAGGACATGGTGAAGAGCAATGCAACGGTAGTACTAGGTAGCTGAGCTGCTTGTAGTGGGTGCGTTGCTACCAAGGACTAAGCTAGTCTACATCGTCACCATGAAACATCTTCCAAGCTGCATACTTGTACGATCACAAGTCTCGGCCACAAGGTTCGCCTGGAGTCGGAAGACTGCTCCAAAGGGACAGACAGGACCCCTCACACTCTCTAGCACTGGCAGTCTGGGCCCTGGCACTACATTACATCGAGGCGTGGAGCCGTCGACCTCAACCAACCCCCGACGCGGCACGCTTCATTGGACGTGCGAGTTGCGGGGAAGCTCCAAACCAACATACACGGTACATTCGCCGCGAGGTCCAAGAGCGACTCCAACAATCCCCTCCGCGACTCCGTCAGCCCGGGGGTCCTCTGTGCCGAGATGCACAGCCTTGAAGACAGACGCCCACACGGAGGCGTCATGTAATGTTTGACCTTTAGCGCTGCAGCGTCTGGCGCCGGCGAGCGAGCACTCACTGGCAAGCAAGCAAGCGGGGGTTGGCAATGGAGTCCTGTCGGTACCGACGGTCCACTATCTGGCATCGACTACTGCAGTCCGTTGCGTTGTGCTAAGTATGAGCTAAGTAATGAGTAAGTAAGGACATGTACCCGGGGTGGTCCAGTCTGCTTCGTCCATCCAGTCCAGTCCAGTCGCCGTTGCTGGTTTAAAAGCTTCCTCCCTCCCCCCTCCCAGAGCAAGTAGCCTCCCCTCTCCCACATACTCTCTTTCTCGTTACTCGAATTCTCCTGTTCCCGTATTCCAAGATACCCTGCAAATCGACATTATGAGCTTGACCGTCGATCTCAAGACCCCGGCCTCGGGCGCCTACAAGCAGCCCATTGGTCTGTAAGTTGCCCTCGCGCGCGCAGCGTCGTACTACATCACCATCACCGAAGCCACCCGCTGACAAGTCTCCCCGCAGCTTCATCAACAACGAGTGGGTCGAAGGTGTCGATAAGAAGAAGTTCGAGACCATCAACCCCTCCACCGAGGAGGTCATCACCTCTGTCTGCGAGGCCACCGAGAAGGATGTCGACCTGGCCGTCAAGGCTGCCCGTGCGGCATTCGAGGGCGAATGGCGCCAGACCACCCCTGCTGTCCGCGGGCAGCTCCTCAACAAGCTCGCCGACCTGACCGAGAAGAACATTGAGCTCCTCTCCGCCGTTGAGGCGCTCGACAACGGAAAGTCGTTCGCCATGGCCCAGGGCGATGTTGGCGCCGTGGTCCAGACCCTGCGCTACTATGCTGGCTGGGCCGACAAGATCACTGGCCAGACCATGGACATCAACCCCGATACTTTCCACTACAGCCGTCACGAGCCGGTACGTTTTGTTCTTCGCGTTTATAGGAAGCATCACATGCTAAAAGTTGCTGCAGATCGGCGTTTGCGGACAGTGCGTACCCTAGCCAAGTCGCCCTTTCGTTTGTACTCGTGCTTACTCGTATAGGATCATCCCCTGGAACTTTCCCCTGCTGATGCTGTCGTGGAAGATTGCCCCTGCCCTGGCCACTGGCAACACTGTTGTCATGAAGACCGCTGAGCAGACGCCTCTGTCTGCACTGGTCTTCACGCAGTTCGTCAAGGAGGCTGGCTTCCCCGCCGGTGTCTTCAACCTACTCAACGGTTTCGGCAAGGTCGCCGGTGCCGCTATCTCCTCGCACATGGATATTGACAAGGTAGCCTTCACCGGATCCACCGCCATTGGCCGTACCATTATGAAGGCGGCTGCCGACTCCAACCTGAAGAAGGTCACCCTCGAGCTCGGCGGCAAGTCCCCCAACATTGTCTTCAATGACGCCGATATTGAGCAGGCCATCTCCTGGGTCAACTTTGGCATCTACTACAACCACGGCCAGTGCTGCTGCGCTGGTACCCGCATCTTTGTCCAGGAGGGCATTTACGACAAGTTCCTCGAGGCCTTCAAGAAGCGCTCCCTCCAGAACAAGGTCGGCGACCCCTTTGAGTCGGACACGTTCCAGGGCCCCCAGGTCTCGCAGCTGCAGTACGACCGTATCATGGGCTACATTGAGACCGGCAAGAAGGAGGGTGCCACCGTCGAGACCGGTGGTGAGCGCCACGGCGACAAGGGCTACTTCATCAAGCCCACTATCTTCAGCAACGTCACCCCCGAGATGAAGATTATGCAGGAGGAGATCTTCGGCCCCGTCTGCGCCATTGCCAAGTTCAAGGACGAGGCCGAGGCCATCAAGCTTGGCAACGCCACGTCATACGGTCTCGCGGCCGGCATCCATACCAAGGACCTGAACACCTCTATCCGTGTGGCCAACGGGCTCAAGGCTGGTACCGTCTGGGTCAACTCCTGTAGGTTGCCATGGTATGCTGCCGTTGATATTAATACTGACCATTGCCATAGACAACTTGTTGACGCCCCAGGCTTCTTTCGGTGGCTACAAGTCCTCCGGCATTGGGCGCGAGCTCGGCGAGGCGGCGCTCGCCAACTACACAGAGCTCAAGACTGTCCACATGCGGTTGGGCGGCCACATGTTCTAAGGGATTGGGAATCTTGGAATGTACCATGCGGCAAGAAATGCGACATGACTTTATGTAGTAAATATGAAGCCTCTCCTTTGTTGATACCCAGAAAAATTCCTAGAGTGTACGTTGGAAATGTTGAGGAGAAAACTTGACTGTTTGTTCCCTTTCCAAAAGAGAGGGCTTTTAGAACTGCTCAAGACCTACCTACCCAACCCCATCCACCACCAGTCACAGCGTATAAGGTATAAGAGAGCGTCCACATCCAACCATAGAATGCACACACTACGTCTATGGGGCTACGTCTGATTTTATGACCCTCTATTTGTTTGTACTTATTTCAACCCGAGTCGAGGCAGGAAAAAAAAAAAAAAAAAAAAAAAGCAACAAGGAAAACCAAAACAATGGGAGCTGCAGGGATCGAACCTGCGCGTGCGATGCACATTGCGGATGACTGTTATAGGGTAGCCTAAACACAACGCCTTAACCACTCGGCCAAACTCCCTAGTATGGGTACGTTAAAACGGTTGAAATTAGAAACTATAGACTCTTGCGTCTTCTTATCGCGCTAGCGTCAACCATATGGTCGAAAAAAGTTACGAGCCCGCCAGTCTCGTGGAGTTCTTCTACCAAGTCAACGCACCTACAATACACACCTCACTTTCAGCAACGTCGAGAGCGGTCGCGCGAATCAAGGAGCCATGGCGTTCGACGACGACGACAGCCCGTCTAGCACGCGGCCCGACGCCCAGCCCGCGACGGCCGAAGAAGCCCTCGAAGACGAAGACGTCCCCGACTTCAAGCACTTTGCTGCCATGTTCGCCAGTAAGAAGGGCGTTTCCAGCAAGGCGATCCGCAAGGGCGAGAAGGATTTCGAGTCGCACGGGACACGGGCGCAGGACTCGGCGCTCGAGGCAAGCCGCTCGGCCATGGAGGATGTGCTCAGCTATGCGCGGGTACATCGCCGCGACACTTGGGTCCGTGGCTGGTTCTTCCCCGACCGACTGGCGGACAGTGTCGAGGCGCAGCGGATCGTCGCTGTCGAGCACGAAAAGGGCAGTTGGGTCCGGGACATTGGCAAGGTGCACAAGGACGCGGGCGACTTTGCGCGGCTGTGGCTGTTGCCTGAGGAGGCGCTGTACCTGGTGGAGCGCGGGACGCTGGACCTTTGGTGGCCGGACAAGGCGTTTGAGGAGATCATGACAAAGACGAGTGAAAAGGCAGAAGGCTACGGACCAGATGACTACGACGTGGGCTTGCCCATGAGCCTCGAGGCAGCGTACGCCATGCTCCTTGGCGAGGAAGGGGACCGGGGCAAGGTGTCCATGGCCAAGTTCCAGGTCTACAGTCACTTGAAGAGAGGCGGCTTCCACATTCTCCGGGCACCCGCCGACCTGCCCCCGCCGGAGCCGCTGCGCACGCCAGCCGCTCCTACACTTTGGCAGTGGCTCGTCTCCTTGATGCCGAGCAGAACGACCGAACCCGCAGGCTGGGGACCACTCGTCCGGCCGGGACTGTATCGCGCCTACAAGTCGATTTACCAGCAGCTAGACATCACCCCTCGACACAAACCAGTCGTCAGACCTACCTTGGCCCCGGAACCTCAAGATCCCTTCAACGTATTCTTCCACGTGTGGAAGTCGGGCGGCGCTCCCTTCTCCAAGAAGACGCCCCCATGGCCGGATTTCAGGATCGCGGTCTCCGATACATCGTCCTCCCACGTGCCCACGCTGGAGGAGCTCGATGCGCTCTGGCTGTCGTCGGCGCCTTACGACCCAAGCACCCTCGAGGGGCCGGGGCGGATGTACCAGCGCCTGCGCCAGGGTCACAGAAACATTCTCGTGGCGGTTGTGGATAGAGGCCTGGTCAACTTCATCCGGTTTGGCGAGGGTGCCTTTGGCGAGGAGCCGCTGGTCCCGCGATTCGATGCGCCGATGAGGGGTGGCAGGAAAGGAGGCGGCGGACGCGGTGGACGCGGCGGTCGTGGTCGAGGACGAGGCCGAGGACGCAGGTGAAGTCGAGTGTTGACTGAGGCTGAAAGTTTCGCTGTGGATGCGCAACCACATCCTATTTGCTCCTAAGACTACCCGTGTCAAGCGACACACGGATCAACTGACTTGGCTGTGGACAGAGGACCATGTCATGGCTATAACGTGATTTTTCACTACGAAGCGATCAGTGGCGGGGCGCCAGCGTCACATTGGGTGTGACGGCCGAGTACAGGTTATGGGAGGCGTGCCGACGGATTCAGGGTCTTCAGCTGGTGTGGTCGCATTTGAATCCAGGGCAGATAAATGTCCGGACAGACGTGCTTCTCCACCTGGCCCTGCTCGCATATGGCGACAAGTTTGTCGTGACGTGGGTGCCATCAGCTGGACCAGCCTGCTCGCTCTTGAGAGATGGATGCGCATGCCTCACATGCGTCGGACCAGGTGGATGCGGGTTTGTCGCACCTGGTCATGTCCTCGTCACGGGCCCCAGGGCATGGGCGTAACTATGCAACTGGCCAGATCGAGAGGTTCAGGCCGGAGGCTTCTACTGCGACGGCTACAGAGGGCGATGCAAAGAGCGAGGCCTATAGTGTCTGTGGTCATGACTGCTTCAAAGGTGACGACTAGCTCGTGAGATATGTGAGACTGCCAATGGGAGACTTGTGGATGACTGCGAGCAATCATCAATAAATAGACAAGAGGCGTCCAAGATCATGAGCAAGTCCTGCAAACGTCATGATAATGTTTTGTGATCACAAGACCGCCGCGATTCCATCCACCAGCCAACTACAATCTACCTAGTCTTGGCACCAAATCCTCATCTGAAGACTTTTGCAAACTGTACTTGTACTACGATGTCCACGGAGATGCCAATGCGATTGCAACCTGCGCATGCATTGGCGGAGAGACGAGGGTCATGTCTCTCCAGCTGCACTGCTCGTCTGTTATCTCTGCGTTTGTTTCCCTGTACCATGGAATCAATTGAAGTTATGGCTCACTGCAAGCGCGGCCACCTGAATTCCCTGAGGCGAGCTGCGCTGGAATTGAACAAACCCTCGTCAACCAAGACGCAGAAGAGCCGAGACAGGGGTGCACGGGAGAATTGCGCGATGTGACATCCGTACATACTCCAGTTGATGGATGGATGATGAGTTGGCTGGGTGGCTTCCACAGATTATGTGGTAGGCTGGTCCAGACCACCAACTTACTTAATTGCTAGGCCGCTATCGAGAGTTGCGGAAACCCCAGCTGGGATGGAAGCCAGTAGGGCAACCCGAGCGGACGACTGGACTGGAGTGTTTGATGGGCTGCTGCACAGAGACCTTGGTTAGAGCCAGCGTTGCAGTTGATGAGATATAACAACCCCCACCCTCTCAGTCTTGTGTTCACCATTCATTCTCTTCCGAAACCTTCCTGAGTCCTGACCGCCCCTCCAATCCTTCTTCGTCGCCAGTCTCACGCGCGCACACACGCACGCACGCACACGGACACACCACACAAACGGTACTCTTCGAGTCATCTGCCGCAACATGTTGATTAAACCCTTGCCTGTCCCGAGGTAGACACCGTGTTTACACACTGGCCACCACAAAGTCTCTTCTTCAACTCAGCATCTCCTACCTACTCGCCCACTTTTCATCCACCATCCCTTCCCAGGTACTCTCACTGCATCGAGAGGCCAATGGGAACGATCCAGTTTTTTTTCTGATTGACTTGACTTTGCACAACCTGGACAACTTGAGACTCGCGTCCCACTCTCTCTTCATCTCACAACCAACACCCCCCCTGCGACACTTTTCAAAGTCGCCAAACCAACAACGCAGTCGTAAACGACGCGCGACCGCTGCATTGTCGTTTACAAAATAGAGTGAACACTGTAACACTGTTCAATCTCCCTGTACGCGCAACCCTGTCCTTTTCTACACCACAAACAAACACCCGCACATGCCTCACAGCACCAATCTGTCTGAACGCCCCAACGCGCACGACGCGTCGAATGTTGAGGGAATGCAGGCAAACCGCATCCATCATGCTCGACAAACAACATCGTCATCATCAAAAGGTCTTTCAACTAATCTCATCGACTCTTGTAGGTTCGGCAAAGACTCGCAAAAGGAGAATCGCCCAATGTCGTCCAGCGTGCATGAGGATGTCGGCGATGAGAGTGAGCTCAGCGAGCCAGGCAGCATTGAGAACTCGCCGCCCTTGAATCTGGCTAGGCACAACAGGAGACGAAGCGCTCATAGTTCCTACATTCTCAAGGATGACATGGATGAGGACGAGGATGAGGAGCCGCCCGTTGTGAAGAACCCCAGCAGGGTCGCCAAGCGCAAGCGCGCTTCGACTAATGGCGAGGCGACGCTGAAATCACCAGACGACACTGCGCAGACCCTGACGCCTAGCAGGATGGCCACCAGGCCCAAGTCGCGGACCGGCAGACCATCACTAGGAAAGTCGTACCGCGCTCACTCCAACAGCAACAAGGGCGTCGTGCTTGGGCATTGGAGAGACTCCGGAGTACCGGACGAAGATCGGAAGCATGCGGTCATTGGCTTCATCGACGTGAGAGACAGGCTGCGGACCAGGATTCAGTCTTACAACTTGAAAGGCGAGGCGGTAGCTAACATCTGGCCGCTGCCACATAAGACAGGAGGCAGCTGGGTCATCTTCGAGGGCATCTGGTTCTTGCCGCATCTGGTCGGCATGGATCAGCTGCAGGTCAAGGAGTATGTTCGTCTGCGCATAGACGCCCACGAGGACACGGAGGAGGAAAGGAAGGCGGCCGAACTGGCTGCTAAGAAGGAGGCGATTCAGGTTGTGAAGATGAAGGAGGCCTCGAGCACAGAGCCTCCCACGTATCCATACCCGCCGCCGTTGATTGCGTACGGGGCCAACCCCCCCGACACAAAACGTCGAAGGACAAACACGGACCTCAACCCTACACCGACTGCCCCCGAGCCTCCCGCACACACGCGCGCAGGCCTCGAACCGCTTGAGGGCACTCGCCCGACCCGCATCTTTCTGGGCTGTTGGTCAAAGTCCGACGCGGAGAGGGCAGAGGATCGGCATGCCGTGTACGGCATCCTGGGCGGCAACGACATGTTCCGGGTTAAGTTGGTACGGGAGACGCGCACGGGCGAGTACAGGAACGGCAACTTCCCGCAGGGGGCGGGCGCTTTGTGGATTCCGTACGAGGAGGTGGATTTCGAACCGCATCTCAAGAGTCTCACGCGCAACGAGGTCAAGGAGTATGTTCGTATCCGCCAGTATCAGATTGATCATGGCGAGACGGAGGAGGAGCGCATCGTCCATGAGACGCAGGCTGTGTATAGGGCACAGGCGCGCGTCATGGCTCTGCGCTCCGTGCAGAACCACCCCGTGGAGGACGTCGGCCAGACCATGGCCGCAGAGGCCACCGCGGGCACGGCGACCCCTACCAACGGGCCTACGTCCTCCACCGAAGTCCACTCGGGCGCTGAAGGGGTACGCACCTCCCGTAGAGTGGAAGCTCGACACCAGCAGCAACAGGAGCAGGAGCAGCAGATGCTCAAGGAGCAGGAAGAGCAGCGCAAGGTCTCGGAGCAGCAACAGTCGGAGGCTTTGGGTCAGCGACGCGCCTCCGAGCACATGGCGCGGCAAGCTCTAGCAGTATCGCAGCAGCACCAGCCACAGCACAGGGCGACAGTGAACGGGCGTCGAAGTCTCCCCGCTGGTCTTGCGCTGCCCCCCAGCGGCCATTTTGGTCCCCTCCAGAGAGCCACCACCCTTGCGCAGCGTGAAGTCGCACGTGCCGAGGCCACGCAGGGTCGGGCAGATGCCCAGGTAACACAACGCCAACGCGCGCAGGTGGCTGCCGATGAGGCAGCATCGGCCGCTGCCGCCGCCGCCGCCGCCGCAGCTGCCGCATCCTCGAGTCCTGGAAGCCGGCCCAGTAGCACCTTTCAGCAGAACAGCGAGGTCCAGCGCCTAAACAGCGTCTGGGCCCGTCAGGAATCTTTGCGTGCCCGCGCGGGTGCCGAGGATGTCAAGGTGTACGACAACATCAAGTATGAGCGCAAACACCACGGGCCCTTCTTTGGCAAGCTCGTGTCCCCTGGCAATTTGATCAACATTGACGGGGAAGACTACGTGGAGTATCGGGTCTTGACCAAGCCATCATTCTATTAGGAGTGAGTGACGTACGTGGAGACATGTATCATCGTTGGGGGGGGGGTTCGTTTATATCTGTCGTTTCTTGGATTGTCGGAGCTTTGGGTGCTTTGTTTTGTTCATTCCTTTCAGTTCACTTGTGCCTAGAACGTTGCATTCCAAGCGGGCCGTTGTAGCCGTAAATGTCCATCTTTTTTTTTTTTTTTTTGCTTGTCTCTGCTCAACCTCGGGTGACCGACTGCTATGAAGCCTGCTCCTTGGCGTCGTTCTCGTAGCCCTCCAGTTTCATGTCCTTGAGACCAAGCTCTTCCTCCTCCTCCTCTGTCCTCGCGTACTTCTCCTTGGTCATCTTGGGGTCTGGCGCTGGCGGGTCCACGAGCGGCTGCACGAAGCTGCTCGCCAGGGGGTCTGTCAAGACCACGGTAAACGGCTTGTCGCCCTTGATGGCCGAGTCCAGCCCCTCAAAGAACGAATCCCACTGCGTCTTCTGTTCGAGCGCCAGCGAGTCGCCGCCCTGGCCCGTCTCGAAGATCTGCGAGTGCAGGTCGTTCCGGACCTGGGTGAGCAGACCCTCGACCGTGGTGAAGCGCCCGCCCAGCGTGCCAGGGTTCACCTCGAGGTGGAGCTCCGGGCACGCCAGGGCGCACGTCTCGCTCTTGAGAATGTCTCGCGCCAGATCCGTGTCGCCGTCCACGCGCAGCGTGATCTTCTCGCCCTGCTCGGGGATCTCACCGCCGGTCTTGACGTCGTTGGAGCGGTACCCGCAGTCGTGGCAGACTGTGGACATGATGACCACCTGCTTGAAGTGCGGAATGTCCACCATCTTCATGTGCGTCGTGCAGGGGTGCATGCAGCCTGGGCAGGACGCGGGGAAGCTGTACACCTCATCCGGGTTGAAGTCGCCGTCGGCGGCCGCATTCATGGCGGCGGCGACGTTTGAGTCGGTCCCAGACGAGTCACCGATGCCGAGCTCGGCGTTCTGCTCTGCTGTGCGGATGTACTCCCTCTTCGCCCACTTGCCAACGCCATCCTTCAGGTCGGGCGCAATAAAAGAGTTACCCGCCGGGTCGTCGACGTAGAGTCGGAAGGGGAACGCGTCGCCGAGGAGCATCTGGCGGCCCTTGACGATGATCTGCGCGACCTTGGGATAGACCTCTGGCATCTGCTCCTTGCGCGCCTCCTGCCCCATCTCGAGGTCGTCCACGACCGACGACAAGAGACCCTCCACATTTGTGAGCTGGCCACGCCCGGCGGGAATCTCAAGATCGAGCTCAATGAACTTGATGGTGGCTGTGTCGGACTTGACCACCTGACGCTGCATGTCGTCGATCGAGGTCGGCCGGAGCTCGTAGTGGGTGCCCTTGGGCTGGATGGTGCCGGCCGCTTGGATCTCGTTGTTTTGGGTGTTGCAGTGCTCGCAGTGGAACGACATGATGACTACCTCGCGGAAGTAGGGGATCATTGTGAGGAGCAGGCGCGTGGTGCCCTAGAGACAAGACGATGAGTACTCGTGTGTTTCGCCCCGTTTTCTTGACAACTCACATTCTTGCCGCAGTTCATGCACAGCGACTCGATCTCTTCCACTGGAGGCCGCTCATCGTCGTCGTCGTTGCGGTCTTGTGTGTCTGTAGCTGTCGCATCTTTGGTCTCGGAGAAGTTCTTGACCTTGTCACCGATGGCCTGGAAAAACTCCTGAGGCTGTTCGGTCTTTGTGACCTGCGCGGGAATATCCTCGGACGACATTGTCACCACTGATAAGACAGAGATTTGGCTTGTGTTGCAATTGTCAGCCGTGGTAGAGATCGGAGGGGTGGGTTGTTGCAGTAGTGATGATGGAGGGGTCCAGTCCCCTATGGATGACTGCGTCTCGAAAATTTTGGAGGGGCAGCCGCCGAGTGACGTTGGTGTGGGTACCTTCTCAATGCACATTACCTGAGCAATGCTTCTCGATTGTTCGAGGCTCACGTCAGGTTTGGCGGAAGCTCGCGAGGCTCAGTGGGCTTGCACCCTTATTTTGCTGCCCAGCAAGGAGAGCCTGAAGCCCTGCCTTGCGGCTCTTGGTTCGCTTTTTGCTGGTCGCATTGGAGGTTTTGGCTGTGTCTGGTGTGCCAAGGGTGTTCGATGCGGGCGTAGATTTTATTTTGCCTGTCGCAGGTTTGGCTCTGACAGCTTTGGGCGGTGTCGGTAAAGGAACTCTGGTATTCCTGGAGCATAGTTCGCAAGTAATGACCTTGGCCATGTCTTTGGGCGTTGACTGCTTTGTTCGCGGTGCTTTGGTTGGTTTGCGTCGGCGTCTAGAAATGCGACTCGCTTTCACAAGACTGATATTATGAGCCGACAGCATGATGTTGCCGCAAGCGTTGCAGACGTGTTGTCGCTGAACATCTGAAGGAGCTAGATCATGTTGACCCATGAGCTGTCCGCGATGGCTCATGAGGTGGGCTGAGGTCTCGGGTGCAGTTGTTCTAAGAAAATGGGCCGCATCCGTCAGAAAATCCAATGTAGGCTTAAATTCCGTCGCCATGGCGTGTGGGCTGCGATAACAGCTCGTGCGAATCTTTGGAGGTTGAAGTGTTGCAAGGCTTGGATGCCGTGGTTGCTATCCAGGAAAATTAGAGTGGGTCCGCTCATCCTTGCGCACGATCAACAATGTTCGCAGCATGCTACCCTGGATGAGGTACAAGCACCCAATCTTCCTCTTCCATTTGAACTTTTTTCTTCATTAAAAAAAAGGTATGAACTTCTCAAGAACGCTTGATCTCCCAGGTGAGCTCCTTGATGCTGACCTCTTCACCGGCCTTCTCGTCATAGTCGAACCACTCTCCCTCGGTCAGGTCGATCTCAGTGAACTTGGTGGACGAATCGATGCCGTCGGCAAGCCAGTCGCCCTATGGCCATTAATATCAGAGCATATCCACGCCAGATTCTTACTCACCTCTGGCTTGAATTCGACGAATTCGAGACCGCGACAGTCAAACTCTATGATCTTCTGGACCTTGGGGGGCTCACTCCGCTCGTATGCTTTGGGCGCCTCCTTAATCGATGCGGTGGACTCGCGCTCCTCGACGTCAGCATGTGGCCGAACATGCATGTATAGAGGGTTAATGCTTACCTTGCAGTTCTTGCATCGCCAGACAAAGTTGGCCTCGCCACGGCTTCCGCTCATTTCATTCATTTCCTACATTGTCAGCGCGAGACTTGGAGGCAATGCCCACGTTGGACGTACGAAGCGGTTGACACCAATGTAGTTGTTGTGCGTCTCTCTACAGGAGGTACACTGGACCTTGAACATGTACCAAAAAGGGTTGTCTTCGGAGTCATCGGGGCGTAGGTTGGTGACGCTGTGAGGATGTTAGCTCAGGATCAACGTCTCAAAGGTGACACTAACCCCTCGAGCTCAGCCTTGAGTGTGAGAGTGAACATATCGACAGGATGCTTTACCACACTTCACAATAGCTATGCTGTTGTCTGGCTGTTTGTGTTAGTCGAAGGCGTCGAGTGAAAGCTTCAAGTGAGAGGGGGATGGGGACCACGTGACCTGAAAACCAACCCATGCACTCCCGAATCCCAATTCCGCAAGGTCCATCAGACCACCACCATACGACTTTCCGACCCGGCCCAATTGATTCCCCACGACGACGGCAGACCTCAATATCATGGGTGGCGCATCCGTCATTCGATTCTTCTCATGAAAACACTTTGGCAAAGGGCCAAGCAGGCCCACAGCTGCGGCTGTCGGGCGTGCAGCACCGTCGCCCGGGGCGCCAGCAAACGAGTAACGACCCCCCGTCGAAAAGCAACATTTGCCGAGATCTTCACCGCCGCCTACAGCTCAGTCTTTGCATCGGCTGCCATTGTCGACTCGATACGGAAGGATGAGCGGCGGAGAGACCTCGATCGCCAGCTCGACGAAGCGCGGCGCGACCTGGCAGCCTTGCGGGAGCAGGGTAGCGGCAGGAGAGCAAAGGGGGTGGACAATATGAGCGCCCAGTCGAGCATATCGCTACTGACGGATGAGCAAATGCATGCCATCTGGCAGGCTATGAAGGGTATCTGGAAGGCTGGAGCATCAGCAGGTCACTTGCAGCCGGCTGAGGCACAGCGGCACCGACATTTGGTGCATGTGTACCTCAACGGACGAGGGTTTCCGATCGATTCAAGGAACGCAAATACATCGGAGCAACTCGAGCTAGCACTGCTCGCCGAGGAATCGGAGCATGCCTCGTCACCGAGAGATCCTGAAGAGCCTGCACATATGGAAAAGTTCGGTGAGTCCATTGGCTCTCTGGTCGGGCGGCTCCTGCGCCAGGTGGAATTTGTGGAGGAGGGCGCTTGCAGTCCATCATTTGACGAGGCGACGAGCGTGCTTCGGACGAGCCATCATCAGTACGGCTATCGCAGCTGCAACCCGGCGGCCGCCGCAGCCAATCTGAAGGCATTGAACAAGGCTAACCAAACGGCGATCAACGATGTCAATGCTGGGGTCAAGGAGAAGGTTGGCAGGGTGTGCTACAACCTGCTCGTGTCGGCCTTTCCTCCCGACATGAACATCTTCAACACACTGATTGCGGGCTTTGACAAGGACCCCGCGACACGAAAGTTGTCCGGACAGATGGTAGACTTTTTTTTCACCAAATCCCTCCTCAAACCGACGCCTTGCACATTCGCGGCCATTCTGCACCACTACAGTGTCACGGGACAGCATGAACAGTTCTTCCGCACCATGGCTTGTATCTGTGGATCCGACGCTACCACGGGCGCCAAATTGATGCGGCGCAAGGTCAAGGATCTCAGGAAGAGTCGTGAGCTCCAAGCATGGGCGGCGGACGAACAGCAACGCTCTACGCACAGCGGCTACGTGTGGCAACACGCATCCTTGAATATGATTGTCGTTGAAGAGATGCTCAGCGGATTGCTACGACTGGGGTCATTTGACAAGGCGATGGAGATTTTGACTGTTGCTCTGCAAGCCGGCGTACGGCTTGCGTCGAGGATCGTCAAGCAAACACTTGATGAGTGCCTCGAAGCGTTGGATTGGCGGGCTGGCTGGGAACTCACGCACCAGCTAGCCAGACATGAGAGGATCTGGCCCGTTCTTATGATTGATCGGGACCATGAGACGGCGGCCTACATCATCGACCGCGTGGTTTCTCTAATGGCCATGGTGGGTGCAGGCACGCGCGGAGTCACACTGGCCGATTCGGAACTGTGCCAGATTGGGCTCAGCCGATCGCAACTTGCCAGGCTATGGAGGCAACTGTCAAAGACCAACGCAAGTCTGCCGAACCCTGCACGACTGCCCCGTCTTGGGACCGCCAATGGCAAAACACGCGTTGCAAGACGCACACGTCGCCTGCAATTCCTCAGCGCGGACGCCGAGGTCACACGAATCAACAGTGCGCTGATTGGCAGGCGATCCAAGAACACGCAAATGTCCAAGATTTCCGTGTCGTATCGCAGGAGGCTCGTTCTACATCGAGGTGAAGATTTAATGCGCGAGATACAATTCTGGCAAAAGAAGGTTGAGGAGGCGCTGGAGCCGTTTGGTTCTTTACGTCTGGGAACGGTGACCATTGTCGAGGCGGACAACCCCCTGAGCGTGGCTCACAAGGTCAAGACACACCCGCTGGAGGGACGCGCGCTCAGAGGGGGCTACCGGGGACTTCCTCGGAAAGGAGGAGCAGCGGAACATTACGAGGACCGGTTTCCTTGGGCATTGATTGCATCGAGACGAACAGCAACAGGGGCGCAGCAGAAGAGCACTACGTGGTAGATAGACGGACAGACCAACGTCCATATCTTGTATAACCCAATGAGCGAACAGCCGCTTTGTACACAATGCAATACAGAGTCCAATTCATCAAACCCCATTGCCACGTGCAAATTGACTGGAGTGGTCAGCGGCTTGTGAAGAAAAGAGCGGTGTTCTGCCGTTTGCCCAGTCACTGTCGTCGAGGCTGGCACGGAGGTCAGAAGACGCCGTGTGGTTGGCCCAGCGGAGAGGGAAGTTGGTGATGAGCCTCGCTTTGGGCGGGACCGTGATGCCATCAACAGATTTAAGTTGCACAGCAGTACTTCCGCGCACAGCCAAATCTGCGCCAAAGGCTTGTACTCTCACCGCAGCCTATCTGTCGTGCAACAGGCCGTGGTCCCGGCGGCCCCACCACCATTCCACCGTGATTGCCTCTGATGTCACTGCTCTGCCGCTCTGTCCCCTTGACACCTAAGTAAGTGCTGGTACTATCGTGGTCAAAATCAGGAAACAGCCACCGGTCGAACTGGCCAGCCAACGAGCCATCTCGCGTACACACTTTCTGAGGACGAGAGGCTAGAATCAGGGGTCTCGATCACAAAGGAAAGTTTGACACCACTTTAAGTTATGTCTTGAGTTCAGGTACCTTGGTACGTGGCTTCAGCCGAAAGAAATGGGTCTTTGTTGCGATTCAGATCCCTGAAGTTCTACTAAACCTCGAATTTCTCTGCCTCCACATCGCAATGCCCTGATTTCAAATACCTATCATCGCGGTCTTAATCTGCAGACATCACCTTCGTTATCTCGCACTTTGATATATATTGTATTACTACTATAGCATCGCGCATCTGCCGCCCCTGTTGCGGCGCCCCTGGTGGACCTGTCCTGCAGCCCGCAACTATCCCTCACCCGTTCGGATACACCCTGCACTGACTGACCCCAGCGAACGCCGAAGGGCGGTGTCTTGCCTCAGGTCATATCTTGTTCCTAACCCGACTTCAATTCGCCTCGCTCCGCACAGATATATCCTTCATACAAGTGGCTCCGATCACACGGGCTGAAGCAGGCTACAGCCGGGTTCGCGTCACGTTGTTGCCAAGCCAGCCATTCAGGCCACTGAGCTGATTTCGCAGTACCAGACACGCCTGTCCCGTCCGGTGATCGGCCTTCCTACTAGAACCCATCATGAAATTTGGTCGCAAGTAAGTGTCCTCGCGGACGTTGGCTACGGGTGTCGATATAACAGTAACGCTGACCTAGGTGGCAGCCTCCCTCGCAACCAGGTCCCTGAATGGGCAGCCTCATACATCAATTACAAAGGTCTCAAGAAGCTGATTAAGGCCGCTTCTCAAAAGGCCAAGAACGGCGAGACCGTCGATCCAGCAGGTGGGCCTTGACCAGCTACCGCGTTCTTGTGTGATGAAAGACCCCGTGTTCCTAACCTGGGGTGTTTACAGAATTCTTCTTCGCCCTGGACCGCAATCTCGAGGACGTTGATGCATTCTACAACAAGAAATTCGCCGACGCTTGTCGGCGTCTGAACGTGCTGCAGAACCGCTATGGCCGCGTGCCGGATGTGGTAGAGAGCTTGGATCAGGATGAAATTGAAGAGGTCATGGGTGCGCTGCTGGACTTGCGCACACAGCTGAGGAACTTGCAGTGGTTTGGTGAGATCAATCGACGCGGTTTTGTCAAGATCACCAAGAAGCTGGACAAGAAAGTGCCCCAGATTGCGACGCAGCATCGGTACATTTCCACAAAGGTCGATCCAAAGCCCTTTGCCAAGGATGGCACCATCAGCCGGCTCCTTGCCGACATCAATCGCTGGCTCGGTGCACTGGGCGAAGCGCAGAATATGGACGACTCCAGGTCTGACCGATCCACTCGCTCCCTTGGTCGCGTGTCAAACAAGGCCATGGTTCTGTTGCCCCAGGCCCAGCTCGACTCTCTGGACCAAGCCGTCCGCACGGATAACGTCGAGGCACTGCGATCTGGGCTGGCAGAGGCCAAGTTGAGCACCGAAGGGGGGACAAAGACGGTTCTCTTGAATCTTCTTCAACGGTCCATCTCTTCTCGGTCGAGGAACGCCATGCTGTTTCTGCTTGATCATGTCAAGGACCTCGAAGAGCCGGATGACATCAATGGTCGCAATTGCATTCATCGCCTCGTCATTCATGTTGGTCGCACCAAGATCACCCCTTCGGAGCAGGACTCCAATACATATCCCGTTCCTGCAGGCACGCAGTTCAACAGACACATCCAGCCTGCTGTTTCCATGTCCGCTCCCGTCAAGGAGCTCAACACTGGAGAGGCGCAGAAACTCGCCAGCGATGACGAGGCGGTCAAGACCCTTGTTTTCTTGTTGGACAACTTGAAGCCAGAGCAGCGGACGGCGCTCAAAAGCCGCGACTCGTTCGGGCGGCTGCCCCTTCACTACGCCGCGCAGTTTGGATTCGTCATTGTTTGCCAAATTGTCATGCAGAAGATGCAGGAGTGGGAACAATTTGACGTCAAGAATGGGCTGGACGCTCCTGAATGGCAGGACAACGACGGACGGGCACCATTGCATCTCGCCGTTATTGGTGGCCATCCCCTGACGACCAAGGCCTTGCTCCAAGGCGAGAACTGGCGGCCCAGCAGTGATGCCAAGGCCGACATTCGTAAAGGTGTCCCTCAGTCAGGCGCCGTCCTGGCAATAGCCACCAAGGCCAACTATACAGTGATTGTGGAGATGCTCGTGCAAGCTGGCGTCGACGTCAACTGGCGTGATGCGACGGGCGAGACGGCGCTGCACGTGGCTGCTAGGTTCGGTCACGACGAATGCGCTGCAGTCATCCTCAAGGGAAGCGAGACCACAAAGGCCGATCTCAGCATCGTGGAAAACACGTACGCTTGGACGCCTTTGCATGTGGCGGCTGTCGACGGACACCTGTCTGTGGCGAAACTGCTTGTCGACGCTGGCGCCGACGTTTCTAAGCTCGACTCGTCTGGCTGGACAGCAAAGGAGCACGCTGCGCTACGCGGGCACATTTCAATTGCCAAACTTCTTGCTCAACACACCAGCGAGGAGCAGATTGCGGCGAAGGCGGGAGGCTCCGCCTCGTCCACGCCAGGCGAGATCAGATCCATTGACGAGCGCACATCGAACGGCAGCGGTAGCAATTTACGTCCAGCCGAGCCTGTCAAGACTTTTGGTCACAGATACTTGACCAACCAAAGTCTAGTGCACGTCAGCCTGGGTTCTATGGATCTTCGAAAGCGCATCGAGGCCATCAACCTCGACCGAATCCCGCTCAACGAGGCGCACAACACTCAGTTGGACACAGCCCTGTCCGTGGTGGTGTCTGCGAGTGGCGCGACTGGCGAGCCGACGATCATAGACTTGCCAGTGCACGATAACGTCTCTACGGAACCCATCGTGTTCACGACGCAGGAGGCCACCAAAGTCAAGCTGTTCTTCGACATTGTGCCGACTTACTCAGGCAACGAGAAGCACAAGATCGGTCGGGCAGTCGCCCTCCTCTCCTCCATCAAGCCTACTCTTGGCGGTGGACGTGTCAACCTACAAGGCGATGTCTGTGTACCCATCATGTCGAGCAGTCTCGAGGTCATTGGTACCGTCAACTTCAACTTCCTTGTCATCACTCCGTTTTACCATCCCAATATGGAGGTCACATCGCGGCACACGTACTGGAAAAAGCTGTCGTCGACCATGCTCATCGGCCACCGTGGCCTGGGCAAGAACATCACGTCGAACCGCTCCCTTCAGCTTGGCGAGAACACATTGCCATCTTTTATCGCGGCAGCCAACCTGGGAGCGCAATACGTCGAGTTTGACGTGCAGCTGACCAAGGATCACGTCCCTGTCGTGTATCACGACTTCTTGGTCAGCGAGACTGGCATCGACGCTCCCGTACACACTCTTACCCTGGAGCAGTTCCTCCACATTAACCCGGATAGCAGCCGCAGCCACAGCGCGAACCGAAAGAATGGCACCGGCGGCGGGCCGATGGAGAGGGTGCAGAGGGACGGCCCTAGGAGAAGCCGCAGTAACAGCTTCACGCCGACCCGTTCCCAGTCCATGGGAATCGCCGGCCGCGGGTTATCGGAAGATCTCGACGAGCGGATGAAGCACACCCGCGACTTCAAGGAAAAGGGCTTCAAGGCCAACTCGCGCGGCAAGTTCATCCAGGCCCCCTTTGCGACGCTGGAGGACTTGTTCCGGAAGCTGCCGGAGAACATTGGCTTTAACATTGAGATGAAGTATCCCATGCTCCACGAGAGCGAGGAGCACGAGATGGACACGTACGCCGTCGAGCTCAACTCATTTTGTGACACGGTCCTGTCCAAGGTGTACGACTTGGCCGGGGAGCGACACATCATCTTCAGTTCCTTCAATCCTGACATCTGCCTATGTCTCAGTTACAAGCAGCCGTCGATTCCCATCCTGTTCCTGACAGACGCAGGGTGCTGCCAGGTCGGCGACATCAGGGCCTCATCGCTGCAGGAGGCCATCCGATTTGCAAGCCGCTGGAATCTGCTCGGCATCGTCTCCGCTGCCGAGCCGCTGATCAACAGCCCGCGGTTGGTCAAGGTGGTCAAGGAGAACGGCCTGGTCTGCGTGAGTTATGGCACAGCCAATAACGATCCTTTGCTGGTCCAGGTACGTCTAGAGTGCGATTCTTTTCGGGGATGGTCCGGAGACTGACAGATCCGAACAGCGTCAAGTCAAGGAGGGCATTGATGCGGTCATTGTTGATAGCGTCCTGGCCATCCGGAAGGGCCTCACCACCGGCGAGACGGCTGGCGAGACCCCGAAGGTGGGCGCCGACCCCGGCCTTGGCGCCGATATCAAGCTCGATTCAGAGATGAGGCTCGACATTTCCGCGTGAGGGGATACTTGGCAATGGCGCGATCTACGTGTAGAAAAGACGGGACAGGGAAAAGAAAGAAGCGTTGCATGAGCCCTCGATCGTGGTGGGGACTGGAGTCTGTTGCACGCCATGCAAGCCGAAAATGCTCGAATGCATAAGTGCTCACTATCCACATACTTTCTGATCTTGCACGCTGTGCGGAATATTGTACCCGATGCGGTGATGAAGCCAATTCAGCACGAACGACATGGACCAACCGTTCTAGATAGGACGTCCTGGAGCCCGGCGAAGCCCTATCATCCACAGGAGGCCAAACGTGCTCCCGTTGGCTGCCATCACTAGCGAGGCCATGCTTGCGGGGGACCTTGGACTAGTCAGTTCACCATGGAAATGTGCGACAGACAGCATGGTGAAGTTGACAGGAACCCCGTCTCACTCTCCTGTCTCTCTTCTTCGGCATCGTTGTCACGGGGCAGTGTCTTCCAGAGCCGCGGCCAATAGATCCAGTGGAGAGTGCATCTGTCCGACTAGTGATGAGCCTGCAAAGGCCAATGTCCGAGTATAAGGGCAGCACTCTCATTGGCACTGGTGGAGCAGAAAGAACAGAAGACGAATGGAGAGCCGTTCATCGGCTCACAGCTGGGAGGAGAAACGTATGTCTCAGACGTTTCTTGGACGCTTGTGAGTGCATGGAGAGCGAACGACGGCGACAGGATAGCTGAACGATTCGATTTTCTGGTGGATGGTGTGCTGCTGTGCCTCTCCCTTTCCTCAGATGCGAGACCGAAAGTAGGGGCGCCACCCACCCTGCCATGTGTGTCACTCTCTTCCTAGCTCGTGTACACGTCGTGTTGGCTGGATAGTCCGGCAAGACACACGCAATTAAGCGCGCTGTACGGAGTAGTTGGTGGTCTTCCAAGGACGTGCCGCTCGTTCACAGTGCCCGGACTCTGCACTCACGCTGTGCGGCAATGGGTGGAGGACGTGGACGTGGTGATCAAGAGCAGTCCTCCGGGAGCGCTGTGAGCTACCCCCTCGGACCACAGCATCGCATACCCGCTCGTGATCTGTAATGCATGGCGGTATTGTGTGATCATACTGGTATCATCGCCAACTCGTCTGATCCTATAGGGCTCATGACTGTGGAGATACTACTGCAACACCCAGGTCGCACAGTGGTCTTGTTGCGCTGTGATCGCAGATCGAGTCGCGGCTCCGTCCAAACCCTCCTCCTAGCCTCTAGGCTCCTTCCCTGTAACCGCCCCATAGTTAGCCGGCTGGGGAAGAGCAAGTCAAGATCTCATCGTACAAAAAGCCAGAATTGGTGCTATGGTGCTATGGTGCTCCAATCTAGGTAGCCTGTGCGACAACACCGCAAGCGACCAAAAGCAACAAGTATCCAGTCCTCGGGGCAGTCTGTCCCCGGAGGCTGGGCGGCTGGGCCCCGCTCCAGTCATTTCAAGTTGCCTGCCGGCAACCTGTCGACTGCAGGGCCGTCAAGTTTGCAGAACGCGTTACGACTCTACGATCTCAGGCACGAACATGCACGTTGACGTTGCCTGTAGGCAAGATCCCGCACGCACTTGTAGCTGCTGGTGACTGGAGTGTGCGGACTCGAGAGAGCTCCATAATAAAAAGAAAAAAGGCGTGCAGTGTGCACGCACACCCTGAGACAAACGTTCAAGCTATCCCGGTTGACAGCTCGGGTATTGTATCCGCATCCGTAGTACAACTGCTCTTGCTCAGCTCCATGCTTGAGCTAGATGAGTGCATGCTGGTGCGGACAATCTGTAATACAAGTAGGCAAGACTCCATACTGAGAGAGCTCTGCGAACCCGAGGGAAAGGGACACTTGGGACGGACCCAGTTGCTCGCAAGCCGCAACTGCAAGCCTCGTTTGCCGAAAGGGATGGCGCGCATATCCACTGCTGCACTACTGCAACAGGAGTTGGTGAGTCGCTCCAGAGCAGACCAACTGCGTCCGCGCATAGCTGGTGGATACAGAAGCTTGAGTTCGTTGTCTCTTTTCTCTGTCAGCTCAGTGCGTGCCTTGCGCAGCCTCGTCGTCATCCATGGTCGTAGACAAAGAGCACTTTTGGGGCTCATCATGTCCCCTCAGGTACGGTATCCTGAGCCCTGCGGCTTTGTTGGCCCTGCGCCTATATGCAAAGTGGGCTGCTGGGTTGCGGCAGCTTGTATCCGAGCAGCCACTGGCGATTCTTCATTGGACATTTTCTGCGTTGCGGACCGCGTTGACGGCCTTTGCGGGAATTAGCTGCGCCGTTTGCCGTGAAGATCTACTTGTTGCTGTGAGGTTGTCACAGCTCGCTGGGCCGAGAACCTCTATATCGGTAATTGCTGGCACAAAGCGCGCCAGTCTCGACGATGGCACGACGTTCTCGGGACGATCTTGGTTCGAAGATGTTGAGTTGTGCAATTAAAACGCGTTCTGGCCATCCACACATGTTGACATACCAAACTACCAACTCAACCACAAATGCTGGGTTTTGAGCGTCTGAACCCTGGGCATTACGTATACAATTGTTCAATGGGCACACGGCCAGTGACGCCTGTGAGACAATCTCAGCGATGTTGGAACCAACAGGAGTTGAAAGGACGCAGCTTTGTTGAGAGGATCTATACTGTAATAAGCCAGCGGCGCTTTACGCTAGGCCCGGCGCGCTTCCCACGACAACGAGGCGGGCAGTAGTAGTGCGTGGTAGTGGCTTATCTCGAGTAGACGTAGGAAGCCAAGGAGTATTTTTCGGGGTAGACACTGGGCCTGGGACTGTCAACAGTCAACATGAAGAGCTTACGCACTGACTTCGGCGAAATCTGCATCCACTCTCAAGCCAATATTACGTTTGAGGACGCCATTCGCGTGTGCGAGAGATGCACTATCGTACGATTTCTATCAAGAAGTTCCCCAGTCCCCAGAGTGTGGGTATCAACTTATTGATACGAACTTGCAAACTTACGAACCAGGCGTCGGCGATTGATTATCTCCGCGTGGAACTTGGAGGCTGGGGGTTCCTTGCAGGGCCCGAGGGCGCCAAGTGACGATCTTTGGTGAAAGGGGTGCGCATACGTAAGATCGCTGTAGATCGCTAGCCTCATGGAGACTTCTTCAGCTCAGGTCGATGGGGACGGATGAAGAACTGCTGTTCCAATGGCCGAAACGCGAACTCACACAACGATGAGCGCCTGCAAATAACGTTGGACGTGGCGTCGTGTCGCCGCAAGGGGTTCCAAACACCTGCATCGGGACGCCATCGTCTACTAATTAGAGAACTGGGAAAGGTACGGAGTATCCGTAATGAGGGACAAGGTAATATGGTTGAATCGTATCGTGAAATCGGCGACTCCATAACAGCGACACGGGCCCCTGGCTGTCACGAGGTTATAGATTCAGGCTTCAGCTGCCCACAGTTGAACAGACAGATCTCAGCGCCTGAACGTACGCACGCACCGGCAAGATTCCAGTCTAGGGTGCGCTAGTGGATGGGATGTGTTGGTTAGTAATCAGTCTTGTCGATCCCTCATTGGCCCGAGTACGGACACGAGGGGAGTGATTCTGAACAAATAAACAACACCAGGAAAACATGCCGTCAATGGCCGTCCTTCACTACGTGTAGATCGTACCTGCGCTCGGAATGAGCTTAGTAAAGTTCCAGCGGTTTATTGAACGACGATTTAGAGGTAGGACATGAATTTTAATGTTTGCCCACAGGTAGGTCCCTCTCCACCGTACGCCGTAAGAATGGGCCGGAGCCTGGCAACTTCATTGCTTCTGCGGGCAGCGTGCGCCGCCTTTGGATCCAGCCGCTATGCTCACTCACGAACGCTCTGCAACCTGCCAAGGCTTCTGTACATGTAGTGTAGACTGCAGTCTGGTCCTTGGGGATTTATGCAACAACTGGAGGGGGCGGAAGGTTGTAGTCAGTAGGTACGACAAAACCCCCTCCCCAGTCAACCACAGGGTGGTTCCCATGCGTGGATCGACACGTCCCTTAGTGATATACGTGAGTACACGTCCGTCTCCTTATGCTTAAACCTGGCGAGGAACAACGAGACCAGACCAGGCTCGTCGCCATTTGCATCAATTAGGCATCAGAGTTCAACCGCTAGAGACCCCATCAACGACTCTATGCCCCAAGACAGCTGCTCTCAAGAGCGATGTCACCCGCAAACGCTTGCAGCGGCCTGCCGCAACAGCCAGCAACGTCGGCGACCTTGCTGTTCGAGGTGGACACACACACGCATAAGCAATGAATGCGCGATGTACCTAGCTCGGTACGCACTGGCCTACCCCTGGCAGTCCCCGAGAACGGACGACGATTGACCTGGGCAGATCGGAAGAGGGTCCCGTGGTCACTTCCCTTGGCCTGCCTGTCATGTGATATATCTGGCACTGTGCTCTTCTTGCATACGCCGTTCCCGATATACTGCTCTTCCGCGGCCAATGGTATCCTGCGCTCCCTCAAGCCCATCGCTACGGGTCGTGGGTCGTCTGGATCGTACCGCAGCAGTTCAGCTACCATAGCACGCGCTAACTGCAAGCTCATGCCCTGGCTGCCAAACAAAGAGCTTCGCGGGATGGGTCTGCGGTTCACGTCTCAGTCGATACACACACACCACGGCATAGTTTGGACTAAGTTAGTATAGTTGCCAGGCTCTCCGTGTTTCCGTGGGGATCGGGATGGTGCCAGCTGTGGCGTATTATCTGTCCGACGTTGACTAGCAAACAGCTGCACTTTTGACTCCTCCACGACGTTGCTGCTGATACGCAGTCTCGTCTTCCCGACGTTGCTGCTGATGCGCAGTCTCGTCTTCCCGACGTTGCTGCTGATGCGCAGTCTCGTCTTCCCGACGTGGACAAGGCTCAGGTTATCATCAGTCAAACAGCGTGGGACGCGCCGAGTGCCCAGGTAGATTAAACTCATGTCTTTGCCACAGAGCGGCATGAGATGAAGTGACCCGTGGCCATAGCCACAAGAGAGGGCGGTCGCACGTTAAGAGCTTGGTGTTCACCCCTTTGGGCCTAGCTATGCAAGCTTTTCCTAGACTCATCGTTCTCATTCCCGTTCCCCATCCTGCCGGAGGCTTTGCGGCAGCCATCGCGGCAGCTATGGCGGCTGCGGCCTATCGAGTGATGCTTGCTGTATTTGCGATCTGGGGGTGTTGCGAGCCCTGCGTACGCCTACTGTTCCTCACCTGAAAGGCTCCATCACCGCTTCCCTTACCTCCTGGTGGGCGTAGCTCCATGTGCGGACAGTAGCCGACCATCTCTCGCAAGACGAAAGAGCTGTGGGCTAGTCAACGGGCACGCTCCCAACCCTGGGAACAACGTTGAGTAGCACTGGCACTCCAGTGCACGGTGGGTCGGTCACTTGTTGCTTCTGCCTCTTGTGTTATAAACTCTTAAGACTAGGCCTGCTCCTGTTGCATATATCCTTGACCCGGTCCCTGGACGCTTCGGTTACCTGCCCTCTCCCGTGCTTCAGACTCCCATGCAGATCGTCACTTACCCCAGGTAGTGGTCACTTCTCATGTGCATTATAGCACATCACTGACTGATCTTCTCCAGGGTCCGTACCTCACCAATGTGACGAGGACGAGTCTATGCATTGTCCAGGCCATACGACGGCGTCTCATATGTGACTTCGACCGCTTCCAATGAATAACGAAAATTGAAGATATACCTCAGCCTCAACTACACGTCACGGCCAGCTTGATCGACAACATCAGTCCGCTTCGCAGGATTCGCATCAAGGTTTCAACTGCGTGAAAGCATTCAGTCTATCAGGTATCTCTGGTTACACGACGATCCTGCCCTCGACCAGCTGCAAGCAACTGGTAAGGGATATCGTCCCTTTTCTCAAAGCTTCTGTATGCAAAGGACGGGCGCTTAAGTTTTTGGTATAGCAGGGAACCTTGTTCCGCTCAAGAGATGGAACAAATCAGCTTTTCACAAGAGCGTCACATCGCCCCTCGATTCCCTTGTCCCTCTCAATCATGTGGCAAGGTGAGTCGAATCGATCAAGTGATGGCAAGGTTGCTGATGAACCCAGGGCTTCACACGAAAGTCGGACCTTGAGAGGCATTATCGCATCCACACAGGCGAACGTCCCTACGCCTGCGAGTTTCCCCATTGTGGCAAGAGCTTTGTTCAACAAAGTGCCCGCAAGCAACACCACCGAACCCACACTGGGGAAAAGCCTTATCAATGCCAGCACGGCGACTGTGGCCGCAGCTTTGCAGACGTAAGTGCAACACTACACAGCCTTTCAATGTCTCCTAACTGTTTCAGTCATCTAGTCTCTCCCGGCATCGGCGAGTCCACACTGGTAGCTTGCCGTTTGCTTGTGGAGTATCGGGATGCACAAAGAGGTTGGTCCACCGAACCACGGCTTGTGAGTCTCTCTAATGCCGCCAGGTTCGCCCGTAAAAAGACCTTGATCAAGCACATGGGTCATCATCCCATGCGTTATACGCGATACGAGGCACATGGCGTCGATATCGAGTCCGAGACGGCTGGAGTTGGTCGGGACACACTGTCGAGCTCTCCTGAGATAAGCCTGTGGTCCGACTCACAGCCTTCTTCGATGGACATGGCTCAGCATTTCGTCGACTCACAAGTACAAGACACAGCTGCCAAACGTGAGGTGATCGACTGTGGCAACGAGCCCCAAGCATACCACACCATCAACGTTCATGGGTATGGCCCCGACCACAACCATTCCGGGATGCCCATCATGATGCCCGATCCCTACGGTCACGACTACGACTTTGAAGAAGATGTTGACGACTGCCCCCCACTTGACGGTCCTGACTTCGCTCACCGCACTGCCTTTGATGAGCATCACAGCCTTGATGACGTCTCCGCAGGCTCAAGCTTTACCTCGAACATGTCAAGCGACGATTCATCTGTCTACCATGTCAAGCCGACAGCAACATCCTTTGAAGGGTCGCCGACGTTCGATGAAGAGGCTCCCCAGCCGTCGCTGGAGTATGGTCTCCCCGTAAGCCAGCAGTTCAAACACGTTGCCATGGAGTCTTTGTCGCCAGTTGTCCAAGGCGACGCGCTCGGTCTCCAGGTACCTGAGATGTGGCACCAACCTCCCGAACTACCCGGAAGGCTCATGGATCACTTGTCGATTCTGTCGATTCAGGGGCTTCATGGCTATCCCACATTTGGCCACTCCTTGTCCTACATGGACGGGAAGGCCAAGCAAGAGGCCGCCGCCTACAACTACGTGGCGCACGAGGTGGCTTCCCTCCTTCCCGGACAACGCAAGAAGAGAAATGAGCTTTTCGACTTCTGATGCTTGTCTGTCTGGCAGGCACATCTGTACATACGACACATCCACCCCCCCAACACAAAAACCAACAAACACAAATGGGCGGCCAACTTGTCTTTCACCAGGATACCACTGATGCGAAAATTTCAACTTCGGCGCGGCATGGCAGGAAATGCCATTATGCCGAATTCATTGTTATTGCTGTTCGATTCCCACTACCCCTTTTGTCATTCAAGTTGCTTCATCAGGGCACGACCTCGCCGGTCGTGACTCTGCCTCCTCCTAGTTGCCATGATTCTTTCACAGGGTCGGAAGACCTATTTTTGCACACACTCTCTGTTTGTTTATTTCCCCTATGTCATGTTTACGACGCGCACGGAAAACGGAAATGTTGATGATTGCATGATGCCATTTTTGACGAGCAAACGAAAATCAAATGGATGATGGAAAGCATGGGAGGCTAGTCAGGCGCCCCCGGCACTCTTTTGAATACCTACCTTAGCTGCCCAACCTTGAGACAAGTTACGCGTGCTGCTAACACAGTAGAGTGCCTTGCGAAGTGAAGACTGTGAAGTACGTAGTGAAGTGCGATGTCGGCGCCAGAGAGCGCACTGACTCGGCTCCACCGCGATGACTAAGCATATCCACGTCCGATGTACGTCAATTGGCCTAGACCGACCGCTGAACCGCACCTTCGGCTTCGCGCGCGTGCCTGTTGGGGTCATAATTGACCTGGCTTCTCAAATAGTGGCAAGTTCTCCCCCACGGAAACTCGTCAAAGCCTGTGATTATTACAGCACGACTCGCGGTCTGAACGAAAACATCCGCGCGCCTGTCGCATCATGCGCTGACTGCTCGCCCTACGATTTTTCTTGTCTCATCCAGTTATCTTTGTCCAGGCATACTTTCATGAAGCGCCATCCCTACACTCTTCGTGGCTTCAAAGTTCGGCTAGTCGACTAGCACTCCTCGGTCTCCTGACGTTCGCTCCTTGTTTATTATTTCGAGACAGACTAGTGAACAGAACTGGGCTTCAAGCATGGCCTCTCTAGGTCTCAGGCTGTCGGTGCGTGGATACTCTGCCCTTTGTTCTCCGATGACACGCTGACAATTCCCTAGGCAATGGCGCCTGTGCCGCGGATGGCCCGTACAGGCTGGATGGCTTGGCAGAGGAAACTCGCGCAGCCTGTCTTCGAGTCGACCTCGGTACTACGATCGCTTCGACCGATGTCGCATAACCTAGTTACCCCTGTGGGCTCCTTGCGCATGCTATCCAGCGGAGCGAGAAGCATCCCTAGCACATCACTAGCATCATGGTCATCATCGCATGGTCAACGGTCTTTCGGCACTGCCAACGGGGTGCCTAGAAATCAGCTCGCCAGCAGTGAGGCAAACGCCAACCGGGACCCCAACAACGCCAACCTCCAGAATGCCTTTTATAACCTCCTGCTCCGCGCCAACATGCCCGGCATCGTCGTCACCCGCCACCAGTCTGGCCGATATGGTGCCAATGCGGCCACGGAAGAACTATACAGCCGGGCTCTCGGTGCCGTTCAAGGGTCCGGTGCCATGTCCAGCACGTTCGGTACCGGGGGGCACCAGCCTGTCTTCAACACGGGCTACGGTGGCGCCGCGGCACAAAACCAACACTTTGGCATGGGCGCAATGGGCAACATGACAGGGTCTGCTGCGGAAACCGAGCGTGGTGTCAAGGGCAAGCCCATGCACGTTCTAGTGCATGAGTCTGCCGGATCCAATATCCTCCGCTGGACCAAGTTCCTTCTCCAGTTCCTGCTTACCCTCTGGATCTCCTTCTCGCTTATGACTATTACTATTGAAGTGCTCAACTCGTACCGTCGCCCCGGCGGTGCACCGAAGAAGGTCGATTCGGAGGTGACTTCGGAGAAGCAGACAGCCCGCTTTACCGATGTACATGGGTGTAACGAGGCTAAGGAAGAGCTCGAGGAGGTTGTTGAGTTTCTGAAGCATCCCGACAAGTTCTCGGACCTCGGTGCCAAGCTGCCCAAGGGTGTCCTGCTCGTTGGCCCCCCTGGTACTGGCAAGACACTCCTCGCTCGCGCAGTTGCAGGCGAGGCTGGGGTCCCCTTCTTCTACATGTCTGGCAGTGAGTTTGACGAAATCTACGTCGGCGTCGGCGCCAAGCGCGTTCGCGAATTGTTTAGCAGCGCAAAGGCAAAGTCTCCGGCCATTGTCTTCATTGACGAGCTGGACGCCATCGGCGGCAAACGCAACCCCCGTGATCAGGCCCACTCGAAACAGACACTGAATCAGCTCCTCACCGAGTTGGACGGGTTCGACCAGGATGCGAGAATCATCATTATTGCCGCTACCAACACGCCCAACATGCTCGACAAGGCCCTGACGCGCCCTGGCCGTTTCGACCGTCATGTGAGCGTTGACTTACCCGATGTGCGTGGCCGAATCGAGATTCTCAAGCACCACGCCCACAAGGTCAAGCTTGCGCCCAACGTCGATCTCGAAGCCATAGCGGCTCGCTCCCCGGGGCGGTCGGGTGCGGAGCTCGAGAACATGCTCAACGTGGCTGCCTTGAAAGCTAGTAGGGCCAAGGCCACCATGATCTCCAGGCAAGATATGGAGTGGGCATTCGATCGCGTCACCATGGGATCCGAAAGGAAGTCAATGGTCATCACCGAAAAGGAGAAGGAGATGACTGCATACCACGAGGCTGGACACGCACTGGTCCAGCTCTTCGACAGCGAATCCTCCACCAATCTTTACAAGGTCACCATCTTGCCCAAGGGCATGTCACTGGGCCATACGGCCTTCCTGCCGCAGATGGACAAATACTCGCACACCGCTGCGGAGTACTTGTCGAGTATTCGTGTTTCCTTGGGCGGCAAGATGGCCGAGGAGCTTCGGTTCGGCGACGACAAGGTCACCAGTGGAGTGTCACAGGTGAGTCATGCGCAGCTTACGAGGGGGCACAGCTAACGTAATTGATCCAGGACCTTGAGAGCGCCACTGATCTGTGCTTCAGCATGGTGTCCAAATACGGCATGTCGCACGAGCTCGGTCCTGTCGAGTATGGCAAGCGATACGAGTATCTCAGCACCGACACACGTGCCAAGATTGAGAGGGAAGTCCAGAAGACGCTCAAGAAGTCGTACGAGGATGTGCGGCAACTGTTGACAGACCGTCGCAAGGAGCTCGACCTCCTGGCGCAGGCGCTAGTCAAGTACGAGACGCTGGACAAGGACGAGGTCATGAGGGTGATCAGGGGCGAGTCGCTTCCAGATCGGACGCAGATTCCCCCTGGTCCCATGCTCATGCCAGTGCCCAAACAGGATCCCCTCCCACCAGGCGTCCCGCAACCGACGCCGCCTGAACCGCAAGAGCCGCCCGCTGCAGCCGGCAATGCGTAGAGACGGACAGGGGAAGGCGGGAGATTATGATGCCGCGGTTGAGGTCCCGCCTTTCTAATGATGCAGAGCTCATCTGGGGGATATGCCAAGAACACCGCAAACTATCATGTTGGACGGTGGGTAGCGAGTTTTGCATTTCGAACGGTCAGTGGCAGATGGGGAGACTCGTCGAGCGGGAAGAAGAAGGGCTCCTCTGGGGACTTGAGGCTATGCACAGCCGTGTGAATTATACGTGTACAAATTCGCAATATGAGCATTAAGCGTGGTAAATACTACTCTCCTGTGTCTATCAGTTATCTGTTGGTACTATTCATGGTGAAATAAGATTAGTGTGCCGGCCGTGATGGATTTGCCTCAATTGCCTACCCTGTAGCTTGAAGCAATTCAATCAACCGCCCGGTGGCTCTATCATAAGGTATCGTAACTTGCCCTCCTAGTTAGTTCACGTTCTTGCCATCCCACCACTACCAGAGCTTCACGCGAACGCAGCATCCCCGCAATGGACTCCCTTGGCTGAATCACTACACTTGCTACATGTTTTTGTCTTCCATCAATGATGTCCATTAGAGTACGACCACGAATCTTTTCCGTCGTCGCCAATACCCGCAAGCCTACCACGCCCCTTATCGTCCGGCTGCCGACATTGTCTTAATTACTCCGGTCGAGGACGGACACGAACCGCCTAACGACCGCTACGACGAGCCCCTCTACCCGCGACAGACCTCCATGGTCGGTTGCCCGCTACGCACGACGTAGTTCCAGCGAGCGTACTACACGTGGCGTACGGCGTCGGTGGTCACCATGACCGATCGAGTGAGGGACGGCGACCTCGCCCGATCATCCTCCCACATCGCTGCTGCCGGCACCGACTCACCCGGCGGCTCAGTACGGCCACGCAACAGACGATTGATCAGCACGGACGGCGATGGGCCCTCGAACCAAACGTCGGGCCTCTTATCCGCCCTGAGCCCGGCGACAAGCCGCTCGGTCAGCCCGCTACCACGGACGAGATCGTTGGGCGTCAGCCCCAGCAGACCGAACAACTTGTCCACGGGCGACCTTGGACAATTTTTCAGCGATTCTTGGAACCAGAGCTGGTCTTCGGTGCAAGACTTGACAAGCTCCCTCTTCAACAGCAGCAACGGGCCATCGTCGCTGGGAAAGGGGCTGCTGAACGGCGGTGGCGGGCTCAAGGCTTTCCCTCGTGGACGCCGAATATCTAATACCAGTGGAGAGCGAAAAGCCAACGCTTCGTGGGGTCCGGCACCGCCCACGTCGGGACCGAACTTGGATGACGTGGCCTCTGGATCGTTGGCGCAGAGGCATGCTGCCCTCAAAGCTGCCCGCACGGCCAGCGTGCTGGAGAGCCACACGGGGGTGAATGGCGGGCTGGACGTGTCGGGCAAGCACAAGCGCCGGAACTCGGACGAAGCTGTCACGGACAAACCGGGACCTGATGACTACCTGGTCTACGTGCACTGGGTGCAGGCGAGCGACACCTTTGCCGGCATCGTACTCAAGTACAGGTGCCGAGAGGATGTCTTTCGACGGGCCAACGGGCTCTGGTCGAGGGACAGCATTCAAACACGCAAATGGGTGACTATACCGGTGGATGCCTGTGACGTCCGCGGGCGACCCTGTGAAGCGCCGTCATGGCGCAATGTGCAGGGCGTTGATCTGCTTGCACCCACACCCGCGATCGAAGACGCGTCGGCATCCAAGGCGACCCACGACGACTATTTCAGCAAGGCAAACGGATTCGGCGCCGACGAGGCGCAGGCTGAAGAGGAGGAGAAACCGTGGCAGCACGTTCGCTGGGTAAAGGTGGATTCGATACCACAACCCGTCGAAATCGGCCGCGTTGCCAGGGGCGCCATGGGGTACTTCCCGCCCAGGAGAAAGAAGAGCATCAGGACTATATCCTCTCTTTCCACGCCGCGACAGAGTTTCGAGATCGCCTCGGGACCTTCTGGCTCCGCCGAGGGGCCATCTTCACGCCGTCCTAGTTCTCTCAGCAGCCGCCCCGCGTTCCCGGGGTCACCGCCCTCGAACCGCAGCCGCATGGGGAGCGACCCAGCAGACGAGAGGCCCGCATGGATGAAGCGACCTGGTGGTGTGGGCTCCATGGGCAGGAACGTGAGGGCGCCTGGACCTGACAAAGACGTTATCAATTCATGGACTAAGAAGCATATACCCGGGCTGAACATTGATGGGCCGTCCATGTCTATTATGGGTTCGGAGACGGCCAAGTTTGGTTTCGGCAAGGACGCTGGTATCGCTGAGAGCTCGTACGAAGAAGGCCGCGATGCTATCGCGCCCACCCGCCAGGGAACAGGCATTGACCGTGCGGCGGCCGCTGTCGAGACCTGGCTCCGCGGCGCGCTCGCAAAGGGACCGGGCACGCCCTTGGGCAAGGCGCGTGCCGGCCGCAGTGATCATCCCAACGATCTCATTGAGCTCACGGACACGATGAGTGACGACGGGCGGGGCGGGTTCTTTGACAACTCGCTGAATGTGGATGGTTTGTCACTGGGGTCCAGCGCACGCAACGACGCAGCTGGCGGTATCCGTGGGAGGACAGTGGGAGAGGCACAGAAAGGCAGCAAGGCGGATTGAATATCCCCGGTACATTAATCAGGGACATACTTACAGAGTGGTGCGTTGAGAGCGGTGGATTTTTGGCATGGCCGTCCGGCTGCATCTTCTTCTTTTTTTGCTTTCTGGGTGGCGGCGTTATTCATTAGGTGGTACAGTCAATCGCGCGCACATATAGAAGCCAGCATACTGTAGTATAGAACAATTGATCCTTCCGCTGATGAACTAGAGAGGAAATACTACAGTTACAAGGCGACAGTCCGCCCCTCGACTATATGTAAGGGCGGCTTATCGGAGCTCTTATCGTGAGTGACGACAACCTCATGCGCCTTCCACTTCAAATTATCAAACACAGAACGCGCGCCCTTGGGGACATCTTCCCAGCATCGCCACCCCACGATGCTTGCCGACGATGCCCATCTGCATCGAATGTCGCACGCCGGTTAGCACCCTCTGGCGGTCTGGGGCCGGAGACAACAGCGGCCACAGTATCCGTCTTACCGTCTGTCGCAACTGCGGCCGCTTCTGCGACAAGTACGTGGAGCATGACTTTGTCGTGCTCTTCATAGACCTCGTGCTCATCAAGCCGCAAGTCTACCGGCACCTCTTGCACAATACCCTAATGCGTGATGGGGATCGGTTCGATGTAAGTGGCCCCGCGGGCGCACCTCTCTCTGCATGTATATCAGACGCGGTTCACTGACGCGCTGTAGCCATCCATTGTGCGATTGGGCGTCTTGCTACTGCTCTTTGACGTCTACTTGACCTGGGCGCGAATCGAGAAAAAAAGCATGCCCGAGTCGGAAACAGGCCAGAGCACGCTGGGACAGTTGGCGCAGCAGCCCATTGTCTTCCAGTATCTATTCTTCCGTAAGCTAGCCCGCCTTCCCCGTCTGCCTTGGCCTTTGTCGTTGTGCGCTGGCTGACATCCACCACCACAGTCATCCTCTGCGCCGTGTCAACGTTCGCCTTCCACGCCAGCATCCGCTTTCTCGCCTCGTCCCGCTACTCCCCGCTCGTCCTCGCCGGTCTGCTCCCTCGCTTCTCGCGTCCCAACTCCGTGTCCACTGCCCTGCTCGTGTCCTCGTCCACGAAGCTGTTTCCGATTCTTATGGTGATCTGGGAATACGACGTGCCCGCCGCGGCACGCTCGCTGGGCTGGGCGGTCGTGGCGAACAATGTCGAGGCACTGCGGATCCTCCTTGACTGCAGATACTACACGGCGACCATCTTGGCGATTCTCGGCGCTGCGGCGCGATGGATGACTGGGTGGCTGATCCTCACGTCCGTGGGTCTGGGCGACTGGAACTCGATCACCGAGAGCGATATTGCGGCGGACGGCAAGGCATTCTGGGGGTATCTCATGTATGCGGTCCAGTGGGCAGGGAGATTAGTGGCAGGGTGACAAAGAGAAACCTGCATCATTGACCGAGGGAGAAATATTGAGCATTATGGAACGGGCCACTATACGCAGCGGGCATCTACTAGCCCTGTCTATGATGACTCTGCCATTCGTGCAGGGCGTCAATGCCCGTCTTCTCGTAAAAGGACTCCCCCAGATAGGAAAACATGATATAGCAGCCGCTCCAGAAACGCCGTTCAAATACGCATGCAGGAATTACAGCGTGAGTGTATTCGTACAGGTTGTCGGGGGTATTGCCATCCCCTGACCCGTATCAATGGTCTCAGGTCCTCTCTTCCACTCTCCTGTGCCGCTTCCGTTCGCGAATCGTCTATTCAAGGTACTGCTCCCGGAGGTCGCTTCGGCGTGGCGCAATGAGCGGGTGTAGTTGAGCAAGAAAGGTGATGAGCCACATGAGGTAGCAGCTGATGATGGCGAGCATGAGGGAGGATCGCCAGAGGCTGAGGGCGGGCGAGGCGAGTCAGTCTGGGGGGTCTGCGATAAATAGGGTCCATAATCACATACACTTGATTCTCACCCTTTGGCGAAAAGAACCACGACGCGACGCACAGCACGACGATGACGGCGAGGCCGATCCAGATGGAGTAGCTATAGGAGCGTTAGCGGACGGTTCTAGGAGACGCAAGCTAGAGGTGAGCTGACCCTTGAGCCATGGCGGCAATTGCTTTTCTCTGCAAGTTCCGACAAGAAGAAAGTCGTTCGTCGTTCGGTTGAGGACGGTCGGAATTAGGGTGGATGTCGTCGATGCCGGTGCGATGCGTCGACTGTCGTAGGTGATGTTGGCTAGGTACCACGTGCAACCGCCGCTGGCAAAGCAGTTGACGTCGAGATTAGTCATCTGCGACAGGGGTATGAGGGCCGCCGTGAGGCAGCTCCTTTTCGCGTCTATGAACCGTCGCAGATAATGCACCAGGCACTTTTCTGGAAATAATCAGTCGCAAGCTGGATCGAGCTCAACGGCCAATGGCTGAAATCCTGCATTGCAACGGGCGGAGCTACATAGCTCTGCGTTCTTTAGGCATCATTCTCAAACTTCAGCCCAGACTCCTTTCTCACAGCACCGTATATGCCAGCAATGTCCCCCGAGCTTCCAGCATGCTCCTGAACTTGTGCCAGATGCTGATCGGCAGCCTCAACAATCTTCATCTGGACTCCAGCGTCGGCTGCCAGGCGCTTCGCGTGCCGAGCATCCTTCCTCGCGAGATCGACACCAAATAGCGGCTCCTTCATGTTGTGATACGCACCACCTAGCATGCGCGTGCTGTAGGCAGCGTACGGTCCGCCAAAGAGTCCCTGCACAAAGTCGTCGACATACTCTGTGCCCAGCCCCGACTTCTCGGCTACGGTGTGCGCCTCAGCAAGCTGCTCCACCATGGCGAGGATAAACGTGTTGCCCAGAACCTTGAGCTTCGACGCCTGTCCGTAGGGCTTGTCGGTCATGTCGATTTCAGCCTTGGCCATGACGCCCTTGAAGTACGGCTTGGCCTTCTCGACACTCGCCCGTGGGCCCGCGAACACCCCAATGAGCTGACCTGCCTCGGCCGCTGCCGGTGCTCCAAAGACGGGGGCGGCCACGAACTCGGCGCCTGCAGCCGTGGCGGCCTTTGCCAGAGCCTCTGTGGTCTCGGGATGCACCGTCGAGCATTCAACAAAGACCTTGTTCTTGACATGGCCCTGTAACATTGTTTCAAAGGTCTCATTGATCGCCTCGTCGTTTGACACGCACGTGAAGATAATGTCAGCCTTGCTCACGCCAGCCGCCAGGTCTTCCACCACTTCCGTCTTGTCGGAACCGAGCTTGTGGCTGAGGTCGACGGCACGTTGCACCGAGCGGTTGTGCAGGAGTAGTGGTGACGAGAGATCTGCTTTTTCCACAATGTTCTTACACATGCCCTATCGGACTCTTTGTCAGGCGTCGCTCTTCCTCGAGGGCGAATGCAGTGTACTCACTCGGCCCATGTGGCCGAGGCCAATCCATAACAGTGTGGGCGCCATAGCTTAGAGTAGTAGTATCGAAGTTCGGTTTCTGGCAGTGGATGAGCGAGTTGAATGGAGTATCTACTTCGTATACAATGCTGTCAGGGAGTGTTGGTGACCTCACGAGTTCAAGGCCGCGGGGGACACTGAATGACGCCGACCCCAGTAGTATTGCCGTACTTCCGAGGGCGTTGCAGACCCCATGGTGTATCAAAATTGGATGGAAGTTGACGACGTCCGAGGATGAGCGTGAGATCTATAATGGCGAGACATCGATTGACCAGAAGAATAGCTTCTGAGAAGGATCAGTGAACCTGAATCAATGGATGAAAGAACCATGATCATCCTGGAAGGCGTTCAGCACTCGTCTCGTTGGGCTGGATTATAGGGTACGTAGGACCCGATGAGCAGCACGGGGACGATCGACCGACCCGGACTGTGAAGTGCATCGACGGAGCTGTCAACGGATCTGTCGGACTGGCGCCAGTGATTGGCGGGCAGCAAGTCTTATCGTACCTGGCAGACGTTATCGCACCCCTGGGGCCGGTGCTAGTGCCCGAGCCGGCCTTGTGTCGCATCCATGGCATTGGGCTTGTTCTTGACTCACGATGGAATTTGTTTTCTTAACCTACATGTACCTGAAGTTTGCCTGGAGCCTTTCTTTTTTTGTTGATTCAAGGGAAGGGCGCGCCGAAAGGCTGTAACCATGATTCCCAAATAACACTGATTTGCGACCGCAGCACAACGAAAAAAAAAACCTAGCATTTGGTGCGCGGTCTGCCACGGCATACATCACATCCACTTCATTCAGTCACCGCTTCCGACACTCAGGGAGGTCGACGCACTGCAACAAAAGATTAGGAACCCAATCTCACACAGAGAGAGCCATGAATCGCTGCGGAAGCCAATTCTGTACTCTCGCTCGTAAGGGTGGGCTTGGTAACCCAACAGCTTCGCGAGTTTCCACAAAGTCCAAGCAGTGGCCGGGATCGGCGTCCACAAGAAGTTTGTCGTCGCCATCAGAAGCCCGCGTGAAACATCGCAATGACCTGGTACGTTGATCGACTCCCGAACAATAGTCTTGCTGACACCTAAAAGGACACATTGGTCTCAGTTCTCGAGGTCTCGGCAACCAAAAGAGATGCCAAGGGCTATCTGCAAAAATACACCTCCAAAAAGCAAAAGCCAAAGGTCAAGGCGGCCACGCAGACAGCCCAGGACACACAGGTCGCAGAACAGCAGAACATGGCCCTTGCAGAAACACTGGATATTTCTCAGGAGCCTAGGAATGTTGCCATTGTGAAGATCCGCACGCCGCAGTTCGTTGACGATGACATCCTGGAAGGTGTGGCCAAAACCCTGACACAACTTCGGACACTGGGCTTGCTGAGCATTGTCGTCGTCGATTGTGGGCCGGACGAGAATCGCGAGACATACGATACGCAGGCGTTGCGATTTTGTGAGGCGATTGACTCATTCTCAAAGCCTGGTTCCAAAATCCTCTCAGAAGTCATCAAAGGCCCCAGTGTGAGTGACGGCGAATCCCCTTCGATTCTGCAAACTAGATCTGAGGTGGACGACCTCGGTCGGCTGAAACTCTGTCTGCAACATGGCCTGATCCCAGTCGTGCCATCATTGTCGCGCAAAGATGATCTGTCCTCGACTTGCCCAGCCGATGCCCACCAGGTCGTCCTGACATTGACCCGGTACCTGACGGGTATGCAGTTTGGGGCACAGAATCTGGAGGCTGGCCAGGAAGGCGGGAATTTTGAGAAACCTGTCAAGATCGCGTCGGTCGAACGAATCTTTGTACTGGACCCCCTAGGAGGTACACCCGTACCTGGGCGACCTGGCGCCGCCCATCGCTTCGTCAATCTGGACCAGGAGTACGACACATTGCTACGGCAGCTCATGGGACCAGAAGGATCGCCCGTCGCTCGGAGAGAGTTCTGCAAAGCTTCAGCGACTGTGCATGGATCAAATCTCAATATGGTCAAGGAAGCTCTTTCGGTCCTGCCGCCAACGTCGTCAGCCCTGATCACGACACCTTCGGCAGCGGCCACTGCCAGTAATGATTATTCCTCTCTGAACGAGCAGTCGATGAATGCGCCTACGTTTGGCTTTGATGGCATGGTTACGACAAGGATCAGGCGGAACCCGCTATTGCATAATCTCGTCACAGACAAACCAGTGTACTCAGCATCACTGCCGTACCAGCGGATCCGAGATGGCGGCTTCAACGGACTCGACACTGGACCGTCGGCAGCGGCAACGCTTGTCAAGCGCGGCATGCCATTGACCATCTTTCCGAATCCGCGGCTGAGTCCGTGGCGTCCACCACAGCCCGGCGCAGACCGACTGCGGCTCACGGACAACTGTATCGACCTGCCCCGGCTCGTGTACCTCATTGAGGACTCATTCAACCGCAAGCTGGATGTGGACGATTATCTCTGCAGAGTCAATGAGAATCTGGCTGGTGTGATCATCGCGGGAGAGTACGAAGGCGGTGCTATTCTAACCTGGGAGGTCCCTGAGGGTGTTGACAAAGAGACTGCTTATAGAGAAGGACGTCTCGTGCCGTATCTCGACAAGTTTGCTGTTCTCAAGAGTCGACAAGGAAGCGGTGGCGTTGCCGATATTGTGTTCAACGCGATGACAGGAGACTGCTTCCCAGGCGGCGTTTGCTGGCGCAGTCGTAAAGACAACCCCGTCAACAAATGGTACTTTGAGCGGTCGACCGGTGTCACGCAGCTGCAGGACAGCAACTGGACGATGTTCTGGACGACCCCAGGTCTGGACCCGCGCCATGCGACGGTCAGGGACTATGAGAAGGTCTGCCGTGGCGTTGAGCCTTCTTGGGCTGACAACAAGCATATTTTGGACTGAAAAGTACTTACAGGAGGCGGAGGAGATACCCTGCATAAGCGATTGTTTTGAATTATCTCGATAAAGGTAGAATGGACGATTTTGCATGTATGTCTCAGATGTTGTACGCACAGTGGAGACTGCATATTATTATACTCCCTTTCGAGGGCGAGGGGCTCGAGTCCTCGACTAGTCTCGTTTTACCCTCGCAAGTGACCGAATGAAGGGCAGTAAAGAGAAGAATATTCCTTGTGACGATTTGAAGCGGCGTTCATAACTAAGTAATTATCAATATGTAAGTCATTAGCATCGAATGAGGTGTGCAGCCAGGCTGCAGCACGAGAGGCGGCCCCCACAACAGCTGCCAATAGGCCTGTGATACAGCAGGTGCCTGCCCGGCCCTGAACGTTATCAGCGGCTGACTGGGACTGCCAGCTGCTGCTGCTGCATCCAACCCCTAAAGACGGACCCTCATAGACACAGGCACAGGGTCCATCCGACCTTCGACCTACATCGCACAATCGACCCGAGCTCCTTGTCTCAATTCTCGACGACAGGCGACACGCAGCTGTCCACACTCGCTCGCCATTATGGATTTCAACGTTGACTTCAAGAGCTTCGGCAAGAATCTCTCGTGAGCACCCCTCCATCTCGATAACGGCAGCTACGGCGCGCGCATCTTAGCTAGCTCGCATCGTCACCCATTCTCGCGCATGCCCATACTGATGCCATTGCACAGCGATCTCGGAGCTCAGATTACGCCTTTTGCATCGCGTACCTTCCAGTACACCAAGGAGCAGTTGGGTCAAACCGACGATAAGGTGGTCTGCCTTGCCCAAACCCCTTTGCCTGCATCATTGATTTCCCGGCAGCTATCTCAAGCCTGGCACTAACATTCCGCACAGACCCAGCTGCCTCCCGACTACATTGACCTCGAGAAGCGCGTCGATGCCCTCAAGCAAGCTCACCAGAAGATGCTTTCCGTGACGTGAGTGGCCGACAGAACAGACCAATGCCGTGTCGCGAGCGGTAGCTAACAGTGCTGGGACGACAGCTCGACCTACTCGAACGAGACCTACGACTACCCAGCCAACATCAAGGAGACCTTCCATGACCTGGGCCGCACTGTCAGCGAGAAGGTCCACCTGCTGTCATCTGCGACCTCCCCCGGCGAGGCGCAGGCTGCCCTTGTCGCGCCCCCGAGCGCCAAGCCCCAGCCCAAGACCTTCAGCCACGCCATTGCCCGCGCCAGTTTGTCGAGCAGCCAGATGCTGCACCAGAACCACACGGGCGCCGGCGAGGATCCCCTGGCTACCGCGCTTGAGAAGTACGCCTTGGCCTCGGAGCGCGTTGGCGAGGCCCGCCTCGCACAGGACTCGCAGATCCAGAGCCGCTTCCTCGCAGGATGGAACACCACTCTCAACACCAACTTGAACTTTGCGACCCGCGCTCGCAAGAATGTGGAGAACTCGAGGCTGTCGCTGGACGCTGTCAAGGCGCACGCCAAGGGCACCACGTTCAAGCTGGGACAAGGCGCTCAGGGAGCCCAGCCCCACGAGGAGCAGGAGCTCAGCCCCGAGGCGCAGGAGGAGATTGAGAAGGCCGAGGACGAGTTCGTCACTCAGACCGAGGAGGCTGTTGGCGTCATGAAGAACGTGAGTCAGGCGTGAAAATGCCTTGCAGTTCACTGCAATGCTAATCAAGTGCAGGTCCTCGACTCCCCCGAGCCTCTGCGCAACCTCTCGGAGCTTATCGCTGCCCAGATCGAGTACCACAAGAAGGCTGCTGAGGTTCTCCAAGAGCTTGCTCCTGTCATTGAGAGCTTGCAGACTGAGCAAGAAGTAGGACATGCTGCTGCGTACGCGCCTTGAGAAACCAGGAGCTGACTGTCACCCTAGGCCAGCTACCGCAAGAGCCGCGAGGAAGGTTCCTAAACGAGAAGAAAGCAATGGTACCTAAGGAGAATGCGCCGCGACACTAATTGGGTGGTGTCTGGTTCGTAGGCCAGCCCAATGGTGCCGGGTCAATTTGTTTGTCTTAATGTAGGGTATATGCAGTGAGCCAAAGAGCAAGAGATTCTGAAGCCGCGTTTTTGATGAAACCTAGAATCTAGAATAAATATCATCTCCATACCGACGTGTAATTGTCACGACTGGGTTGCTGTATCGCCAATGCTCGTACGCTCTATGAAGGATCGAGAGCGGAGTCACGTGATGCGAATCGGGCCAATCCCAGGAGCTTGAATCTGGATTGTCATGAGGTCAATCCGAGGAAATCCGTCTCCAACAACCACCCACCCAACCAACACATCCATTGTACTCGCCAGCATGCGGCAAACCACCCGTCTGCTTGCCAAATACCTCGAGGCGGGTCAGCCGACCGGACTGACCGGTCTGTGGACGCACGCGACGCCCCGATCGACGCTCCTCTACCTCTACAGTTCGACACTCGACCGTCTGTCCAAGATCCCCGAGTCGTCGCTCTACCGCCAGTCTGTCGAGGCCACGACCAAGCACCGCATGAGCATCGTTGAGGCCGCGATCCCCCCCGGCTACGACGAGTGGGCCAAGAGGGCCAAGGAGCTCGTCGGCCAGGACAAGGAAAAGTTCCGCGTCAACAGCGGCCGCATCGACGGCAGCGAGGCCCGCACAGTCAAGCTCGGCGACCGCGTCTTTGTGGTCGGCCACAGGCACGAGGGCAAGGATATCCGCGAGGAGGAATGGGACGGCGAGGAAAACGAGGGCCCAGCGCTGGAGGGTGCCCGGACGCCCGCCGAGAGAGCGGACCAGGCTTTCTTGGGCGACAAAAAACCCCTGGCCGAGCACGAGAAGGTCCAGTGGGAGGACGAGCCGCAATTGACGGCTGACCAGTGAGTTTTTGAAAATTACATGCCGTGACAAGGCGGAGGGAGGCGTGTTTCTGACTGTTGGTATTCAGGGTCCACGAGCTGGAGCACAAGATTGGCGCTGGCCTTATCGAAGAGGTCATCCAGGTTGCCGAGGGCGAGCTCGAGCTGATTGATACCATGGAGAAGAGCAAGGTGTAAGTGCAGCAGGATACTATAATGGTGGCAGTGCCTTGGCGACGAATGCTAACTTGTCGATAGCTGGGAGGACCTCGAAGACCCTGTCCCCGAGGGCCAGTGGACATATTTTGAGCGCCGGACATAAGGCTTGGGTTGGCAAATGGCATGTAAAGTAGTAGACGCACAACAGCTGTATATGTTCTTGGAGGCCTGGATAACCATAGACGGTGAACAACGAGGCTTCTGCCAATGCGTTGCGTGAGTGTATGTTGTGGTGATGTGCGACAGCTTGCTATGTCGTCCCTATGGCGCCTGATTTCCCAATTGTGATTGCAGCATATAAATCAAGCATAGTAATGTGGTTCTTTCAAAAAACGCCTATGTTGTCTCAAATGGGTCGTGGTGCTGCTTTCATCGTTTTCTTAACGACCACCATCGCCCATGCAAGACAAGACGATTCCTGCGTCTTCATTATCATTGACCAACTTCCATTAAAACACCAATCGCTGGCCGAATGGCGCATACGAAATGGCCTCAAGGTCCCAGCACTCACCGACAAAGCGCAAACGGACGCTCTCTGCAGTAGCATCTCAATCTTTGGCGCCGTTGGATCGACTCCCGGCAGATGCCATCAACCCCTACAGTCGTTCGCCGGCTGAGATTGTCCAATTCTCTCTCGCCGGCCTCAAAGACACTGACCAGGACCCTTCACTCAAGATACCGAACTTTCCCCATCGGAGCCAGATTTCCCAGCGAATTGCGCGGCCTCCTCAACAGGTAGAGCCCAACATTGAAGATGGCCCGCCCGGCAAGCCCAGAACCATTGGACAGAGAGAGAAACAACTCCACCTGCTCATTCAGAGTATACACCATTTCCTAGATCAAGGAGACGTCGAACGAGCCTCGAGAGCGTACGGGATTGTACTGCAACTGCAGCCTCATGGCACACCGATCGATGTGCGCCACAACGACCTCTGGGCCATCGGTGCGGAAATTCTTATGCGCGAGGGAGAGACCCCCGTTCAAGTCGAGACAGAAGACGAAGGCACAGTCCAGAGACCGCGCAGGCAACGTAGATGGGGCTCAGCAAGGAACATGCCCAAGGTGAAGGCTTACTTTGAGTCTCTCATTCAGCAGCATCCGTGGACGCGCGTACGACCCCAAGCGATCTGCGCCGTGGACTTTTATGCAGCCATGCTGAGCTGCGAAATCTACAATGTGCACGCCGAACATGTACTTGGTCTCGAGGCCCTGTACGATCACCTCGCGCAGTGGGAGGAGGACATGAAACTCGAGGGCGAGGCCATAGACGACCTGGAGAGTGCTCGCGAGGAGCGCCACTTGGACATGAAGGACGATCTCCGGATAAAAACCTTGAGCGCCGTTGAAGATATTCAACATCGGCTGCGGGAGCTTACCAAGGATGAGCCGTACAAACGGCGAGGCATCTTCTTTCAGCTCTATGCCACGGCGTCTCTGTACATTTCTGACTTGGTGGTACCCGTCCAGCCAACAGCGCAGGCAGGTTTAGTGGAGGAGAGGAGGGCAGCTGAAAAGGAGGAGGCACAAAAGGCGATGGACCTGTATGCGACGCTGGAAAGCAACGCGGACCCCCATATAATGGCAGCCATGGGCTTGGACAGGACATCACACGGGTCACCGCTTGTGCCCATGTACTCCTCGCTCCCTATCAGAGAGGCAGGATAAATCGCGGCATGCCTGTTAAAAACTAAACACACATGTTTCAAGACTAATGCTTGGCTGCTATGGATATGACAGTGTAATCAATAAAAGACTCCTTTGCGCCCCAGCATCCCGACGCTCCAATGCTCAAAGTATAATTCATGCAGTTTAGTCAAAGTCAAATCGCTCAGGTAGTACAATGGGCGCGACAAGCGTCCAGATGTACATGGCGTGACAAGCCCAGGCGCTGATGATCTTGACCCAACTGGCGGCGTACGTGCGCCCGACGGTAGCAAAGTTGCCGTCCTCGAGAGAATCCTCGTGCTGCAGGACCAGGAGCGTCGAAACCCAGCACGTCGCCAGGAAGAAGATGATGTGGAACATGCTGTAGTTGTACTGCGTGCTGGTGCGCTCGTCGTCGTGGGCCGTGTTGGCGCCCGTCTCGCTGTCCTCATCGTCGTCTTCGAGCAGAGCATCGGCTGGGAGGCTGCCTTCCTCGACGGCGCGTCGTAGGGCCTCGGCCCGCATCTCGCGGCGGCCGCCAGGCTGCTGGGTGACTAGGTCGTGCTCGTCGTCGTCGGGAAGACGCACTCCACCGGTCGAGTTGCCCATGCCCAGACTCTGGGTGGCTGCGCGGGTAGTGGTGTACGCCACCGTCAACATGGTAACAATGGCACCAATAACAACAGAGGTCTTCCGCGTGCCTCGAGCTCGGATCAGGGGGTTGCAATGCTTGTCATCCGGCTCCATGGACACAGCCGACATTGTGAGGTAGGTGCAGTACACAGCGACCATGGCCGCTTGCGCAAGACCAGCTTTGGGGTTGTGTTCCTGGACGGTGGGGTTGATGGAGATGATGGAGATGGCGACCCACAGGATGAGGTTGACGGTGATGGCGGCCTGGTTCATCGAGCAGCCCGAGTCAGCGAAGAAGATGTACTGCACGACTGTCATGGCGATGGAGCCAATGTACATGCTCAGTGTCGAACCGATCAGGACGAATCGCCAGAACCTCGAGTCGGTATCCTCGATCTGTGCCAAGCAGTACTCTGCCCATGTGTGCGCCAGATCAACCAGCAGGATCAAGCCGAGCAGGAGGAACAGAGTAGCACCGATCATGGAGATGTAGTTGCCCCAGAACATGAAGAACTCGTCCGGGATGAGGAACGAGAGCACAATGAACGCCAGCCACAGAATGATCTTGGGACCCCAGTAGCCATTCTGGATGGCAGCGCGAGGACTTCTCGAAGTCTTGATGCCAAACAGGAGGCCAGCGAAGAGTAGATGGAAAAGACCGAGGGAGAAGTTGATGCGGTGGACAGCAAGCCAGCCATAGCATTGACCAGTCGGACAGTTAATCTTGACGTAGTCGAGCATCAGATGCTGGAGCTTCTCAATCGCCCAGGGCGTAAGCATGATCCACGCCAGGATCGAGTTGACGAGGAGCATGAGGGCGTATGCGATACGGGTTGCGACACTGTAGGCGGCATCCGTTAGCTGGCTAGCTACACGCGATCATGGTCGGCGTCAAGAAGAGCGCGCCCGTGGATATTCCATACCTGTTGCCGCATTTTCCACATGCGCTGCAGACCATTGAGCAAGTCGCTGCACCACAGCAGCTGGCTCCAAACGACACCAGCTATACTTGAGCATCAGCAAGAGTCACTGGCAGGACGACGGCTGGGTGAGGTCGTCATACCGTTCCCACGCTGGGAATCGCCAGCAGTGGCAGCGACAGCAGGGCACCCATGATGTGCTTGACGCTTTTGAAGATTCGCGGCGGCGCTGTGGCCTCTACTGAGGTTTGTTCGAGCGTTCGGGCACGGTGGTCGTGTCGACACGAATCCGCTGGTGGGTCAGGCGTCGTGGTACGTGTGCAGTTGTAGGATTCGACGTGGGCGCATCAACGGTGGCTCATGAGGTCAGTGGAGGCATCAGGATTCACAGGAAGTGGCACGCGGTGCAAGCCTCAGGTACTCTGTACCTTGGGTACCTCCCAAGGTTCTTTGGTGCCTTCAAGTTACTAAGCCGCGTCAGCAGCGCCGAGAACCGGCTTCAATACAGTGTCAAAGACCGTGCACAAGCTCTCCTCTGCACGGTACGTATAACCGCCCAGATAACCACGATGAGAGGACGAGGAGGAATCCACGTTGCATTATCTATCTCGTGCCCATTTCCGTGCTTCACTCCTTTTGCCCGTTCCCTTTTCCCTTGTTTCTCCGTAGACTCCTCCATGGCTGTCAGATAACGTGCAATTTCCAGTCCCTCTTGCAATGTCTTCCGACGCGATGGCGGACAAGCGAGGCCGCATCATTGCGAGCGTCGCTGCCACCGCGATAGCGCTGGCCTGTGGATCCAATGTGAGTGCTCGCGATCTTCGCCCAAGGAGCCCTCCAGTCACGGGCAATACTGACCAGCCCAGTATGTGTACTCCGCGTGGGCGCCGCAGTTTGCAGAGCGACTCGGGCTCTCAGCGACAGAGAGCAATCTCATTGGGCTCTTTGGTAACCTGGGCATGTACACGATGGGTGTGCCCATAGGCATGTTCATCGACAATGGAGGCCCGAGGCCAGCCGTTCTGGCAGGCTCCGTCCTGCTCGCCGTCGGCTACTTTCCTCTCCATCGTGCGTATGACAGCGCATCCGGGCCGGTCCCACTGCTCTGTTTCTTTTCGTATCTGAGTGGCCTCGGCGGATGCATGGCCTTCGCTGCCGCGGTCAAGACATCTGCCCTCAACTGGCCTCAAGACCGAGGCACTGCCACCGCATTTCCACTCGCGGCCTTTGGCCTCAGCGCCTTCTTCTTCTCGCTGCTGGGCGGCATCCTCTTCCCGGGCGACCCCAGCGACTTTCTGTTGCTGCTGGGGGTCGGGACATGCGGGTTGACCTTGGTGGGCTTCTTCTTCCTCAAGGTCTACCCGCACCAGCGCTCCAGCTACCATGCACTGCAGTCTGGTGATGGTGAGGAGGACGATGCAGAGGATCTCGTGCCCGATCGTCCAGCCCGCCTTTGGCGAACATCCTCCAAGGAACTCAAGGCTCGTCGAGCCAACGGTAATGATATGGAACCCGGTACGTCGGAATCAGTTTCACACACCACCATCACAAGCACAGACACTATTGCCAGTCCCGATACACCAACATCCGTTGGCGATGCCGCGGCGTACCGCCGTGAAGATCCTGACGAGACCACGCCCCTCTTTCCCAGTCCCTGTGATTCCTCTGAGGATTTGGTGGCGGACAGCATTATTGATTTGGATCGTTCGCACCGAGTAGATATTCGCGGACTCAAGCTCCTGGCAAACGTTGAATTTTGGCAACTGTTCCTGATCATGGCCATCTTGGCGGGTGTCGGTCTCATGACCATCAAGTAAGTCGCCTGACCACGTTCTTACCACCGACCGTGATCCGGATGGCACGCTGACCCGCCGACAGCAACATTGGCAACAACGCCAAGGCCCTCTGGAAGAAGCACGACGATTCCGTCAGCTCCGAGTTTCTGGTGTCGCGTCAGCAGATGCATGTCTCCATCCTGTCGGTCTGCAGCTTCCTGGGACGATTGTCCAGTGGTACGTCCCCTTACCCTCCCCTGCTCCCGCAGCGATGGACTGTCTCACTCACAACCCTCCAGGCGTCGGTTCCGACTTTCTCGTCAAGCGCCTGCACGCTAGTCGCGTCTGGTGCTTGGTGCTTGCCACCGTCATCTTCTTCTGCGCCCAGGTCTGCGCTCTCAACATTGAGAACCCGCACCTGCTGGGCTTCGTCTCTAGCCTCTCGGGCCTGGGGTATGGCTTCCTGTTTGGCGTCTTCCCGTCCATCGTCGCCGAAACCTTCGGGATCCGCGGCTTGAGCCAGAACTGGGGTTTCATCACGCTCGCCCCTGTGGTCTCCTCCAACGTGTTCAACATCTTCTACGGGCAGACGTACGACGCACACACTGTCAAGCGCCCCAGTGGCGAGATGATGTGCATGGATGGGCTGGAGTGCTACAAGAGCGCGTACTGGATGACTTTTTGCTCTTGCGTTGTCGGGCTGGGTGCGTCCCTGTGGACCATTCGCCACCAGCATGTCAGGCACAATAAGGAATTGTCCAAGGGCGATGAGGAGGACTAGAGGTTGACGACTCCACGTTGGAAACAAATACATTACATCTCAGGTTATTTCGAGAGCGCTAGTGCGGAGCATGGAACGGCTCTAGGGCACCGCAGATCACACGGCTGCTGGCGTTTGAAATGTCGAATGTTATGTGATTATTTGTATATATGCTTGGCCGAGTACTGTAATTCCTGACACCGGAGCTGATCAACCTGCCGCCCCTGCCCGAGTTCCCAGAACCCGGCGCTGTCATGATCGCAAACAGTGATCCCAGACCTCCAGCCTTCCAATAATACATGCTATGCTCTGAGAAAAAGGAAAATAGCGTCAAAAGTCCGACCCAACGCCGAGGCAATGTATGTAACCGGCGTGCCGGTGCAGAGACGCGGAGCAATGCCGAGTTCACGAATCGGGCATCGACAACTCCGCGTCCATGGTGATTAAGTATAGTTAGTCTATGTAAATAGAGGCCGTCAAATCGTATGTAGTGTGCCCCACGGTGGGCACGCGCTCTCATGGTGTCTTCTTGACTTGCCGACCTTCACTCGCGGTGCCGTCGAACATGGCGCCGACGCCTGTCAGGGACCATGAATCGCCAGTCGCGTGGACAATGACAAGCCACAGCGCGATGATGTTGACAAGGTGGTGAAGCATGTAGGCGTGTGAGACCCCGTAGATGGCCGCTGCCACGGCGGTGGCAAACAGTAATATGCTGGTCACATGGCGCAGTCCGCCCTTGAGCTGAGGGACCATCTTCCCCGATGTGAGGTTCTCCACCAGCAGGATGAAGGGCGCAATGGACAGGATGTTGTGGTGCGAGGAGAAGGGCGTGAGCCAGTGCACCGCCAGATTCCGGATCCAGACGGCCAGGATGGGCAGGTTGATTGGGAGGACCCACAGCATCAAGAGGAGAACAGAGTGCGCGTAGTTGTAGTAGTTGGTGTTTGCGGTGGACGGGCAGTGGCGCGTGGTGCGCAGCGCGCGGACGACTGCGCACAGCTGGACCAGGCATGCCACGAGGTAGGCAAACTGGTAGGGGATCAGGAAGGAGACCAGCAACAGCAGCGTAATGGTCGTGATCATGCGTCTTCGCGGCGTTGTGGGCGTATATGACGACTGTGTGACAGGCGTCGAGCCAAATGCTGGGACAAGACCGACCAGGTACCATATGCCAGCTAGAGTATGCGTCAGTCCTAGGGCAGCGTAGTGCAGTATCACACACACTCCCAGGCAGACGATACCGATGAGTGGCACCAGGAACCAGTAGAATGGATCGCTTGTGCCAATCAGAAGATCGTTCTTTTGAAAATCGATCGGTACAGGCGTCCTTGACAGGAGGTCTTTGAGTGACAAAAACCTCCCGGCGCCGACAGCTGTTCCCACAGAGAGAGACAGCATGGTCATGGAGAGTACGAGCAGTGGGATTGACCGACGGAGCGACAAGTCCAGGCTCTCGGCAAAGGAGACAAAGGTCCCCGTGAGGTCGTACACCCTGAACTGCTTCCGCAGTACGAGCGTCACAATCAGCAAGGGGAATGCTGCAAAGACTGTGCGGTATCGCATGTAGAGCTTGCCGAGGCTTGCAAAAGGGTCCACGGCGAGCGTGATTTGCAGGCTCGTTTCGCACGATGGGTCTGTCCAGAACTGGAACGTCACCCCCTTGGCCTCACGAGGCTTCAAGGAAGGGGGCAGATACGGTGCGACGCCGTGCAGGCTTACGTCCACATCTTGAGCATTGACAAAAAAGCGTGACTCGTAAGGATGCTCAATGTACTGCCGGACCAAGGGAGCGAACAGTGCTGGCTTTCCACGGCACGCGTCCTGCTTCAAGTGAAGCCGATAGGCCAAGAGACTCGATGTCATACTGGATATCTCCACTTCTGTCACCATGGGTCGGTTGGCAGGGAGGACGGCCATGATGCCTTGTTGCAAGAGCTGCATGAGATTAATGTCGTGCTTCTGATAAAAGTCCGAGTAATCGCTCAGTTCCGCAATCAGGAACTTGCTGGCAGTCGACGATTTCCTGTCCACCACTGCGATGAACTGATCATCCAAAATGTTTTCAATGTCATATTGAACATAGGAGAACGGGTCCTTCTTTGCCTCTCCATCCCTGGTGAACGGATGACGGCTGGCCGAGGTGGAGGGTGGGAGGAGTGACACATCGCCTGTAGTCGGTCTGCAAGCGAGAGTCGTTGCGCGAGCGGTGCCCTTGGCAAGGTCAATCATCGGCAATGAGCCGGGCATGTAATCTGAAACTCTACACAATAGCACGTCGAGGTCGTCGGCAGTGCCTCCATTGAGCCACTGATCGGTGAGGAGCGTGAATCGCTTCGATTGGGGCGATCCTTGTGGGGGAACCGGGATGAGATGGGCTTTGCCTTTTGTGTGTCCTCCAAGCTCAGACAAGACAAGTCGGTGGCCGGGAGACAGCACCTCCGTGGAGTCGTCGTTGAATCTAAGAAGCGTCGTAGGATCCCGCGTTTGCGGTGTCGTCATGTTGGATGATTCCAGGCCCGTCAGGAAACGTTTCCTGAAGACGTTCATGCGCTCTTCCCGGGGCTTGGTCTGGGACCCGCGGCGGACGTCAACGATATCGAAAAGCGAGTGAGCCACCACTTTTCTGAACTGATCGCACCACAAGATGGCTTGGTGATCCATGCTGGTCCAGACTGTAGGAATGCCGGTCGTGAACACAGTAAAACCATGCGTCTCCGGTACCAGTGAGTCGACGCTCGCATAGTCGGACGGCACGATAGTGTCGAGGTTACCTCCCGCAATGGACAGAAGCGTGACATCCTTGAGAGGGTTCTGACCAATAGACTTCTGTGTGAATGCGTCCCTCCAAAAGCCGTTGATCTGGTCGTAAATTTGGACAATCTGGCCGTCAAAGCTGACAGGAGCCCGTGCGTGAGGAGCGGACATTGTGATGATGGTATTGATGGAGTCGGTTTGGTAGTTTGGCTGCACAAGCATCGTCCGTGCCACGATGCCTCCCATCGAATGCCCCAGAATGATGATTGAGGATGGTTCGGGCTGGTGTGCGTCACGGACTACACGTTGCGGGTCAGAGTAGAGCGCCAGAATGTACCGCACTGCTTCGTTGAGGTATTCGGCTTGGTCCCACAGCGTTTGCCCGTGAAAGGCAGTAATGTCCTCGTTGAAGTCGACCGTGAAGAAGTCAAGGTTGCGTACGCCGGCGCCGATCGAGAAGCCGTCGGTCACGACGTACTGTTTGAAGTAGTTGGCTGCCTCTGCGGCTATGGGCCGGACCTGCTTGTAGCTCCCAGCGTTGCCGGGGATGAACAAGACGGGAGTGCCTCGTAGCTTATCCGGGTCGTCGACCCCTTGCTCGCGGTACAGGTACAAGGAGTACTTGGTCGCGAACCTCGTATGTTCAGTGTCGAAGTCGGGGAAGGGTATGTACGACGGTCTCATGTAGGACATGCGGCATCCTTTGGGATCGAACTGACGAGTGACGAGCGAGTTCACGATGGCTAGCAGGAGGCTAATGCCAAGACTAGCCATTGCCAAAGACAAGAGCGATATTGACCATGAACTTCTGCGACCATTGTGGATAGCCTTGGCAGCCTTGTTGTGGGATGAAGATGGCCGATCCAAGAGGGCTGGTAGCGTCTCCGTGCTGCCATTGCTCTGCTTGCCGCTTGCTTTGACGCTGCCGTTGCTCTCTACCGTCGAAGAGGATCCTGATACCCGAACACCTTTGCCGTCCGTGGTGTCGTGCTTGGATAAGTTCAGATTGTTTGGCGAGGGCGTCGCAGCAGTGCCGGCGGCCGTTGCCGGCGGTCGCGGCTTCATCGAAATGTCGAGCGAGGAACGAGGACTGGAGGAGTTCAATGTCGAAATAGCGCAACGCGACTGGCGCTGGCGCGACGTTATCTTGAGGGCAAGGGTAGAGGGGGCTCGCGGCTCGCGAGGCGCCGAGACTAGCTAGTGGAAGTTGAATCCGGTTTTGGAGGAGTCGCGCAAATGCAAGCGACGCCGCATGTCGTAAAGACGATGATATCGCAGATATGGAAGAGCGAGTGGAGGTTCGAGGAGCGACAAGTGTGTAAGGGGGTCGGCCAGGGTCTGCTCGATGGGGTGCGTACGTATGTGATATAATTATCCTACGGTGATCGATAGTCGATTGTCGATGGTAGTGGATGCAGAACGCGGCACCTGCTGGCTGGTCTGATACATCGTACCAGGGACATGGACTGGACTGGACCGGGCAGTGCGTTCACAAGTACGTAAGTGCCCTGTCGATCGCCGTGCAGGTGCAAAACTCATGTCTCGCAGCAACGCATCCAGTTCAGTCTCTTTCGTTATGTGACAGGAACTGACTGGGCTTGCTGGAGTCGGTCAGTCTGTGGTTAATAAAAGCCTCTTACTTACTTCTTCCGGAGAGCCGGCGTCCATTCGCCTCCCACCAGCTTGATGGGCGCCAGCCGCGGTCTTGGCCGCCAAAGCCTCGCATCTGGCAGTGATTCTGCATACCCTGAAGCGGCATGTGACTTTTTTCACGTGCTCAATGCATTACTCTGGCAGGTTGCGATATTACCAAATGAGACGAAGCACTCCAGCACCGGTGCTCCCTGACCGCTGTTGCCAGTGCGATTCGCCTTGAAGTCGATCTCTGCATTGTTGGCAGACATGCCTATTGGCATGGCCTGGCGTGATATTATGACGATGAGCGTTCAAGGCCCTGGGGATTATACTCGGCGCTGCCTGAGCTGAACCCTCCTCAGGTTTTTAAGTTTTGACTGGGAACTCCTTTGCATCTTTGCATGAATGGACACTTGATATTCACAATGCTGCTAATCTCCCTGACAATCATCACGATACGTCCCGCGCGCTATGCACAAAAGCACAGACCGTCCTCAGCCAACTGGAGCCTTGCAGGCCGGCGGCAAGGGCCACTGGCAGAGTAGCAAGTGGGCTAACCCTATTCGTCTTGGCCATGTCTTGACTCTTGTATGTACAACCGCTAACAAAACCTTGGCCGTCCGTTTGCGCAATATCTTGAAGCAAAGGTTCGACAAGCTACCATAATTTTCAGCAGTGCTTGCACATCAACACAATCACCATGTCTGTCGCAGCCCCCTCCCCTGCTGCGTTGGTCGAGTCGGCCAAGAAAGCCGCTGCCACCCAAGCCGTCGATGAACACCTGCTCCCGAGCCATCGCTACGTCGGCATTGGCTCCGGCAGTACCGTCGTCTACGTGGTGGAAGCCATCGTGGCCAAGGGAGTCGACTTTTTCAAGAACATGGTCTTCATACCCACAGGCAGCCAATCCAAGGGTCTGATCCGCACTGCTGGGCTCACCCTGGCAAACCTCGATGAGAGGCCCGTTGTCAATGGCAGGCCTGTGCAGCTTGATGTTTGCTTTGACGGCGCGGATGAGGTTGACGCTGAGCTCAACCTGATCAAGGGTGGCGGCGCCTGCCTCTTCCAGGAGAAGCTGGTTGCTATCGCGGCCAAGACTTTTGTCGCCGTGGCGGGTGAGTGACTTAATGCTCGGGGGTTGGAATTTTGATCGTGCAGTGCTAAGAATGCCCAGACTACCGCAAGCAGTCACCACGACTCTGCACTACATGGAAGAACATTCCTATCGAGGTTCTTCCCCTCTCTGCACCAGATGTCCTTCTTCGTCTCCAGGCTTTGGGCTCTCCAGCACCTGCCGTCCGCTCGGGTCTCCCCAGCAAGGCTGGTGAGTGCGTCACGGACAATGGTATGTGGATCATCGACGCGCCTTTCCCACCGCTGCTGCTGCCCAGCGACCTGACACCCGGGGTCGATGGCCTCGGCAAGGGCGGTATTTGGGAGGTAAGCAAACTTGCCGACGAGTTGCTCCGCACACCTGGCATCGTCGAGATTGGCCTTTTCCATGGCTTCAACGGGACCCAAGCAGTTGGTCTGGGTAAGGAGGGGCAGGCACAAAAGCCGGTTGCGGCCTACTTTGGCACGGCTGACGGTAAGGTCAACGTGCAGCGGGCATAGTTTATGTGATATGAACATCAATTCGTAAACTCTCGTTTCCAATGTGACCACAGAGGCTGAAGCTCGACTGTAATCAGCAGCCCTCATTTTGAGGGTTAAATCAACATGTTGCGGGATCTATGTACACCTTGCGATGACGTCAATGCATGTCCCTCATCTGCAATGGCCGGCCACTGCCGGCATTCGGGGATTCGGACGTAGCAAAGTCCGCTAGTGGACCACTTAACGCGTCTTCAACGTCGTTACGCGTTTCAACCACGTCTACGTACGGAGGTACATCAGGCACAACCGATAACAGTGGTCGTTGTGACATCGACAAAGCCTGCTGCCCTGCATTGCCGTCCGTACTGCATATCTTTCGAAATGCTTCATGGCTACTATCAAGCAGATTGATGGGCGCACCGTAAGGCTCCAGCTACGTAGTCGTGGACCACCCTCAAGAGTACTAACAAGATCAGATCCATCAGATCCAGTCTGGTCAGGTCATCGTCGACCTCTGTTCTGTCGTCAAGGAGCTCGTGGAAAACAGCATAGACGCTGGTGCTAACAACGTTGGTGCGGATACCCCGTGCCCAAGACACGCACCAGATCACTGTACTCACTAATACCCGCCAGATGTCCGCTTCAAGAACCAAGGGCTCGACTTGATCGAGGTGCAAGATAATGGTGGTGGAATTGCGCCAGCAAATTATGAATCTGTCGCTTTGAAGCATCACACCTCAAAGCTGTCAACGTACGCCGACATAGGATCGCTAGACACCTTTGGCTTCCGAGGTGAAGCACTCGCCTCACTATGCGCTCTTTCCACAATGACGGTCACCACTTGCTTACCAAAGGATGCCCCCAAGGCTTCTAAGCTCAGCTTTGAGCCTTCTGGCAAGTTGAAGGGGACGAATGTGGTGGCCGCGCAAAAGGGGACAACCGTGTCCGTGGAGAAGCTATTTCACAACCTCCCCGTACGCAGGAAAGAGCTTGAGAGGAATATCAAGCGGGAGTGGAACAAGGTCATTGCTCTACTCAACCAGTACGCTTGCATCCAAACGAATCTCAAGTTCTCTGTATCGCAGCAGCCTACCAAGGGCAAGCGGATCGTCCTCTTCTCAACCAAGGGCAATGCCGCGACAAAGGACAACATTATCAACATATTTGGCGCCAAGACCATGACGGGCCTCGTGCCCCTGGATTTAACGCTCGAAATGCAGCCGTCGGCTGTCAGCTCTGTGCTCCAGCCACCGGTCGACAATGGGCCAGTCTCCACCCAAGTCCGGATTGTTGGGCATGTGTCTCGACCAGCCCAAGGCGAAGGTCGTCAGACACCCGATCGTCAAATGTTCTTCATCAATGGACGGCCATGCGGCTTGCCTCAGTTTGCCAAAGCCTTCAACGAGGTTTACAAGTCGTACAACTCGACGCAATCGCCATTCATCATGGCCGACATTCAACTGGACACCCACATGTATGATGTGAATGTGAGTCCGGACAAGCGCACGATTCTCCTCCATGAACAGAATCAGCTTCTCGATTCACTCCGCTCTGCACTGGGCGACCTATTCGACTCGCAGGACTACTCGGTACCAACTTCTCAGCTTGCTAGGACAAAGCAGAGTCCCTTTGGTCAGCGGGATTCTGCAACACCCGCCCGAACCCAGACCTGGCGCGGTCAAGATGTCACACCTGCTGCTGCGCCAGTTGACTCTGACTCTGACTCTGATTCGGCAGAAGCATCCCGTAGCAGTGCGTCTAGGGCACATCTGTTGAGGAGCAGCCACTCGCGGACTCCCTCCGTCAAGGCTAGTACTAACAGAGCCGACAATCTGATCGACCGGTGGATTCAACGGCGTGATGCTACAGAAGCATCTGACGGAGCGCGTACGCAGCATGCTACGCCATCACGTACAGCCAGACAGGAGCCTGTTTCGACAAGTACCAAAGAGATTGATGTCGAAGAGAAAATCCCCAAGGACGAGGACGTGAGCATGGCTGAACCCGAACCACGACATCCTCTCGTCCACCAGTACAGCAACGAACCAGAGCTCTTCGTACCAGAGGCCGGTCCTCCCCAATTACCCATTCCCAAGGTGCAGCATGTGAGGCAGGAAATCCCCAAGTCAAGTCCGCTAGCGCATCGAAGTCCTAGCAAACCAGCCTCAGAGCCTATCAGCATCACAATCGGCGATCCAGAGGTCCCATCCAGTTCGCACAAGCGTCGTAGGGTCTTGTATGACGCGCATTCTGATGGGACGGAGGACATCGAAGAAGAATCGTCGTCCGATGAGGAGTTGCCAACAAAGCCGTCATTCGGCGGCAGCCTAAGTCAAAAGTTCACGGCAGGTCTCAGGGGTCGCTCTGAAGACTCGGGCGTCAGTGAACGCCAAGCTACTGTTATGGCACAACTTCCTATAGATGCACCAGAGCCCAAATTGGTGGACGAAGACAAGGAAAACGTCAGAACCACCCATCGTCAAGCCAGTTCACAAGCCGAGTCGAGTGTTGCATCCGGGTCGTCTCACCACTCTGACGACAGACCAGAAGAAGGCTCTGCCATCGAAGCCGGCGAGCAGAATCATGCACCAAGCACCAGAGCCGTGGACACTGAAGATGGCGAGGACGCGGCTGCTTTCGCCAAGACTAGGGGCCACTCTCTTCAAGCGAGCTCACGTCGTAAAGACGCAACCCTGCAGATTATCCAGAGTGTCACGACTGGCGAGGGAGCGATTCAGTCCATGATGACAACATGGACCACTTCGTTGCGCCACACGACCTCGTCTCAAGCGGCGTCAACGAACGAAATGGAGGACATCACCTCGACAGACGCCGAGTCCAAACTGTCGCTCATTATCCAGAAATCCGACTTTGGCGCGATGCGCATCATTGGGCAGTTCAATATGGGCTTCATCATCGCTATCCGCCCGGGCTCCCCCCGGTCCAACCAGCCCAATGCAGACGAGCTCTTCATCATCGACCAGCACGCCTCGGACGAAAAGTACAACTTTGAGCGGTTGCAGGATGTCACCATTGTCCAGTCCCAGCGTCTGGTGCATCCGAAGCGCCTCGAGCTCACGGCCCTCGAGGAGGAAATCGTCATGCAGAACCCCGAGGCCATTGAGGCAAACGGATTCAAGGTCAGCATCGACACGAGCGGCGACACCCCCGTTGGGTCCCGCTGCCAACTCATGGCCCTGCCACTCAGTCGTGAGACAACCTTTAACGTGGCGGACTTGGAAGAGCTCATTGCGCTGTTGGGCGAGGAGTCTTCCGAGTCGAAGCACATTCCTCGGCCGGCCAAGGTCAGAAAGATGTTTGCTATGCGTGCGTGTCGGAGTAGTATCATGATCGGCAAGGCTCTGACGCGGAGCCAGATGAGCAACGTTGTAGGCCACATGGGCGAACTTGATAAACCCTGGAATTGCCCTCACGGTCGACCAACCATGCGCCATTTGTGTAGAATGCAAATGTGGGATGAGAAGAGTTGGAATCATGATGTGCAAGAGTGTCTTTCTTTAGCTTCATGGGCAGCAGCATGACAGACAGGTCTGTCTCATGTTTGGAATAATGAGTACAGGGGGGTATAAATCGTCAATTCTCTCTGTACGTGCCTTCATCCTGACCATGTCCCGCGGGAAGCAGACAGACATCGTGCTCCATAAATACATGACCATCTCTGTGTTTCATCAAATCCATCCTGACCAAAGAAACCAAAAAACGCCTGCTACCATTTTCCCCTTTCCGCATACGTTGCTCACATTCACATTCCCATAAATAGTCACCTTGGGGCCTAGTACCCCTTGTGTGCGTAAAAGCCAATATCCGTGTTGACGGGCTTCCTCGCCGGTACTGCTCTGCCCTCCTCGGCAACCTTGCCGCTCACGTTGCGACGCCCGTGCATGGACCCGATGTACTGGGAACCATAGTCGTTGCCAGACGAGATCTTGCGATCGTTGCCTATTATGATGGGTGGCGTGGCGCTCTTGAGCTCTCCGTACGGCTTGGCCAGGAAAGCCGAGTCTGGCTGGATGGAAGAGTCCCTCTTCTTCATGAGACGCTGCGACCAGCGCTTGGTCGGCATTGCTGCTGGTATCGGGTCCGCTTCGTCGGCAATGTCCTTGTCAGAGACGCGCCTCCGGTTGTGGCTCGTCTCGGATAGTGTGCTGGCATCGACAGAGTAGTGCTTCATCTCCTCCACCTTGCCGGATCCACCGAAGACGGCCATGTCGGCCGACTGATGTTTGTTGATCACAGGGTAGAAAGGGGTCTTGGCGCGGTCCGCCAGCCTCTTCTCGGTGTCATGCGGGTTGGACCGCAAGGGGTTGGGGTGGAGGCCTTGCGAAAGATCTCCATCGTTCAGATCGTTCTCGTTCCCATACTCGGAGTCGGAATCCTCCACGTCGTATCGTTCGTCGGTCAAAGCAGCATAAGCGGCGCTGTTTCTGTTGTTTTGACGCATGGCCACCGCAGCCTCCCTGTTGCGCCGGTTGGTCCGCGACACCATAGAATCAGTAGGCGCCCAGGCTTCCCTGAATTTGCCAACCCGAGCGTCCTGATCCAAGGCATCCTGCATGGGAAGCTCGGCATAGGCGCTGTTTTGGGCGGAAACTGGACGAGACAGTTTGTTGGACTGGGGCGACATGGCGGAGTTGCGAGGAGACATGTTGCCTGCGACAATCTGGTACTGACGGTCCGGCAAATTGGCCCTGGTAGGACTGCCTGAACCAAAGGAGATGCTGGACCCCTGGCGAGTGTGCATGAAGGGCACAGAACGGCGAGGTGATTCCTCTCCGTATGAGTTTTGCGACCAGGGCCGGCCACTTCCCGGTGTAGACAAGCGCTTCTCATATTCGCTTTCGTTGTTTGTCAAGGTTGTCATGGAGGACTGGTTGCGCTTGTGCTTTGGTCGAGCTGTGAGGTTATCCTCCAGGGGGTTCATGTCCGGAGGCATCAGGCTTATCTTGCGGAAAGCCCAGGCCAGCCACAGCGACATGAACAGTGAAGCACCGTGGAGACTGCCCGAGCCGACGAGCCCATAGTAAGCGGCTAGAACCACAGCGCCGAGTAGTTCGCTGCCCTGGGGCAGACGTGTGGACCATTTACCCGACTCGTTGTGGATTGTCAGTGCAGTGAAGGCATAGAAGCCCATGGTGATCATATCCGCAAGGGCGGAGAAGATGTGGTAGGCGGCCGAGGAGCCTGGTGTGCGTCCTGTGGCATCACGCGAAAGATGGTAGATGGAGTATAGACAATGTCCGGCAACGATGCCTGGCTGCGAAATGTTAGGGGGCTTTCACTGCGGGAGCGATCAACAGGACATACCACAATGCGCATGATCCATCCTTTGACCTCGTCCATGTTTATGAGTATCACCATGCACGCCAGCAGGCCAAGCGCCACGTTGATCTGCACAATTCGGATGCCTAGTTGAACCCTGCGCAGCCACTTGATCGCCTTCTTTGTGCGCGAGCCCATTGGCGCGTATGGATTCGCTCGATGTGTCAAGACCATGTGTGCGCTGGAATGCGGGTTAGTATATACAGTGGGCATCAGCGACACGACGGATGGACACTGACTCTGGATGACGATTGAAGGATATGAGCGGGCCATCTCGCTTTGGCTTTGGCGCAGGCTTCTGCCAGCTTGCGCGAGTGACAGCCTTTGGATCGAAAGATGTTGCCGGGAAGCGAGAGTCATCGCGCTGGTCAGAGTAGAGGTAGGGCGGTTGAACAGCCATCGCGCCGACTGAGAGCAAGCCGGCCGTAATACCAGACTGCGAACTGTCCAAGAATTGTCTTGAATCGAAGGGAAGGCGGGAGGAAAGGAACGCAGAACGGAGGCTTATCAACTAAACGCCTTGCTTTGCGACAGCAATGGAGACGTCAGCAAACGTGGGGCTGGGTATCATACCTTACGTGGGCGCATGGGTTCAGGGTGAGATACCCGGCTCTTACGTATTTACTCGGGCACGAAGAGCCCATCACCACAGCAACCACGTTTTGTCAGGTCTGAATCCCGACACTTGTTTAGGGTAAGTCAGGATCTACGTCCGACTGGTTCTCGGAGCCGAGACGGCGCCATTTTCAACAGTCGATTATTCCAACAGTCAGTCACCAATCCGAATGCACCTTGGATTGACCAGACCCGGCCTGGAGATGACCATTTATTTACACCACCAAGCATGTGGATGAACCGGGCTCTCAGGCCTCATGTGTCGCGGCAGCCTTTGACAAACATCACCAGGCGACATGCTTCCAGCTCACCACGACCCAGCGATGCGCCTCTGCGCTTGGCCGTTGTCGGCTCTGGACCGGCCGGCTTCTATACCGCCTACAGAGTGATGAACAAGGTGCCCAACGTCAAGGTCGACATGTATGAGGCTCTGCCCGTGCCGTTTGGCCTTGTGCGTCATGGCGTCGCACCAGACCATCCAGAGGTGAAGGTGCGCAGCTCCCGCCAGCATTGACGAGGTACCATGACAGCTGAGCTGACGTTGCCATAAGAACTGCCAAGACAAGTTCGACGAGATCGCCTCGTCTGAGAATTTCACCTTTATTGGGAACATGTCGATAGGCCACCCAGGTCATTCTGCTGAGCACGGCACTGTGGAGCTCCAAACGCTCATGCGCCACTACGACTCGGTGCTCTTCGCCTGCGGCGCCTCCGAGGACAAGAAACTCGGCATTCCTGGCGAATCGACCTTGTCGGGCATCTACTCGGCACGCGGGTTCGTGGGCTGGTACAATGGACTGCCCGACTTTGCCTCCCTCGAGCCGGATCTATCGCGGGGAGACGAGGCCGTTATCATCGGGCAGGGCAATGTCGCGTTGGACGTCGCGAGGATGTTGCTCGAGGACATTGACGTGCTTCGAAAGACTGACATTACGGAGCATGCCCTCGCATTGCTTGCGGAGAGCCGTATCAAGCGTGTGCACGTCGTGGGCAGAAGGGGGCCCATGCAGGCTGCGTTCACAATCAAGGAGGTCCGCGAGCTCATGAAGCTGCGGGATGTGGCCTTTCACCCAACCAACCGCGCATTGATACCGGATGATCCCAAGGCTTTGCCCAGAGCAACGAGGCGCTTAGTGGAGGTCATCATCAAGGGCACCCCTGACAAGGCCCTCGGCTCCACGAGTAAAACCTGGTCCTTGGACAATTGCCTATCGCCGAAGCACTTTTTGGGTCACGAGGACTCACCAGCGAACGTTGCTAGCACGGCGTTTGACGTGACAAAGCTGGCCGATCCATATGATCCGCAGTCCCGCGTCGAGGCTACCGGTGAAACCGCAATCCTGCCGTCCGACATTGTCTTCCGCTCTGTGGGCTATCGCTCCGTCGCGCTGCCCGGGTTTGAGCAAGTCGGCATCCAGTTCGACGAGCAACGGGGCATTGTCAGCAACGACGGACTTGGGAGAGTCACACGCCTAGTGTCCGATGAGAACGCCCAAGACGTTGCGTCGAGGCAAATGCCTGGGCTGTACTGTGCAGGGTGGCTCAAGAGAGGCCCCACGGGCGTCATCGCCTCCACCATGTCTGACGCCTTCACCACGGGCGACGCGATAGCTGACGACTGGCTCTCTGGCAAAGATTTCCTCAAGTCAGCCTCTCCCTCAGCGTCCGATGGATGGGATGGCGTGAGGCAGGAGCTTGGTGCCCGTGCCGGTCGTGTCGTAACATGGGATCAGTGGCGTCTGATCGATGCGGCGGAAAAGGCCCGGGGCCGAGCAAACGGCAAAGAAAGGGAGAAGTTTACCAACACGTCGGACATGCTCGCCGTCTTAGACTAAGTAATCTAGAATGACGCCCCATTGTAGTATATATGTACAGCAGGCTATGAACCCTTCACCTTCTCTGTCAACTCGGGCACCTTCTCAAACAGATCGCCCACCAGACCAACATCCGCCACTTGGAAGATGGGGGCGTCTCCATCCTTGTTGATGGCGGCAATGACCTTGCTGTCCTTCATGCCAGCCAAGTGCTGGATCGCACCCGAGATACCGACAGCCATGTACAGCTGAGGCGCCACAACCTTTCCAGTCTGGCCAACCTGCAGACTGTTGTCCGCGTAGCCACTGTCCACCGCAGCGCGCGAAGCACCCACGGCAGCACCGAGGGCGTCCGCCAGGGGAAGCATCACCTTGTCAAACTCCTCCTTGGACTTGAGACCGCGTCCACCCGACACGACCTTGCCGGCCGTCGCCAGGTCAGGACGGTCTGACTTGGCCAGGTCCTCCGAAACCCACTCTGAGATGGGCTCCGACTTGGGGTCGACGCCGGCCTCGATGGCAGCCGAGCCGGAGCCGGGTGTGTCGGCGGCGAAGGCAGTGCCTCGGATGGTGATGAACTTGATCGCGTCGGACGACTCGACAGTCGCAATGGCGTTGCCGGCGTAGATGGGACGGACAAAGGTCGACTCGCTCTCGATGGCGGTGATGTCTGAGATCTGTTGCGAGTCGAGCATGGCGGCTACGCGGGGCAGGACGGACTTGCCAAAGGCAGTGTGACCGGCGATGACATGTGTGTACCCGCCCTTCTTGATGTTCTCGACCAGCATTGGCGCATAGTTCTCTGGGAGGCCCTGCACAGATGCTGGTTAGAGGATATGCTGCCACTGCTGCTGCATAGAGTCGAACCAACCTTTTCATAGGACAAGTTATCCACGCTGATGATCTTCTCGACACCGTCCACCTTGGCCGCCTCCTGCGCAGCAGAAGCGACGCTGGTGCCCGCAATAAAGCCATGCACCGTTCCGCCGAGTTTCTTGGCCGCCGTAAAGGCACTCAGCGAGCCATGGCTGAGTTGACCATCACGCTGCTCCAAGACGGCGAGTGTAGAGAGGAGTCGGCTTCGGGCGTAGGCGCGGGACGCCAGAGAGGGCGCTGCGCCAATCACCCTGCTGGCGTGCCTGGCCACAGCTCGTCGAGCGGCGGGAAACATGATGGCCGACTTCGATCAACGCGGATTGGTTTATATGTTGGCTGGTTCCTTCGTGGTCGGGCGAGTGAGAGAAAATGAGAGGCACGTCGTGCGTCGGTCGTCGACTGACGGGATATGGATACTGGCGGCCCGAGGTCAACGACGCCGATCGAGTGGTGGCACCTGCCGCGCACCCAAAAAGAGTGCCGATTCTGCCCGCCGTAGCTTGCAGTGATGACAGCCGAGACCGGCAGAGGCACGTGAAGCATATCACGTGACTATCGATGCACCCTCACTGTGGCTGGAGTGGCTCAGTTTGAGGCTAGCGACGCTGTCAGCTCCAGGCTCAGTCAGGCTCAGGCTCCGCAGGGATTGATCGATCGAGGCTGGTTCGTCGCGAATTTCAACGCGCCTCCTGCTGCAGCACTTGCTATCGCGAAATCCATCGCATCGACAAGGGCCACTTATCTCGAGACGCCGCCTTTGACGTCCACCCTGTGGTACGAATCAATTCCACCGCACTCAAGCGCGTAGTTTGATTGATCCGAGTCGCCGCCCTGAACGCACGCCAATCCGTCCTGACGCGCGCGCTCTGCCACTGACCTCCGACCTATCAAGAGCGCATCCCACGTTCAACATGGACGACTCTGCGAACTACGGCTCGCCTGGCAACGGGTCGCCGGGCGACAACGACATTCTCGCACAGCCCCCTCTGGACGACAGCAATGGTGATGGTGAGGACATGGGCGTCATTTATCCCTTCTGAGGATGTGCTTGCTAATCATCGCTTCCAGATGTCCAAATGTCTGACAACGCTGCGTCGGGGACACCCATCAAGCAAGACAACAGCACGCCTGCGCCAGGCACCGCTTCAGACAACCCGCTCGATGCCCCAACCGCGCCCCAAGCCGAAACGACGCAGGCGGGTGATGAAGACATGGGCGATGCCCCAGGGGACGCAAAGGACGACGCGGCCGCTGGCACGGTGCAAGAGACCAAGACGAAGGAAAGCATCACATCCGCCGCGCGTGACCATCTCATCAGCCAGACGCACGCCATCGTCCTACCCAGTTACAGCACCTGGTTCGACATGAATGCGATCCACGAGATTGAGCGCAAAGCTATGGCCGAGTTCTTCAACCAGCGCAATCGCAGCAAGACTCCCGCCATCTACAAGGACTACAGGGATTTCATGATCAACACATACCGCCTTAACCCGGTTGAGTATCTGACCGTCACGGCTTGCCGTAGGAATCTGGCGGGCGACGTCTGCGCCATCATGCGCGTGCACGCCTTCCTCGAGCAATGGGGTCTGATCAACTACCAGGTAAGAGTCACAGTTTGCCCTCCTCTTCTCTGATAGCCACTGACGCGCCTCAGGTCGATGCCGAGCAACGCCCTTCCCACGTCGGACCTCCCTTCACCGGCCACTTCAAGATCATCTGTGACACCCCTCGCGGTCTCCAGCCGTGGCAGCCTGCCGCTGACCCCACCCTCTTGGAGGGTAAGAAGAACCAGGACACCGACAACAAGGCTGCCGCCGCGACGGCGGGCAAGGGTGACCTGAACCTGGAAATCGGGCGCAACATCTACGAAGCTAGCGCAAAGGGAACACCTATCAGCAAGACGGAGAACAAGACCAATGGAGACGCCTCGGCCGTTAACGGCGTGTCGGGAGGCGAGCCGGGCACCAAGACGCCCATTGCCGCAGTCCACTGCCACATGTGCAGTGTGGACTGCACGCGGGTCTACTATCACAATGGCGCGCAGCAGGGCGAGACAGCCTCCAAGACGAGGTACGATGTCTGCCCCAGCTGCTTTGTGGAGGGCCGCCTGCCATCCAACCACACATCTCAGATGTACACAAAGGAGGAGAACCCTCAGTACACCGCAGTCCTCGACCGCGATGCCCCTTGGACTGATGCCGAAATCCTGCGCCTTTTGGAGGGGCTCGAGAGGTTCGACGAGGACTGGAGTGAGATTGCCGACCACGTTGGCACCCGAACGCGCGAAGAGTGTGTGCTCCAATTCTTGCAGCTGGACATTGAGGAGAAGTACCTGGATTCCGAGGTGCCCCTCAACCCTCCCACTGGACTGGCCATGCTGGGAAGCCAACACGGCCAGCTCCCTTTCAGCCAGGCTGACAACCCTGTCATGTCTGTGGTTGGGTTCCTGGCGAGTCTCGCCGACCCTGCCAGCACAGCCGCGGCGGCGAACAAGTCAGCTGCCGAGCTCAAGCGCCAGTTGCGAAAGCAGCTCGAGAACGGCCCCACCACCGACAGTGACGACAAGGTGGCGGACAAGGACAAGGACAAGGATAAGGACAAGGACGAGTCGATGGACATTGACGTGCGGCAAGAGACCACCACCACGACAACGACGACAACGACCAAGACAACAAGCCTGGCCTCTGTCCCTCTAGCCTCCATGGGCGCCCGCGCGGCTGGGTTCGCCTCGCATGAGGAGCGCGAGATGACACGCCTAGTATCTGCCGCTGCCAACGTGACGCTGCAGAAGCTGGAGCTGAAGCTCAAGTACTTCAACGAGATGGAGTCCATCATGCGTGCCGAGCGCCGCGACCTGGAGCGAGGCAGGCAACAACTGTTCCTGGACAGACTCGCGTTCAAGCGTCGCGTGCGCACGGTGCAGGAGGGCCTCAAGGCGGCTGCGGCCACTGGCGGTGATCAGGGCCTGCGCATGGCAAACGAGGCGATGACGGACGGTGAGCGACTGAGCTTTCAGCCGGTAGCTGATGCCAATGGGATCCAGCCCCCGAGCAGTGACGGCCAGACCAAGAGCTTTGAGCTATGAGGGTTGGCAGCATGGTGTTACGACGGACGCACGAGGTGTTTGGGTATTTTCAAAAGGCGCTCTCCCTATGAGGCGCAGAATGTATGTCGTGGCGGGGAGTGCCTCTACAATTGACGAGAAGGGATGGATGGACGGCGCGTGACTACAAGTGCGATACCGTCTGGCGCGCGTGTGCGACGATGTGGTGTACAGTTCATTTGGAGTTCCGGCGAAAACCAGGTAGTCAGTCAGTCAGTCATGCTTGTAGTATTAATGCACTAGATCTACGAGGCCTGTTCAGCTTAGACCGCTCGCCAGAGCCGCCGTGACAACTAGGTTAGAGTATTGTACACGTACGTACCGTACAGCCTGCTTGACATTATAGCCGCCGTACGTACGGATGGATAGTTTGTGCCTCGTTCCAAACCTCCCGGGGGTGAATTACCTCGGCTGAATGAGGCCCCACCGGGTGAACGGACCAGGCAAACGGGGGCCGAGATGGGGCAGCGACGGGGAAATGGCCTACGGAGCGGAGGAGTGGGAAGACTCTGGGGGGTCCCTCTCCAATTTATGGCCCCCCAAGAGGCTCAGAAGGTGACGTTGGCACGCCAGTGCGTGGGACAAGTATTGCGAAGGAGCCCGCCTCACATGCTCGGCTAGTCGACATGGAGTATCCGTAGCGACAAGCCTCTGCTTCTCCAAGCCGGCCCACACTCCACCCACCATCGTCCTACAAAACCACGCGGGACACTTCAGCCTCGGTCGCGCGCCTCTTCTCGATCTGATTCTGTTCTCGTTCCCACCTGTTGATACCCCTTCCCTTCCCATTGTCATGTTTGCCCTCGCCTCCTCCCGCTCCTCCTACTCCTCCTCTTCACGCGCAGTCACCAGCACCTTGCAACGAGCCAGCAGGACATCCGCCGCGACGACCGGCGCCCGCACTGCCATCATGGCCCAGACCAAGCGCAACAGCAGCTCCCTGCCCAAGCCCTATGCCGAGGACAAGTCAAAGGGCCCCATGCTGCGGTACCAGGAGTCGCTCCCCAAGCTGCCGGTCCCCACGCTCGAGGAGACGGCCAAGCGCTACCTCAAGACCCTGCACCCGCTGCTCTCCCAGTCCGAGTTTGAGAGGAGCCAAAAGGCCGTCGAGGAGTTTGTCAAGCCCGGCGGCGCGGGCCAGAAGCTGCAGGAGAAGCTCGTCGCCAAGCGCGAGGACCCCAACACCAAGAACTGGATCTACGAGTGGTGGAACGACGCCGCCTACCTGGCCTACCGCGACCCCGTCGTGCCCTACGTCAGCTACTTCTACTCCCACCGCGACGACCGCAAGCGGCGCGACCCCGCCAAGCGCGCCGCCGCCCTCTCGACCGCCATCCTCGACTTCAAGAGCCAGGTCGACGCCGGCACCCTCGAGCCCGAGTACATGAAGAAGCTGCCCATCTGCATGGACAGCTACAAGTGGATGTTCAACGCCAGCCGCGTCGCCGCCCACCCCAAGGACTACCCCGTCAAGTTCAGCCCCGACCAGAACAAGCACATGGTCGTCATCCGCAAGAACCAGTTCTTCAAGCTGCCCACAGAGGTCGACGGCAAGCAGCTCAACACCACCGAGCTCGAGACCCAGTTCAGGCGCATCTACGAGCGCGCCGAGCCCGTCGCCCCCGTCGGCGCCCTGACGACGGAGAACCGCGACATCTGGGCCGATGCGCGCCAGATCCTCCTCGACGCCAGCCCCAAGAACAAGGCGGCGCTCGAGGCCATTGAGTCCTCCTCCTTTGTCGTCTGCCTCGACGACGCCTCCCCCGTCACCCTCGAGGAGCGCGCCCACCAGTACTGGCACGGCGACGGCGCCAACCGCTGGTTCGACAAGCCCCTGCAGTTCATCATCAACGAGAACGGCACCTCGGGCTTCATGGGCGAGCACTCCATGATGGACGGCACGCCCACGCACCGCCTCAACGACTACGTCAACGACCTCATCTTTGGCAACAAGCTCGACTTTGACGACCCTGCGGTCCGCTCCAACCTCGCCGCCCCCGAGGTCATCCGCTTCGAGATCACCCCCAAGGTCCAGGCCGAGATTGAGCGCGCGCAGCGTGACTTTACCGACCTCATTGGCCAGCACCAGCTCGCCGTCCAGGCCTACCAGGGCTACGGCAAGGGTCTCATCAAGAAGTTCAAGTGCTCCCCGGACGCCTACGTCCAGATGCTGATCCAGCTGGCCTACTTCAAGATGTACGGCCAGAACCGTCCCACGTACGAGTCCGCCGCCGTCCGCCGCTTCCAGCTCGGCCGCACCGAGACCTGCCGCAGCGTCTCGGACGAGTCGACCGCCTGGTGCCGTGCCATGCACGACCCCAAGATGGACGACAAGACCCGCGTCGACCTCTTCCGCAAGGCCGTCAACAGCCAGATTGAGTACATTGCCTCGGCGTCCGAGGGCAAGGGTGTCGACAGGCACCTCTTTGGCCTCAAGAAGCTCCTCGAGCCCGGCCAGGAGGTCCCCGCCATCTACCAGGATCCCGCCTACGCCTACTCGAGCTCGTGGTATCTGTCCACCTCGCAGCTCAGCTCCGAGTTCTTCAACGGCTACGGATGGAGCCAGGTCATTGACGACGGTTTCGGCATTGCGTACATGATCAACGAGAACAGGTGTGTATCACCATTTTTTTCACGAAAAGACAGCAAGGCTAACCTTTTCCGCAGCTTGAACTTGAATATTGTGTCAAAGGGGCTCGGCAGCGACCGCATGAGCTACTACCTAAACGAAGCCGCGGGCGAGATGCGCGACCTGCTGATGCCCACCGTCGAGGCGCCCAAGGCGAAACTATAGAAGATCGGGATACACATACTTGGTAGCGATTCCTTCAAGCATGGTTGGTCGGTTAGAAACAAGTCCTTTGCAGCAAGGTTGTAGGATCACGCGTAGCTTTACATGTCGAGACAATGAACTCTCAAAAGTTGTACAAGGGCGCGTTCCACGGTCTCCAAGACGACACCACGTGTTTCATAATTGACTGCCTAAAAGGAACACTTCATCGCACACCCATCACACCAGCCACACATGAACCTGTCTAACCGGCGTGGTCCACAATCTCGTTGACCAGCTGGCGCTTGGACTCATCGTAGTACGAGCACAACTGCGACGGCAGTGGCACTTCCTTGTAGTCATCCTCGCCCTCAATGATATTGAGGTTGATGCTGTCCGACTTGCTGGAGAAGATCTTGGTGGCGATACTTTCCTTGCTCAGGTAGACGGACGCACCGTCCACCTGATCCAGCATCACCGTAGGGATGGTGCCCAGGACTTGCAGGGCAAAGTTGGGGGCCTTGACCACGTCGACGGTGGAGACGAGCGTGTCCACCACCAAGGAGAGCCTCGACGAGTTCTCGACGGTGACCTGGTTGGCCTTGCCCTTGACAATAATCGTCGTGTTGTTACAACGGCTGATCAGGACAGAGTGGGACAAGGCGGCGTCAATGGTGACGGGCTCGGCCTCCTTTTCGTAGTTTTCCTAGCCTCGTGTTAGTCTCCTGCGTGCATGCACACACACGCCGCATCATATCCACTCACAATCGTCCACTTGTTGCCCTCAAGCTCCTTCTTGGCGGGCTTCTTCACCCTCATGCTCTGGGGCTTGGGCTTCTTTCCCGGCGCCGGGCTCTTAGCACGCGACGCCGAGCTGCCATCCCCGACCGTTGACGAGGTACGGAGCGATGGGTTCTTGTGGGTCATCTCGGACTTGTCGACCTTGCGCAGGCCCTTAGTGACGGACTCGCCCTTGTTGAGCTCCGAGAAGACGGCCCCGAACCCAGAACCACCCGAGGGGGCGGCCGGTGCCGCAGGCTCGGTCTTGACATCGATAGTTGGGGGAGGGCCAGGGGGCGGGGGAGGAGGCGGAGGCGGCGGCGCACCACCAGCAGCCGGAGCAGGCGCTGCTGGTGTGGCCTTGGAGTCCAGCGACTTGGCGACCTCGACGGCAGACTCTCCATTTGCATTCCACGTGAGTCCGTTCGGGTAGCGGTCCTTGATCAATTCCGAGAGGTTCTTGAAGATGCCGTAGAATGCCTGCACCCATTCCACGTGCTTGGGATCCCTGTGTCATAGTGTCAGCCTCGACGAAATGGCAAGCCGTTGGCCCTGTCTGGCTCCTCACGTTTCCTTGTACTGCTTCAGGACCTTGTTCCCCCAGAACTGGGCGGATCCCAAGAACTCATCCACGTGCTTGAAGGGTCGGTTCGGGACGAAGACCCAGCCCAGGAGCATGATGCCGTCCGCGACAGCGCTCAAGTGGTTCGCCTGGTCGCTTCCCCGATTCTCCTCCTTGATGTTCATGGCCTCCATGGCGGGGCCGTTCATCGGCTCGACCAGCTTTCCGAGGGTGGCGTCGTCAGGCTTCTTGGCCTTGCTGGCGATGAGGAGGAGCTTACGCTGCTCATGGAACGCCTTGGCGACCGAGGCGGTCTGCTTGGCCACGAGCCCACCCAGCTCATTGCTGCTCTGGACGTATTTGCCAATCGTGGCCTCGAGGAAGGCATCGTAGTCCTCGACGGCGGCGGGTAGGGGTTCGTCGGCAGCCTTGGGAGCTTCGGTGGGCGCAGGTGGGAGCTGCGCTGGGGATGAGCTGGCTTTGACGCTGTTCATCGGTGTTGCGCCATCCTTGGGGAGTTCGGTGGATGTCGCAATGTCTTCGAGACGAGAGGTGGCAGCTTCGAGCCTGGTGTACAGGTTGGCAAGGTCAGCGCTAATGTTTCTCTGCATGGCCCATGAGTATGAAGAGATGGGGTTTGTGGTGCTCGTACCGCTTGATGAGAGTGGTGAGGTTGTGCATGTTGTTAGCAGCGGCCATGGTGGTGTGCTTGTGACGCAGGGGGCGTCGCTCCTTCCGTCTACAAGTGACTAAGGCGAGGTACAGTCTGCTGTGGACGTCGAGACGGACAGGTTACTTCGAGGAGAGCAAAGATAGCTCCTTGTCCAAGTTCGAAACCAGATAGGACGATCGACAGTCTGTCAAGCCAAATGTGTCCTGCGAAGGGGGTGGCCAACCGAGTCCAACACCAGGCAACAACCGGCTAAACTAGGCGCGGGGAGGCAGAGCTCGACAACTGGGCGAACAGAGGCGTTGATTGATGCCTTGGCCACGCAATGTTCGATCTCGTCTATTGTCAATGGGTTGAGAGGTAGGTAGTATAGATACCGGCGAGGAAGAACCAACATGGCATCGGTCGTCTAGCTTAGTCCACGCCCTGGGTGGATGCGTTGAGTCTACAACCCCCGAGACAAGCCAATCACGACGGGGCGTCCCCTGAGCAACTCTGGAAAACGCTGTCGCGTCATGGTCTGTCCTGGCCGTCACGAACGGTGCCAGGCTCAATCCCGTCCTGGACGGAGTCCTCCTGCGACTAGAGTCCGTTCATGGCCCAATCCCGGTCGGCTGTTAGTGCAACTCGAAGCTTGAACGCGGAGATGCAGCGACGCCGAGCGACGCTATCCAGACATGTGTCCTGCTGGTGTCTGTAAGCTCAAGCCCATGTCGGGTACCTGAGGGCGGGATTGTGCCAACGCAACACTATCATGCTGCGCAGCTCGATGGCCCAAGCTACACCGTTTCTTCTTGTGCGCTAACTCATGGTCGTCATTATCATCCAGGACGTCTCAGTTTTTGTTGCTCCGGCTTTTGCTTGGTTATTCGCCATCTATTGCTTGAGAGAGCGGTCTCGCTTGGCAACATCCGACTATCTTTCAGCACTGCGGGTGTCAACACCAGTCTCTCTGAGCCAAGCCAACCCCAATAATAAAACCCGCCACGGCGTATGGACAAGGACCCAGACGATGACATGGGTGCATCCGAGAGCACAGAGAACTCTGGTTCGCGCGAGAGTGAAGATGAGCAGGTCGCGGTCGCGGACGCGGACGCGGACCACAAGCCTGGACGGGAAGAAGAGGCTACCGAGTCCGACAAGCGACAGCAAGAGCAAACGGCAGAGTTGAGCATTCGACCACGAACTGACAGTGCCCCGACTCCGATTGACTTTGTCACTTTGGGCATGTTCATAATAGGTATACCCGATTGACTGCTAAAAAGAGGTGAAATGACTGCTCACACTTGTAGACGACATTGACTTCATACCACCAACACCCTCAGTCAAGGATGTTTTGGGAGGTGCTGGCTCTTGGTCGGCATTAGGTGCCAGACTCTTCTCTCCGCCGCCTCTATCAAAAAGTGTCGGCTGGATCGTGGACCGAGGATCGGATTTTCCAGCAGCACTGACGGAGCAGATTGATGGCTGGGGGACATCCGTCTTATATCGCGATGATTCAGAACGCCTGACGACAAGGGGCTGGAACGGGTACGAAGGAACTGACGAGAAGAGACTGTTTACATACCTGACGCCCAAGAAGCGCCTAGCCGCTGACGACCTGACCCCCGAGCTGCTCCAGGCACGGTCAATCCACCTCATATGCTCACCGCTCCGGTGCCAGGAGCTGGTTGCCGACATTACGTCTCGCCGCAAGGCTGTTATGCTGGATACTTATTTCCGACCGGTCTTCATCTGGGAACCAGTCCCGGATCTATGCACGCCAGATGAGCTACTCAACTGCACGAACACGCTGCCCGTGATCGATGTGTGTAGTCCCAATCACTCGGAGCTGGCTGGCTTCATGGGTGATGACGGGATTGACCCAGATACCGGCGAGATCTCGAAAAAGGCCGTGGAGCGGGCATGTGAGCAGCTCCTGGCCAGCATGCCGCTGCAGTCCTTCTCACTCGTGGTGAGAGCGGGTGACAAGGGATGTTACATCGCAAAGAACGGAGGCAGGAAGCGTCAGCGCAACCAGAGCTCGAACACACAGCAACGAAAGAAGCACTACCCTCGGGGTGGTCTACGACCGGATACCGACATGGAAGCGCTCTTCGCAGGTCTGCTCCAGGATGCAGATGGCTTGGTAGCCCGAGAAGAGATCGAAGTCGATCCGGGCATCGAGCGCTGGGTGCCTGCCTACCACCAGGACGCCAGCAAAGTCGTTGACCCGACGGGAGGTGGGAACACGTTTCTGGGCGGCCTTGCTGTCGCTCTAGCGCGGGGGCACTCGATCGAGGAGGCGGCCTTATGGGGCTCGGTGGCTGCTAGCTTTGCTATCGAGCAGGTCGGGGTCCCCAAGCTAGAAACCGACGCCGAGGACAATGGGAAGGAGAAATGGAATGAATCCAATGTCCATGACAGGGTGGAGGAAATGCAGAGCAGATAATGATTTTGAGCACGATAAGGATTTCACAATACATAGCATAGACTAGGATACAAGTATCAGGCGCAATGATTTCATTCTGCCGCATGTTTGGGCGGCACAGACTGGAGAGTAATTCAATAGATACCTCAAAAGGGCAACTGCTGACCGAGTTTAGAGCGTATCGTTCTCTCTATATGTCATATGTACAGAGAAATATTCGTAAAAACATCATATTACGACCTTGGTTTGTCGTTCGGGATCCACGTGACATGACATCAGCTGCTGGGAGGTTGCCTTAGACAGGGAGCTTTGCTACAGCTTGCGCAGGTCATCAAGACAGGCTCTCACGCCGACAAGAAACCGAATGCCCAATCCTCAATATCGAAAAGCTCATGTAGAAGGCATGTAGTTCGTATCCCGCATCGAATCCCCGACGCCGAGTCCAACGCGAGAAGGAATATATAGATCTATATGCAACAACCCACGCGACGCAGATCCCACCACGCAGAATCGACGCCTGTCCCATATTTCGCCATGCCGATCCATCTGTGTTCCCAAAGTCAGCCGTAAAGAGTCCAGCCATGGCGGGGCCCATTCCTGCTTCTCTTGCCAGCCAGGCTTTCCCAGAGGACTTGCCGTTGCCCACCGACTCCGAACCAGCCCAAAGAACTCCAGAGGCGCCCGTCTTCCCCTCTCTCCAAAATAATGACCAGTCGAGCCGTGCTTCAACCGAGGTACCTCTCGTGTCGACGCGCCTCGGCGAGGCAGACAATGACGATGAGGCTGCTGTAGCGAAGCCCTTTGTGCGAGCCGCCAGCCCAGATTCCGGAGCGCCGAGGGCCCATACAGCGATGCCCGACAAGGACGACAAAACGCCAGATAGACTTGCCTACAAAATGCACAAGTTCAATCTGTATGAGACTGCGAGTCGGTACTACATTGTGGGCGTGGATGTGAGCGAGAAGTGGTATCGCATTCTCAAGATCGACTGTACGGGCGACGGATCCGAACTGAGCATGACGGACGACAAGATTGTATACAGCCTCAAGCAAATGAACCAGCTTCTGGACACCATCGATCATGGAAACAGGGGCACGGGTGGTATCAAGTTGCGGTGCACCACATGGGGCTTGCTGGGGTTCATCAAGTTCACCGGACCCTACTACATGCTCCTGATCACCAAGAAAAGCACGGTGGCCATGATCGGCGGTCACTACATCTACCAGATCGAAGGCACTGAGCTCGTACCGCTCGTCCCTTCTCGCTTCAAGACAGATTCTCGAAATACGGAAGAGCAGAGGTTCTTGGGCATTCTCAACAACCTCGACCTCACGCGGTCCTTCTACTACAGTTACTCCTACGATGTCACCAGGACCCTGCAGCATAACGTTACGCATGAGCGTGAGAACCTTGCCAAAGGTCAGTTCACCGCCTCAGAGGACGACCTCAACTCCATGTTCGTGTGGAATGACTACCTCTTGCAGCCAGCGGTCAAGGCTCTGCGTGATCCCTTTGACTGGTGTCGCCCAATTATTCATGGCTACATTGATCAGGCAGCCCTCTCCATCTATGGCCGGACCGCTCACATCACCGTGATTGCCAGAAGATCCCGCTACTTTGCCGGCGCGCGGTTCCTCAAGCGCGGAGCGAATGACCTGGGCTACGTTGCCAATGATGTCGAGACGGAGCAAATTGTAGCAGAATCGCTCACAACGTCCTTTCACGCGCCCGGGCCACGGCTTTACTGTAGTCCGCAGTACACTTCGTACGTGCAACATCGAGGGAGTATACCGCTGTACTGGACGCAAGACACCACAGGCGTCACTCCGAGACCTCCAATCGAAGTCAACCTGGTCGACCCTTTCTATTCTGCGGCTGCACTGCACTTTGACAACCTCTTTGAGCGCTATGGCGCCCCCATCTTTGTCGTGAATCTCATCAAGTCCAAGGAAAGGCAGCCTCGCGAGTCGAAGCTTCTGGACGAGTACACGGACGCCATCAACTATCTGAATCAGTTCCTTCCTGTGGACAAGAAGATCATACACAAGGCCTGGGACATGAGTCGGGCATCCAAGGTTCGGGGCGGAGACGTCATCGGGAACCTTGAGGTCATTGCGGAATCCGTCCTCAACACGACCGGCTTCTTCCAGAACGGCGATGGCGAAACGAGTCCCATGAGCGCCCAGAACGGCGTCGCGCGAACCAATTGTATCGACTGTCTCGACCGCACGAATGCCGCCCAGTTTGTTATTGGAAAGCGCGCGCTCGGCCACCAGCTTCATGCCCTGGGCATCATCGAAGACATTACGGTCGAGTATGACACCGACGCCGTCAACCTGTTTACGCACATGTGGCACGATCATGGCGACACAATCGCCGTCCAATACGGTGGCTCACAGCTCGTGAACACGATGGAGACGTATCGAAAGATCAACCAGTGGACCAGCCATTCACGCGACATGATTGAGAGCTTCAAGCGATATTACAATAACTCCTTCTTGGATAGCCAGCGCCAAGAGGCGTACAACCTGTTTCTCGGCAACTACATCTTCGCCCACGGACAGCCAATGCTGTGGGATCTCGCCACAGATTACTACCTACATCATGCCAACCCGAGGGACTGGTCCAACAAGGCAGGTAAAGGGTACATAAACTGGTACACGCCCGAGTCCCTGGAGGAAAGAAAGTTGCCGCCACTGGTCCCGCTCAGCTGCTCAGTACGTGCGCGTCCAGTCGAGTTCTTTGACGACTACTGGCTCGAATACTATCGCCCATCCACCCTATCGTCCTTCCCCAAGATGTTTGCGTACAAGATGAACTCGACCATCAAGTATATCCCATTCAAATCGACGCAGGATGGTCGATACGATCTCAGCCCGTTCCGAGTCCGCACCGATGCCGATACGCACGCTGAAAGCAAAAAGCACCGCAGAGGTGTCTCGCTGATGGCGCAGGGAGGCTCGCCGCTGTACCAGCAGGAAGGAGTCGACGATGACACCGCCTCCATTGCGTCGGGCCAGACCGCATCCAGAGGTATCCAGCGCTGGCTGCAAATGTCCGCTCCGCAGGGCAGAGCCCCTCATCCATTCCACAAAGCAGCGTTCCCTCCGACGCAGGTTGAAGAGGCGGCATCCGAGAGGAAGAACTCGACCATGCCAGAGAAAAGTGAAAAGTCCAAAAGCGCACAGTGGACCTTCCAAAAAGCTGTCATCGAGTCGCTGAACCCTACCGTGGAGGAGCACGAGGAGGCAGACTACGTCCAGTACATCAAGCACCCGCAGCAAATGCCTCTCGTCACGTCCACGGACACACCTGTCGACGTGGACGCTTCCGAATACCAGGAGTACATATCGGGAGACTGGCAGGCCGAGGGGCTCATGGTGACGGGCGACGAGGAAGAGATTGCGCTGTACGCGGAGATGCTCAAAGTCGGCGAGAACCCGCTCACCGTGACGGAAGAGGACGGACCCAAGAAGCGGTACAAGGCCTATCGAAAGTGGCTCCGGGGCAAGTCGTTCTTCAAACAGCAGCCGCTGGACTGAGGTTTGATCATTGCCAGAGTGTCTTGAGCTCTGGCTCGGCCTTTTCGACGTCCTCAAGAGAAAGGGCACGGTCCGCACGGAGGTTCCGAGATCTCTGGACCGCGAGTACAGCGGAGATGATGCACCGGAGTTCTCGTTCCAATGGGCTGGAGTCGAGCGCAGCTGCGTCGTGGTCGTGCAGATTCGTCCAGCAGGTGCTCACAATCCGGATAACCTCCTCGTCGTACCCTCCCTCGGAAATTCTGGGCCAGCAATTAGCGAGAACAGCATTCATTGCTTGGGCCGCTGCGAGCAATGTTGCTGGTCGCGCTGGGGCGAAGGGGTCAGTCATGACGGCAGACAGCAGGGAAAGGAGGTTCTGACAGCGTCAGCCACGGTTGCGAGTTGCGACTCTGCGATCTCACCTGTAGATGCTTGAGCGCAAAGATTTCCAGCGCATCGACCACAGATATCAGCGTGGTCATTAGAGTCTCGACTATACGCATGTATTGGGAGGCATGATCATGCGCAGCGAATACGCCCTCACGGAGCGTTTTGTCCAATAGGTGACGCCGGACAGAGCTCTTGGTATCTGGATCCTTCTTTGCGAGCATCAGGAGAACCTTGTAGGCGGCCTTGATGATCTCAACAGATTGCTCTTCCGGCGTCAACGTTGGCAGGAACAACAAAGATGGAAATACAGATTCCTCAAAGACTTTTGCGATGCCGGTGGTGGCCAGTATGCGCAAAGGGCATTTGTCAAGGAAGGCAACGAGTGTGCCGAGGCCATGTACCCGTACAGCAGCGTCTTCATCTTCGATGAGAGTGAGAAGGACAGGCGTAAATAGTGGCCAATGATCACGTATCAGAGTGTCCTGTAAGTAACGTCAAAACATAGGATCGTTCGTATCACGACTCTCAGTACTCACATCCGCGTGCTGCACAGCCCATCTGAACAACGATATGATCTGTAGCCCACCACGCTTCCATGACGGCGTCTCCAGGCCTCTGTAAGCCCTCGGCTCGCCTTGCTCGAAGAGTACTGGGCGACCCGAGGCAGTGACCTTTGTAGTAGACTGCGAGAACAGCGGTCGCAGATACTTCTGTAGGATGCTCTCCACAATGAAGCTCGACACCTTGTGTTTGGGGAGAGCAGCGTCGACCAGCCGGCCGGCCATGGCAGCAGCCTCCTTCGTGGTCCAACCATCCTCGGCGTCCGTGTACGCGAGAACGTGTCTGAGTGACTCGTCATCAATTTCGACCAGCCACTTGGTCTGCAGTTCTACGAGACAGGCCAGCGCCGCCTCGGCGGTCAAGGCTTGTCCCTCGACTGTTGAGACAGTGTCAGCCATTGTCACGTATTCTCCGGCCCCGAGAAAAACGCACCATACTCCGCGACCGCCGTGCCTCCCAGGCCTGTGGTGGCACTCTTCCTCAGCCTCGCGAGTGCTGTGGTCCGCGTATCGTCGTCAGCGGCCGTGGCTGGCGTGTGAGACAGCGTGCCGAGACACGTGAGGAGTGCGTCACGGACATACTTTGGCGACAAAAAGTGTTTATCAGTATGTGATGTAGAAATTAAAGACATTCCATTATTTTGCATACCTCGCTGCTCTTCGCGCTGTCCTCGAGTGTCGCGGCAGTCTCGTGGAGCGTCGTTGGCTGCTGTGCTGCGGGACCGCGTAAGTACCAAGGCTGAGGAACAGAGCAGAGACTTTGGCAAAAGACGTGGGCATCGCAGGCTCACCTGTTAATAATTCTCGTAGACGAGAGATGTTGCTCTCGCCGAGATGAGAAGCGTTTTCCATCTCGAGAATGGTCAAGGGCGCTGTTCCTTATCCGGTGGAAGAGGTGCGCTGCAGAGCGAGAAATTGAAGTCTGGGTGATGGCTGGAGTGAGATCCGTCCCATCACCATCACCAGAGCGCCGACAACTTTGTCAGCAGCCCACCACGCCATCATCTATACCTGATGCAGGTGAACGGAGAAGAAATTTATACGCTGCTTAAATAGTGCGTCGTCTACTTCTATGGTATCTATGGTTGGGTTTGCCGCATCGTCATGACAGGCTGACTGCAGTGCCTGGTCATCATGAAGGGACATCTCTACTCTTCCCTTCTTCATGAGTTAAGCGGGATATCTAACCGCTCTGCCTGTGCTCGGATCTCTTCGACCGCACCGGATGGATCCGTCTCGCCCGGATGGCGCAGCTGCCAACGAACACACTCATTCAGCGCCGCCCCCGTCCACCGCCCAGGTTTCACTCCCAAAGCCTTGCTCAGCTCCAAACCGGTCAGCAACGGCCTCACGTTGACGGCCCCTGGAGCGTCGAGGTCCATCAGCCAGTCGAGCACGGTTTGCCAGTCCTTCAGAAAGTTCCTCTGCAGCTCTGCGGCCTCTTCATCGTGGTTCTTATCCAGGTCCCATACAGCCAGCTTTTCGGCGGCATCCACGAGAATGGCATTCAGAACTTGTAGCTTCCATGAGCTGCCAGACAGCTCCCAGCGTCGAAGGGACATGCCCACGATACCATTGTCACTGGCTCGGGGTGCCATGGCGAGGATGTCCTCTTTGAGCTCCATGATCTCCACCCGGTTGTTGAAGGATGCAGCAATGACATCGCTGACTTTGTTGGATGCCCGATAGCCCTCCCAGGCCATCTTAGCAGGTGGCGGCAGATATCTCTTCTTTTTGCGCTCGGCTTCGGAGCCCGGGTCCGCCGTCATCCAGGGGGATAGTGCGGCGAGGTTCCATGCCATGTACTCGGCTTCCTTCTTGGTGATGAGTAGATCGTAGATCGACATGGGGGAGTGGTTCTGCATCACGTCGTAAAGACACTTGTATGCCACGGACCATTTTCGCCGCAAAGGAGGGACGGCCGCACTCTGAGCTGGGTCTGTGAACACGGCCTCATAAAGACCAAGGTCGTCAATCAAGGAGAGCGCCCTGCGCGGGAAATTGCCTGCCATCACGGTCAGCTCGCGTCCGCTAGTTTTCAGAATGCCACAAACCTCGAAACATCTTCTCCAGTTCGATGCCCACCCGCTCACGACTAATTTTCACGCGCAAGGACTCGAGCACACCTGCGTTGCCCATGAACAGCGTAGTTTCCTCAGCAATCTCGAATTGCAATCGGCTCGCGAACCGGACAAGGCGAAGGACGCGCAAGGGATCGTCCGTGAATGTCTGAAGAGGCTCGGTGGGTGTTCGAATGATGCCATTTCGCAGATCTGCCAGCCCGCCGACATAGTCCTCCACCAGGTCGGTGCCGAGATTGTAGAACAGTGCATTGATGGTAGCGTCGCGCCGTTCCGCATCTTCCTCAATCGTGCCAAACTCCATGGTCGGGTTGCGACTGATGTCGCTGTACACTTCCTTTCGCAGGTTGACAAAGTCGAGGTCCAGGCCGAAGATCTTGACCGAGGCCGTTTCCAGGTGCTTCGACTTTTCGGGGTTGGCCGCCACATTGTAGACCTTGCCCACCTCGTCCTCCTTGAGCTGGTGGTGCGCAATGACCTTGGCGTCGCTGAGGTACTCCTTGAGGTGCGTGATAAAGTCGGCGCCCGTCATCACGTTGATGGCCACGTCAATGTCGTTGCTTTCGGTCCCCAGGAGCTTGTCTCGAACCCACCCGCCAGCCCATCGCAGGATGACTGGTTCCTTTCCTGCCCTGTCGATGGAGTTGGCTGCGCCCAGGAGAAGTTTCCGTAGGCGCTGCTCATCCTCGTTCAGCTTGACGTGGGCCATGACGGCGGCAGTCTTTGTCCTCTTCGCTGTGCGAGGCCCGGGAGATGGAGATCGTTCGGTTGCAGTGGCCAAGTCACGTTTCATCACCCAGACTTGCAATAGTGAGATCGGCCTTTTGGGTTGTATGTAGTGTAAGAGCTGGCGCGAGGCTGCTTTGCCGAGCAGCATGTGTGACTCTGAGTCGTGACTGCTACGGATGAGTATTCGCCCGACGTCAATCAGCCCAGATCGGTTCGTTTTAGGCGCAATCTGTCTGTAGTATATTTCATTTCACGGGTTCTCAATCGTACTCATGCTCCCCATGCATTTGGCTGGGCTTTGGCGGTTTCCGGATGGTGCATGTGCGTTTTCTTGAATTTCCAGATGCTCGTCACACTGTCATCAACAAATTGATTCCCGTTTCGTCTGCGTGGCCAGTTCAAATTGTGGCTACCCTAGACGCATGGCTTCACTACGTTCGTCGAGATGTCATATCTCATCGACTACAGTGTACAAATGCCATGAATATCAAATTATGATCGTTGAGAGGATGGTAGCACTTGAGAGTCACTGATAAGAATATCACCATGAGCATGCTGCGCACATTGTGGTCATCATCACAGACTAGACACCCACGTAGACATGCAAACAAAACATCCCATGCTGCACGTCAGTTGGTAGTGCGAACATGGGACTGGCCACTTGGTCGGCACAGGACCCCTATCGTCGTCGAGCAATAGGTTGCAACCGCATGAAAAGTGTACAGGCTCTACGATCGCCACTGATGTATTACGTCAATGGGACCCGACGATCAAATCGTCGCCACGGTATGGTCGCGACAAGCTTCACTAATAAGTTAAGGTTCGTGCAACGCCCCATCTAGCGCCGGATAGTATGTCCAGCTGACGGGCTGTATTCAAGTTTGAACGCGACAGACTTCTAGGCGCGGGAATCCCCAACCTCGCCAAGCCGTGCGACCACAGCCACGCGATGAGAATTGTCAGAATCTAGACGCTTGGGCTTGCGAGGTCTGGCGGCGCAGCTCAAATACTTGGTAGCCACTTGAGAGGGGGTCGTGGCTCGTCGACTTGGGGGCAAGGGGCGACGCAACGGACGGTGACTCGCCACCTGCACTGTAACAGCAGCGAGATCCTCAAATTCAACTCAAGTGCAGCTCAACGGGCGGGAGGACCGTAGTCTTCCTCGTTAGCGCACGCATGATTACCATATCAAGAGGTGGGCAAGTTCCTCGTCCTATCGCTGGCTGACGATGCCCACCACCTGTCACGCGCATGTACGTAAGTACGTGCATGAGGCCTCTTGAGAATGGGAAAGAAGAGCGGGGGAGGGGGTGCAAAGCTATTGCACAGCCCAGTATACTCGAGAGAGCAGTTATACTTTAACCTACTCGATGTTGGCGTAAAGCAGCTTTGTATCCGCAGAAGCGAGCCATCCCCACACGCTAGAATGATCGTCATACCCCGGAACCATTGGATAACGGTACACACCTAGTAGGATCATAGGGCTCCCCTAACGGCCGGCATGTACTTGCCCGCGCCTGGGGCGATATGGGGGAATAGAGAACGTTTGCCGCTTGGACGGTCGGTTCCTTCCTCTAGTCCTCTTTGGTAATTCGTCAGCTGGACTTGCTCGGAGGGCAAAGGTGTATATAGTGACGTGTCTTCCCCTATGGCCTCCCAGTTTCTATCACCTACGAAAGCAACGCCTCCAGCCTCAATAAACCAGTATCATCCGCTACCAGCTTCTGCTATAGGAGTTCCCAAGCAGCTATGAATACGGAATCAGCAACGCAGAACCAACCTACCGAGTTCACTCCCATTGTCATGAACGAGTCACCCGTGGCAGGATCGCAGCAGGACCGGAGAATGAGTGACGAATGGGGTGAGTGATAACAAATCTAGTGCCTTGTTGAGCCCAGTAGCTGACTCTTGCCAGATGCATCAAAAGTGCCTCCAAGTCGGTTCCAGAAGCGCAAGGGCTCAATTTATGCCACGCCTAGCTCACGCGATGGGCACATTGACAGGAACTACGCCGAGAAATTCCATACAAAGTGGGCCGAGATGAACAGACGTGGGAGTAGAAGCTGAGCAAGAACATCTTGCTTGACATAGTGGAATTCAGCCGTTTTCTTGTACCGTGTTGAAGGAAATTGGGTGATGACCAGTAAACATGAAAGGAAATAGTAATCTGGTAGTAGTAGATGTTCCGCCAAAACCCTGGCATTGTAGTCGTATCATTCGTCCATCCCGTCAATGTCAATTGCGTCTGGATTTGATGGTGCCGCGACAGGGGCAGCACTGGCCTTGTCGTGCACAGATGTGCTGGCAGCGACGAAGCCCTGGGGCGCTCGAAGCTGCTTCTCCAACGCGCCCATGGGATCGGACTCGTCGGTAGCCCCGGCTCCTTCTTGTGCGCGCTGACCCCTTGCCAACGCCTGTGATGCAATGAAATTGACGTCTGTGTTGTACTGCGCTTGCACACTTCGCTTGATGCGCAGCATTTCCTTGTACGTGTCCTCGTTGCCGTGCTGAACCTCGAACTGCTCCCACTTGGTCCAGAACTCGGGGCTGGTACGTGGATCGCAGAATTGCGAGGCGTGTCCAAAGATGGCGCGCGCACGGTCAATCTCGCCCAGCCTCTTCTCCATTTCGGCGAATTTGAGACACATCTCCTTGGCCTCGTTGTCGGGTAGAACACCAATTGCTCTCTCGTAGATGGGTCTCGTAGACGGGAGCCCAAAGTTGGAAGCCGACTTTGTGATGTAAAAGTTGAACATGTCGGCCCGGTCCTCGTCGGCGACAGCTCGCGTTGCCCGCTCGTAGATGCGCATGGCATGCCGCGCGAGACCCCTTTCTTCTTCCAGGTTACCGTACATCAGGTATATGGTCTTGGCAAACTTCGGCGGGCAGTCCTCTACTGCCTGCTCAAAGAGATCGCGCAGACGCTCAATGCCAATCTTGCGATCCACCGCCTTGGTGAGGTAGAGATTCCATAGTTCGAACGCCACGGGATAGCTGAAGAGGTCAAGACCGCGTTCGTAGATCTTGAACGACTCTTCGTAGTACTTGTGCTCCTCCAGCAAGTTCGCGTAGTTGACCACAGTCTGCGGGGTAGCAATGCGCAGCTCAAATATTCGTTCGTAGACCTTGCGCGTCTCATCCAGAGTGGAAACACTCTCGACTAGGTCGACGTAGAAACTCCACAGCTTCCAGCTCTTGTGTACTCTCTGCTGCGGCGACAAGGTCTCGTCAAAGTAGTCCACGTTGGACCGCTTCGGCGCCTGCACAGCCTTGGCCATGATGCGCATAGCATCATCGAAATTGTCGTTGCGCAGCTCCATCTCCGCCCACTCAATCCACATGTCCGCGAGCTCGTTGACGGACTTGAAGGCTACCTTGACCGCCTTCTCCATGATGACCCGAGCGTTGCGAAGATCACCCGCTTTCTCGTACAGCTTGGCGAAGTTGGCCCACAGCTGGTGGAATGCACCGGCAGCCTTCTTGGGATTGATGGCGGCGATGGCATCAGTGTACGTCTGGACAGCTTCCTTCATGTTGTCACCCCACAGAGCAACCCGTTTTTCCCATTCCGAGACGTTATGTGGATTTTGACGGAGGAGAACGTCGTTAAGGAGGAAGGGCCGGCGGTCCATCAGATGCTCGAATCGCATCATTCTGATGTCCAGCTCAAAGTCCGCATCTTCATCCTCGACACCTTTCTCGGCACGCGTCGATGCACTCTCCATCAGAGCACCAATGATTGATTCCTCAAACTCGGTGTATGAATCGAAGATGAGGGTGAAGTCTCTTACGGTCATGACCGTCGTCAAGCCCTCCTCAAGGATGTCGCGAGCTCGTTCGAAGTTGCCCCTGCGAATCCAGTACGTGGCCAGTCCGACCCAGAGCTTGCCACGCTGGTCGGCGAAGCGATGAATACCACTTTGAACGATGCGATCGGCATCAATGCCCGTGTCGTAGCCCGTCTGCACCTCCGAGGCGTGCTCCACCAACAGATCAACCATGTCGCTCCAAAGCTCGTAATGACCTTTGCCATGCTTGCTGGTGAACTGTATGTTGTTCAGAATGTCTATGCATTTCTGGACGGCCTCTGTGTAGCGTTTGGTGTGCACCAGGAGCTCCACAAAGTCTTCGGCATCCTCTGGATGTACTTGCATGTAGCGCCGCCAGATCTTGACAGCAGTGGGACCCGCGGCAGAGTTCGCGAAAGGCCGGTACAGTGCCCAAACCCTGTTGTGTTGTGTGATGGGCAGCGCACGCAGCGCGCGATCAAACGTTCGCCGGACCAACGAAACAGAGGGCTGGCGCGTCAGGAATTTGAGGTACATCTCCCATATCCGCGGCATCTTATTGAGTAGAATGAGGGCCTTCTCGAATAAGGTATTGACCTTGCGGTATTCTGCGGCGAAAACGGCCGCATTGAGGGACGAGACATGGCGGGTTCGAAATTGAAGATATTGCTTCCATAACTTGTATGATCGAGGGAGTTGGGCGCATGCACGCTCCATGACGAAGGCCTGCTCCAGTATTGTCCCATGGCGAAGTTTGAAGTCAATGTAAGCGAGCCATGGCTTGATGCTAGCAGGTTCTCTGAGGATATCCTGCTCGTATACGGAGTCTTCGTTGGTCTACAGAAACAATGGTCAGTTTTTGTACTGCTGCACACATGCGTATGACTCACCACGAGGCTCAGGTCCGGCTTCCTTTCCAACGTCCGCGTCGCGTTGGTAATCTCCATGGTGGGCTTTGCGCGGCTAGCGATGGAAAGGGCGTAAGCTGCCCGGAATATCCAAGTAGGACGAATAATTGACGTGCATGCGCGAGCACAAGAATTCCGCTACGCGAAGCAGCGCATTGTCCTTGCCTGATGTGCTGCTCGACCGTTTTCGAAACCGAATCTTTGGCTGTGGCTCGCGGTGGTGGCGGATGGGCTCAACTGTCTCCAATGAAGGAGGCTTGATTCAGAGAGCAATCAAGCAGTCGTTTGGTGCCCTCGTTCGGCCTCGTTATTCGCGGATCCCCAGGGAAGAATGGTTCAATCCTTGCGCGACGTTGTCGCCTTATTGTTGAAGATTGAGGCTGGAGTCGGCGTCTGGAATTTCCGGGATCCGACTCGCCCATTGTGGGGGCACTTGATGCGCCTGCTTGCCCCACTTTGTGGCTGGCGCGGCGGTTGGGCCAACTCCGTCATGTCGTGGTTTATGTACATAGGTCACCTCTGGCCAGCTTCGTAGTTGCAGTTGGAGGAACGACATCTCAATCCGGTGTACTCAGTTCCTTTGGAAGCTCGGCTCGTCTTTACTTCTGATCTATAGCACTTGTCCCGCCACCGGATTCATCAAGATGTCTGGAGCTGCGGTACTATCACCCTCCCAGCGAGTCTGCTAGCAATCTGACGATGACAGGATCGCGAGGCCGTCTTCCCGACGCGGCAGTCTCTCGGAATCATGAAGGCCAAGCTGAAAGGCGCAGAGACTGGTCACAGTCTATTGAAGAGGAAAAGTGAAGCCCTCACCAAGTGGGTAGTTCCAATTCAAGCATGTTGCCATCGCTAACAAAAAGCCCACAGACGTTTCCGAGGTTGGTGAAAAATTGGCCAAGAAATCGGAAGAGCCCACTGACATATATCGATCAGAGATCACTCGCCGAATTGACGAAGCGAAGCGAAAGATGGGGCGTGTCATGCAGATCGCAGCCTTCTCCCTGGCCGAGGTGACATATGCTGTGGGCGGGGATATCGGATACCAAGTTCAGGAGTCGGCCAAGTCAGCTCGTTTCCGTATCCGCACGAAGCAAGAGAACGTCTCAGGTGTCTTTCTGCCGGCTTTTGAGAGTTACCTTACCGAGGGTAACAACGACTTTGGGCTGACAGGTCTCGGAAAGGGAGGTCAACAAGTACAGAGGGCGCGAGAAACATATGCGCGCGCTGTCGAGGCACTCGTTGAGTTGGCCAGCTTACAGACCGCCTTTGTTATTCTGGACGAGGTGATCAAGGTTGTGAACAGGCGAGGTTTGTATGGCAAAGCTATGAACCAGAAATTTACTGACAAAGGCTAGTGAATGCCATTGAGCATGTCATCATCCCCCGGACGGAGAATACCATCAAGTACATCAACTCTGAGCTTGACGAGCTCGACCGTGAGGAGTTTTACAGATTGAAGAAGGTCGCCAATAAGAAGCAGCGCGACGTTGCTGCTGCGGATGCGGAAATGAAGGCCAAACGCGAAGCACAGGAAGCCAAGGAGGACGGGCGAGAGCAGGGGAAGGATAATGCTTCGTCTGGAGATGTTCTCGGAGCCGGGGAAGATGAGGATGTCATCTTCTAAATTTTACCAAGATTTGGGCACACGTGCCCTTTTCAGCCTGCCGTATAATTACATGTTGCCAGATTCAAATGACCAGAACGCCCGTTCGCTGCCAGCTTACAATCTTCTCCGCAAAGGCCTACTGTCGCTGGTATGTGACCTTGATAGTCTTGTCACCCAGTGTCATGCCAGCAGTATTCTCCTTGGCATTGATAGCCCCTTGCTCAGCGTCATATTCGACAAAGGCAATACCACGACGACTTGGAACCAGGCGCACCTCGCGGAATCCGTCGAAACGACCAAAAATAGTGGAGAGCGCCTCGACATCGTACTCCTCCGGTAGATTTTGCAAGAACAGAATCTTGTTGGGCGGGAGGTACTCGTCGGGAACCACGGCTGAGGTAGCGACACTGGTTGACTTGAGCCCTGAGCCCTTGGCAGTTTTCGCGGGCCTGTTGTCCACAGAGGCACCAGCGCCACGTTTGAGATTCCCCTTTTCCTCAGCAGCCTCAGCAGCCTTCTTCTTATCTGCGAAACGTTAGAATGATTCCACTTGCAGATGGCGAACATACCTTTCTCAGCTTGACGATGGCGTTTGTGTGACTCCACTTCCTCAGCGCTGCCATTGAGCTCTACGGTCTTGTCACTCCGCGTCCGGGCCATGGCTACTTTCATTGGTTTGTCGAACAGATAGAATCCCTGAATCTCCTCGACGGCATCCTGTGCGCTTTGAGCGTTGTCAAAGACCACAAAAGCCTGGCCCTTAGCCTTGAGATTTTGCTTTGCCACAACGTCGACTACATTTCCAAACTCGGAGAAGAGTGCGCGGAGGGATTCAACCAGCGTGTCGGGCTTGACGCGCTCCTCGAGGTTCTGCACATAAACACTAATGCATGTCAGTAAATGCGCGGCGTGTCGGAGTGCAATGACACGCACGTGCTGACGGGGGCTGAGACAGCCATGATGATAGACGTCCACTAAAGAGGCCTTGTTTAAGTGGCTTGTGTCAAGGTATGATGCTAATGATGCAGTGCGCAATGGGAACGAAAGCGTGTTCTAACGTTGCGGTTAGGACAGTAATGATGAGTAAGCAATGCCAAGCCACCTAATGGCGATGGGATGGCTTGGCAAGAGTTGCAGTTAAGCAAAATATGCGAATAGTGAACTAAACCCCCGGCGTCAAGCGTATCGAGCTCCTAAATAACCTCCCGTCACCAGCTCGATGCCACGAGTTGATCACAATGTACACCTGACCCCTGCCAACAGGCCGATGTTCAGCGTTCAGGCTTTCGCTCGCCATCGCGGCAGAGGGCAGATTCGTGTGTCATCAAGCATGGCGCCCTTTTGCACCTTAGCCCACCGTCGGCTATGGCTTGAAATCCGCGCATGCCCAGTGATCGAGATACCGTCCGCTTTGTCATGACGTCGTGCACAAGAAAAAAACGTCTCTCCTCGGCGATTTCTGGCTTCGCAAAGAGTTTGCGCTCACCAAACCCGACAGACTTTGATGAAACTTGCCCTCGCTAGGGGCCCCGCGAGACCTGCGCGTTGCGGTCCTGCTTATCACCCTATTGCAGCTCGCTTGTAGGTATGGATCGCCGTTGGAATTCTCCTGTTGGGGGTCACAACGTTCTCATAAAGGGCTGCCTACTTCCGATGAGTTGGATAGGCCAGCCAGACGGGTCGCGGTTCTGATCCTCCGGTAGGATACTACTGGCTACAGTGGCTAGCATAATGAAGATCGGAACGCGTTGGCATTCCTCAGCGGCAGTGGGCCCGTCCCGAAGCTTGTCTACGGTCTAAGCGGGTCACCCCTTTCCGTTCCTGAACTTCAGTCACCTCCGTTCGGCGACAGCTGTGCGTTGCTCTTTGACGAGTCTCCGAACTGGATGCCCAAGTGCCGTCTGGACGGGACTCAATGCCGGCAACCATCAGCGATCTCTTGCCGTTTACTGCCCTGGTGGCTTTCGACGTTACTGATTGGCGGATATTGCCAGTCGATCTAATGGTGTTTACAGGTTCAGTTTGTGATGCCACAACCACTCCCGATTAAGTGTCAAAGAGCATCGGATTTTGATGCCTTGAGCGGGCGAGAAAATACTCCTTCTTGGACCTTGATGGCATTGTTGAAGTTTATCTTGTTATGCCATGGTCGACCTCAATGGCGCATGTTGAGTGCCGCTATCCTCAGACATGTCTCATCCACCAAGACTCCCTTGGCACCCCTCGGACGCTGCAGAACTTTCAAAATGGGAAATCGTGTTTCTGTCGCATCGAGATCGACGACCATGATCGCCTCGTCCGATGGTTTAGAGTGTGCGCCGCTGCCATGATATGGGACGAGTGTCCACAAACTCCATTCTTGTCTGCGGCCATGGGTTGTTTCTACACTTACCCTTCTGCGATTCACTTCCCGAAGCTGGTATGCGGATTAAGGCCGCGTACGATGATCGGATTCATTGTGACGCAGATCCATTCGTTGCGACTTGCGAGGCTGGCTCGCTGTGATGTAAAAGCCCGCCTTCCTCCTATATCAGGACTCACTCGCCTCGTGCTAGCATCACCAAGATACATCTGTGGCTTCAAAAGTACTCAACCCATCTTACAACCAGCACAAGTGACTGGAAAACTTCATCGAATACCTACAAGTACTTTGACGACTACACTGTCTCCTGTCCGATGCGACAGGCAGGGTGCTCGCCATGAACGTTCAGCCCACTTCTGCCAAGCTCACCGAGCTCTGCCTCAAGCTATACGATGCCCCTTTATCGGAAATAGCGAGCTGCTCAATATTGCAAGATATCGGTCTCGACAAGTCGCTGTTTCTCAAGTCGATTCCTCAGCCGTCCGTGGCATCACACCGACCCCTTCATCTGCTATATACCACCCTGTCACAACAACAAGGACAATGGCCCGTGTTTGACCTAATCAAGTGTCACGCAAGGCTTGTCCAATACTTGCCCGAGTCGAGCAAAAATGGCTCCAACAAGGAGCAAGAATGGCTCGTAGACGCAACTGGCAAGCTTGTCAAGGAGTCATACAAGGCATTCTCGGATTTCCTCCACCACGATCAACGCCCAGCACTGCGCGGCACGACTGCAGACACCTTCATCACGCACAAGGGGCTTAGCGATTTCGTACACAAGCTCCGCCTGCCAGTCGAACCTCAAAAAAAGAAGCCCACTGTTGCCGTGGCCCTACCCAACGGCCCACTGATGGCCGCAACGTGCATCGCAGTCACCAATTACTATACGCTGGCGCCCATCAATCCGGCTGCAGGCGCTGAGCAGTTCAGATCCGATGTGAAGCAGTCTGGGGCGAGCTTTGTCCTCACGACAACCGGAGAGTACACAAAATTGGAAATCGGGGAGTGGGCCGCAAAGGATGGTGTCAAGGTGTTTGTGGTGGAATGGGATGGCCGCGACGGCATCGAGCTGCAAACAACCTCCGGTCGACCACTCTCATGCAAGGCAGCTCATCGCAAGCCCAACCGGGCTGATGACATTGGCTTGGTCCTCTTCACCAGTGGTACATCAGGCTCGAAAAAGGTTGTGCCTCTGAAGACGCACTCCATTATTGCCGGCATTGTGTTCGTGATGGAGTCATGGGGACTCACCGACAAAGATGTTTGCTTAAACATGATGCCGCTCTACCATGTGTAAGTTCACTCCCCTTCAACAAGCCGTGCATCCGCTAACTCTCGTAGTGGTGGCCTGGTACGCAATATCTTTGCCCCAATGTTCTCTGCAGGAGCCACTGTCTGTTGCTCAGCATTTGACCCGAGCACATTCTGGGATGTAGCAGAGGAGCTCCAGCCAACCTGGTACTATGCTTCGCCCTCTATGCATTCACTCATCCTGGCCGAGGGGTCTTCAAGGCCGGAGGCTTTGAAGAAGAGTCGGATCAGATTGGCGTGCAACGCTGCTGGCGGCCTGTTGCCTTCGCTGGCATGCCAGCTTCGTGACACATTCAAGTGTGTCGTGCTGCCCAGTTATGGCATGACCGAGTGCATGCCCATTTCTACTCCACCTCTCAGCTACGTGCTCGACCGCGAAGGCACGTCAGGGATCAGCACGGGCCCAGACCTCGCAATCCTGGACTGGTCCGACAAGATGGAGGCACCTGAAAAGGTTGGCAGAATCTGTGTTCGCGGCGAGCCTGTATTCCCCGGGTACCTGAGGCCAGATGGCAGCCTGGATAAGTCTCCTTTCAATGCTTCAGGCTGGTTCGATACTGGCGACCTGGGCTATATGGACCAGGATGGATACCTCTACATCACAGGCCGAAGCAAGGAGGTCATCAACAGGGGCGGTGAACTTATCTCTCCTTTTGAAGTTGAGAATGCCATTATGGCCGCTTCCATGTCGCCGGACAGCCCCATCAGTGGACGGATCACTCAATGTCTTGCCTTCTCTGCTAGTCACGGCGTCCTTCAGGAAGTTGTGGCTGTGGCACTCGTCACCCCCCCCAACACACCACGCGTCGACCTGAAGACACTGCAGCAGGCTTTGAAGGCATCTCTTCAGCAGGCAAAATGGCCTGTCCTCATCACTTACATGAACGACGTGCCCAAGAAGAACAACAAGGTGCTTCGTATCAAATTGGGTCAGAGGCTTGGTCTCCCTGAGCTTGACGATGAGATGCCCATGTCCCGGCGTCACTGGGAAGCCAACTGTCCGCCAATGGACACTGCCTTGACAGTGAACATCCGTTCCTCTGTTTGTCGCCTTGACATCCAGGCGGTTTCCGCAGCGCTGGATGGACTTGTGCCCGCCGAGTTGCGCCACCACTACTCGACGACCTTCACTGCTGGCAATATCACCCTCTTCGTCGCCCCTCGCCGATCGGGCCAACCGGAGGCGGATCCATCGCTGGCCGATGAGCTCAAGACCAATTTAGCTCGGCTCCTTCACAACTATCTGGTTCCCGATCATGTCTACCTCATGCCCCGCCCCTTTGAGACCGATGCCGATGGCGCCATTGACCCAGTTTCCCTGCGCAAGAGGTTCAACGAGCTCCAGGCGGCCGCCATGAAGCACCTGGATGGCTCTACTGAAGGCCGGGTCACCAAGGTATTCGCCGAGGTCTTGTCATGCCAGCCTGACGACATCGCCCACAACGTTGACTTCTTCGGCCTCGGAGGAGACTCGCTTCGTGCGGGAAAGCTGGTTTCGTTGTTGCGCAGCACGTTCAAGACCCCTATTTCTATCAGCCTGGTGTTCAGCCACGGGACTGTCAAGGCCATTGCTGCGCACATTGACGCAGCCAACTCTTCAGCAGCGGGCCCTGGCGAGGACAAGATTTACGGTTGCACAGAAACCAGGAGCTCCCGCAACCCCTTCTTGATGCTGTTGCAGCTCGTGCCCTTGGCTATCATCTACCCAATGAGACGGGCTTGGCAGTGGACTGCGTTCATCGTCTTCCTGACTTTCACCCAGACTTGGGCGACCAACTCGTCCGTTGTTGGACGGCTGCTCAACCTCGTAATCTCCATCCTCTTTGCGCGCGTCCTCATACGGTGCATTGCCCCTTGGGTGGGCATTCTCGCCAAATGGATCATCATCGGTCGCTATCGCCCAGGGCTCTATCCCATGTGGGGATCATACCATACGCGCTGGTGGCTAGTCGAGAAGATTGTGAGCATCTGTGGCAAAGGCTTCTTCAGTGCTACTGAGGCGTCACAGAGAACATACTGTCGTCTGATGGGTGCGCGTATCGGCAAGGGTGTCAAGCTCTCAGGTGTTTCCATGGGTGAGTGGGACTTGATCGACATCCGCGATGGTGCCACCTTGACACGCTGCATGTGCCGGCCTTTCGCAGCGGAGGGCAACGCATCCATGTACTTGGGACGCATCATGGTGGGAGAGAACTGCTCCGTTGGCGTATCGTCGATCCTAGCCGCTGGCTCTGTCATTCCTCCCAACACCTGCATTGGCCCCAACTCATCGAGCTGGGAGCTTGATGACGCCGACGAAGTCAACCGTGGCCTCTCTGCCAATGCGGGTCCAAAGCCCCATTGGCCTCTCACTATTCTCTTCACAGCCCCGATCGGTCTTCTTGTTTGGTTCACCTCGCTACTCCCGTGGCTCGGTGGTCTGGTGGGCATGGTCATCAAACAACCGCTGGATCACCACGCCCCTCTTCTTGCCATTCTGGATTGGTTCACCCATCCTGAACGAGTCGGCTTTCACTACCTGGCGCTCGTACTGAGAACCCTGTTTGCGCCTTACATTGTTTTCGGACTCACTGTTTTGATCCGTCTCGCCCTGCAGCTCATGTTTGGAGAGCTGAAACCTGGTCCCCGCGGTGTAGTTGACACTTGGCGATCCGCTCTCATCAAGACATTGCTTCCTGTATCGCGTCTTCACGCAATGACGTCCATGTTCGGTCAGCATTATGAAGCTACATCTGTGGCGATTCGTATGCTTGGAGGCAAGGTCGGCCAGCGAGTGTACTGGCCTGGCACGGGACCTGGCATTGGCGACTACCACCTCATCGACATTGGCAACGACGTGGTCTTCGGTTCCCGGTCTCACCTGGTCACCACAGACGCCTTCGGCTCCGAAAAGATCACCATTGGTGATCGTGCGATGATTGCGGATAGGGTCTGTCTACTCCCCGGTGTCGAGATTGGGGAGCGCACAACCATGGGCTCTGGAGCCATGACCAGCCGAGGCAAGACCTACAATTCCGAGGGTGTCTATGTTGGCAACAAGGGTGGAGACGCTGTGTGTCTCTCGACGGGCATCGACCAGAAGCTGTCTGAGAAGCCGTACAGGACCATGCGCTCATCGCGCAATGGCAGTGAAGTGACCCTCACGGAAGCAGAGAATGGTCAAAACTACGATACCCGCTCACGCTTGCAACACATGAGCAGCGACGACACGCTGGGGGACACTCGAGAGGCTGCTGCCAATGGTAAAGTGAAGGAAACTTTCCACAGTGGCTCGCAGACACCCACATCGCCCACGTTTGAGACTGACTTCCCTTCGGGATCGTCAGACGACCAGGAATCTGCCTCTCCATTTGGAAGAGCCTTCTACATGGGCCAGGCATCTTATCGCGTCTTTGGCCCGTTTTTCATCTTCTGCTACTCCTCGTTCCTGACAGTCTTCACAGCCTTCTACTGGAACGTTCCCAACATCTCCTCTATTCAGATTGTGGACGTAATCATTCAGCACTTTGTCCCCAAGGGCATCAACATGTGGTGGGACGTACTGGCACTCTTCCTTCTTACCTGGGTCGTCATCGCCATCCTCACTACACTGCAGGCAATTCTGGCCCTGGCCATTGTCATCAGCGCCAAATGGATTCTACTCGGACGCAGGCAGCCAGGCAACTATGACTGGGACAAGTCACCGTACTGCCAGCGTTGGCAGCTGTTCCTCAACATCGAGAAGCTGCGACGCACATGCTACCGTGGCCATGGTATCCTGGGCATGCTCACCGGCACGCACTGGATTGTCATGTACTTCAAGATGCTCGGAGCGGACATTGGCGACGATTGCGCACTGTTTGCCAACGGGAGGCCCAGCCTCATGTTCACTGAACCGGACCTCATCAAGCTGGGGAACCGTGTCGTCGTGGACGACGCAAGCGTTGTCGCTCACATCAACACCCGAGGCAAGTTTGACCTGAACCGCCTCGAAATTGGCGACAGGTGTGTCATGCGCAGTGGGAGCCGCTTGCTCAGCGGTGCGGCCATGAGAGACGACAGCTGCCTGCTTGAGCACACGCTCATCATGGGCGGTGATGTGGTGGAAGAACGCTGGACTATGCAGGGCTGGCCTGCGGAGAGATATACTGGAGAGAGGCTTGCGACCTCCTAGGCTCAGGAAGATAGATAGTTTGTGCGAAAAGCATGGTCTACTAGATATTTAGAGTACTAGATAGACAGAGGGGAAGGAGAATTTGGATTAGTTGGGAGTAAAACGCAGCCAGTGTGAACAATAAGACAACCAAATTGTGTCATCATCCTACGGTCTGTCTTTCCATCCTAAGGAAGCACTTGCTTCATCAGTTCCAAGCTCAGTTGTGTTACATTAAGAAACCGCGATGTTGTGCGCACACGATCTCCCCATCGCCGAGTTCTTGTCGATTTAGAGTGTATCGTGAGCTCTTGCCAAGCCTGGTTTCGGAGCGCACAGCTGAAATCAAGCAGGAAGTGACGACTGGGCTCGTGTATGACCTCACCCTGCCTTGCATTGACTTGCACCGTTCTTTAAATTGTCATTACTTGTTCTCGAGCTCTCGCTCCTCTCGTAGTCCTTCTCATTGTTTGGCTGGTTGCCTCCAACCTTCCTCGTTCTGAACCTTCCCGAATCTCGTCGCTCCTTCGGTTCGAAGTCCTCGCAGCTGTATTCACTCCGACTGTTGCTTCACTTTCTTCATTGAGTTGCTTTGAACCTCGACCATCTCTTGACCAACGCTCCCCCTCGCAATATTGTCGCTCCATCAAGAGACCCCCTACTAGCTGTCTTCGCACCGCACTCAATCGACACTTCGCAATTCCCGACCTTTTGGAGCTTCAACAGGCTCTATATGCATATTCGTTGTTGATCTGGCTCACTTTTGCATCGCTGGGGTGAGTTACTCCCTCAATTTCGTCCCTATGCTCCAAAAGCCGAGGAGTCATCCTCGACTGCACTTATTGAAACCCCCCCCCCTGGAAGAAGTGGGAACAGCCAGTCGTCGGATGCTTCAGTTTTGCTTGAGCTTCCGAGGCGGCTTCAGCTTTTACTCACCATTGGTTTCCCTGACAACAACACCTGCCTCAAGCGCGGCCTCTTCCCGATATTTCCTTGGCACGAACTTCGGGCAGTCTTACCATATATCTCTATACTGTGCTTGATTCATTACACTTCCTATCATCCTCCACGGATCCGACATGATTTGCCACGAAACGAGCGAACTTGAGCCTCTGGGCGCTGCTTAGCAGTGAGCGATCTCAAAGTCTCTGAAGGCATCAACGCCCATCGCTTCAATCCTTTGTCGTTGCTGGGGTCGAAGTGAAAAGATCGCAAATCCGATCAGGCATTCGGTCATTTCGTTGCTTGTTTCTGCAACCGCATCTCCAAATCAGTCTAGAGACCCAGAGCTATACTGACTGTTGCAGACCTTTGTCATAGTGTCGCCCGCTCCTCGCAACATCCCTGATCAAGTCCATTCCGTCCATCCCCAGAAGACTGGCAGCGCTTCTTCGCCATTGCACTTGCCAATCCGATTCATCCACAGGGGTTCTTGTCGACAACATGGAGTCCCGGCACTACTCGCCCTCAAAGTTGCTTCGCATGCGGCGCACAGCTTTAGTCAAAGGCACGACAGCTAGAATCCATGCCCTGCTATCCGAGGTCCCTGAGCTAGGTCAGTCAGCTCTCATACAGCCAAAGCCAAGGAGTATCTCTGAAAGCCTCCAAGACGACATTTCATGTAAAGCGGCAGAACGTCTCCCAAATTCACGACTTCCTCGTATACCAGAAGAGATTCGTGAGCTTTCAGCAGACTCTGATGAGTCGGTCCGGGGCAAGAAGCATGTGGCATCACGTCAGCTAGACGGCACTGATTCTGAATGGAAGTATCGCGGTAGAACTGAGTCCGAGGATGTGGAGTCCCAGCCCATCTCGGCCCCAGCAGGGCTTGCAGCGCAGAAAAATGAGGGTTTCCAGAGATTCTACCGCGCTGTGGCATCACCAACGCACGTTCGCGTCACAGCGGGTGGACGTATCGTCCCAAACACTCGTGCCTCGGTTTCCCCCATTACAAAGTGGACAAAAGAAAGAACTGGCACAGATGGAGCCTTCGTGCCACCACAACAGGCACGTGGGCATTTCGAGCAGCCTCATTACTCCATGATGCCTGGCCACCCATTTGGCGTGTTTCCGGCCATGTTTCCGTCGATGCCGGGGAACATCGCTTCTGGCATGGCTCCAGGGAACCCGGCTTTTCCTATGATGCCGTGGCCCATGGCGATGAATGTACATGGCGCTTACCCTTTTGCTATGCCCCCACCCCCTCAACAAGACGATAGCCGGGGCGAGAGAAGGACTGATGACCAAGCAGGCACCGGCTCAGTTTATCCCCAGCCACCACGGGGTCCTCCAGCGGACAACTACCCCCAGCCAGTTTACTGCAATGGACAGTGGCTCATGCCAACAGGTGGTTCCTCGTTCTCCTATCCCATGACACCAGGTCCGGGTTACCCCAGCGCACCCTATGGCGTACCAATGGTGTATCCGCCCGGAATGCACATGCCACCGACAAATCGTCCTGCTGAGACGAAGACCGCATCGTCAGATGAGGCGGGCGTTGACCTACCTTCTACAGCTCTCCGTGGTCTTGGGTTGGGAGCACAGACTCATCCTCCCAGATCGTCCATTCGGCCTAGTGAAATCACAAAGCGGCACCTTGGCATCTTACGCTCACGTCTTAAGTACCTCGAAGATCAACTAAACTTCAACAAGCATCAAATTGACGAGAAGGCGGTGGAGGCTGATGCAAGAACGGTTCGTCAGTATATTGACCAGTTCAGAACCAACCTCGAAATACAGCGCTCCGTCGAAGATGACCGGTACCCGCCGCCAGCGAGCAAGAGTGATGTTAGACAACGCAGTCCCTCACAAGGCTCACATGACAAGTCCTCCGCTAGATTGCCTAGAACGAGCGACAAGCAAGCTCGACGTGACAACCGAGGCTCTTCAGACAGTGATACTAAGCCTGGTGTTTCTACAACTCGGTTTGGAACAGGTATCAACTCGACCAAGTCCACTTCGGCTTTCGCTGGCTGGCAACCGCCTGTTAACTCTCCTGCTGGTTGTCTTGAGCATTTCAACTCTAAGGCGTCTCTTCCTGTCACAGCGGCGATGGCGGCCCCTTTTCAGCCTCGCGTTGATGCAACACTCATGGCAACAAAATCCTCGACAGCAGCCATTGCCTACCTTCGAGGCCGAGTTCCTGAAGGCGTCGATCCCTCGTCGGTAAGGGACACTGACTATGTGTATGACCGTGCTTTAACGTCGGACGAACTCCGGGCTCGCCACATGTACTGGGGTAAGGCTCCTGCGGAGCTGCAGCAGGGCTTGCCCAAGTTCAATGGGAAGGACTTCTTTCGGACTTCGCCAGGCGGACAGCATGCAAGGCCTGTCATATCCAGTGATCCATTCGAGGGCCTGAGCCAGACTGCGACCGTGCTGACGCGCAATGGACCAGGATTCTCAACTCAATCAGAGTCACTCCCACGTCCAGGTCAAGGATCGTCCGAGGATCACGAGGAGCTCACCGTGACCACAAACCGCACCAACGCAAATTCAACGCGCATCGGTCGCAGCATGGAGGAGTTGAACCGAGGCTCGCATGACACCCCTCCCACTTCGTCCGGCAGTGTGAGAGAGAAGTCTTCCGCTGAGGAGACCACTGATGACGATCGCGAGATTCTGTACACCGGTCGCAAAAACATGGTGAAGATTGGCCAGCGGATGCTGCCAAATGTGATCAAGAGCTCGACAGGCTCAAATGCATCTATTTCTTCGACCACTGCACAGGGCTTGTTGCCGAACTACTCTGGGCACGCCACAGCATCGCTCACACCATCCATCACAAACAGAATGTTTTCAAACCTTCGCAACACTAGTAAGATCGGCCTGGACGAAGCGAGACTGGCTGGCGTGACCACCACAAAGAGCGGCGAGAACTGCCCGCCTAGCGTCAACGTTGATGATATTTTCTGAGGAGCATCGACAGGTTGACTGAGTATGACGAGTATACATTGTGCATCAATATTTGCTGCGATCGTTCCCAACGCGAGGATGTTCTTCTTACCCATGGCTTTGGACGGTATCATTCAGGGTCTGTATCACTTAACGACTGCAGAAAATATGCATGGCCATTACACTTATCACTTGTATCGAGGGGTGACAAGGCACAGGAATGGCATATCTCTGCGAGTTGCTACAAGGCCTGTCGACGAGAAAAGGATGAACTTGATAGAATTACAGTTGAACTAGGTATGCAATAAAACATGTGCCTCGACATCAAATTTCCAGCCTCACAGGATATAACCTCAGTGGACATCTTCGACGAGAGCAGGGACGATGATAACTATTGTTGTCCTTACTGGGGTTGCTCTTCGCCGGATGTTTACCTCGACAACCATTGAGTGTGGTCGGCGCGGAGATAAACCGGCGGGACTACGAGACTCACCTAGTGATTCCCTTGACAGAACATTAGAGCGTATTTTGACATGATCAATGCCAGCTCGAGAGCTACACTTGACACATGGCCAAGGACATTCACGACACGGTGTGCGCGAAGATGCGACAGATGTGGACTTCGGGAAACGCCTCCCATGGAACATCTCACAGACACTGCTGTGAAACGGCCATTGAGAACGGTAAAATTCTCAATTGATCTACCCTTGATCCGGTCCAACCAGTCGCAAAGTTAACGCCGGAGTATCATGCCCAGTTCCTATGCTTCTCATGAAAGTTTGTCGCAATTCCCATTGGTGTAAAAGTCCAGTCATTTTTGGGTTTTCGTGTGTAGCACGCTTCGCTTAAGCAGAGACCTTGCCGGTGGCCTTGAGCTCACGGCCCTGCTTGGAGCGCTTCAGGATGTCCTCACGGTCCTTGTCGAGCTTGAGCTTGGTGATGACGACGTTGGAGGGGTGGATTCCCAGAGGGACGGATTGGCCGGAGGCCTTGTCGCGGGTGACGCGCTCGACGTGGATCACGTACTTGAGACGGTACACGGAGGTGACCTTGCCCTCGCGACCCTTGTTGGAGCCACGGACAATGGTGACCTCGTCGTCCTTGCGGATGGGGATGCTGCGAACCTGGAGAGTGTTATGACATGCAGTGCGAGAGTGTGTAGGTAAAGGACGGGCGTACGTTGTACTGCTCACGGAGCTCCTTGCTGAGGGGAGCGCTCATGATGGTACGGCGCTGGGAAGAAGGGGCCTTGTAGTGAGCGGCACGGCTCTTGCGACGGGAGGAGGCGACCACTGTTGCTTGTTAGCATGGCACTTTGATGAATCTATCGATTAGGGGACATACTGTTGCTGAACTTCATCCTGGCGGTTAGTATGGTCGACGACGTGATTGACGATGGGCGTGATGGAGAGGAATGGTTTCGAAAAGTTCTTTTCCAGCCAGGGGAATTTTCGTGTGTGGAGTTTGTGGGCGGGATTTCCAAGGTGGATCGCTCACGTGATTTGATACCCTACCAGCAATTCAGCACGGCGCCGCTTTGGCACAGCTAGTGAGCCTTTTACCGATGAGACCCCATTTGCTTTCGTCCGCATTCGGATTGAGCCCAGGACTCTTGGATGCTCAAACCATGGCCTAATATCGGCAACTTTATGTTGCAGAGGCTGCGTGAGTTGCTCGAGAGGCGCACATGAGATCTTTGCATGTTGAGTACAGAGTGTTGTTTTACATTGTCTATATACGTAGTGTACATTGCTCGGATACATTGGGTAACAGCCAACAAGTCTCTAAACTGTTGCCGGTGGCTGGAATCTGCCATTGTTGTCGTACCTTGCTTCTGCGTCTCGTTAGTACGAACTCATCAGTCTGCAAGGGTTACTCACTGAAGAAGGTATAATTCAACGTGACAGTCTCGACTCCCTTCATGTTCAAATCGTTCAGCAGGTCAGGGTCCAGATAGAAGAAGACAGGCATGTCGACCGTCTCGCCCGCATTGAGCCTCTGCTCCTCGAAACAGAAACACTGAATCTTGCTGAAGTACGGCGCACACTGTGCCGGCGTGACGCTATACGTGGCCACGCCGATAATGTCTTTATCACCGTGGTTGGTGGCTTTATAGAAGGCGAGTGCGGTTTCACCAGGCAGCACGCGCACTTCACGCTGCTGAGGAACAAATTTCCAGGGCAGCGTGTCTGATATCGAAGCGTTGAACGTGACTTTGATGCGTTTGGCGTTGGTGACGGGGATGACCCGGCTCGAGATATCGCCATCGGTGTCGTCCGGGCCATGGGCGCGGATGGGTTGACCTCCCCAGCCGGTAGTTTGGCAGATCTATGACATTAGCCAGTAATATGATGATGCAAAGTGGGAGCGCACCATCTTATACAGTGGCACTGAGCCGTAGGAGAAGGCAACAGTTCCTAGGATTGCACTTATTGTGTAGAACCTATCCATCCTGCGTTAGCCATTGCTGCTCATCCCGGCTGTGGGCTCAGATTCCTGCGTACATGACCGTCTTGTTTTTCTTGTCATAATGAGCCCGGACCTTTGCCATGGACTCTGAATATGCCTGACCCTGCGCCTGCGCGCGAGACTGTTGCGATGCTCGCGTCGTGGAGCTTGCAATGTTGCGTCGTAGGGCGCTCGTAAAGTTCGTCGCTCGGGTCGGCTGCGGGCGCGCGCGCAAGCACTGTAGGCACGCCCATGATGACGAGGTGCTCGCCGCCGTGAAGCCTCGTTGTAACCGCGAAGCGCCACTCATGGTTGTGGTTGGTGTGGTGGTGTCATGTCGTTGCTGGAGCTCTTGGCTAGGATCATTTTCCATGTCGGGATTCGGGAACCGCCAAGGCCGATATGGCCGAGTCATCGATTTGCTCTTGATGTTCACCACATGAATAATTTTCGTATCGGGATAGATTTTATATTTGTTCACATTATTATGTATTAGCAACAGGATCGTACAAGAAAAGGTCCCTAGGTTTATGTCGTTTTGCCGTTGACTTTCTTCGCCGCGCCCATTACGTACGGCTTCGCTCTGCGCTTCCCAGACTCTACGAGTCGCTCGACCACTTGTATCAGAAACACCTGGATGAGAAGCACGACTAGACGCAAGATGTGATCAAACAGCCCCAGCTTTGGCGCCCTGCCCCTACTATAAGTCGGGTCCTTAAACTCAAACGGGAGCCTAGCACCCAAGTGCTCAGTTGCAACGGCGAGTCCGCTGCTGAAGCCATCCTCATGAAGGCCATATTTCGTCCATGCGCCAGCGTAGCTTATCCCACGCTTATTTTGTATACTTGGCAGGAGATTCTGGGCTCTTATTGATTTGAGTGTGTGGCGTGGATGGGAGTAGTAATACCAGCCATGAGTCAGCGACTTCTGGGGCTTCTGGAGAGGATTGAGTGTGACGAAAACGTCCCCAAAGGGTTCTTTAGGTATCCGTTGCAGAACGTTCATGTTGTACGTCAGCGATACCTCATCGACATTAGTATATCCTCGCAATTTCGACGTTTGCGTCGCGTAGTTGAGTCCTGCCCATGCCTTCCGTCTGGTAGGCATGAGAGATGGGTCTGAATGAAGCACGACCTCGTTTTGCGTCGTCGTGAAGGCTGACAACACAGCACGCTCCTCTTGCGTAGCCGAAGCTCCAATGAGAGAGAGTGCTTGGTCTCCATGTGTCGCAATGATAACGTGGTCAAACACGTCGGTTCGACCGTTTTCCAGGTGTAGCTCCGGGCGTCCGTCTGTACCATTGGTGACACTGCGCACTGCCGTCTTCAGAAACAAGTGATTCGGAGGAAAGCCCTTCATGACGGCGTCAACGTATGTTCTCGAACCGTCCCTCAACGTGAGCCACTGCGGTCGAGTGGACACTGTGGACAGCAAGTGATGATTCCACCTGCGAAATGTCAGTATTTGAGTTGTCTTGCGACATTGCCAGAGCACAAACAGAAACCTGACCAGCGTCGATGCAGGGAAGTCGAGGGAGAAGTTATCAGGGCTGGTGTTCCATGCCGCTGCGATCGTGGGTATGAGATACTCGTCTTGGAAGGCATCAGAATAGCCTTCGCGGTTCAGGTATTGCCCAATTGACTCCGGATTGCTGGCCTGTTCATCTTCCATGAGCAGGTCAACAGCGAATTGATTGAAACGGACGACGTCGAAGAGTAGCCGCCACATCCTAGGGGACAGGATATTCCTCCGCTGGCTGAACATCGCGCTCCACTTCGAGCTCGCCCACTCAAACAGACCACCATCCCTTGAGATGCTAAAGTCCATCTCTGTTGGCTCAAGTGGGATGTCAAACTTTTGAAGGAAGCTCATAAAGTTTGCTGAAGTGGTTAGGCAACTTATCCAGATAAGTATGTAGAATATTCGACTTACGGTATGTCGCCGCATTGAGCGCAACAAAGCCAGTGTCAACCTGCGTCGCGAACTTGCCCTTCTTCAAGGACACGGTATTTGTGTGCCCGCCGAGGCGATCCGCAGCCTCATAAAGGTAGACATCGTGATAAGTCCGGTTGAGCGCCCAAAGAGCAGCGATTCCCGAGCAACCGCTGCCGACTATAGCAACCTTTTTCCTGGGGAATGGGTCAATAATCGGCACACTGAGAGTGAACATGGTTCATAGCGGAGAGAGGCAAGGACCGCAAGATTCTGGAACGTAGGACCGCGATACTATAAGAAGCGAAGCACGCGACAAAACTTGCGGTCGCGACGCGCTACCAGAACCATATCAAGGACAGCCAGACGTTCCCTGTACTCTTTACACTGAATAGCACCAGGTAATGAAGAGCCACACCGCACAAGGCCGCAGCAGGCAGCTTCCGTCACCGTCACCGACACTCGCACACCCACTCATGCAGAATGGGTGCCGGATGCTGATTCGATGACGAAGACGACCGGAACATGCATAAATCAGGAATGCGGTAGGACAAAACTCACACATGCTGTTGTGGTGCCATGCTTGGCCGCAAACGAATGTTAGAGCTGGAAAGTAGTTTCGACGGGCGAAGGCGCCCCCAATCATGGATATGAAGACCTAGAAGTCATCACGACCCCATCGAGGTCTTATGGGCGTTGGGAGTCATGTTGGGGAAGCGCTTCCTTTATGCGACAATGCTCAGGTGCACATGCGCGATGACCGGGGGGGGCCCACTGCGAGTTGAAAACTTGAGCCTGGGCAGATCGACTCGGCGACTATATAGCTCCCGAGGGGTTCCTCAACAATCGCGGCACCAATTGGCTCAACGGTCTGTGGTGACAACTGGACATTCAGTCGAAGGCGTTGCGTGAGGACCAGAATACCAGTACTATGCGTCTACGTCAACGGTCGAAGCAGTATCCTCGAGCAGACATTAAAGCGACTCGAATCGCGCATAGATCATCTTCCTTTGATGCCTTGGGCTTAAATATGTTGGACACTCAACGGGATCGGACAACGGAAGACCGAGTTGCCAATTCTTAGAAGCACCTTTTATTCTGCCCGGGTAATACAACTCTACGCCATGAGACAGAAGTCAAGACGGCGAGCCTATTTTCTTCATATTCCGGGGGTTCAACTTTCATGATAGAAGAGGAAAAGGGGAAAAAGCAGGATTCGAAGTTTCGGTTTTAGGGACACTGCGAACGGGGCCGCTCGTCACGTGCCGCTACCTCAGCCACATCTATGTGGAGCGACGCCCCGAGTTTAGCCGTAGCATGACATCGATCAGGAAGGCGCATGCGTCCAGTGACGAACACTTCCAAGAGGTAGTCTAGGCATCAATCACTCGATATTCGACGTTCTGTTCTTTTCTGCCCATGTTTGAAGCCAGCGAGGTGATCATCTATTCCTACGATCCATCGAAACGTCCCCTACGCTGTCCTCTGCTAGCGATCCCATCCTATTGAACCGTCACTCAATACCTACAATCATGTCGAACCCACTCGATACCGATGCCGGCTCTGAGCTCTTTGGCTCATACGAGGCAGAGCTGAAGCTTGTTCAGGCCGATCTCCAGCAAAAGATAGACCAGATTCCCGAGCTGTCGGGCGAGCCCCGAAAAGCTGCCCTCTCCCAGGCCGAACGAGCAGCGGAAGAGGCCGATGAGATTGTACGTCGAGCCTAAGCATGGTCTGCATCATGACTGACAAGTTGTAGCTTGGGCAGATGCGCCTAGAAAAGCAGAACATCCCGACATCAGCGAGGACAAAGGTGAACCAGCGTTTTCGCAACTTCGAATCCGATATCGACGCCGCGAAGCGCAAGCTCGCCAATCTATCCTCGGACCGATCCGCGCTCTTCGGTTCCAGATACACTGATGACCCGGCTGGCTCCTCGGACGCTCATTTGGAGCAGCGCCAGCAGCTCCTGTCTGGGACGGACCGTCTCGAGCGCAGCAGTCAGCGCCTCAAGTCGAGTATGGCACTGGCCAACGAAACGGAGGAAATCGGCGCCGGCACACTTGCGGACCTCAACAGGCAACGCGAGACCATCAATCACACCCACGATGTGCTGTTGCAAAGCGAGGGCTACGTCGACAGGAGCATCAAGACTTTGCGGGGGATGGCTCGTAGGTAATGCGTTCTCTCCTGCGAGTAGCATCTCTGGTGAAGCTAACAAAACTCCAGGATGGCTACCAATCGGGTGATCACTATTGCCATCATCACAGTCCTCGTCATTCTCATCATCGCGGTTGTATACAGCAAGTTTAGGTGATTCTATATGGTTTTGCTTGTTTGGCGTTCCGGAATCATTATCATTCACACTCGCTCATGGCACTGGATGGATTACCTCAAGGGCCTTTTAGAGATAGCAATGGGCGGATTATTTCGTACATAATTGATTGCTGAAACTTACAATGCCATGCTATGGAAGCTGAGCGTCTCATGTGCCTGTGGACTTATGTAACAAACAGCCGAAGATCTCCCGCCTTAGCGCGGAAGCTCCAGTCCCTCACACAACAAGAATCTCCAGCCTCCATCTTTTCACCACCACAAAACCTGCACTAAATAAATAACCATCTCACTAATCTACCACCTCACCTAGCCCGTGCGCAGTGAGCGTTGGCGCTTCCGTCCCCTCGCATCCTTGCTCCACCTCGCGCATATTTCTTTTGTTTTCTCAGCCACGCCGAGTCGGGCTCTTTCCCTGTAGCTCGTTGCGTGCTGAACGCAACTGACTAGCGACCGCGATGTCTGAATTCCTAGGGTATGCCTGGTCTTGGGGAGCCCAATGTGACTCGCGCTGACGGTGCTGCAGCTCTCGCATCTCGCTCATCTCCAAGAGCGACATTCGGTATGCGTGACCATCCACGCGCCTCCGAGCTCCATTGACACGTTGACCAGCTACGTTGGTGTCCTCCACGAGATCAACTCTGACGAATCGACCGTGTCACTTGAGAATGTACGTTCCTACGGGACAGAAGGCCGCAAGGAGCGCCCAGAGGAGGAGGTCGGCCCTTCCGACTCCGTCTACGAATACATTGTCTTCCGTGGAAGCGATGTGAAGGACCTCCGCATCGAGGAGCGTCCGGGCGCCAAGGAGAATCAGCCCCCAGCGATGCCTGATGACCCAGCAATCGTCGGAGTAAGTTGCCCAATCCCTCCATCCCGCAACGTCTCTCTCCTATGATGAAATATTTCGGATGTAAATCTTTATTGTCACCTGAAAGCGCAAAACCATGTGGAAATTTTCCGTTGCCTTCCTTCTGATCGAGAGCAATTCTTCTATCACTTTGATGCGAGAAGCATACGTTACCATACAAATGCTAATCACCACAGGCCACAAGAAATCGCCCTGGTCCTCCCGGTCCTCCTGGGCCTGGGCCTCAAGGACCCAAGCCCGGGCAAGGTCCTGACTTCAACCCGTACAACATGCCCCCGCCACCATTTGACCCCTCTTACGGTCCTCCTGGCAACTGGGGGCGTGGTGGACCCCCTCCTCCGGCCCCTCAGGGATTTGGCAATATGCCATACCCTCCTCCACCTGGCTGGTTTGGCCCTGGTCATCCTGGGCCAGCCTTCCCTCCAGGTGCTGGCGGACCTGGCCCTGGGCCTTGGGGAAGCCAGCCATTCCCTGCTGGTCCTCCTGGTCCTGCTGGTCCTCCTGGTCCCGGCATTCCGGGTCATCATCAACAGCGTGGACCCCACGACCAAAAGCCAGCTTCTCGAGGTCCTGCCGACCAGTCGCCGCAGCAGGCCAAGCCGACCCAACGGTCGCCAGTTGCGGCCCGCCCGCCGACAAACGCGCCAGCCCCTCCCGTCGAGTCGAAACCATCGACTGAAGAGGTCCAGAATACAGCTGCCAACCTTGCCGGGGAAGCAGCAAAGGCTCCTGTGCCCAACAAGGCACCTCCTGCCGGTCCTCGTCAGAACCGAGTGAACCCAGTTGTTCCCCTCGGCTCTTTGACGAAGCCCTTCCAGCCGCCCATTGCTCAGCAACAGCCACCAAAGGCTGCTGTTGAAACAACGGTGTCAGCAGCTCCTGGAAGCGTTCAGGATGCCACGAGTGCCGCTCGTGCTGCGGTAGCTGTGGCCATGGCCCAGCTCGGTAACGGCGGTGCCAACCAAATGGACAACCTTACAAACAAGGTCAACGAGATGCGTGTCGGTGCCGCCCGTGGCGGAGCATCTGCACCCCGTGGCCGTGGGCGTGGCGGTCGTCCTCAGGGTCAGGCTGCCAAGGTGGAGGTCCCTGACTCGGACTTTGACTTTGCCCAAGCCAATGCCAAGTTCAACAAGGACGACCTCATCAAGGAGGCCATCGCTGGCTCACCACTTGGTGAGACTACGAACGGTGGCGAGGTCCCGGCTCCCGAGGTTCCACAACCAGAGGATGTGCCTGTTGCCTACAACAAAACGCGGTCGTTCTTTGACAACATTTCGAGCGAAGCCAAAGATCGGGCCGACATCAGTAGTGGTGGTCGGCCAGGTGGTCGCGAGTGGCGCGACGAGGAACAGCGCCGCAACATGGAGACCTTCGGTCAAGGCAGTGTAGACGGCGGGCACCGTCGCGGGCGTGGTCGCGGACGCGGTCGGGGTGGTCGTGGTCGTGGCGGTCAAGGACGTGGAGGGCGCGGTGGAAATCAGCAGTACCAGGCGGTCGAGGGACAATAGCTGGCCCATGCCATTTTGCGTCTGACCTTTCCGACGTTTTACGTGTACAACTAGTACCAGATGAGTGCGAGGCTCGCTCGCTCGAGTCGGTTTGCCTAGCACGGAGCTTCCGGCGTTTTGGTTTTACGTTTGGGATAGCACTGAGCGAGATATGATTCAGAAAGGTCCTTACTGGGGGTACATTTTTATGAGCAATGGGAAACAAAAGATCACGCATAGGGTACGGCCAGAGGCTGGCTGTTGACCGGGTGTGGATGGGGGCAACTGAGGACAGACAGTCATGAGGAACGCAGAAAGGGGAGAATTCGGCTTGGCGTCTGAGCATTGGGATACGGGTCTCCTCGCGTGACTGGCCGATGCAAATCAATACACTCGTCAAGTCATTTGAGGTGCCTCTCAGTTGTCGAACCCCTGTGGTATTATCATTAGAAGTTGGCTGTGCGCAGACCAATGTGAAGATACCTTAATTAGTACCTGCCTGGCAGTTGCGGTGCTGCCCCACCAAACGTCATAGCTCGGCATGACACATTCGACTTAACTTCAACTACTGCAAAAATCTCGCCGTCGTGGAGCTGTAAGTGTCTTCCTACATATCCATGTGTTTGTACTACACTCCTGTACTTGACTTCCTGCCTTGGTCCAATAGGCTCGGGACTCTGCATTTTGTTCTCCCTCCCAACCTAACCTCCTGCCGCGGGACACGTTTCCAACCATGTCGAGCAGACAGCTGCGCAAGCTGCAGAAGCAGCGCGAACTCGCCGGCAACACAGATGCGGCTCCTTCAGCTGAGGCTTCCAGTTCAGAGGACGAAAGTCCTGGCCCAGCCCCGGCTGCGAAACCGCGGGTCAGCCTGTTTGCTGCCCTTGGCGGCGATGGAGACGACAACGGGGACGACGACGACGATGACGAACCGGAGGAGCCACAGCCCGACAGTAAACCTTCCGAGCAGCAAGCGTCACAGCCTGCGATAAAGGCGGGCAAGAAGAAAAAGAAGAAGAAGAAGGCAAATGCCAGGTCTCAAGTAGAAACTGCAGCCGCGAAGGACGACGAGGACGAGATCGACAAGGCCATTCAAGAACTCAAGCTTGCCGCGCCACGGGCGGACGCCTCTACGGGGCAAGCCCACGAACCGCAGCAACGAATCAACGAGCTTCTCAGCATCAACACGCACCATCTCAGAGCAATCAACGAGATGCGCCAGCTCTTTGGGCGGGAGGTCATCGAGTCTGCGGCCGCTGAGGAGCAGCGCGAGGCGAGCAACACGCGTCAGCGTCGTGGGCGTCAGCAAAATGTCGACTTGGAGACCTTCCTTCGGGGTCCGCCCGGCATGAAAAAGCTGCCCGAGGTGTCGCTGCGGAGGAATGTCTTTATCCAGGGAAGAGAACACTGGCCCCGAGCGACAGCGGGTGGCTTGACGATGGAAGTCCTTGAAAAGAGGGCGGACGGGACTACCGAGTATGCCTACGTGCACGACAATCGCTACGATGCTGTTCAGACATTCTTCTTCAGCTGTGTCCAGATGGGTGATCCGATGCGCATCGTGCATCTCCTGGCCCAAGTTCGTAAGTGCAATTCTCCTGACTGACTTGGTCGGGTTTAGTAGTACTAACCTCTGTCGAGCCTACCATGTCTCGACCCTGCTCCAAGTCAGCGCCGTAGCCAAACAGGATCAGAACATGGCGCTATCGGCAGAGCTTTGTGAGAGGGCATTGTTCACGTTTGGGCGCGTTGCCACCACCGCTTTTCGGCAGGATCTGGAGCGCGGCAAGGCACGACTAGACTTTAGGCGACCAGAGAATCGTCAGCTATGGCTGGCGGGCTATCACTACCTGCGGAGCTTGATCAGAAAGGGCACGTACCGCACCGCCCTCGAGTGGGCGAAGCTGCTGCTCTCCTTTGACCACAAGGACCCGTACGCGATGCGACACTTTCTGCATTTCCTGGCGATCCGTGCCTACGAGGGTCAGTGGTTTGTGGACTTTATCGACGAGCTGGAGAAGACGAGCGACAACCGAGACACGGTCTACCTCCGGCAGAGTCTCGTGCTGGCCAGGCTGCAGATGAAGGACACGGAGGGCGCAAAGGCGGAGCTCCGCGCCGGGATCCAACGTCTGCCTTGGCTGTACTGCGCTCTATACCAGGAACTGAACCTGGACGCGCCGCCCTCTATCTGGGGCGTCTCGGCGGACACGGATGCGCGGTCGTTCTGGACAAAGCTGTACGTCTACCAGACGAAGGATCTCTGGAACAACACGGCCACTCTTTCGCTGCTCCAGCAGGTGGCAAAGAGTCTGGACAAGGTCGACACGGCACAGCTCCCCGCCAACGACGCGCCCCCGGACCTGGGGGCCACCAGGCTGGCGTATCTCGAAGGACAGACGTCGATCATAGCAGCAGCGCCCCGCGAGTACCTGGACATGCAGCCCAACTACGAATTCGACCCGCTGCCGCCGCCCGAGGAGGATAACATCTTCACGGGCGACGGGTGCCGGATGCCGTGGAGGGATAGGAACTCCAGCACGCGCGCCATGGACAACCAGATGGAAGCACAGCTCCGTGCTCTGATAGAACGGCAGCAGGCGCGGCTACAAGCTGGGCGGGCTAACAACAACGGTCAAGGCGGCGGTGAAGGCCTCGCCGGCATCCCTCCGGACGACGAGGAGAATGCTGAGCTGGACATGCTCGACATGGACGACCCGGAGCTGCGGCAGGACCTGGAGGAGCACGCGCGGCGCGCCAACGCCCCTGGGATCGTGCAGACGCTGATGAGGATGCTGCGAGGGGATGGTGCGCCTGAGGAGGAGTATGCGCACGAGGAGGAGCATGAGCAGGCGGAGTACGCCTATCATGATGATTCCGACGATGGGGACGAAACGCCAGGGGAGGGTCCTCCCGGAGCATGGCCGTCGTAATAATAGCTTGTGCTCAGCCTCGACTTCTCGAGAACCTCACGATGCCACAATGTTGATTTACTCCCCGGTCTAACCTCTCTGCCAAGCGTGTTCCTCGCATTGAAGTGCCGGGGCCGCCAGCCTGGTAGTTGGGCCGTGGCTGGGTAATCGATAGTTACCCAAGGTACAAGTCTAAGGTAGTCATGAACCAAGGACTGGTCATGACACTTGCTGCCTGCCTGGTGTTCTTGAGGATAGATATCTCCAGCCGAGGAATGCAAGGCTTTGTGAGGTACCTCTTGTAGAAAGATCTTTGGGATGTGTGAAGTAACAGCCAGCCAAGCACAGGCGTCAAAGGCATTGCGCGATCACGGTACGTTGACGTGGCTGGTGATCACTGTCCCCCAGCGATTTTCAGTTGAATCATTCACAACTGATTCCTTCGGGAACCTGCATCGTGGAGCTCGCCGACAACTGCAGGTGCACCGTGCAGGGTACGACCGTGGTTCCATTGGATGGATGCTGGGTCTTGACTTTTGAGTCCCGACCAACGTTCCTTCTCAGTCTCCATGTCCGTGCGCGTCTTATGTTCTTCTGTAGGTATACTTAATTGTTGAGCTCGGGTATCCCGGACTGGGAAGTTGTGAATGCTTGATGTTTCTGGCAAGCTGATCCATCGCAGTCGTAGCGAGGAGCGTCCAGCCACGGATTCGGCGTTTTGTGTTATGATCGCGCTCCGCCCGGTACGGTTACTTAAACAGTAGACACCGTGCTGGGAATGATTGATCTGCGGCGTCTGCCTGGCACGCCCTGCTGGTATTGCAAATCCATCCTTGTTGATCTTTCGGCGAGTGGCTGGCTGGTGGGAGGCAGACTGACTACTGACTGACTGTCAGAAACAGAAACAAAGCTGCTGACGGCGGTGATCGGCGCATGTACTGATTGCTGCAGTGACATGCAGTCGAGTCTAGCCGGTGTCATTTCTCGCGTTTCCAAGCTACCAAGTGAGGAAGGTACCTGATTAGTGGTAAGGTACCTAAGGTGCAGCATCTTAGCTCGGCTGAGACCTCCCAGGTGGGTGGCCAAGGTATCTTCACCTGCCCAAAGTGCTCCCAGCCTCCCAACTCTGACCCCCCCAGGGTCCGCCATTGGAATTGCTTCCCAGCCTTTGCATCACCAGTCTACCGCCCACTTCCCCTCCAGAAGCCCTGCGTCCCGCGACAATAGACAGCATTATAGAGACCGAATCGAAAGAACCGACATGTCCCCACGCAGACCCGACTCGCGACCTGCGCTACTCTTATCCTGATTGCCTTTGGCCTGGCCTACAATCGCCGTCCTGCACGTGGCTCATCCATCGCCTCCCGTCCTTAACTCGCAACGGACCAGCCCTTGATTGAATGGATGGATGACTTTACGAATAAATCCATGAATGAATGAATGGATGGCGAATACCTACCAGCCTGTACCCGACATGGGCCTCGCCCCGGCACCGAGCCATCATCCTCAGCCATACGAAGCTGCGTCGACAGGAGCGACCACCACCACCACCTCCTCTTCCTCCTCCTCTTCCTCCGCTGCCGCCGTCCCCTTTGCCCAGCAACAGCAGACGCCGCCTTCGCAGGGTCACACGCCTCAGGTTCACCAATTGCTGGCCCCGACCACGTACCAGCACCAGACTCTCCAGCCCGCCGCGGCGCAGCAGACCCCCCACGGTACACAGGCCCAGCCGCGCAGCGTGAAGCGCCCGCGCCCCGTCAAGTCGTGCACGGAATGCAGGAAGCGCAAGCTCAAGTGCGATCGCCTATGCCCCTGCTCACAGTGCCAAAAGTCCAACAGGGGCTGCCGGTATGCCGCGGACAATGACTCGAATCACAACTTGTCCGACGCCTCGGACGAGGAGGGCACCGATATTGGGTCGACCGCACGGCCGACGAAGCGGCTGGCCACGGATATGCGCAACGGCGGGTCCGTGGGCACCCCAGGGCAGCAGCAGATCACGGCGGCGCAGACACTGCCAATCCTCGAGCAGCTGGCCACGAGGATGGAGAGGATAGAAAAGCATCTTTTGGGCTCCAGCTCGCCCGAGACGACGAGCAATCATACCAGTGGGAGTGCCAGTAGGGCCCCCGAGGTCGTACCCGCGACGGCCAGAGGGCTGTCCATCAAGCAAGGTGGCTACAGGACGCGAATCTACGGGCCGTCCAGCCCCAGGGTCATGCTGCATCTGGTAGGTCCATAGACACAATGGCGAGTGGTCGCGAGCACCCAGCTGACAATGGAGCCAGTTCCAGGAGGCCCAGGACTTTATGCGGCACCACAACAAGGACCCCGAGATGCGAGAGGTCTTTGCGAGCTTCAACAAGCTACACAAGCTCATGCGGACCGAGTTTACAAAGTCCATGCTGCCCATCAGCGTATTTGTGGACTCGATGATGCCTGTGCGCAAACGAATGGTGGACATTCTGCCGCCAAAACCCGTCTGCGACCGGCTCGTTCGTGGGTATCTGGATAATCACGAGACGCTCTACCGCATCATCCATGCGCCCTCCTTCATGGCCCAGTACAATGCGTACTGGGATGGCACGCTGCAGCTGGAGGCGTTCCTTCCCAAGCTCCTCGCCATCCTCGCCCTGGCATCTCGGTACGAGACCAAGTCCAGGGGTCTGGGTCGTGAGCGGTCCGAAGGCGCCCACCTACCGACGGCGTGTGCACTGGTCAGGCTCTGGCTGAACAATCTACAAGGGAAAATCCTCGCCGAGATAGACACACTGCAGGTGGAGGTCCTCTGGTTCGCCATCGTCCGCTCGTCGAGGGAGCACCCGCGAGACGGATGGGCGCAGCTGGGCACAATTGTGCGCATGGCCCTGAGCATGGGCCTCCATCGAGACCCGTCCGAGTTTGGGTCCAGGATCACGCCCTTCAACGGGGAGATACGGCGGCGGCTGTGGGCGACGATTATCAACCTGGACATTTACGTGTCCAACGACTGCGACATGCCGTCGACGCTGCACGAGGAGTGCATGACGACGAAGCCCCCGCGGAACCTGGACGACGCGGAGATCTACCCCGAGATGGCGGAGCTTCCCCCGTCGAGACCCTTTGACCAGGTGACCGACAACCACGCGCAGGCGTACGCGGCGACGACCCTTTCGCTGCGGAGGAGGGCGGTCAGCTTGATCGCGCGGCTGGACAGTGTGCGCGACTGGGGCGAGATTCTCGACGTGGCGGGTCAGCTGGAGAAGCACCTAGAGCACGTGGACTACGTCCTGCCGCGGTACCGGCCCACGCCCGACTCGCGCAAGGCACGGCGCTGGCGGTGTCGCGGGCTGCTCGACGCCCACATCCGCACGATCCTGATGAACCTGTACCGGCCGTTTGTGCTGGGGTCGCCCAGCGCGCCGCCGCAAGCCGTGCGTGCCTACCTGCGCCACTCGCTCCAGATGGTCATTGGCATCGAGGAGCTGGACCCCAGCATGCCCGAGTACGAGGAGGTGGCCGACCTGTGCCACTCTGGCAACAAGAGCGCCGCGATGCAGGCCGCGCTCAGCCTGTGCTACTACATCCGCGCCCAGGTGCGCGATGCGCAGGTCAACCCGGCGGCCATGGCGGTCCAGCAGGCGCTGTCAGCGGAGCCGGACCCGTCCGACCCGACGGCGCGCGCGGCGGCGACGACGGACGACTCGGTGTGGTCGGCGCCGCAGCTGATCCAGTCGGTGGAGAGGGTGATTGGGTTCTTGGTTCAGAACATCAAGTCCGGCGACACCAAGGATATCATCTGCCTCTCGCTCGTGCTGGAGAGCGTGCGGACGCCCGAGCCCCGGTCGGACGAGATGGCGCACGGCCTGCGTGTCGTCCTGGATCAGTGTCTGCGCGCGGCCAACTTCAGTCTGGAGAGGTTGGCGACGGCGCAGCCCGCGTCGTCGTCGCAGCAGCAGCATGCGTATCCGGCCGCGAATGCGTACCCTGCGTCGGGGAACCTGATGGGCTCCCCGGCTGACGAGGACGGGTGGATGTTTTGGGATGGATGGGATGATTGATTAATTTGCTTCTGCTACGGACTGACTGATCACGTACCAGCCATGTTATGCTGGGTTTGGCGTTTGGGAATAGACAAGGGGCTACGTGGTGCGAGGCGCAGGACATACAGTGAACCATGCTATTAGGGAGACATTAAGTAACCAACGAGGCAGCTCATACTGGCTGGCGACTCTTGGTCTTCTCGTGTCTGGAGAGACGTTGATAGCACGCTTCTCTAGGGTAGGGAGATCGGAACACCGGGGTCCGATACCTGTGATTACAAACACTCAGCATTGTCAGCAGACGAGCGCATGATCGCCCGGAGACTTTATGCCTTATTTAGATGAATCGAGATTTAATTATACGATTTTCTTGCACAGGTTGGCCGCCACTCCTCCGCCTCTCCGCGTGAAGCCGCGGCAGCTGAGCCTCGGCACTTCCCCCGCATTTCGAGCCCCAACTTCGGAGACGCCAGACGGTGGAGGAGGGGAGAACGAACTGCAGTCTAACAGAGGCCCTGGTCGCTTGCCGAGCTGGTTTCCTCTTTACGGACCGGGGAATGATGAGTGGCCCACGGCTAGCCGGGGTAAACGATGTACGTACATATACCGTGCATCAAGACCAGCCCCGGACTGACCTGGACTGACCTCATCCATCTTTCCGCACGTTGTTCTCATCAACTCAATCCCAGGCTTCTCCGTTCTTCTCTCGTTCTGCACTAGACTCTATCGATTATCACCCAGCGAAGCACAACCCTTACCATGGCCCCCAAGAAGCGATCGCCCGCCTACGTTGTGGGCGTGGGCATGACAAAGTTCATCAAGCCCCGTGGCAAGGTGGACTACACGGAGCTCGGGTTCGAGGCGGGCGTCAAGGCGCTGCTGGACGCGCAGATCAACTACGACGACGTCGAGCAAGGCGTGGCCTGCTACTGCTACGGCGACTCGACCTGCGGCCAGCGCGTCTTCTACCAATTTGGCATGACGCAGATCCCCATCTACAACGTCAACAACAACTGCTCGACGGGCAGCACGGGCCTGGCCATGGCGCGGCAGCTCGTCTCGAGCGGCGGCGCCGACTGCGTCATGGTCGTCGGCTTTGAGAAGATGATGCCCGGCAGCCTCCAGAGCTTCTTCAACGACCGCGAGAACCCCGTCGGCACCACGCACCGCATGATGGCCGAGACACGTGGCGTCACCAACGCCCCCGGCGCCGCGCAGATGTTTGGCAACGCCGGCATCGAGTACATGGAAAAGTACGGCGCCCGCCCCGAGGACTTTGCCGAGATCGCCCGCGTCAACCACGCCCACTCGCCCAAGAACCCCTACTCCCAGTTCACAGACGTCTACTCGCTCGAGCAAATCATGAAGGCCCCCGCCATCCACGGGCCCCTGACCAAGCTGCAGTGCTGCCCGACCTCGGACGGCGGCGCGGCGGCCATTGTCGTCTCGCAGGAGTTCCTCGACGCCCGCCCCCACCTCAAGGAGCAGGCCGTCGAGATTGCCGGCCAGTGCCTCGCCACCGACGCCCCCTCGCTCTTCTCCAAGTCGGCCATCGACCTCATGGGCTACGAGATGACCCAGCACGCCATGCGCACCGCCACCCGCGAGGCGGGCGTCTCCCCGCGCGACTGCCAGGTCGTCGAGCTGCACGACTGCTTCAGCGCCAACGAGATGGTCGTCATTGACGCCCTCGAGCTCTGCGACAAGGGCAAGGCCCACGAACTCGTCCGTCGCGGCGACATCACCTACGGCGGAAAATACGTCATCAACCCCTCGGGCGGCCTCATCTCAAAGGGCCACCCCCTCGGCGCGACGGGCATCGCCCAGTGCGCCGAGCTGGTCTGGCACCTGCGCGGCTGGGCCAACAACCGCCAGGTCGCCCGCACCAAGCACTGCCTGCAGCACAATCTTGGTCTGGGCGGCGCCGCCGTCGTCACCGTGTACCGTCGCGCCGACGGAAAGGAGGCCCCCGAGATGGACTCGGCCACGGTGGGCAGGAAGAATGGGCTCGGCTACAACCCGGCCGTCGAGGCCAAGGGCTTCACCCAGGCGCAGGCCACGTCGGTAAGGAGTCGGGCCAAGGCGAATGACTGGGCGCTGCAGGACACGGAGAAGAAGGTTGAGGCGAGGTTCTAGTGTCTAATTCGGATCAGTGAAAGAGGTGTAGTCCGTAGCAGCAAGCAAGCCATGAGACAACTTTCCACACGAGTTCAGGGCGTCGGTTGAACCTGGTCATCTTCGGTGGGTGCACTCCCGCTCGTACTGTTGGCATGCGTGGCGCGTCGAGACGCGCTGCGTCCATGATCATCTGAGTGGCGTGGGGATGATGGTCGATGTACGGATAGAGTGTGTACAATGGTCGTGTGAATCTGAGGCTTTGCATTCATGCGTCGGGAGTGTTAGCTCCAGCTAGCGTGGTACTTGAAATGCGTGCTGTGCGTCACCACTGCAGAGGTGCCGATCTACCGCGACAGGAGCTCACACCACATCATCACGGTCGTGAATCTGGAGCTGTGCATGCACATGTGTACACACAAAGACACCAGCATCTCCATCCCCGTCATCATGTTCACGTTGTTTCCACAACTCCCCACAGAGATCCGCCTGCAAATCTGGCGCGAGGCGAGTCTTTCCAGCATACGCGTGCCTCGGAATGCCGTGGTCCCCTTTGACTTCCGCTGGTACTTTGCTACACAAGGAGGAGATCCGCTCATCAAGGTCCAGTGCACGTCGCCCTGGGCGATTCACGTGGTCAATCATGAGGCCCAAGCCGTGACACAGGAGCTTGCGGCTGGACTGGGGCTCACATGGGAGACTGTCCAGCCGTACAAGTACCCCATTCTCACGCGTGACTTCCTACCTGAGGAGGACCTCGTATACCTGCCGAGGCATGGAGTCATGCGGACACTTCTGCCCGACATACTCACGCTTGCGCAACAAAACGATGACACGCATTGGGTAAACCGCAGCCTGAGCCGGATACGCCATTTGCTTCTACCTGCGTTCACAGCGTACTACAGCATCGAGATGATTGTGCGGGCCATTGAGGACATGCCCAACATGGAACGGGTGTATGTGGCGTGGGGGGTCCTGCCAGAGATATTCTGGAGGGAAACGGAGCAGTTGCCTGACCACCCATGGGGCCAGGAGTACAACGCCGCCTTGGAGATTGACGTCCAGCCTCAGTGGACCCTCAAATACCTCCCGCCCGTGCCCGCGGACTATGTCGTGCCCGACGAGGACGATGAGGACGAAGCAATGCCGGCGGAGGGAGACGTTGAGGTCGAGATGGTTATCGACGACGAGATATCGGACAAGCGGTGGGTCGAAAAGGGCAGTCTGTGGGAGTGGACGTCTGAGATGAGCGATGCCATCAATTTTCTCGAACTGGGCGACAACTTTACAAGTCGGTTCACGAATGACGAGGGCGAAGTGACCTTGGATATTGTGCCAGTCACGGTGGTGGTGGATGGCGACACGGTGCCCGACCTCGCAGGGGGTGGAGGGGGAGGACATGCATGGTACTGGTATCGATGAGTCTATAGGAAGAGGGAGGTCATTCGATGATGGTACAGCATCGAAGTCTACTACGTATTCTCATAGGTTCATTTATTACACTATAGTACTTTGCAGAGATCCATCAAGAGGGGTCCCAGTCAGTCGGTACGACCGACAACCGAGAAATGCAGAAATGCAGGGTAGGCGGATCTGCACAGGCACAAGGCCGGTCGACACCACGACGTCAGGATCCGCACGCACGTCCTACAAGAATAAATGATGCGCACGTTTCACACTGAGTAGCCAAACGATAGCAGTCCAGGAGACTCTTCCCAGGTTTCATATTGATACAATAAACCCGCGCACATCTCCGTGAGCAAGTTTCACAAGACGGAGTGGACCCAACGTGCTACGTCCCCTTTCGGAGAGCCGGGGCGGGTCCTGCCGGCGACCCGATAAAAAGGGGTCCACGTCCCCTCTCCGCCATGAGGGGAAGGGGATGTCCGTCACTCCTTCCCTATTGCATCCGCCGCCTTCTGCATTATTCAGCGTTTTTTCTTGCACATAACGCCGTCCATTCTCCATTCCTCCCTTCTCACTTCTCTCCGACGTTCCCACACAACCACCGTGTCGAAAGCCATCATGTCGCACACCTACGAGTTCAACGTTGCCATGTCCTGCGGCGGCTGCTCAGGTGCCATTGACCGTGTCCTCAAGAAGCTCGAGGGTACGTACGCCCTGCGCGCACGGCGCTGCATTGCACTGCATGCGCGTCTGTCCATGGAACGTCACTGACCTGAACCCAGGCGTCGAATCCTACGAAGTGTCCCTCGAGAACCAGACGGCCAAGGTCGTCACAGACCTCCCGTACCAGACCGTCCTCGAGAAGATCGCCAAGACCGGCAAGAAGGTCAACTCGGGCAAGGCCGACGGCGTGGAACAACCTGTTGCTGTGCCGGCCGCTGCGTAAGGCTACAAGCAGGCCGTGCTTTTGTATTTTGGAGTTTGGGACTTGGAACATAGGTTTTCCCCCGAGGGTCGCATAGCGTGCGAGCTTGCAATATATCCACCTGCAGAGGCCAATTCCCCCCTTTTCTCCCCTCTCGTTTCCCCGTGAAAAAGAGTCGAGCCGAGGCGATTGATAAACATCCAGTGCACGCCTAGCCAGAACCTTGCCGACTTCCGCGTGACAAGCGTTGGTGCATATCGCGACAAGTCGACAGGTCCCAAATTACCCCACACAAGCGAACATTTTTTCTGCAGGAGAGAGGCTGAAGTCACAGATAGGCGGCAACGGACGATCGGAGAAATGCGTGCTACGTATAGTCAGGAGACGCGCATATCAACGCATGTAAATGAATCACGAGACAGGAAAGGTTATAGAGTGGTTGGTTGGTAGGCGTGTGGCCTCCGGCCCAGCGGCTGAGGGGGCCCCACTCATTTCCCCAGACTGACTTTCGGCCCAAGGGACTTCATAATTATCCCCAGTATCGTCCGTGACGCCAGCGCGGGTCCATGTATCATGTTCCATGGTTCCACGGAGGGGCTGGGCTGCTCTGGATGCTACGTCCTGCAGCTCGAATCATCCTCCAGAACGCCTCGAGCTGCACGTCTGGCGCCACCAAGACCAGCGCTGTCCGCGACGGCCGAGATTCCCGTCCACCAACGTCTACCACTAGCTGCCGCCCGCCTGCTTTGCCCACTCTCTTGCATTCCCTGTCACCCGAAGCTGAGGAGTTAATGCTCCCATGAATATGTTCCCATCCGGCGGCTGCCGCTCGAACGATTGGGAGCAAGCGTAGAAGGGGAGGGGCAGCTTCCCCTCGATGGCATGATGTAAGAGCCCATATGGTCTGATTCAGAGATTCACATAAAGTTTAAGACAGAGAAGCAACCGTAATCATTGTTCTCATTCCAGCAGCAACAATTTCACCCACAAGCAAACAGTCAACCATCCGAAGATTACACTCCCGTCATTTCACAAGTCCGTCCCCCGTTCGACATGTCACCCAGCATCCCTTCTGAGCAGTGGGCGCAGGTGATTGAGAAGCAAGGCTGTACGCTTTCCGGCCCCCCGTCTTCGCAGCAGGCCGACTTGTACTGACAAACATATAGCCGTGACGTACAAGAAGATCCCCGTGCCCAAGCCCGGGCCCGATGAGGTCCTCGTCAATGTCAAGTACTCGGGCGTCTGCCATACCGACCTGCACGCCATGAACGGCGACTGGCCCCTGGCCACCAAGCCCTTCCCCCTCGTCGGCGGCCACGAGGGCGCGGGCGTCGTCGTGCAGCTCGGCGAGCTCGCGACCGAACTCAAGATTGGCCAAAAGGTCGGCATCAAGTGGATCAACGGCTCGTGCCTGGCCTGCCCGTACTGCCAGCGCGCCGACGAGCCGCTGTGCGCAAAGGCCACCATGAGCGGCTACACCGTCGACGGCACCTTTCAGCAGTACGCCGTGGCCAAGGCCGCCCACGTCGCCCGGATCCCCGACGAGTGCGACCTCGAGGCCATTGCGCCCGTCCTCTGCGCCGGCATCACCGTGTACAAGGGACTCAAGGAGTCCGGGGCCAAGCCCGGCGACACAATCGCCATTGTCGGCGCCGGCGGTGGCTTGGGGTCGCTGGCCCTGCAGTACGCTTCCGCCATGGGTCTGCATGCCATCGGCATCGACGGGGGCGACGAGAAGAAGAAGCTCGTGGAGAAGCTGGGGGCCCAGACATTCATCGACTTTACAAAGACCAACGACCTCGTCGCGGACGTCAAGGCCGCGACACCGGACGGTCTGGGCCCTTCAGCCTGCCTGCTGCTCGCCGTGAGCGAGAAACCCTTCCAGCAAGCCACAGAGTATGTTCGTTCGCGCGGTGTCGTGGTCTGCATCGGGCTACCGGCCAATGCGTCCATCTCGGCGCCCGTTTTCGACACGGTCGTGCGCATGATCAACATCAAGGGTAGTTACGTCGGCAACCGCGCGGACACGGCCGAGGCAATTGACTTCTTCCGTCGGGGCCTCATCCAGGTGCCCTCCAAGACGGTGGGACTGAGCAAGCTTCAGGATGTATACGAGCTCATGGAGGCGGGCAAGATCGCTGGTCGCTACGTCGTCGACACGAGCAAATAGCTGTATGTAGTATATTGAACATGTATCTAACCCATGGCAAGCGCTCTTTGCTGCATCGGAATCATCACTCACCACGTCGCCCTCTCCGCCTTTTGTGCGTTTATGATCCGCCCGGACCACCCAGGAGAGCGAATCTCCGTACAATGCTTGGTCCGTATTCTTGGTACTGCGCACGATTAGTGACTGCGTCGCCTCGACATGGGATATACGCACCTCTTGCTTGGTATGGCAGTATGACCGGAACTCGGGTGTCTGCCCAAGAAGACTGCCACCGAACCATGGGCCGTGGCGCTGGCGCTTGTGTGTGATGACCTGCACGTCTAGACCACCGCTGCGCGCTCCTCCGCTGCGGACCTCACTCGCCTTGATCCTCGTGTCCACCAAGTGCTTGATATCTCGTTGTAGGCGACGCCCAAAATCCTTGTAGAGCGTGCTGCCACCCGACAGCACAATGTTCTTGTATAAGCCTCGTCGAACGTCAATAGGAGACTGCTGGATGACATTATCGACAACATTGGGCAGAGGCGTGAGGAAGTCGGAGCTGTAGATCTCGGGGTTGAAAAAGATTTCAGGCGCGAGGAAGCGCTCGTATCCAACGTCGACCGACACCTCCCGACCGTTCGGGTGGCGCACGACGTGCTTGGCGAAGCGGCTCCTGTCGCGGTCGTACTTGGCAAACTCCTTGACGATATCGGGGCAGACATAGCAGTGCTCCTCCTTGATCTCAGAGGCGGTCCTGAGAGAAGAGTCGGGCTCGCCGCGGTCACGGAGCAGCGACTGCACAAAGTAGGTAATGTCGCGACCGGCAATGGGAATCGACTTGATGGACGAGCCAATGACGTATCCCTCGGCGACTGGAATAACGTGGGTGACACCGTCGCCGGAATCAATGACCGTGCCCGTCAACGAGCGGTCTGTCACCTTGGCCGAGGTCCACGAAGCGGCAAGGGCCAACACAGCCTGTACGGCGATATACATTCCAGCGCAGTTGAACGATTCGAAGAAGATCTCGGCCGTGTTTTCGCGGTTCTCTGGCGGGTTCAGGGGCTGCATGGTCAGCTACATTCGATACCAACGGAGACGGGTCGCTCACGGGCTCGGTCAGGAGGAAGTAGTGGTCCTCCGGCTCGACGCGCAAGTATTTGAAGATGGAGTTTGACCAGAATCGCTCCATATGGTCCTGGAACTGTCAGAAGCCTGTTCGATGCCATGCATGGTCACAAACCTACCCAGTCCTCTATTTGACCATGGCGGATGGGGTAGTGAAGCCCGTACCCAGGTCCTCCCGAGGCGGCAAGGGCCTCATCGCCAATGAAGAAGTCCAGATCCTCTGTGCCTCTTTTCGCACTCAAATGACCACCAGGTCCGGCCCCGCCGGTCAGGAAGGAGGGCTTGTTGGCGACCGAGGGACGTCCCGACCCAGCACCCGCATGGCTGCCCGCTGCTCCTCCTTTGGTCGCGATAGCGGTTGGGAAGACGAACGATGGCGAGTCATTTCCGGCGAAACCTGAACAGAGTCAGCCCAATCCTTCGTGCAATGGATCCAATGCCCGTACCAAGCTTGGAGAAGCCAGTGCCGCTGGTTCAACGTCAGTAGTTGTCGTCAAGTGCGGGGAGGAAGCTCACTTGTCCATGACAACGGCAGGAGTTTGATTAGCCATATTGAGGGTGTCTGCCTTTGGCGCAATTTCCCAGTACAGAGACGAAAGAGTAAAAGCCGAGAACCCGAATGGACGCGGCTATGGGCGAGGCAGGCCGTCGTCGTTGAGGTCGTCGTCACTGCAGGTCGTCGAGTCGAGCTGGGGCAGTCTTACGTTGACGTGCTTGGTGGGCTGGAGCTCCAGCGTTTGGTGGGGAACAGCCACACTCGACTCTCAAGTGGCTGGTCTCGCAAGACCACAGCCCCGCCGTAGCCTGGCGCAGCGACCGGAACAATGAAGTGCCGCTCAACGTCATGTTGCTCCTGCTCCCCAGCCACTGGTTCCTGGCGAGCTCCTCCTGTTCATATTTAGACGTGTTCCTGGCGAATTAGACAACCTTACCCGTACACACCTGCTATATGGTGAGAGCTGCGATCAAGCTGCCTTACGTATGCATTGAGATTTGCTCTTCAAATCCAACTAGCCTTCACTCATAGCAAGCCCAATCTCGTGCCTTCCACTCTAACGAAGCATATGCACTTCACCATAATGCGGCGGGAGCGAGCTGCCCCCTTTTAAACAGTAGCAGCTTACTCCGAATCGTGAACTATTTCAACCTTGCTCCGACTGCTCTCCTAAATACTCACATTTGCACAACCTTGAAACTCGACATATCATCACCATTTCAACACGTTCTCCCCTTTTTGAGGCTTCACCCTCAGCATCGTTATTGAATCATTCTATATCTTTGATGGCCTCCATTTCCCATGGCTGAGGATGGACCAGTGTCATCATGTCAAGGTCCCTTCCTCCATGGCAAACAACCAGCTTGGCACAGATGGTGCCCTTGATCACATGCTCCGTCTAGGGCAGCGATCCAGACAAGTCCCTGCCATCTTCATACATGCTGGCGCTGGCTTTCACAGCCACCAGAATGAGAGCAGCCATCTCCAAGCTTGCGTAGCGTATGTCCGCAGCACATGCACCGTTAATCAGGACTGACGTGGTGACAGTGCCGCCAGCATGGGTATGCGTTTCTTGCAAGCAGGCGCCAGCGCTACCCAAGCCGTTGAGGCTTCGCTTCGAATCCTCGAGGACAGGGACATTACGAACGCCGGCTACGGATCGAACCTGTCTATTGACGGCACTGTGGAGTGTGACGCGACCGTTGTTGATCACCTTGGGCGTAGCGGTGCTTGCGGTGCCGTTCCCGGCATACGCAATCCGATTTCTCTGGCAAAGCTTATTCTCGACATGAGCAACCTACCACTCAGTCTGCATCGAGTTCCGCCAAATGCTCTGGTCGGCGAGGGGGCCCGCATGTTCGCCGTCGAGAATGGCATGGCCACGTATGCCAACGAACACCTTGTGTCCAAGAACGCGAGGGACCGGTTCCTTCGGTGGAAGGAAGATCTTCACCATACTGAGGCAAGATCTAGACCCTCTGCCACTCAAGGACATAGCACGGGTTCGGCACTGGATTTGCCAGAGTCCCAACCTGCGGAAAGCCCCGAGTTTTCCAAAGATCATGACGCCGCAGTTGAGGCCGGCACCTGGAACGAAGGACAGCCGGACTCACCCTGTAATGAGAAATACATTTCCAACAAGTTCCGCCCAGCAGGAGTCGCCGCCATAGCCGACTCTCGAGTCTCTATCCCTACAGCCGCATCTGCGGACCGTTCCCAATCACACGCCTCTTCTGACCGACCATGGTCTATCAGCATTGAAGAGTTGCCTCGCTCCCAAAGTGAGTCCGAACAGAGAGAGCCTGCTCCCCAGGCCGGCCTTCAACAAAACTATCACGGGAGCCTACAATCTGTGTTCCGGCCAGATCAGTCTGATGGTATCCAGAGCACGTCTTCGTCGATTGTACAGCAACCTGGCGAGCCACGGGGCACTAAGCGGCCCGCGAGCTCAACGGACGAGGCACCATCGGCGAGATATGGCCTCCCACTTCTCTCACATGCTGATGATTTGATCACTGATACTGTTGGCGCCATCGCCATCGATTACAGGGGCTACATTGCCGCTGGCTCATCGTCTGGCGGGATCGGCATGAAGCATCGAGGCCGTCTGGGCCCCGCGGCGCTTGTAGGCATTGGAACGGCTGTCGTGCCCTGTGATCCGGATGATGAAGAGGCTGTTTCCGTTGCTACTGTAATCAGCGGCACAGGCGAGCACATGGCGACGACGATGGCTTCTCAACGCTGCGCTGAGCGTATCTACCACGGAACTCGCAAGGGATCCGGCGGCAAGGACGTTCCGGAGGAGGACGACGATGTTATCATGGAGTCCTTCATCGCCAATGACTTCATGAACCATACTGGCGTCAAGAACTGTCCTTCAGCTGGCGCCATTGGTGTCATGACGGTCAAAAAGACTCGGAGTGGATATTACTTCTACTTTGCGCATAACACGGAATCTTTCGCGCTGGCTTCAATGGGGGGCAATGACAAACGGCCCGTCTGCACCATGTCACGTTTGTCTCAAGGTGCTGATATCACGAGAGGAGGGCGCAAGATTCGCTTGGACTGAGGTGGGCGTAGCTTGTTGCCGGACGCCGATGCACACATAGCACCACTGTTGTGAACTAAACCCCCTAGAATAGACCAAACGTATGTATTTTATACACAGATTATTTTCATAAAGCTGGCGTGGCCGTGCCGCTTGCTGTACCCTCTGCAGGTGTCCCATTGAGAGGCCTCTTCTTTTTCTTCTTCTTTCTCGGCACGACTTGGGGTTTTGAGCCGTAGTTACCCAGGGCTAGCTTGGTCCCGCACGTCAAGCACTCGGCATTCTCTGGTGGTTCACAAAATATGCTGAGGCAGATGGAACACACGAAACCCAAGTCGACGACTTTGCCATGGCAGAAACAGGCCGCTCGGAAATCCACTGTGTCATGGGCGGGAGCAACCAGGGACTTGCGCGCTTCTGTGTCGGCGATCAAGCCAAACATGAGATATGAGAGAATCGATTGCGGACTAGGCGCGGCGAGAAATGTGCCGCCTGTATTATAGCAGGCTTGTTGTAGAAAAGTTGCGTCGCCCGAAAGAGAGAGGGTATCAATGGCGACTTGGCCGTGGGCAGCGGCGAAGACTGCGTTCATGGTGGGGATGTATTGGGAGGGTTCGGAATCGGACACGGAAATGACAAGGATACGGCCTTTGAGTCCCATGTGAACAGTATCGCTCGTCTTGTTTTCGCTCGTTGCGTTCACGGCCGAGGCAGACATGCTGCTGGTGGCCTTGTTGATGTGGCAGAGAGCCAACGTCAAGGCGCCGGAGAGCTGTGTCGTCGTAGACTCTAGGTCCTGCTTCGTCGTGCCGTCAACGAGTTTCCGTATTGACGTCAGCACAGCTGCCTCTATCTGCGCAAACTGTGGATATTTATTCGCGGAGCCCGGCGGTGGCGCCGCAGCGTCCTGCATTTCGACGTCGCCGCCATCGTCTTTCGGCTGGGCTGGCTTGGTCGGTGCAGACGTCGAGGGATACAACCATGCAGCCCGGTTGACGTGGGCCGCAATCAGCGAGACTTGGTTCGCATTGCTGAAGGCGAGATGTGCATTGACAAAGACGAGTATGTTCGCAATAGCTCGTGACAAGGGGAGGGTGTCGCCAATCGCTGCCCACGCGCGTGGGTTCGTATCAATGATGATAGAAAGTAGTGAAGGAGTCTCTTCATATGAGCCGACCTCGTAGTGATCTGACTTGTCGACTGCGTCCATGTTCAGAGCCACGCGCCGCAGTCGGGATATATCATGAAGGGAGCCGCATGAATGACGAAATGAACTTGTAGCCTCGCGGCGCACACGCCAAAGCACGTGATTGTGAGCTACGTACCTAGGGAACTTATCTATCGGTGAAATGCTTACCCTGCACGGATGTCCCCCCTGTGACTGTGACGCAAGATTCGGGGGCGATGGAGGGGAACCTGGGAAAGGAAGGAAAGACGGAGATCTGAGGTTGCGTTGTATGAAATTGCCGAGAAAGGTTAAATTGTGAGGGCTTTACTTGCAAAGTCAGGAGTGAAGATGTAATACTGATCTCAACCCATGACCCCAACGCTGCTACGCTGCGCCTTGGAATTCTTGGCCTTCCTAGCTTATCAGTTTTCGTATCTGGACCCTGACCGGCGATCCCGTTTCGAGCTTCAGGATTCAGATTACACCCCTGCATCGTCGCTCTACATCACCTTTGTTAACTACCATCTCAACACATTCCACCCGCAGTCTTTGATGCTTCCTCAGCACCTGGTCTCGAAGCAACAGGAGGAGGGCGGGCCCCGATTCGCCTCTTCTCCTGGCTCGTCTCAACAGGTCTCGGGAATGAGTACGCCCAATCCAAATCAGCGCGACAACATGGCCTCATCGGTTGCGGAGACGCTAGGGCAGACCGGGCCTGCGGCATCGCTCGAGGACCAGACATTGATTCTGTTTGCGCGTCTTATGGAGGGCGGTCGTGAAGACGATGAAACGTGTCTCGACCTCGACTCCTTGACGAAGCTGCTCAACGAGGATGCCGAGGCGCAGCAAAGGAACAAGGAGCATCCCAGTATCTGCCAACTCATCGACTCGGACTGCATGGATACACTAGTGTGTTACCTTGATATGCGGCAAGACGACGTCGTCCGTGGACATGCCATATTGACCACCTCAGCCTACCTGAAAGCTGCTGGCGACGAGGGGGCCAACGCCTTGAAGAACTTCTTTTTTGACCGGATTGACAGAGGAACCTACGATGATTACATTGTCGCGTTTTGCGTGGCTTCACAGATCTTTCCGATTGTGCCGGATCTTACTTCGCAGTTGTTTCTCAGTGAGGGCTTTTTGCCGTCCCTTGGGCCTCTCATGAAGCGCAAGTGGAAGAGTCGCAAGGTCGAGACCGCGTGCCTGGAGATGCTCAACGCAGCTTGTATGAATCAGCACTGTCGTGAGGCGATCCAAAAGTATTGCGTCGAGTTCTTGGAGGAAGTTGTTGATCAGGAGCCAACAGAGGTGGTTCGCAGTATGAACAACGATCCTTATTTGCAAAGCGAAGGAGGCTCGATCTCGATGCGAAGACACTCGGAACAGGTTCAGAATCTGGCAGCTGTCATTCTTGCCAAGCTAAGAGTAAGTGATGTGGAGAATTGCTCTCGTTAACGATGGCTGACTGACAAAGCTCGAAGGCAGTCCCCACGAAGCCAGCGGCGGCTGATGGGCAATCTTCCCGAGTCGAGGAGGCGGTATCGACAATGGAAAATTTATCTGGACTGTTCACACGAATGATCTTGCAAGACGACAATCACGCGCAACAACATTCTATCGAGGGCCTAGCATATGCCTCGCTCCAAGCACCAATCAAGGAGAGCATTGCCAAGAACGAGGATCTCCTGAAGCGGCTTGTGACGACCCTCTCTGAAGCAAAGCCGAAATCCTCGACCACATATGGTGTCCTCAGCATTTTTTGCAATTTAACGCGATATCAGCCTGCTTTGACGGAGGAACAGAAGAAGATGGCGCAACTCAAGGCATACGCCAACGCCGCGGGCAAGCTGGCGGGGCAGGATCCCTTGGAGGATGATGAGCATGTGGCGCTGCGATGCAAATCTGTCTTTGACGCTGGTGTGACGCCAGTTCTAGTAACGCATAGCAAGAATGGCTCGCCGGCATCACTGGCGTTGATCATTGGCATCGTTCATGCACTAGCTGTGACAAAAGCTCTGCGTGCTCCTCTCGCCCAGCAAGGTGCTATCAAGCTTCTGCTCCAGTCTTGGATCATACTGCCTGAGACAGAGGATGCAGCGCGCCGGACAGCCGCGCAAGCTCTGGCCCGGATTCTGATCAGCACAAACCCAGCCTTAGTTTTCGGAGGGAACAGGGCAAATGCCATCAACACTGCGATACGACCTTTGGTGAGTATCTTGCCGCCAGATCCGGCTGCCGAGGTGCGGGATCTGTTGCCCTCTTTCGAGGCCCTGATGGCTTTGACGAACCTCGCCTCACTTGAGGATGGCGAGGTGCGGCGGTCCATTATCTCGATTGCCTGGCCGCAGATCGAGGAGCAGCTGTTGTCATCCAATGCACTGGTGACAAAGGCTGCGGTGGAGCTGGTGTGTAATCTCATGCAGTCGTCCGAGGGCATCGCGTTGTACGCGGATGGCTCGCCACAAGCAAAGAACCGCCTTCACATCCTGCTAGCACTGGCAGATGCGGAAGATGAGGGCACACGGAGTGCCGCGGGTGGCGCGTTGGCCAGCCTGACGGGCTTCGAATCTGTCGTGCTCGGTATTCTGGGACGCGAAGGTGGCGTCAAGGTAGTGCTGGGTATGTGCGTGGACGATAACGAGGATCTGCGCCACCGCGGCGTATACACTGTCTATAACATGGTGACGGCAGAGGGAGCTGCTGGCGAGCAAGCGCGGGAGAAGATCAAAGACGCAGATGGTGTCGACACAATGAAGGAATGCCTAAAGAAGAGCCGGCGGCCCGAAGTGCTGCAAGTCACAGTACAGGGTCTCAAGGCATTGTTGGGTCAGATTTAGAATTAATCACAACCCTAGACTACTGTTCCACACGATTCAAAATCGCCACGCCCTCGACGTGACCCGTCTGGGGGAAGAAGTCGAAGCCTCGCAGGCTCTCAATCTCATATCTCCACCCGTCGCCTTCGCCCCTAACAAGCACGCCCACATCGCGCGCTTGCGTGTGCACGTTGCAGCTGACGTACAGTACCCTCTTGGGCCCGAATCTCCGCAGCTGGCCGAGGAAGTCGGCGTCGCAGCCTTTTCGAGGGGGATCGAGAACGACGACCGTCTCGTCATTGTTGTACGTGACGCTCTTGAACAGCTCGCCGGCGTCGGCGGCAATGAAGCTGCAGCGCTCGTCGTTCAGACCGTTGAGCTCAGCGTTCTTCCGAGCGCAGGCGATGGAGTCGGCGGCAATGTCGATGCCCGTGGAATGCTGGAACACGCTCGACAGGGTGATGGTGAACAGGCCCGAGCCCGAGTATGCGTCGATGAGGTACTTGATCTCGCCCTGATGGGCGGGCGGGAGGATGTGCTCTCGGATGAAGGCCGTGAACTTGGGCAGGATGGAGTTGTTGTTCTGGAAGAATGAATTGGCCGGGTTGGTGAAGACGTACGAGTCGATGTGTTCGGTGGACGTGCCCTTGGGGTCGGTGATGCACGACTTGATGTCCACAGTGGTCTCGTTGTCGGCTTTCGTGGTGTATGGCGGAAGCGTCTCCGGAATGTCGGCACTGCCCTTTGGTAGGCGCTGGGTGTTTTCCCGCAGGAGGATGGTGGCCCCCTTTGTGTAGTTCTTGTATTCCTCCTTCATGCGCGCTCGCTCACGGTTCATGCCCAGGTTGACCGCCTCGGTGCCAATAGGACACTCCTCGATATCCATGACCCGCCGCGTCCCCTTGAGCATGAAGCCAATATCGGGGCACGAGTCGAAATGCGCCTTGGACTTTTTGCCCCGTCCGCGGAACATGCCTGGCGGGCCGTCAAAATGCGGCGTCAGCTTTGTCCGGTAGTTGTACTGGAGCGGACTGCCGATGGTGTCGCCCATGGTGGGGACGAGCTCTGCTGGGAGGTTGGAGAAGTTGGCGTACGCCTTTTCCAGGACGCGCTTCTTCAGTTTCAGCTGCTCCGGGTAGTCCAGCATCTGGAACTGGCACCCGCCACACTTGCCAAAGTACTTGCACTGTATCCTCGTATCATCCCGCAGCGGTGATGGCTTTGTGATGGAGATGAAGTCGGCAATGGTGCGGCTCTCCTCTTGCAGGTGGCGGTACACCTTGACCCGCGCCGTGTCACCCGGCACGGCGAATTCGGTCACGTAGACTTGGTTTGATCCGGCGATCATGCCCAGCGCATCGCCTGTCGATGAAAGTTCCAGGATCTCAATGTCCACTTGAGTGCCTTGCTCCGGCAATGGCTCTGGATCTTCTATAGTCGGTCTTGATTTGAGCAAAGCTTGTATGTCTAGTCGCAAGATGTCCTCTGATGAGCCTTCCGCAATATTCTTCTCGCGCTTTGTCTTTTTGGGTTTCCATTTCCCTCCTTGCGTGCTGCCATGTTGGCGCTTCTGCGCATGTCCACTCTGTGCTGAGGCCATGGTCGTGAATGATTTGAAAGTGATGGGAGAAGTGGTCCTCGGTCTTATGAGCGAGGCGAATCGAAAAGCCCTCATAAGAGCATTGTTAAGAATATGGAGGTGAGTGTGTCGATGGGTGAGGTCGTGTCTTCAAAAAGTTAGAGCATCAAATGGCTTGTGAAATCTCAAATGCTAATTGGCCCTTGCATGATTGGTTGGTGCCGGCGGACGGTGGGTCTACAGCTACCGGGTATTTACTCACTTGGGCGACCCAGCGACCCCTTTATGTCCTTTTTTGTTCTCCAGCATCGGGTACTGTTTGCATGGTCAAGACCATTGTTGAAGCCGGTACCTTGTTTCCGCGTTGGACTCAAGGAGGAAACTAGCTTGATGGATGTGGGCAGCTTGTGGCTGATGAACCAGGTAGAGAATGTGGTTCGCATTGCATGACTACCGAATATAATATGAGAAATCAGATTGCCAACTTTCATGTTCATCCCATATGGTCTAACGGTTATGATGTGGCGCTTTCATCAAAAAGCTACCGCCAAGCCCTGGGTTCGACTCCCAGTATGGGAGACGTTACCTTTTTGGCATTCGGGTGCTATAGGTTTGGGGGCCAAAGAGTCCATGAAACCTACACGTACAGCAGAGCAGGGTTGCCAGCTCTTCACGGAGAGAGTGGGATCAAAAGATGATGGCCTAAAAGCATCTAGGCAAAGGCACCTTTTGCGCCACAACAGAGATTGAAGCGACATGTTTTTGAAGCTCATCTAATAGACATACTCCGTACAAGGCGCAAGTACTATACAAAGCGGCCGGGTCAAGACATTCTCTCCAAAAGTCCAATATGCAATTGATGCTGCTATCGAAAAGTACCAAGACTTGAACAGCCTCCTGTCATGGTCCGCTCTTGTCAGCAACCTAAATAATATACTCAAATTGGACTAGACTGGTTACTGTGTTTGGGTCTCCATACTCCAACTCGTGGAGCACGTCACACCCTCGGCGCGCGTGACTAACGCTGATAAGGGCGTACGATGTGTTTCTAGCTCAACTTAAATTGCCATAATGGCCAGATGAGCGTTCATTGTCCTAATTATGTTGCCTGTAAGATAAAAGAGGACACGTTCTCTGGGGTTTTGTTATCTATCTTTATCGAGCTGTGAATCGACTATCGGGCGGCGACTTACACTCTCTCAGACTCATTGGTGAGATCGGCAAAGCGGCCTTTCGCATCCATCATTATTCAGCACCGAACTCGCCAACAGACTGTAGCACTCTCTTTTTGTGCAGTGATTGATCGAGTTCAGTGCACTCATGAAGGCCCAAAGACCAGGCCTGGCCCTTTTCGCCGCTTGCCTATTCAGTGGCCTTGCCTCGGCTATCATCCCGCCTGGACTGAGCCAGCAGTACCTCAGCAGCCAGAAGGATGGGCACAGAGGCGGCGTCGCCAGTGAGACACGGGAGTGCAGCGAGATTGGGCGAGATATTCTCGCGCAAGGCGTACGTCTTTACATACATGTCTAATCATTCCGATGAGGCGCTGACTGACTGGCCGTGTAGGGCAATGCTGTCGATGCCCTGGTTGGGACGACATTCTGCGTCGGCGTCATCGGCATGTACCACTCCGGCATTGGAGGCGGTGGCTTCATGCTGGTGCGCGATACAGACGGGCAGTACGAGGCGATCGATTTCCGCGAGTCTGCGCCTGCAGCAGCCTACGAGGACATGTACCAGGGCAATGTCGACGGCAGTGTCTATGGTGGCCTTTCGGCTGGTGTGCCTAGCGAGCTTGCCGGACTGGAATATGCCCACAAGAAATACGGCGTGAGTTTATGCCATGACCCAGCGAGGATTGTATTAACAGACAGATATAGTCGCTACCATGGCACACAGTCATGGCTGGTGCGATACACATGGCCAAGGATGGGTTCAAAGGTTTGTGGTGCCTCAAGCGGTGTTGGACGTGCCGGACTGACTACGAAACAGTGTCGCCCGATCTCATCAAGTATATACACCTAGCTACGAAGAACCAAACCAACTTCTTGGTCGAGGATCCGATTTTTGCAGAGGAATTCGCCCCAAACGGCACCATGCTACAACTAGGCGAAACCATGACTCGACCACGATATGGGCGGTAAGTCTGGACATCACCAGCTGAGTTTTCATTCCATACTGACCTGCAAAAAGCACATTGCAATTGATCGCGGAGCATGGATCAGAGGCCTTTTACAAGGGCGAAATTGCCGAGTCCATTATCAAGACGATCCAGGACACCAACGGCACCATGACACTCGAGGACATGGCCAACTACAAAGTCATCTCACGCAAAGTCGCCTCAGCCTCCTATCGTGGCGCGCAGCTCCATGCCGTGGGCACGCCAGCCAACGGCGCAGTCTGCCTCAACATCCTCAAGATTATGGAGCAGTTTGACCTGGAGGACGCCGACGACATGGGCCTTACGTGGCATCGGTACGACGAGGCGCAGCGCTTTGCCTACGGTGCGCGCTTGGAACTAGGCGACCCCAGCTTCGTCGCCCACATGAGCGAGATGGAAGACGACATGATCAGCACCGCAAAGGCCGAGGAGATCAGGGACCTGATCAGGGACGACGAGACAATGCCCGTGGACTACTACGATCCTAAGCGCCTGTACACGACAGATAGCCACGGGACGTCACACATCTCCGCCGCCGACGCGTCGGGCATGGCTGTCTCGTTGACGACGACTGTCAATCTGCTCTTTGGCGCGCAAATCATGGATCCTCTCTCTGGTGTCATAATGTAGGTTAGCCCCTTAGCCCCTGATTTTTCATAACGTGCCGTGCTGACTCCTTTAGCAACAACGAGATGAACGACTTCTCCATCCCCGGTGTGCCCAATGAGTTCGGCTTCGCCCCCTCCGAGGCCAACTTCATCCGTCCGCACAAGCGACCTCTGTCCTCCATCACACCCATCATCGCCTCCCGCTCCGATGGCACTCTCCTCGCGGTGGTGGGTGCCGCCGGTGGCTCTCGCATCGTGTCCTCCACGGCGCAAGTCCTGTGGCACACCATAGAACACAACATGACCCTCACGCAAGCCCTCGCCCATCCACGTGTCCATGACCAGCTGCTGCCAAACGTATCACTCATAGAATACGCCATGGACAATGACACTGTCAATGCGCTGCGCGAACGAGGCCACGAGATCAAATACACAGACCCCGTCGTGAGCTCCGTGCAGGGCGTGTGGAGGCACGACAATGGCATGTTCGAGGCAGCAGGAGAGCCTCGCCAGAAGAACAGCGCCGGGCTCACATTATAACAGACCTATAGAAGAAAAAGTATTCATCAAAGATAGGGAAAAGTGGGGTATCCTTAGTCTATTCAATCACTTTTCGTCATTGCGACAAGCCTATCCATCTGCACAAGCCACTTGCTGGCAAACTCGCCCTCCGTGAAGCGTTTCGCCGACTGTCGCGCGCGCAGGCGCATCGCCAGCGGGTTGGCAACGGACAGCGCCGACTCGTAGCCCTCGGCAAACTCGTCCACTGTCTCGGCGTGGAAACCGGTCGGCTCGCCGTCCACCTCCACCACAATGTCCAGTTTCGGGCCGCCGCTGTTGTGGACGACGGAAATCAGACCAGCCGCTTGGTACTCCACGCAACCAATTCCAAAATGCTCGTTCCACATGCCGTTGACGCCGACGGACGCCTTTTGGAGCCACTGGAGGATCTCGGGCCACGGGGCGTCCAGCTGGAACTCGACCCTGTCCTTGATGTGAAGCTCGTTGACCAGCAGGCGCAGCTCGTAGACACGTTTCGAGTCATGGTCATCGCGCACACTCCCAATGAGAATCAGCTTGGCCCCTTTGGCCGCGTCGGTCCCTGTCATGACAAACTTGGCAAACGACTGGACGATGAGCTTGTGGTTTTTCTCGGGGCGGAATTGGGCAATGTAGACCATAGCTTTCTCGCGCTTCGTCTCGCTCTCCTCAGAGATCTCAATCTCCTGCTCGAGCTCTTCGACCGCACAGGGAGGGAAGATGGCGGGGATGGGGTTCCTCCTGTCCTTCACCTCACGCCAAGGACCCCAGAGCTTGGTGAGATGAGTGCGCGTCCATGTCGAGTTGGCCATGACGACGTCAATGGAGGAGCCCACCCACGAGTAGAGCTCGGAGAAGCGCATCCAGTACCATTTCTTGATCGTGCCGCGGATGCCAACGCCCTGGCCTGCGTTTACCCCTTGCGAGCCCGTCTTGGAGTCAGGGTCCAACGACTCCAGCATGTCGGTCGAGATGGTCGGGTAATGCACGTAGGCGCCAGTCGGGATCTCGGGAAACAGCCACTTTGAGACGCCGAGGGAAAAGGCGTAGCCCATGGTGTCGACGAAGATGTCAGGGACGAGCAGGGAAAAGGCGTCCCAGGCGAGGTACATGGAGCCGAGGGATTGGCCAAGCAGGGTGAAGCGAGGCCATGTGGACGCAACCACCCAATCGCGTTTCGACAGGTAGAGAAACGTCACGGCTGGAGGGTGCAAGCTGATGTTGAAGCGGCTCTGCCATTGGTCAGTGGCAAGCCCGAGCGATAGGTATCCTCACTCACCTTGACTCGAGATAGGATCTGGTCCTTGGTGACCTCGTGGTCGCCAGTGTAGACTACACACTTGGCCTTGGGCCACTTGTTCTGCGTCGCACGGATCGCTGCCCAGAGCACGCGCTCACCACCTCCGCCGGCGTTGCTGAGAAATCCGTCAGCTGTGGATACACAGGGTCCAGGACGACCGACTCACCAAAATGGATGGAAGAAGCCTACGATGCCAGCCCAGTCCGGATCGACGTCTTGCTTCTGAACTTTCTGCCACTCCCCGCTGGACGTGCTCTTGGTCTCAAGGTTCTTGTCCTGTGACATACTGGCTTCTTCATTCATCAGGGAGATGAGCAACGACCGCCTGCCCTCAGTCTTCTTCCTGAGGTACCATCCTAGCGAACGACCCAGCAGTTGCAGAAGTCTTGGCACGGCCATAGCTAGGAGGAATGGGGCAAAGGAGACGGCGACCGTCACAAAGATCCTGACGCCGCTGTTCACGGCAGCTGTAGTTGTGCTTTCCGCCGCCATAGCTGCGAATCCCTATCGATGGAGGGGCTGCGGAAGCTATCTATCGCGTTGGGGTTGGAGGGAGGGCGATACTGTACTAGCAGCAGGAACAAGTTCGTGCTAGATTCTGAGCATGTCCTCAGACGGTTGTGCTCCCACGCTTCCGCAAGAAGAGAGGTCAGGTGAGGTGAGCAGGTGAGGGAGCTGGAAGCTTCAGATGATGCTGTGTGAAGGGTCCAGCATCCAGCAGTCTGCTGAGGCGTGTGCCCCGCTAATAAAGCTTGGCTGGTTCATCAGCCACGCCGTCTGCCAAGCCACAGGCTGCAAGCCACATAAACTGAAGCAACTTCTCTCATCGTCGGCTTCATCATCTTACTACAGTCCCCATCTCAGAACAAAGATGCAATAACAAGGCTGTCGCTGGCGACAGTCGAAAGCCACCATGTCACTCATTCAACGATCAGCCCTGAGGCGCTTGCCAAAGCCATCCGTCACAATCGCACACCCGACCCGGCGGACATTTGTCGGAGCGACCTGGGGAGCCCTTGTGAACACTGTCGCTGATGGCATATGCGCAGTGCATCACGTCGGTCTCCCGTGGTACATGACGATACCGCTTGTGGCTGCCACAGTCAACTTTACCGTCCGTCTCCCGGTGCAATACTACGCCCGCCAAGCGCGCAACAAGTATGCCCAGGCTATGCCAGTCGTACAGGCGTGGGAGCGGCTTCGCGTCCGCAAGGCCATGAAGAAAATCGACCCTTCCTCGCCCGATGCGCAGAAACAGAGCACATTGGCACTGTCTCGTGCGAAAGCAGACAATGCACCCACGAGACGTCGGATCTTCAGGGCCGTAGGCTGCCAGACATGGAAACAGTTCATACCGCCCGTCACCGTGGTGCCGTTCGTCATGTTGTCGGATGCCCTGCGGCGCATCAGTGGCGTCCAACTCTCGGCCAACAGCGATATATCTCGCTTTGACTCTTCTCTCAGCGACGGGGGCTTGGCCTGGTTCACGGACCTCTCGGCTGCAGATCCGTACTATGCTCTGCCCGTCGCGTGCGTGGTTGCCTTGGGGTCGTCTACGTGGAGGAACCGAGACGTGTGGAACGTCTTCTTGAGCCGCGACATCGAAGCACCAACGCTTAGGAAAGGGTGGAGTGGGCTGCAGCCCGCATTTCAGCGTCTCCTACTCTTGGTCCCTTTTTGGCCGCTCTTCGCCGGCCTGAATATGCCCAGCTCCATCCTACTGTACTGGGTCTCAAGCTTCAGCCTCACCCACGTGAACACCTGGATTATGGACCGGTATATCCCCAAGCCGGAGCAGCCGCTGCAGCCGATCAAGCGCACAGAGCTCTCGTCGCCGTTCATGCATGCGAGCACCATGGATCGGACACTTCAGTCGGCGTCCACGAGTCAGATCCCGAAATAGTCGTCATTAAGCTTGCGTTGTCATGTACAATAGTCTGTTGTAACCAAATGATATATACCCACGCTAAACGCCCTTATCAAAAGAACACACAAGAGTCCGCATCCATGCCTCATCCGACTACAACCGCCAAGATGACAATGGTCACGATCACGGCCAAAATGAGCAGCAGGCAGCAGCCCTTGTTACGGGCCGCCTTCTGGTACCGCGCTGCCTGTCGGGTCTCCACGTCGGCGTGGCGCGTGTCATCGTGGACATTCTCAATGTTGTCAGCGATGGATGTGAGCTGCTCGCCCTGCTCGTCCACAATCTGCGCCACCTGGCGGAAGAGCACGTTGAGATCGCCCACGCCTTGCTCAATGTTGCGAATCTCCTCCTCCCGCTCGATGATGAGCGCCTCCTGGAAATCCACCTCGTCCTGCACGGCGAGGGGCGCTGACATTTGCAGCTGCTCCTGCTGTTGACCGCCCGAGGGCGACGTAGCGTGGCCAGGCTCGCCGTCGTGTGCAACGCGCGCCGCATGGACGGATGCCTTCTCCTTCTCCAGCGCTCGTCGTTGCAGGGACTGGAACTCCTGTAGCGCCGCCTGGAAGTCGCTGGAAACTTTGGTCTGCTCGTATTTTTGTTGTTTCTGTCAACGTTAGCGCGTACCCCTGGTCAGAGCAGTTGTATTGGTCTCCATACCGATAGCTCCTCCCAGGACTGTAGCTTCTTGACGCCCTCGCCAATCTCCTGGCAGATGTGTCTCGTCTTCTCCATCGCATTGTTCACACGCTCCCTCAGGCGCGGCGAATCCTTCTTCGTGCCCAGAACGTTGACATCGTTGGCGAGCTTGCGGTTGCTGGTGAGCAGGGACTGCAGTTTGCCCTTGAGCTCGTACTGCAAGTCGCGAAATACCGGGTCGTCGGTGTAGCGCCCAGACTCGAGGTTGGAGAGTTGATCGTACGACATGGTAGCGAGTGTTTGAAATGACCGCAAAACAGAAAGTGACAGCGTGCTGTGTGATGCGGAGGAGTCAATAGCATGTGGCTGAACTGAGGTTGCGACGGGCGCGGGCGACGAACGACGTCAGCGCCCGCCGGGCCAATCACTGCACGTGATGTCGCTTCCGCCAGACCCTGCAGGCTCCAGTCACGAGTTCAGCGCGTTGTTGCTCAGCTAACTGGGCACTTTTCTATTTACATCCGCACCATCCATCACCAGCGGATGCCTCACAACCATGGCGCCCCTCACCGTCCGTAGGGCGCCCTACAAAGACTTCCTCCAGCCTGCCTTGCAGAGCCGATTCGCGTCGACCGCCCTTGTGCTCTTCATAGTTTCCTACGCCGAAGCACTTCTCTTGAGTCGTTGGGATTCGTTGCTCTGGTCCTGGTTTCCATTGGGCCCTACTGGCTTCCGTACGCTCGCCATTTTCGCCAGCGGTCTTTCCATACTCGTTCTCCGGATTGCGCACTATCACGTCGGGCTGAGGACGACCGGGTCGGGCTTCCACACCCTGCGTGCCAACCTCTCGAAGCTATCGACGTACGAGACGGCGTTCTGGTACATTGTGTCGACATGCATCTTCTGCCCAATCTTCATCTACTCGATCTCTCCCTCGGCTAGTCTCCGATGGGTTTCGTATACGAGCGGCGACAGAGCGCGAGCCAACGAGCGCACCATCTTCCTCGCGCTGTACCTTGGCGCATGCGCCCTCAAGCAGAGCCTCGATCACTTCATTGGGGATGTAGATCACTTGGACCTCGGGATCGTATTCCGGCAATTGGACAACAAAGAATCGGATAAAGCTCCGCCCTCGCGGGAGGTCAGGCTTTTGATACATTTTCCTAAACTGGTGGCCGAGAGCACTGTTAAGTCGGGATGGGTTTTGGGCTTCACCATCTTGGCTTATCTCGCCACCCCCATTCGTTCCATTGCCTACGGCTGGACACTGATGTTCTTGCGGCCATTCTACAACATGCCCAGGTCCAACATTCTGCCGCCCACGCACCCGCTCGACTTTTGGCTGTGTGCGCGATGTATCATGGCGGGCTCGCTGTTGTTCGTCTTGTGGACGGCGGGCAACACGGCCTTTTCCATCTTCATGGTCAAAACCCCACTCAAGAATGGGCAGCCCCTATCGTCCGAATCCAAGGACCCCAATGGCAGCTTGCTGAACGGTCTGAAGAGCAAGAAGCCCTCTGTGCAGAGCTTTGCCATGTGGGAGCTAGCATACATTGCCGAGAACTTTGAAGCCCGCAGAAAGGCCATATACGCAGACATTGATCGCTCTCAGGGGCCGATGTGGACGCAGGTCTACGGCGTGTGCATCGATGTGATCAAGTCCATCGAGGTGCGCGCGGATGCGTGGGGGAAACCACCCGCACCACCGCCTCCCACACCCATCGAAGAGCCGCGGGAACGGACAGCCGCACCGGTCAAGACAGACAACATATTCTCTCCTGAACGGCCGAGCACTACTCGAAGCAGACTGCGCGACTACGCGCAGGCTGAAGTCAAAGAGTTACTACGTGGCGACGGTCAGCCTCACAAGTCCGCCCTAAACGAGCTCAGGCCCATTGCGAAGAAAACGTGGGAGCAGACCAAGGACAACGTACTCACCAAGGAGCAACGAGACGCCTTGACGCCAGAGAATGTGAGGAGTCACTGGGAGAGGGCTGTGCTCTGGTCGATGCAGTCCGGGTTCGTCAGGGCCTTGTTCCAGCAACAATTCCGTACCAAATTTGCGGGTGCGGTTCTCGGCACCCCGTTTGCTGAGCCCATGCTCTACGTCCACGCTTCGAATGCGCTGTGCCAGCTCGCTGTCCACAGTCTTACGGAGGATCCATTCGGCCATGTGCACCGCGACGTGGCCAGCATCATCTGCACGCTCACATTGGTCATTGGTCAGATTGAGTCCATGAAGCAGCGTTTCCCCGTTCACTGGACCGATATCCAAGGGAGTGCCACGTGTCCCGAAGTCGACGAGGTTGTTGACACCCTCCGAAAGGGGCTTGGCCAGGTGGTGGCCAGCTTCGAGTCGTTCAGCAGTGAGCTAGGTCTGACCAGGACCGAGCTGAGACTGGCCAAAGAGGCCGCAGCCAAGCCAGAGTCAGTCGCGCCCAAGCAGCAGGCGCCCACCGTAACCAAACCCGTGCAGGAGGCAAAGCCCCGTGTCGAAAGGCGCATCTCGAGAGCGGAAGAAGTGCCTCGAAAGAGGTTGGCCAGCAAACCGGAGATGGAGCAGGTGCGAGCATGAACAGAATGAGATGCATGGATCGGCGAAAAGGCATTTATGGGCATGATACCCCGGTAGGGTACGATTGTAGAGAATAATACGTACGACAAGATATTCTGGCACAACTGCGTCTCCAGCTGAAGGATTGTTTGTGCATTGACGACTATATACGGGTAAAGAATGGCTAAGAAAGACAGAAAACAGCGACAGATCCCCTCTCCCTCCGCTTCTTTTGCGCGCAAATCCCATTGGTCCTATCCTCCTTGCGTCGCCCTGCGAACACCAGTGGCTCCTTGCGTCCAGCCACTCGCTCAGGCATTGTTGATCTGGCGGGCCAGGAACCTGGGAGCCTCGTTCCTGGCCTCGTCATTGTACGAGAAGTGCCCGGGCAGGATGAACAGGGTGCCACTGCAGACGGCATCGGTGACGGAGCAGTAGACCTCGGTGCGGGATCTCGGGTAGTTGGGGATGCGGCCGAAGTTCTGGAGGTTCTTGGTGTAGCCAAAGAGAGCAGCACCGACGACCTGATTCTGGACGGCACCGGTGAGCTCCGTCAGGGCGTTGCCGACGACGGCGGTGCCCTGGGAGTATCCGCCGGTGACGACGGGGGTGTTGGGGCACTTGGAGTTGGCGAGCTGGAAGAGGCGCTTGGCCTCGTCGATGGAGGCGCGGTTCGTGCCGGCGGGGAGGAAGTTGGGGGACGTGGCAGCGTCATAGGGGCTGCCGACGCCCTGGATCCAGATGTTGCTGAACCGGCTCTCGAGCGCGGACGCGAGGATGGGACCGGCGGTGATGCCCATGTTGCCAGGCTCGGTAGAGCCGCGCGCGTAGATGAGGATGGCGTCAGGGCAGGAGGAGGCGGAGCCAGTCTCTAGCTCGTTCCTGGTGGAGGACTGGCGGGTCTCGAGCTGGACGGTCTCGAGCTCAAGGTCCGCGTTGCGGATCTCGACAGAGGTGAAGGAGTCTTCGATGGGAAGAGCGGTGGCCATGGCGGCCAGGGCAGCTGTGAGAGCGAGGAACTTCATGTTGGCTGGTGGATTGATGGCTGGATAGATCAGGGTGTATGTGTTCTGGCTCGGGTATTGAACTTTGACTCTGTGGCTGCGATGGCTGGCTGGCTTGTGTTGATTCCTTCCTACAGAGGGCGGAGAAGCTCATCTTCTTATAGACGCTCTGGTCTGGCTGGCAGCCCGAAGCTGATGATTGTTAGATGGATCACACTCATGTCTGACCTGCCTTCTCGAGCTGGCTCCTTGCTATCATCGGCCGACAAGGTCTGTGGTCCGATGACCATCATCCATCCACGGTCAATCGCAGTTGAGAAGGTGGATGTTGTAGGCAACTGGCGCGCCACGCGTGGAGTATGAGGGTATCGTCTAACACGAATCCGGCCACGGACGCGAGTGACGTGGTTAGAAGTGAGACGGTTGTGTTCCAATCACAACACCTGCAGAATAGAAACCCCGCAAGATTTCGCAAGATCTCTTGTAAAGGGAATCGCGGGATGCATGCTGCCCAGGATGATGCGCAAGCGTGCCAGCACTGCAGCAGCCATGCGGGGTTTGTTAGTTTGTGGAATCCGGAGTGCATATGCGGGGTGCATGAGAAGCCAAGTTCACCTCGGCTCTTGGGAGTTGGAATAGAGTTTTTCAAAGCGCGTTGCTACTTTGGTTAGTGTGAAGGACTATGCTTGCTATGGAACATGCTTACTTTTGGAGGATACTGCCTCGGCTGTAGTGAAATGCCAAGACTAGCTTGCGCATGCAGCACATAGACTAGAAGCCACGAGGGCGGCACAGACTAGAACGGAGAATGTTTCAACTTAAAACGACCTTGAACTGATGATCGGCAGTTCCCGCGCGATATCATGTCTCTGCAGATGAAGTTTGGCAACCTGGGGTGCATGGGTCATCTGCCACGCACTGTGGGAGGTCATCGTGCCTGATAATGAGCCTCTCTGCTGACATAACAGAGGATATGGAAGGGTATATCCCCCAAGGCCGTATGGTTATAGAACTCTCCGTGCGTTGGTGCCTCTCGAGTCACTCGACCTCGACTTGTCTGCCACGGCAAAGTTGTACCAAGCGCGCTTTTCCAGTGTCGATAGCGATGTGATGCCACTACTGCAAGACGGTGTGGTAGACCCGCCCCAGGCCCGCTACGTATATCGCCGGTCCATCTGGGCTGCTGAGCATCTGTCTCCGATGCCCGAAGAGGGAAATGTCGCGATTGTCTTCTCGCCAAGGCTGGTTTGATGTGTAGTACTGGTCCCTAGGGGAGGTGGCCGTGCAGCGTCCGCCAGCTTAGTGACGGCCTTTCGTCACCCGAGGTGGCTATCTTCCCCATGGCGAGTGAGATTCCTAGCGCCTGGACTGCCCCCTCTTGAGTATGATGGCTGTCTCCATTCACACCACGTAGGAAAAGGACCACGTAGGAAAAGAACCACTTGGATGATGGGTGCCCCATCTGCCCTACCTCGATGGGGCGACGCTTTGGTGACATTCTTTGTGAAAGTCAATTACAGCGCAAATGCCGCAAGGGTGAGATTTCTCGTTGAATATAGAATAGCTGGGGTATCGCATGGATATGGAGTGATGAGAAACATGTTGTGACTTGTTAATTCGGTGTTGTTCAAGAGTCAGGACTCAGGACGTTCGTCATTTCTCCACTTCTACCCCCTGTACCTTCAGGTACGTACCTGTAGGTGGTGCCGCGATACGTTCCTTCCCCCCGGCCTCCCAGAGCTTCTTCCTTACCTTACCCAACAAGACACTATCGGCCTTGCACCTCCATCATCCATCAACAATCGCCAATGCATCTTCATCCTCCATAAACATGCGACGCCTCTGTATTATTCGAGCAGCTTGCTATCGAAGAACCCCTGCTCCATACTGACCGCGCCGCGCGCGCTCCCGCCAACATGGGTCGCGCGTGGAACTTCTTCCGCATCGCCTACACAATCGTCTACTTCCTCCTCTACATTCTTCTCGCTGTTCTGCTCCTAATCACGCCGGCCGACGCCGTCGAGCGCTCGCTCCGCAATAATCAAGTGTACAACATATGGCTTCTGGCCTTTGTCTATATCCTCACCATCCTCGTCGTCAGCATCATCTACTTTATCCGCCTATACGTGAACAAGACGGTCCTCAACAACATCCCCAAGGCGTGGGTCCCGATCGACGTGGGCGATGTTACCAAGGCGGTGCACCAGATGATCCAAGATGGGCTCGATAGGAGCGCAGCAATTGCCTACGAGGCACGGCCGAGGACACAACCGGACGGCGTCAAGGTCACGATTGCGGCAGCTGGAGGCCTGGACATTTCAAAGGCATTGCAGCACGAGCTGTGGGACGGCATTGAACACAAGGGCTGGTCTTCGCCAAAGTCGCCCGATCTACCAAACTTGCATTATGGGACCGTCCTTGCCGAGCTGCCCAACCTGATCGAGGCCAAGGCCATGACGCTGGCACAGAGAGATCCCACCACGGAGAATGAGGTTGCTGCACCGGACCCCGAAGCCGTGTCACTTCTGCAGCGGTCTGCCAACCTTGACCTGCGCGGTTATGCGGATCACTTGGCCAGCTTGGATGTCCTCTCGCCAGACGAGACAGTAACTGATTTCCTCGCGCTGTACGAATTCGCGCGCTTCTCGACGCAGCCCATTTCCAATGCCCAGTTCCGCGAACTCATGCATCTCTTCGCCGAGGTCCTCCGCAGCATGCAGCCTTTTGACCCGGCCATCTTCCATGACCACGAGACAGTGCTCTTGGAGAGTGCCTATGGTGGTGTTGGCTCACGCAACGAATATCTCCACGCTTCCTCGAACCGGCCAGACAGCTCGGACACGTCCTCCATCCGTCGCCCTGCACCTCGCTCGGCTTCCTGGGGTGGCACGTTCCGCACAGCGCCGACCACCCCGCGTAGCCGGCCGCATCTGGTCTCGCAGCCCTCCAGTAGCAGCGGCAATAGTTTTGCGCAGACCAGACACCCGTACGATGCTTCTAGCTCTAGCAGCATGCGGTCCGGTCGGTCGTGGTCGGTGATTCGACTGGCGACACGGGAGGACGATGAGGACCTGCCATATGTACTAAATTTGATGGGCACGGCAGAAAGCATATAGCTGCGCTTGGTTATGATGTAGCGTTATGATGCATGGCTTGGAGTATGGGTATTGCTTCGCACTTAATGTTGTGTTGGATATGTAATCCACGGGATACACAAAAGGGAACAGGTCGTTGACCTTCATGGAGTTTACTAGTACTTTGTGAATATACCTTACCTTATATAAGGACTGACCAGGGCTTTGTGATTCGCCAGCGCGATCTCAAGGCCCCATAAAAAAGTCGACTTGACCTTGAACTCCATTCATTCGCCCTTCTCCCTCCTCACCTCGTGATTCTTCTCCAACAACCAGCCACAGATCAGTCGCTCGAATGGGCCCCGAAGAAAGTGGCACGTCGGTCAAGCCGCTCCCGACATCCTTCCACAACAAGCTGTCCATGCTCCAGAACCGTACAGACAGCCTCTTCACCAACCTCAACTTCACACGCACCATCCCCTCCTCATCCTCCTCTCATCGATCCCCGGCCAATGCCAGTGAACCTCCCTCCAACGCCCCGACACCGCCCGCGCAGTCTGTTACCCGCGATGAAGAGGATGATTGGGGCATGGACCTCGGCGGCGTCGGCTACGTCAAGCCCAAGGCGAAAAAGTGGGATGAGAACGAGGAGCTGAGGAGGAAGGTACTGGGGAAGCGGGCCGAGCGGGAGCGCAAGGCTAAAGAGGAGGCCGAGAGCGACGAGGACAATGAAGGTCGGGGCAGTCTAGGCAAGGAGAAGAAGAAGAACAAGAGGCCGCGCCGCGAGGAGACGCCGCCCATTGACGAGGAGCACACAACGGCACCCGCGGCCAGCACAGCACAGGCCGTCACGGACGCGGACGCGGACGCGGAACCACAGCAACAGCCGGCAAAGAAGAAAAAGAAGAAGAGCAAGAAGAACAAGGCCAAGAAGACTTCAGAATGATGCTCTGTTCCCCACCAGATCAGATCAAACTGGTCAACTACATGGATATCCAGTATGCTACCAAATCCTCTCCCCTCAGGCCCACGCCAACGCCCAAACTCCTGCCCGTCGATATATACAAAGAGCCTACCGTCCGCCCTCTCGCTCTCTCACCTTCCTGCTGATTACTGCATCCGCTTGCGCTTGCGCGCATCGTCTTCCCCTCCCCTCGGACCCTCGTCGCATTCATCTTCATCCGATCGCTCGGCGGTGTCGCTCGGGTTCAGGATATGCGCCATGCTCCCCCGCCGTGTTGGCGGCGCAGACGAGTCCTTGAGCCCCCGGCTCGCCGCGGAGCCCCACGACCAGTTTCCAAAGGTATCCGCCCCGTTGTGGCCGTTGCTGACAAATGGCGGTGTGCAGGGCCTGGAATGGGATCCCGGCGGTGGCTGTTGTTGCTGCTGTTGTTGGGAGGCGGCTTGTTGTAGCGAGTACGTGGAAAAGGACTCTCGTATCCGCTGGTCCTCGTTGGGGACGCGGTTGGGGGACTGCGGATACGCTGGTGGTGTTCCCCCTTGATATTGCGGCTCCATGCCAGGCAGCCAGCCGTGCGCTCGAATGTCCGCAGACGTGTGCCTCCTACCCAGGCCCCCGGGAGGCGCCTGCTCGACATTCGACAACGGGTGCGGTACCGGCGGCGCGGCTGGGTTCTGCGGCCGCGATGGCGAGGATTGCGTAGTTGTCCCGCCGCCTATCGATCCGTAGGGGCGCCTTGCGTTGGCGCCGAGCCGCGAAGGGACGGCGGGCTGGTGGAACAGTTGTCGCTGAGGGACCGTCAGGTTGCCCCGGCGCGCCTCGTCTGGCTGTGGCTGCCTGGGCGAGACGGGCGGGTTTTCCATCCCCCCGTAGTACGGCTGTCTTCCTACATATCCAGGGTCGGGCCCATCATCCATGCCACGCAGCACGTCAACCTGGCGCTGCATCTCGTGCTGTAGAGTAGAAACTGTTTAATATTAGCACCCAGCCTGACTGATTCCTCATCAAATATGGACCCACCGTCTCGATGGACCTGGCTCTCCGGAGGTACCAATGACATGACACTCCTCGCCAGCTCCTGATTGAAAAACAGCAGCCGTCCGATCGTATCGGAAGCCACCTGGTACTTGACGTTCATGTAATGCGCAGCCTCGTCGCTCCGCTGTAACCGCGCGCTCAAGTCGTTCAGCGAGTACTCCAAGTTCGCCAAGCGCGTGTCCGTGTTCTCGGGCGCCAGGTGCAGTGGTTCCGCCGGTGTGCCTGGCTGTGCTACTGCTGGCTTCGTGTGGTTGTTCTCCCGGTGCACGAGAGCGTGTCGACTGGCGCGTCTTTTAATCTCCCGCAGTCCCACCAGGTCGCCGCGCTTGAAGTTGCCACCGCCGTGCTTGAACTCCCAGAGTGTTGACTCGGGTCTGCTGGTGTGGAAAACGTCGCGCTCTGCAGTTGCGTCAGTCGGCGGTTCAGTTGAGTCGCTTCGTGCCTCGAAGGTCGGTCGTACCTTTGTGGAATCCATACATGTTGAGCTGCCGCACAAAAGATGAGATGTTTGTATGCTTGAAATATTGTCTGGATTGGTGAGTCTGACGCCCGGTAGCCATCCACCTATCACGGAATACTCACGATAAGACTTTCGAAAAGTCCGGCGTCGGGGCCATGACGAAGCTGTCGGCACTAGACGACCACGATATCAGATGCTGGATATTTTGGTCCTCCAGCATGTTGTACAATTTGTGAATAAACGCCGTCTGCACAATCTTTGGCTGGTGCAGAGCCGCCGCGGCAGGTGGTGGTGCTGCCATGTTGCCAATGTTCGTGTTCTTTCCGGCGCGTTCGTTCTCGTGCTCTTCGCTTTCTGCGCCTTGACTGGTTGTTCCCGCCTTGGTCTTGTCAGTTGCAGAGCGGGCGTCTGGTCTATGAGAGCTAGACGTTGGCGAAGCAATGTCCATGGGGTCGCCGGCAACGGCTGTGGAAGCCATGGCGGCGCTTGCGGAGGCAACGGAACTAGCGAACAGCAGTGGAAGCTGTACGGAGTTTTCGATATGGGTTCTCAGTCGTTCCTGCTGTCAGCCTCGCCAGATGACTGTGGCGCGCATGGAACGGGATCGAGATGTTGCTTGTCGCGATGCAAGGTTTCGTCGGTTTCGGGAGCTACGTTGGGGTCCCCTTCTGTCGTCGTGGAGATGCGCCCTGCTCAAGGCCAAGAATGGTCAGCGCTGGTATTTCCACAGCAGAATGGCCGCGAGTCTTTGGGTCTAGAAGTCAAAGACGGCGGCGCTTGTGGAAGCCGGAGGGAGGTAGCGGGTAGACGCAGGCCCTCCGAAGCTTGAGGCCGCGGAACTCTATTCCTAGGCCGGGGGGGGGGGGGCAACTGGCCGCCTGTCTGGTGTGACTTGTTCTGTTGCAACTGTACGCACCTGCCTCATTGCCGAATTCAAGCCAGGCTTGACACGGGCGCAGCAATTATACTGCGGCGGATGAATTAAGCAGAGGAGCTTCACGCGACGCGAGATGTCTGTCGCGGACGAGAGACGCAGGTGGTGCGCGGCGCTGCAGGGGTCAGTCGCTGCTCTGGAGGTACGTTCGAGCGCACAGGTGCGTCGGAGCTCTGCTGTAGTTCGGGAACCCTCGAGGATGGGAAGAGATGGATCGTCGACTGGGTCAATTCGTCGTCGTCGTTCGCTGTAGATGCACACGCACACGCCCAGGTTGGATGGTGCTAAGCTTCCAGTGTTTCGAGGGTGTGCCATGCAGCGCAAGGTGAAGCTGTCGGGCTTCTAGAAGGATGGAGCAGCTCGCCTGGCTATCACCCCTCACGGGCGGACTGGAGTTACTGGACAGACGGGAGGGAGACTGGAGACAGCGGGTGGGTGGGTCGTGGAAGATGGAATGTGGAATGTGGACGGCGACCAGGCGTCCCCGTCCGCTGCAGCAAGTGGCTCCGGACTTTCAGGTGCGTTGCCTGCTTGACTGCCTGGTGGTGTGATCTAACAGAATGTGAGGTGCGGATTTGATTGATTGATGAGAGACATGCAGCACATGGGGTTACCGTTATCCTGTTGACCCAACAAGGCAAGGGCCAGCCGTCGGTCGTGCCTTAAGGTACGGCTAGACCTTGGGTACGTAGACTAGCTTATCCGACTGCAGTCCCGTCCATCATTACTTCAGCCAGCCTCAACTCAATTACCTAATGCACCAAATAGTAGCATCAGACTCGCGGTCAAGGACTCTACAAGAGCCTGTCATGTGAATTCTCTTTCGCCCCGCGCCCGTTCAGTTCGCGATACAGCTCTGTGCCCCCATCATGGTGCCCTCATCAGGCACGATGCGCATGCCGACATCGCGCTTGGCAGCACAGCTTCACATCCCAACAAGAGTGGGGGGTTCCTCAGTTCGGCAGCACTCACTCGTTCCTCCATCGCAGTCGGCCGGTCGACATTCATCAACCGTGGCCCTGGACGTGAGACATTCTGTCCAACTGCCGACGTGTCTCACAAGGCAAGGATTCCCCAACGTTGACAATACATGGTAAGCAGGCAGGCAAGCAGATAGACAGGTAAGTACGTGTAGGTAGTCACGTAAATCGAGAACATTGATGTGAATCTGGAACTATTCCTCGCCATGAACGAACCCTTGGAAAGTCAAAATCCACGGCGACATCAAGCATGTGACTGTCACAAGCCTGACAGACGGATACTATAGACCTGGCAGGTCTAGACCTTTGTTGATTGCAAACACGTGCACGGCAAGCCATGCGGTCATCAATTCGTTCATTCCAGCATTGATACACATGGCTCCAGCTGACTGACACTTGACAGATGGTGATGCCTTCCTAGACCTAGAAATCATCCTCATCGCGGCCCTCGGCCTTCCTCTCTGCCACCTGCCGAATCTTGTCCCCGAGGATCGTGCGTCCATACCGGTCGGCGACCTTGCCAGCGGCTTCAAACATTCGTCCGGTGCGGTCCCGCATCAACTGCACCATCTCCAGGGCGCGCATCCCGCGCTCTTCGCCCTCGCGACACTCGCCCGCCAGGAGCTGCAGAAGAGTCTTGTCAATCTCAAGCTCCAGTCTCGAGAGGGCAGAGCGCTGCGTGTGAGTACTCGATGTGCCGTCGATGAGATCACGTAGTTGAGCGGCCTGGACGCCCTTGAGCATGTACGCCTGCTCAAGCTTCCGCAATTCCGCCGAGGCGCTGTCGTCCTCGTCGCCATCCTCGTCGGATGGCGAATCCTCCATCTCTGCATCCTCGTCGTCCGGATTGCGCCGTTTCTTCTCTTTGGGCTTTGGTGCCGATGCAATGGGGATCGAAAAGTCAAACTCGGACAGCAGTGGTCGTGGGAAGTAGGGGTACTGGTCGCCGCCCTTGAGAATGATGCAGTGGAACTTGTTGTCCGCCACCGCCACGGGGTAGTAGTTCTCGCTCTTTCGCCCCGACGCCAGGCGGGACAAGAGCTTCGTGTCGAGCAGAGGCACCCAGCAAGCCCGCGAGGGTGTCCGCCAATGCAGCAGCGTGAGCAGCGTGCCTGTCGAGTCGTATATGCAGGGGTCCCCACTGTCAGAGAAGAAGACACTCTTCACCGTGGCGCCCTCGGGCAGTGCTACCGTGTCTTCGTTCTGGCAGATCTCGTCTCGTTTCACGTTCTCAATGGTGTAAAGCAACCTCGCGCTGCCATCGGGCCCAACAGGCCCGTTGCCCATGGTGAGGACATAGTCTCTGTAGCTCGCGCATGTCACCATGGGTGAGCTCTTTGGACGGTACACGCGATAAGGCATTCCGAAGAGCGTGAACACGCGAACGTAGCTTGCATTAGTCGTGACTGTGATGAACGATTCGCTTAGGGACATGGCGGTGATGGCTTCTCCCACGGGCAGCTCCGTCCTCCAGTCCGAGCGTTGCGTCCATGTCTCATGGGGGCGATAGAATATGGTAGCTGGCTTGTCGCCCTTTGGCGGGCATGAGAAGAGTGTGCCGTGCTCGTTGAGGCAGGCCTTGTCGTAGAGGAAGGTGTCGGTGAAATGAAAGTCGCGCTGGAAATCATGGTCGTAGAACTCGACTGTGACAGTGTGGTGAGAGTCCTGATCGATGGTCCACACGAAGCCAATCAGGTTCAGGCAAAGGTACTTGCGATTGCCTCGCCAGGGCGTTGATCCTGGTTGGAAGGCTTCGTGGTAGATGGGTTCAATGTGCTGGCGCTTGCGGGCGTGCTCGCCATTCTCACCACCCTCGTGACCCCTTTTCAGGCCTGCGGTGGTGTAGCCGGCGCCGTCGTCGTCGACCACAAAGTCATCGTCTTCTCCGTCTACGCCACCCAGGAAGGAATCAAGGCTTCCGAGGGACTCGCGCCTTGGTCTCGATGGGATTTCCTGCCTCTTCCCATTGACCGGTGCAGGCCTTCTGCTGGCCGAGGTCTCTGCGAGAGGGTCGTGAATGAAGGGGGCAGGCTGCTTCGGGAGCCTGAGCAAAGACGCAAACTGGTCGTTCAAAAAGTCTGTGTGGATGAAGACCTCGCCGTCCGTGGTTGTGAAGGAGACAATGTTTCTGGTGGGGTGCCAGACCAGATCAACGACGTTGGAATAGTCGTATCGTGCCACGACGCTCTGCGTCCTGGTCTCCCAAACGAGCAGCTTGCCGTCCTTGCTCGCCGAGGCCAGCAGTGCGCCATTGGGTGACCATGCCAAAGCTGTGATGTCGGACAAGTGGCCATTCGCAAACACCCTCTGCTTTTCCCAGTCATTCTTCGACACCACCTGGATATCCTTGGTCGCCGTGACGGCGGCGAACGCTCGTCCGTCTGGGTGCCAGACTGCTTTGGTCGAAACGTCCGAGTCGCCGTCAATGGCAGCGATGACCCCGTCCACCTTTCGAATGAGCTCAGGAGACTCTGATGTTAGCGAGTAGACGTAGATGATACCATCTGTCCCGGATAATGTGAGGAGACGCCCCGCGGGGTCAAAGCTGACGCCTCTCGTTGCGCGCGCATGCTCCCTCAGGTATCGCACCTGGGTGATGTCCTCCGTATCCACCACCTTGACGCTGAGCTCGTCGCCCGCCACGGCGACGTATTTCCCATCGGGTGACATGGCTACATCCTTGACCGGGAGTGTCGACCGCGTGACAAATTTGTCGAAGCTGGCATCGGCAATGCTGTACAAGCTCACCGTCCCGTCCTCGGCTGCCACGACAAAGGTGCTGCTTGCTGCCGCCAGGGCGACATTGTTCTCCTGACAGTCATCAATGTTGGTCGGCTCGCCATCGGACCCGGTCTTGTACATGCGGATCAGGTTGTTGGAGCCAGCGGTGACGAGACGGCTGCCATCGGCGGTGTACGCGCAGCGCGTCGTGCCACTGGTGTGGCCAGCCCGTGGCTGGACTCGAAGTGCTGCCGTCGGGTCCATGGTGTGTCCTCTCGCCCACGCAGAGCTTGGTCCGTTGCGAGCTGGGCGAAGTTGACGTTGTGCGGATGAAATACGTGACCGTCGCGTGTCGACGCGTGGGACGGATGAGACTCGCGTCGCCATTAATTAAACAGGGGGTTCCTTCACCAGTCGTCAAGTGCCCCGCCGATTTTCGCGTCACAGCGTTCTGGCTACCCTGTAGATTGTGTTGGCATTTTTATCCACCAGCCAGGTGACTCCAGAGCACATGCACCTGAATATGAGTTCAGCCAGTCTTTCGGGCTTTCGAAAAAAGCTCATCGGTATTTGTCATTGTGATCCTGCTTGTGCTGAGGTGTTCTGTGCGGTGAAGGAAGTCTTGTCGCATCCCAGTTGATTGATTGATAATGCCTTGTGGGGTTGTTATGGACTACCTCCAGGCTTCGACCAACTCATCGTTCACGTTGATCATCTCCATTCTCACACAAGCACACCAGAAGAAAAAAACAATTGGATTCTTATTATAAAGCCCCAAAGTCTGCCACTTGCTGCTCTCTCACGTCAACCCAAGCAAGACAACATGCAGTCTGCCGATCGTGA